GCAACCATAAGAAGTGGTTCATTCGTCTCTGAATAGACCTGACCTTCTTCCAATTGCTACAGGTGGTGGCCCCGTTCAACCTCTTGGTGTTGGCGACGTGGAGATCGATTTTGTCACTTCTGAAGGCAGAACAGTTACTCGATTGATCACAGACGTGCTCTACGTGCCCTCCTTTCAGATCAACCTCTTCTCTGGCGATCAGTTATATCGTCAGGGTTGGTATCTGATGATTCGGGATCTATTTGACTCTGCAGGCACCTGGGTGACATCCCTTCATAGCGACATGTATGTGAAGATAATCACTCCACCGCTACAGAAGGAGTCTTGCAACATCATACGCGCTCTACAGGCATTTGTCAACCTGTTCTCAGCTGAAGGAGAGGAAGAAAGTGATCCTGGTGCCCAATTGAGGGCCAAAAGGGAGGCTATGAAGCTCCTTCACCTCTGGCATACGAAGCTGGGCCACCGATCGATTGGCGATATCGTCAAAACGGCCAAAATCGTCAAAGGCATCGATCTACCGACAAATACGCTCGAATTGGCAAAGGAATTCACCTGCTTAGACTGTCTGGAGACGAATCTCTGTCGAATGGTCTCCCGAGTCGAGCAAGAACACCCTGATCAGGCCCTTGACGTGGTTCACACTGATACCGCGCACCATTCGGCTGAAGGATACGATGGTTCTAAACGAGCTACGATGCTAGTCGATGGCAAGTCACAAAAACGTGAATATCATCCTCACACGCAAAAGAGCGAGACCTCAGACATCTGCATCTGTTATTACAAGCGGATGAAGCTTCAGTACGGTCGCTACCCTCACTGTTTCGCTTGGATAACGGCACAGAGTACGCCAAATTTATCAAATGGGGCCGATCTAAAGGCATCGAGTTTGAACTGAGTGCTCCATATACTCCTGAGCAAAATGGGGTGGCAGAGCGCTCTCTTAGCGTGATTCATTTGTTTGTTCGGAGTGTTATCGAACAGATGAAGCTGCCAGAGTCTCTCTGGCCAATTATTGGCCCTGCAGTATGTGATCGGCTCAACCTGAGCTACACCTCCTTCCTCCAGAAGGATAACAGGACCCCAGATGAGGTCTTCTTTGACGATCTGACTCCTGACAAGGATAACAAGCCTGATCTGAGCAATCTCCTCCCAATCGGGCAGGCTGCCGTGGTCCATCTGCCACATCAGCGCCGCGTTCAGGGCAACAAGACGGCTCCTCATGCGAGAAAAGGGCGAATTCTTCGCTCACTTGGCTCTAATCAGTATCAGGTTTATTTGCCTGAGTCGCAGACGGTCATCACGAGTGCACATCTTGAAATTCTAGATGGGTACATCGCTTCTGGGGAATCAATCCACATCTTCCCAGACTTCCAAGGTACACTTGACGATTACGAGCGAACTATCCATAAAGAAGATAATCTGAAGAAGCCATCTTTTTCAGAGGGCGCTGACGATCTTCAGCATATATCGGATGAGTCAGATGGTAAAGATTGGGGCTGGATAAATGTCTCTGAGCCCGTCATCACTTTGGGCACTCCGGTTATCTCACCGATCGTATCCGATGATGGCGGCGGCGACCCTCAATCAACACTCAGCGATTCTGAGCCCGATATTGGCCCAATTAATACGCCGACTAGATCATCGGAATTGCCTCAGCAAGTTCTATCTCATAAACCGACTCCAGTACCGTGATCACAAGCTGGGATGGATCCTGGCAACGTGTTATCCGGAGGGCGTACCCGCAGATTGCAGAACCATTACGTTTCTGAGATCACAACTCCCGGGATCTCTCCACATGTTACAATTCAGGCTTCTTATGCTAATTGGCCCTCTGCTGACCCTGATCAAGCGCTTTCTGAAGCAGATGAACCTTCCAACTATCGGGAGGCGATGGCGTCAGTTGAAGCACCACAATGGTTAGAAGGTACTCATCTCGAGATACGCGCGCTGCTGCGTAACAAGACCTTTTCGGCGCACTGGAGGTCAGCAATACCTCTAAATCGCAAGCCCTTAACCTCTCGTCACGTCTACAAGCGCAAGAAGGACCCGATTACTGGTAAAACAGCTCGATACAAGGATCGGATTACTGCTTGTGGGTTCATGCAACGCCATGGTCTCGATTATTTCGAGACTCAAGCCTCTGGTGCGCGCACAACCACCTGGAGACTGTTGTTGGCTCTCTCAGCCATTCTGGATTGGGAGATCGACCAAATGGACGCCGTTTCGGCCTTCCTGATGGGAGAATTAGATGAAGAGATCTACATGGAGACTCCTGACGGCCTGGATGACTTCTTTGAGATGTATCCAGAAGAGAACACCATTGGTTGGCGACAAGGGATAATTCTCAAGCTCGAAAAGCCCCTATATGGCCTCAAGCAGAGCCCTCGTCAGTGGCAGAAGCGCCTTTGTGGCACGCTTCAGACCCTTGGCTTTGAACCTCTGATCTCTGACAATGCCGTTTACTATTCCAAGGAGCGTGGCATTTTCGTCATTAGCTACATGGATGACTTCCTTATCCTGGGCGCCAACCGCTCTAAGATTGATCTGTTCAAGCAGGATCTCTCTGTTGCCTTCGAAATAAAGGATTTGGGCGCTGCCCAGCACTTTCTCGGCGTAAAAATCGTCAGGGATCGTGTGAAAAGGACACTGTGGCTGTCACAAAGCACGTACATCCAACGCACTGCTGAGACCTTTGATCAGGCTCGAACTGGACGTGTGAACGTACCCATCTCGCCTCAAACGGTTGAGAAACTGGACCAGGATGACACCGAGGATGGCGGTTCGCCCGAGGTAACTCACAAGTACCAATCCCTGATTGGCTCTGAGAATTTCCCTGCATGCTACACCCGTCCTAACATCTCCTTCTCAATGGGGGTATTTTCGCGGTACCTCCATTGTCCCAGAACTGTACAACTTGCTGCGGCTCAGGGGCTCCTTCGATACCTCTGGAACACGAAGGACCTAGGCATTCGTTTTGGAGGCCCTGAATACGCCAAAATGACCTCTGACAAGGTCACTGGCATCATCCCATCCCTTCTACTTGGTTATTGTGATGCTAGCTACACTGGCAGTATCAAGGATGGAGCCAAATCGACCTCTGGCTACCTATTCACCTTTGCTGGAGGCGCTATCTCGTGGTCTTTGAAGCTACAGACTGTTATGGCATAATCTACTGTTGAATCAGAGTATTATGCTATCAGTGAAGCCGTGAAGGAGGCTGCCTGGCTACGAGAGCTGATGAACGAGCTCGGATACACCCTGGACACCCTCCTATTGCACTCTGACAGTGCTGGAGCCATTCATCTGGCTCAGAACACCGAATTCCATCGCCGAACGAAGCACATTCGAGTGCGAGAGCATTACATTCGCCAGGAAATTCAAGCTAAGCATATCTCGCTGCAGTTCCTTGGTACTGACGAGATGCCAGCTGACGGCCTCACCAAGGCCATGCCAAAGGCGAAATTTAGCTCGTTTTTGTAGCTATTAGGACTCATTGAAGTCAAATAGGGGTTCAGGAGTGCTGTAATACTCCAAGGTCTAGGTGATTAGACTGTTAATTATAGTTGTGTGATAGTGATGCCCTCAGTTTGAGAGGGCGTGTTGGATATCGTACCAGGCTGAGGCTTTCGGTGATGAATGCGCTGATAGGTGGCTTCATGGCATTCACCTGGCGCCACTATCAGATGATTATCTGGTCATTTTAGCGCCATTATCGTACGACTATCTGGTCACTCTGATGGCATACCTGTACATATATATGGGGACTTCTCCCCCAGAGATCTTCTTCTCTTCCCTCTTCTAATACAGAACGGTTTGAAATCTCACAGTGAGTGGCGTCTGCTTCGATCAAGAGATCTAAGAGACGTTTCATCAGAGCCATCCTTATCGTCATTAGCTGTAAAGAGGATACAAGGTCAAGGGGGAAACTACTCTAGGCCTGGATTGGAAACAATGACTTTCCACCTCCTTGATTTTCCCGTCCTGTCTCTCATTGCATTGAATGGGAAGTTTTGAAACCCTGGACCAACGAGAAGGACTGCGCTGCTTCAATATTTGGGTTTGTTTTCGCCAGATACGATACAGATAGTGTGGTCTATAAACTGAGACCGCGGCCAGCAAGGCTTGGAAAAGCAGGTCCTCGTACTACAAAAAGCTGAGACAAGAAATATACGCCTAGTGTGCAAAGTTGAGGATAAGCCTATGGGGTAAGTCTCCCCCAGGCCCTGCCGGGCACTGTGTAGCTCCGGGCTACAGTTTAGTGCTACAGTACGGCGACGTTGGCCGAGAATGGTGTGCTAGATTGAAAGGCAGCGCCTTTCAGAAAAGCGGCACAAAAGCTTCAATGCCGAGAACGTGGTTGCCGAAGGTCGGGTAAGAGGTTCTAGATGTAAAAGTCAAAAGGAATAGGTAAGTATCGGTAATAGTAGTGTCAAGGTCCTCCATTGAAGACCAGTTCATGGGCTACAGGCGTGGTAAGAAAGACATGAAAAAAAACCCCGGTAATGACACAAAGAAAGTAAAAAATGTATGCCCGAAGATGGAATCGAACCACCCACCTCCCTACCGATCAGTGGCTCTACAGCTCGCCGCGCTCAGGAATCATAACCACTAGACCACACGGGCTTCCGTATAAATTAGACACCGAAGTAGTTTGAACTACTGGTGCTGTTCTAAACCCTCCAACCTACCAAAGGTGCATGTGAAATGAATGCCACTCATAACGGCCAACGACTAACTTACCTGGGTGATTTCCGGCGATCACCAGTTCTCGTTCGCCATTGCCAGGAGTGTACCAGACAACCACAAGACGAAGTGGCACTTTAAGGATACAGCCGGTCTTCGGATGAGTTTCCTCTCTGGGTGCTAGTTGACGAGGTTCTTGCAGAACTTGACGCCGAGCGACTTCTGCAGCCGTTCATAGAGCCTGGAGTAGACCCGTAGTGTAGTGCAGAACTCACCTTTGTCCGTTCACATGGGTCACAAATTAGGAAACATGCCTAGTCCAAGTTCTCGTCTCGGGACTTGGCGCCGTAGATGCTCTTCCCGCCCGTGCCATCGCCCTTGGTGAAGTCACTACCCTGAATCATGAAGTGTTTGAATGACTCTGTGGGAGGTAGAGTCCTCGTAGCCACAACCCTCCTGGCCAGTCGCAAGAGCACGGAAGTTCTCTGTGGTGGACCGTATCAACGGACGTGCGAAGCCAGGACAATCAACCTCGGCCGAAGGCAGCGAAGAGCAGAGACCTGTGAGTTGCGCTCAGCTTCTCCCGTGGCGATTAACAGCATCACTGACAACATGGCATCATCAGACATTTCAACGGTCGAGCTTAATGTGCCAGAGCTGGACACGCTCATCGGATGATGCTTCTATAGCAAGACCACGCAGTACCACGATGTGCCATGCGGATCAGTTCCCGGATGACGAGGACGATGAGAGGGAGTATGCTAGATGGAGAAAATCGAAAATGAAGGTTTACTGGATGATCTCTGATGGCTGTGTGATGATCTCTGAATGAGGCGGCAGCAGATGCTGGATCAGACTGGTAAGTCGAAGGCGCACACGGTGGGCAGTATGGAGTCGTATGGCATCACGCCAAAGCATAACAGCTGGCAAACTAGTCAGCGTGTTATACGACGAACATTCGGATGCAAATCGCCTGTTGGTTGGCATGTCACGTCAATTCCCTGCAGGCACACGATGCCGCAATTTGGTAGAAGTGACGAACAGTGAGAATATTTGTGCCATCAATTGTACTCCTTGAAGTCGTGGTACTCGTATATTCTGCCTGACGCTGCCGAGGAATGAGCTGCACCACTGCTGCCGCAGCGCTCAATCATGCGTAATCCATCCATCATCACCAAGCAGATGCTTCACCTCTGAATAAGAGCTTCACTACTGGCCAGAAGCAAGCTCTCTCAGTATTTCCCTTGTCCCTGAAACTGACTTGGAGTCGCCATACAACGCCGCGACGAGACTCCCGTCCACACTTGGGAACTCCCTCTGCAGCGTCTCCAAGTCGCGGTCTTCGTCGGTCTGAGGTTTGCTCATGTCAAATTGCTCCAGAGTTTCGCGCTGCTCGCCACGCTCGGACTCGGGCACGAAGTCAGACTCCTTGAATGTGTCGGATCGCGCCAGACCTGGTCCAAGAGGTTGCTGGCCTGGCGGTGGACCTGAAGGCGCAGAGTGTCCTTGGTACGTCGAGTGAGGTGCGCCAGATGATGGTTGATCCTGCCATGCGTTCGCTGGTGGTGGACCCGAAGGCGCAGAGTGTCCTTGATACGTCGAGGGAGCTTCGCCTGTGGGCTGATCTTGCCATGGGTTCGCAGCTTCGTGGCTCTGCTGCAATGGGTTGTTGGTCTGGAAGTGCTGGCCGCCAGCAGATTGACCGTAGTAGCCTTGACCTGACATGTTGATTATGTTTCAGTTTTCTTCTTGCCTCGATATGTTTTTGTAGGCCACAGTCCGTCTTCGACGATGTCTGGCAGTGATTAGGATCGAGAAATGATGTAGGATCGAGAAAGTAGAAGCCTCCGCCACAGCATTGCGTGTCGTGCTGAAGGACGCCGTGCATGTGATCGCCGAAGATCCGCCGGCGCGCCGTCATCATCATGAGGCCCCCGCTTTATTAGATATTCACATTACACGTGCCCCGCACCACCACAATGCCGCTTGTCTGGCAGCTGGCAGTCAACAATTGTGCGGATGTGCGGATGTGGCAAACAATGCCGCCCGAACGTGAAGGAATCACGAGCTCCTGCGATATGCGTTCTGAGTCTATGTGATCTAGCAAGTAGATCACCAATCCTCATCGCGGCTATCGTGAGCTATTCTTGAGGTAGGACCGTCCGGGCCTGGTTCGATGTGTCGTGGCCAATCAACCACTACTATGTCGACGTGCTCAATGAGAAGCACGCTGCTCTACACCTCTTGTTCCTCAACATACCTGCTAGCAGCCTTCACGTCCACTTCAACCAGAGGGCCCACGTGTCTGGCCATGCTACACTGCTCCGTCTGACTCGGGGCTAGATTCTGTGTGAAGATGAGACATATTTGGTGGGCATCTCGGTTTGTTCTGCTCCTCCGGCATGATGATCAATATCACAGGACCGTCATCTGTTCGAGGATTGCCTCTTAGGTGCAGTGTGAAGACGGTCATTGCCTATGGGGACGTATTGATATAAATCTCCTTATACAAGCTGATCCCAAGACAAGAGAACCAGAGAAAGATAGCTTCCATGATACCACTGGCACTACCAGGTCGCGGGACCAAAAGTGTCCCCTTCCGCCACCATCTTCAATATCGCAGTATAAGACGCATCCTAGACGCAATCGTCAGCATTCGACCTCTCAGGCGTATAGGGGCAACCCATCGAGTTACTTACGGCTGTATTCATGACATCCACGTTGCCCCACCACTGCGGAATGGTGACCCCTGGCAGGGTGATAGCGAAGAAGATGACGATTGTGGACAGTATCAACCCTGCGTCAAGACCTGATTTATTTTGTTATTAAGCTCCTCGGCCGCAAGTGAAGAGCGAAGCCCAAATACCTGCTGCCGTGACATAATTGTACGTGTGCCACCAGCCGTTAAACCGTTTGCGTATGCCATAGTTGAAGACCAGTCCCGTGATAGCCCAGGTCGAGAAAGAGAGGGTCGTAGCCGGTGGCAGCCAACTCATGGCTCCCAGCATCACAGGGGCGTTGAGGTGACGGACGAATTTGACGTTCGTCTTGCGGATTAGGACCCAGAAGATAAGCGGCAGAGCTGCCCCGAGGAGCCAGAACCAGTTGAAGTTCACGTATTGCGAACCTTGGCCGAACATTCGTTGTGGGCCGATGACTCCCCAGACGATCGAGGAGGAGAAGAATGCTCGTCCGTTGGGACACGTGAAGTGATCTGGTTGCGTGCTTGGGATGAGTTAGTTCATCGGCTGCTGAGAAAGGGGGTAGAGAGATACCCCACTTACATTTCACACACATTGGGGATATTTCCAAGAGTCCAGTTCATAACCGCTATCTGGACAAAGACAGCCCAGATACTTGCCGCTACCTGGCACGAAAACGTAATTCTCGGAGGCACCTTCATGTAGTGTGCAAGCTTGAGGTCGCCGCTAAATTCGAGATTAATCATTGCTGTAAATATCGCACGGTTGAAACCCTTATTTACCTGTATGTTTGGGCCTGACCTAGACAGATTGTGGAGAAGACCTGCTTTTATTTTATTATTGAGCTCTTTGACCGCAACGGGGGAGCCAAACCTTGAAGATCATGACGCCGACCGGGCGTCCTGGGATCATGAAACCGGCTAGGAAGGGGGAGACGACGTTAAGGGACAATACGATGTTCGAGACCGCGAGAACCATGCACGTCGGAATGACCCACGCCAGCCCTAGAATGACAGAAACAAAGAACGCCCACTGCGTGTATGTTAACATATTGTCTCTAAACCCGTATCGCTGATTTCTTGATGAAGAAAGACAGGAAAAATCAAGGCTTGTTCACCAAGGCTCAGGGTCTTGGGGTGGGATGTTTTTATACGTACCCAGGGCAATTGCGAATCGAATCCGAGAGTAGCCGCAAGACCGAGAGCGACTGATGGCACAAAGAGTGCCGCGTACCACCAGTCAGGGCACTCGCGATACTTCTTCATCAACTTCAGATGGATGTCTGGCTCCTGACTTTGCGCTGTTCGGAATCGATACCAGATCTCTTTTCCATGGAACAGACCGGCATGGGTCAATGCGGCGGTTAATGCTGCGAATGAAAGTCCTATATAAAAGTGTCAGCGCTTACCTGTGATATGAAGGCAGTGGGTTAAATGGTTAGGAACCTACCGTAGTTAAGTGCCAAGCTTGGAGAGAGGAACAGAGGCGAATATGAACTGTACTTGTTGGGGTCGAACTGAAAGCTGTCACCAAGGATACGGCTGACGTTGTATGCAGACTGGGTGTTGTCGTATGTCTGCGAAGTGACCATTGGAAGATATTCAGAGTAACTGATTAGGTTTCAGTACCAAACCTGAGCAGAGGGGACACAGATGAAGAATGAGTACTTACAGCGCCCCCGAATAGGTTATACCGATCGTAGTAATGATGACAAAGATGAACAGCCCGATCAACGTATTCACATGGGCATGAGTCGGCGCAAGAAGTGGGTCATCCAGGTACGCGGTCACATACGTCCAGTCGAAGGTAATGGGCAGCAAGCTGAGCCCAGTGAAGCCTCCAAAGAGCTGGTTGAGAACGACGTTGTTCGGTTTGATCCATGTGACAAACGCGAAGACCGAGAGTCCCTGCCAGAGCACCCCGGGGATCCAGTAATAGCAGGACATGGCGACAGTGACGTAAAAGAAGTACCTGTACCTGCTGATGACCCAGCCGTTCGAGCTGACAGCGTCGCTCTTCGTCTTGTCGTGCAGCGCAATCAGGAGCGAAGTTTTACTGAAGACTGTTGGCCAAATCATTGCAGAAGGCCATACCAGGAACCTCCGAAACATGCCGGCCAGGGATATACCTATTAATTGAGAGCTTAAGGTAAAGAGCAGCGAGAAGCCCCAGCCGAAATTGATGTTGTAGAAAGGCTTTCCCTGGAGCGCAAGCAATGCGTCGGTACTGTAGGCGTAGCTGATCGAGACGTTGGCCATCAGAGTGACCACGACGTGTTCTTTGATCGTGAAAGGGCCAGGGTTAAGAGTCCACTCCAGCCCAAACGTGTTGAAGACACGAGTCGGAAGAATCCGTGCCCACAGATTACCCAGGGGGTATGTCAGAAGCAGCACCACGATAGCGGGAAAGTTGATGGCGGGACTCCTCATGGACAGGAACATGTTCAGCCCACTGGCGATGGTGACGAAGAACATGCCCAGGACCCAGGCGCGCAGCGTGTTGGCGACCTCGCCGCCGTCGACGTTCCTCACCGCAGCACGAACTTCTTCGTATGGTGAGTCCTCAGTGAACATGAGATCAGCCTCGGCGATCTTGTCGGCATCGCCATCCTCCAGGGCTTGCTTGACGGCATCCAGTTTCTCCTGGGGCAAGTTGGGATCCCATTGGTGTGAGTGCTGTATCTTGTCGAGGTCGGCGGTGGCGGTAGCGATGTCTACCCCATGGTGCTTCTCCTCGGGCCAGGTCTCTTGCACCGGTGTGATGTCTGCAACCGGTACATCTGAATCTGCTGCCTTTCTAGTAAACGGGAACTTCATGATGGCGTTGGACAGCTGGGTGAGCGCAAGAACTCAAGAAGAAAACATAAAGACGGGAGAAGGTATACCTTATCTCTACCGCGTTCATCGTCCCATGGTGCGACGTTGGGATATACGGGGCACCATCACAAGACCGGAGTTTGCTTATCGCACCTACTCGGATGGTAACATTCTCTTCGTACAGTCTAGCCCGTTCGATAGACCTGTGGTAACTTGATGGTCGCGGCCCAAATATCTACCTTCCCAGTATGAACAAGCATTGCCAATCATCACTCTTCAACCACTGACGGCTCGAGGACAGGGGCGGGGTATTGGGGCTCGACCAGGGGGACGGGGTTTTGGACAAACATTCGGCCTATACGTCCCGGCATCTCGGTTATACGCATCCGCACATGCATACGCAGCAGGGGAGGTATGTCACTCGCAAAGGAGACGTATGCGGCGTTTGACTATCTACCCTACTGGTGGCCTAACGATCAAATGTGACGCTGAACAGATAATAATTTTCCTTCCTGAACACACAGCTTATCTGAGCACACTTTCACGAACCCTTTCTTTGGCCTCTAAGGTTAGATCACTTGTCGTGGTCAATGCGCTTGAAGCGGTCACATTTTACACGCTGTACTTAGCATGCCGTTGTCCGGGTTCTCAAACGTCACAATCCAGCCAAATCGTACATGACTAGAGCTCGCCCGGTCCTACACCCTCCGCAGCTGCCGGGAAGATTCTCCAGACCCTCCATTTAAGCATCTCGTACACCGGCTCGGTCACGCTCCTGCATCGAAAGCCGCCTCCCTGAGCCACAGCACCACCAACAGCCTTATCGAGCGCCTCGTTGATGTACGTCGCGATGTCTTCGTTTCCGATCCTGGCCGATCGTCAGAGAAGCACGACCCAAAACGGCAAACTGGGCAAGGATATAGAGCCCAAGAAGACATGAGAAGGGGGGCGTTACCAGACATCTGGGCCCGTCTGGTCATCCGCTCGCTTGACCGAGAAGCTGCAAGTGCCGTTCTCTCGCAGACTGAACCAGTCCAGGTCGTCCCAGTCGGTGATCTGGAAGTAGCCGTTCGTGGTGTAGTACTCGTCGCGGAGAGCCTTGCAGTCGGCGGCCAGGGCAAGATGCCATATCGGGAGGCCGCCTTGGTCCGTGTTGTTACGGCACATGGTTTGTGTCGTGTTGCGGGAGTACCAGCGAATGCCGCCGTCCAGTACACTACCTAACTCTGCCTGTTGTCGTCAGCGTTAGGCGTGTATTGCCTGGTTTGGTAGTCCGGGGATAATAACACCCACATTGGCAAGAGACATGGTGAATGAAGGCATAAACCCGAGGGCAACGAAGGCGCTGGAGAACTGCATCTGAGGCCACAGAGTGAAGTTCGAAAATGGGAGTTTTCGGGACTGGGGTTTCTAGCTGAAGGGAAGGCGGGAAGAACACGAGAAGAACGTTCGAACTTGTATTTATAGTGAACTTGGCAAATGGTGACACCGGCGTCCCGGTCATCTGCCTTTGGATCAACTCATCAATGAATCACATCCTCACATCTTTCACTCACCCCCATTTCCACGAGTCTGTCTCGATCTTGACCTCATTCAGCCCTTGATACAAGAAAGGTTCCTGTCAGAGGTGCGCTGTAACCGAATCACAAGTCTTTCAGACGTCGCCAGGATTAATAAACTTGGACATGGAATTTGTCACTGTTGCTTCTGTTGACAGTAATCGAATTCGTTCCCTTGTATGTGTTTTCGCGTACCACACTTCCTCCTGGTATCCCTCTCCAAAGAACGAGACTCGTCACATTCTGGCTCCCCTTGATGGGAATGTCCGCGTGACCCGATCGTCGACACCGAAGACCCCGGACTCTTCATCAAGTACCAAGAGACCAGCTTCCAACGACTCTCCTCTCCTAGCGGCGAAGAAACTGAAGGCAACTGTCAGTCCTAGGGTTGCGATATTACCCATCGTGTTCCTGGTACGGTCTCGCTGACAATGGCTGCGAAGGCTCTGCCTCCCTCAAGGGCGGCAGCGTTGTCGACGGCAAGGCTGGCGTCTCTGGTGTCGAATATGACCAATGGCATGCAAATCAAAGCGGTGACTCTCGTCCGGCTTCAGGTCGAGGCACTGAGCAGCTGTGGTTAGGTCTTTGCAGGGATAGTGGGCCGGACATACGGCATGGAGGCCTGAAATGAGCAATTAAAGGAGGCCGGTTATGGAGAGAATATATATTCAGGAGATCCATGTAGTGTATTTGCGCTTGGTACTTCAGAGGCATGCGATGCTACTCTGCGTCGCTTGGTCACTGAACTGGCTCCGTTATGGTGCCCGGTTGTGGCCTGCTGCGGGGAGCCGATCGGAGACCGTTTGGCGTGCAGAGCATCTCCAAACCCGTGCCGTCAGATCAGATCCTCTCCTATCGACAATGTACCAACCAACACACCTCGTTCAATCTAATGCCCGAAACTATGCAAACCACAACCCCCAAGAGTCAAGTCATATACGCGCCAGCCAGAGAGGCTATCCGTGGCGTCAAGTCGATCTTCCTAGCCGGTACTACCGCGAAAACGAAACCTGACGACCGTGATTGGCGAGAGGTGCTGTCAGAGTCGCTGGCAGACACCCCCGTCACCATACTCAACCCCTACCGCGGTGACTGGGACTCAACCTGGCGGGAAGACATCGCGTTCGCGCCGTACCGCGAGCAGGTAGAATGGGAGTTGGATATGCAGGAAGCTGCCGACATCATTGTGGTCTTCTTCCACCCAGACACGCAGGCTCCCATCAGCCTCCTAGAGCTGGGCCTAAGTGCAAGGTCTGGCAAGTGTATTGTGAGCTGCCCCGAAGGCTACTTGAAGCGAGGGAATGTGCAGATTGTGTGTCAGAGGTTTGGTGTTGAGATGGTGGAGAGCGTGGATGAGTTGAGGGATGCCATCTTGAGGAGACTGCCTGATGACTTCACGCGGACTGCCTAGTCCCACCACTTAGTGAAAGGCGACTTGGATAGCTCGAAACATGTTCCGAGGCAACATAACTTACATGGAAACTGTACGTGTAGCATAGGGGTGCTGAACTGGATACAAACAAAGGCTTATTCCAGGCAATGGAAGTTCAATGAGACATCGCCTTGCATTTCTAGTAGCAAGACAAGACAACATCCCTTCCTAGGAGCCTCACAGGATGTCCAGCTGTCGGGACAGGCGGGAAGACCCGTGGACGGCTGCATGGTTGGTCAACCGGCTCTCGAACAGGCGGGCCGAAGTTTCTCCGCTGTCATGAATGCCGGAATCCACCACTGCATGACCGCTAATCTTGAGGTGGCACTTGGATTCCGCTCGCGGCTCGGATAAGTCTGCAGGTGGTAATTCAATAGTTTCTAGCTTCACCCATCATCAACGCCTCCCCAAGCTACATTGCTTTCCTCCCCCTTGCTATAATTCGGCAGCATCACTAAGACTATTCTTGCTCTACAATCGCTCCAGCTCTTCACAATGGACGACTTTGGCGGCCGCACAGACGACGATCTCTTCGCCGACGACTTTGAGCCCGTCAGCGAGCCCGTTAGCACGCTTGTCGTCGAGCCGCAACCACAGACTACCACCAACACAACTCCAGCTCCAGTTCCTGCTCCCGTGCCCCTAGTCGAAAACCAACCCAGTGCTCCAGCTCCGTCAAAGCCCACGCAGCCTGCTACTGTTCCGATCGCTCCCAAATCTCTAGCCCAGTCGCGCCACGCGCCGACGAAGCCCGCGCATCAGCCCCGGCCGCGCAAACACTCGCCGAAACCCCCCAAGCAACCCGCACCATTTACCACACCCGCCGCCGAATCGACAGCAGCCGCCACTGAAGAGGATGGCGACACATCCTACACAGGAGCGCCTACGCAAGCCACAACAGGCCCCTCCGCCACCTCCTCCGCCCCAACCAAGCCCAGCGGGCGGCACTCGTCAAACACAGCCTCGGGCGACCGAACAGGTTCCGGCTCGAACCCGCGCACCAAGCTGACGGAGACGGAGCTCGCGGCCAAGATGGAGCAGATGCGGATCCTGTCGGCGGAAAAGACGCGGCGGTTCGAGCAGGCGGAGCGCGACAGCCGGTCGCACGCGCTGGCGTACGAGAAGGGCATGGAGGACGCGCGGAAACGACGGGCCGAAGAAGCAGAACGCCGCAAGCGCGGCGACGAGGAGAGGCGGCGCATGGACGACGAGCGCGAGCGGAACCGCGAGCGTAAACTGAAAGCCATGGGCGCCAAGGACGGCGGCAGCTGGGACGAGGGCAAGAATGTCGAGGAGGAGCGGGATTATGGCTATAGCCAGAGCTTCAAGAGCGCTAATGGGGGTGTGAGGGGGTCGAGGACCGGGATGGGTATGGCGGGGAGTCGCTTTGCTGAGAGGAATGATGCGCCGCCGCCCCAAAGAGAATTCGCTGCGGATGAGTTCAGGGGTAGAGGTCGTGGACGGGGACGGGGGACCACGAGAGGTGGACGGGGCGGTAGAGGGGGCTCGTTCGGGGATGGGGAGAGAGGTTCACGAGGCGACCAGAACGGGTCGTCCCATCAACAGCATACCCAAGTCCCACCGAAGCCCGACGATTTCCCTGCTCTATCTGGTTCTGACACCATCAACGTGGACACGACGACGAACAAGCCCTCTGAGCTGCCGAAGCTACCTTCGCTTTCGGGTCCTAATTCGCCGTTAGGGAAGTGGGACGATGAGATGGCTGCGCTGGATGCCAAGGCCTCCGGTACATAGGATGATGAGATGGTTGCGCTGGATGTTAGCCGTGGGCGCTGGGTAATTGACCGGAGCAAATTGAAAAGGCTCTGGGAGTGTTATCCTTCCACCCTTGAGCCCTATTGGTCAGTCGGAGCCTATTGGTCAGTCCGGGCTATTTTTCGATGGACAATGAAGGCTGGGAAAGAATCATTACCCGAATAGCTGTATGGGGAGTTGTGCGCCAGACGAATATTCGCACTCGAAGATTCCCATCGCGCATTCATAGGAGATGGCACAAGGGAGCCATAGCATCGGACATACCAATAGCGTAGACAAAATTGAATTCCATCAGTGCATCTATTGGGTCTTATCTCATACAGTGATATCACAGGAAGTCAGAAATTGACCGTGGCAAGCCCCTTTTCTGCCATCAAGCCCCAAACTCCGCCGGATGCACAAAGTGTGAGTAAGAACTGGAAATGTCGCTCGATCACCAACCACCACGGAACCCCCGTCCACCACCTCTCCCTCCAAAGCCACCTCGTCTAGGACCTCTAGAACCACCCTTCCACCCGTCACCATAACCGTCGTCGCGCCCACCCATACCATCATCCTGCATCGGCGGCCGTCCTCGTCCCCTCAGCTCCTTCGACAGGGTCTCGTACGTCTTGCGCATCTGCGCGTATCCCAGGTGCATCTTCCCATAGAAGTGATCCGCCAACCTGCGGTCATTATCAAGCCTCGACAAGTACGCCCCGCACACATCGCAAACCTGCAGCTTCTGGTGCCCCGACGGCCCACTAGTATCGCTCAGGGCCTTGAGCTCGCGCTCGCGCTCCGCCTTGGTCTGCCCGGCCTGGCGCACCTTGAAGAACTCGTCGTAGGCGCGGCTGACCTCGCCCATCTCGCCCAGGATCTGCACCTCCAGTAATCCGCAGTTGATCGTGCACGCCAGATCGGATATCCCCTTTAGTAAGACGTTCGTCTGCCGGATCTCGTCGGGCGTTTTTTCCAAACGCCGCTGCGCCGTGTCGATCCGCCGGTTGCAGTCGTCGATGTATTTTTGTAGGTCGCGCGCGTAGTCGTGCTGGAAGCCGTACTTTTGCCGCTCCGCTTCGGGGAGCGTCTCCCATTCGGTCTTGAGCGCCTCGGCGTGCACGCGCGGGCACTGGCCTAGGTCTTGCTTTGTGTTGGTGAAGAGGTCGTGCGGGCAGGTGCCGACGAGGAAGGAGCGGCATACTTTGGGGTCGGTGAGGGAGAGTTGGCCAGCGCGGGACGTCTGGGGGTTGCCCATAAGCTGCTCTGCGGTCTATTAGCTGGTCTGCTGCGGGTGGTAGGATGGCGGATTAAGACTTACCGAGCAGCTTCCGCTGTTCTGCGGCCATGATGATGGCCCTTTTCAGGAGTCGAGACTGAAATTGTACGTGTACTCGAAAAGGTGTATTGGTATGATCCCGAGCTGCGTTTACGTGGAAGCGCGGTCGCGGGTTGTAATTGTCGTCGGTGAATCGTGGAGTGGATGGTGTTGAATTGGACAAGGCTGGAAACTTTTCGAGAGTCGCGACCAGGTAGCTTCGATGGATTTTGCGGGGAGCCAATAGCGGCCCCCTGAGATGCGCTAACAAGCCTCGCTGCAATTGGGGCTTGTCCCAGTTCCAGGTTGATGTCGCCGAGCATCTCCAAAAGACACCTCGAATTGCTTAACTTCCAAGTTCCAACTAGACTTCCCTGTCTTTTCCAGGCTTCGAGATCAGGTCCTCATGGACCGTCAACCGTCACGATGCGGTCTTTTCTTTCTTACATAATACCCCTTTTCCTTCTTTCGTGCCAGGTTTTTGCTTCCGATTACTACGAGCAGCTCAACCTCAAGCCCCTACCGCATTCCGCCCTACTTGCCAGTTTCGACTTTCGGTCGAATACGAGTCTGTCGCAATTCGAGGCCCAGAACTTCCGATACTTCCCGCGATCGCTGGGCCAGATACTACAGCATGTTGGAACGAGGGAATTGCATTTGAGGTTTAGCTTGGGAAGATGGGACGCTGCAAGTTGGGGAGCACGCCCCTGGGATGGCACCAAGGAGGGAGGAACTGGTGTCGAGCTATGGGCATGGCTGGAAGCTGATACGGACGAGGAGTAGGTGTCCATGCGACCGTGCTGCTATACAGATGTCTGATGATGGTTTTAGGGCCGATCACAAGTGGCTTACCTTGACGAATGCTCTGTCCGGTCTCTTCTGCGCGTCGCTCAACTTCATCGACGGAACCCGAACCACTCGGCCCGTCATGTCCTTCATATCCGAAGGAGATCACCCGAACTCGACACTGGCGAATATGCACTTGCTACACGGTATTCTTCCGCGAGAGGTGGTTTGCACCGAGAACTTGACCCCTTTTCTGAAGCTTCTACCCTGCAAGGGCAAGGCTGGTATTTCGAGTTTGCTGGATGGGCACAAGCTATTCGACGCATCGTGGCAAAGCATGGCAATCGATATTCGACCCGTCTGTCCAAGTGACCAGGAGTGTGTATTGGAGATCGAGCAGACAATTGATATGGTTCTGGACATTGAGAGGTCCAAACGGCCAAGGGGTAAGCAGACCGTGTGCGGCCAATATTGGGGTCACGCTGCTGACTTGACATAGACAACCCCATTCCTCGACCACCACCAGGTCATGACCTGAAGTGCAACTCGTCCAAGCCTTACCATGCTGGCGATACGTGCTTCCCTGCCGACTCTATAGAAGGGCAAGAGTGGGCTCTGGATCAAGTCTTCGGCAAGACGATGAAGGGTACTTGTCCGTTGACAGACCCGGATGTGCCGCCAGTCTGCATCCAGGCACCAGACAGTCGGGATGTTTACACATCAGCTGGTGTGACTGAGCTCAAGACCCCGAGTGGGCTCTCACGATGTTATAAAGTCCCGTCCGACTCGGAGTTCTCCTTGGTTCTCCCTCGCATGTCACATGAGGGCGAGAACGCCAAGACCAATGCCGATGAGATGGTGGAGCCAGAAACACCACTACTATACGCAGAACGCAGTTTCACCGGGCATGGCCAGGAGCGCGGTGGTGTCCAGTCGATCCTCACAAACCCAAGTCCCGATACCGAAGTCGAGTTTATCTACATGGAGACTTTGCCTTGGTTCATGCGCATCTATCTGCACACCCTGAAGACCCGTATTGAGGGCATATCTGGGTTCAACGAAGACGTCGTCAAAGAGATATACTACCGCCCAGCGCTTGACCGCGCTCGAGGTACGCAGCTCGAATTACGGATGCGCATCCCCCCAGCCAGCACCGTCTTCCTCACATACGACTTTGAGAAGTCCATCTTGCGATACACGGAATACCCACCTGACGCGAACAGAGGATTCGACGTCGCCGCATCAGTCATCACCATCCTTCCGTCCACTGCTCCCAACGCCCCACCCGCGCGGCGGAAGACGTCCAACCTACGAACCACGAGCTTGTTGCTCAGCTTGCCGACTCCGGATTTCAGCATGCCGTACAACGTGATCATCTTCACCAGCACAGCTGTTGCTGTTGCGTTTGGTGGACTGTACAACATCTTGGTGCGGAGATTCGTGGCTGCGGATGAAGGCCCCGCGGTCGCGGGCGGCTTGAAAGGCAAGATCATCGCGGGTGTCAGCAAGCTCGCTGCGATGTTCAAGGGTGCAAAGGGAAAGGTGGAATGATGTACCAAGCTGGACACACCATGATGACCAACAGAGTAATACATACAGTACAATATCGAATCGATTGACTGCCTGTTGCCTGATATAATTCGCCAGTTGCGACCTTGCTGTGAGATGATCTGTATGGACCGTACGAGTCGTCGACACTACCTAGTCACATCCGGTACGGATACAACTCATCACGGGCCTACTAATAGTATACACGTTGCACTTCACCGTTCAATATGCGAATACGATGAATTGCAGGCCCGTACTTTGGTATGAACTCCGGTGTGGCTCGTCGCAGGATCGTCTAGGTTATGTCTGCTTCCCTTCTGATACCACAACTGCCTACGAACATCAGGTGGATACATCTCCCAAGGATCCTTATACCACCCTTAGTTCTCAGCAGCCAACAGGCAATAGCAGACTGCTCTCGTTCAGATGCACCCCGAATGGCTCTGTGACCCCGTCCGAAGTTCTCAATCAATCCGTGTCCAACCACAGTGCAAACCCCGCATTTAATGCTGCAATTTCATCCCAACCATAATGGTTGAGCGATGTTGTGTGTCTAACAAACAAGACCATACGCTGCTGTATCCATAGGCCTGAGAATTTGTGTCGTAGTGATTTGTCGCAGCTGATACGCTGGAAGTTGCGGCAGGTTCGAGCCAGGGAAAACAAGGCTGCAGCAGTGCAACGATGCATGACCTGCAATATGATCCCCTCCGGGATGATATCGAGTTGGCTCTTCTTCGGTGGAAGTGGGGGCATCATTGCAGATTCCGTGGTTCGCGGGATGATACCCTCCTTGGCGGCCTCTTCGCCTGCCAACTGATGTATCGAGTGTTCTGTTTCTGGCCTGGTTGCCTGGGAGGCAGACGCTTCGGCAGCCATCATACCCACGGAAGCGCGAGTTGCTGACTCAATCACAGATCTTTTCAGATTGGTCGTGACTTCGTGTTGGCCTCTTGATCTGAACGATGAGTCTCGTTGCTACTATTCGTGGTCTTATCGGGTGCCATCTTCTTGTTTTCGTTTAGTGCCGGAGGTCGAGGGTTGAGATAGGAGAAGTTTTTCTCCCTTTTCGGGAAGGGAGGAACGAAGAGCCGCGCAGAAATGGCTGCGTACCTTGACATGGGACATCGACGAAGAACGGAGAAAGCTCGAAACCATTAACGATATTTCCAGGCTCAATCAAAAAGCGCTTTTTGGTGTATCTTGAAAGCTATCTGGGCGGTTCGTGCGGTATGTTCTGGATGACCTTGGGAAGAATTGTGTGTGGTTCGTGGAGGAAATCTTCGCGAGGTTCCCGTGCGAGGATTCGATTTCATACGGGGCTCTCGGGACTCATCGAAAAAAGACGAAAGTTTCGCTGGAGCCACGTTGGCATTGAGGTTGACGGAAAAGACGAACAAAGTTCAGCCATAAGCCACCAAAAAAGATAGTTATTTTGCTCAAGGTTACGGCACCGCCCGAATTAATTCTGCAATATCGATACCATCTCTTAATTTGCTGGGCTATGGACATGAAGACAGAGACTTCCATAGGAGATACAATATCGGGAGCCAAAGATGTTAACAAGGGTCTTTGTCACGGCACTAGATGACAACCCCACAACCCCAGGGGTATATATACCAGATCATGTCACTTAGCTAGCTTCATAGTTTCTTTCCTTCTTTACGTACATGAACAAAGTCATTTCTCAAGTCACCTGCAGTCGAACTTTGTCAGTTATTGATATGACTCAGAGCTCGCGAAAACCCCCATGACAACACCAGACAGCATGCCCATCTTCCGGTCATGATGGGCAGGTCCAAACCGTTCAGCCAAGGCTGCTACTTGAGTCACGTAATTCCAGGAATATCACGGAAGGACCCCGTCAATGTCCCCCTGTAACTTCCCCTGACAACGGAACCGTTCACTGGAGATGTCCGAGTCTTCAAACCCAACACACTTCCAGCACTTGAGCAGCCGATCTGGATCATACTTCTGCTTCACCTCGAGCAGCCTGGGGTAGTTGTCTCCCCACCACGACTCGCGCCAGTTCTGAGTGAAAATGTTGGCTTCGTTCGTGTAGCCCCCACCCGCTTCTCCGGTCAGGTCTTCGACGAGCAGTGTCACGTTGGTGAATGCGGTCATGTTCAGGAGGCGCTCCGCGTACGAGGCATTCCACGACACTGACATACCAGTCGACAGGAACCAAAGGGCGTCATACCATGCCGAGTTGACCGAGGTTTGGCCTCTGGCGACGTCTCTGGCTTCGTGGGATGAGGCGTTGTCCGCGACAAAGGGGGTACCGACTGGACAGTAGAACTTGCGAGGGTCGAATCCCAAGTCCTGGATGGAACTGATGAATTCCACGATGCTTTGGATGCCCTCTGCGTTTTCGAAGAGCTTTCGTGGTGCTAGTCTTGGCGACACCATGCGGACAGTTCCCGATGTGTGAGTGGCCCCCGGCAGGACGTACTTGTTCCAAACGCTGAGGAAGTCAGGGAGGACCTCGACGACGCTGGTTCCTCCCACGGCCAATGCGAAACTCGTAGCATTGCTCATCGAAACCTCAGCCTCCGTCAAGTTGGAAACAAGCGGATTCATGTGAGTCAAGTAGAGTCCGGCAGCGTGTCCACCCCATCCTTGCGTGCCCCAGCTGAGCGACTCCCGTGCCATCAGTGCTATCCACTCAATTGCAGTTTCTGTCGTGATATTTGACGGCAACTGGATGTTGGCCACTGCTACTGGGGCAGACTTCTCGACCCGGTGCGTCGCCTCTAGAACCACCCCAAACGTTCCACCGCCCCCGCCGCGTAGAGCCCAGAATAAGTCAGGATGCTGGTATGGATTGACAACTCGCAGCACACCATCTGGGGTGACGATTTTGAACTGAGCCACGCGGTCCACCCCGAGTCCAAACGCCGGCGACAAAACACTGTGGCCACCCCCGAGGACCCATCCTCCCGACGCAGCTATAGTTGGTGAATAGCCTCCGACGAAAGTGCTGTTGTGTTCAGACGCAAATTCGATCACCTCCCCAGTGCTGACACCAGTGGCAACAGTCACGGCGCGCCCTGCAGTAATGTTTCCTGCACAGCCCTCCAAAGCGAAGTCTGCGTGGAACTCCATGCCCCGCAGTTTGTGTACCCATAGAGCGAGAGACCCCTTCTGGCTATTCCGAGTCAAGAAGTCATGCCCGCTGTTCTTGATGACCAGTGGTACGGCATGCGTCTTTGCGAAGGCGAACGCGGAGATGATGTCGGAGACTTCTTCCACTTCGATGCGACGTGATGGCACGCTGCCTTGGTTGCAAGAGGAGCCTGGCGAAGGTTGACCTGCTGGGGATACGCTATTGTCCAAGATGCACTGGTCGTCTGGGTCTGATAGGCACATCTCGTCTTGCAAGTTAAGGTACCCGCTGGGCGATTCTGCGCGAAATTCGTTGTCGGTATAATTGGCTCGGATGAGGGCGCAGGAGTCGGCATCAACCACCACGGGTTTGCCATTATACGAGGAGTAACACGGGAGTGCCAGCGGCGTGGTGACGTGAAGACGGCCATTGACCGAGCCATTGAGAGCCGTCCAGTCCTGATCGGTTTGGCATATTCCGCCGACAACCCACGAGATGCACACTATCAATGATACGGGGAACATTTTGAGTTCCATGGTCAGATTTTGGAGATATAGAGCTACTAATCTTCACCTGCAATGTCGTGTTGTCCTGCTCTTATACCCCAGGCTTATTGACGGTGTGTGCCAGAGGTGTCTTATTAAGCCACTGTCGCTCGCGTTCTGGACCAAACTTGCCTATACCGCTAGTCACAATAATGCAGTAGGATATGTCTTACATTGTCGATGCATCCTCAAGGGCCTAGTGGTGCAGTGCTTACACACATGCCTGTATTCCCCAACGGATGCTACATCACTGGCCTATCAGGGGATTGTTGCAAGGTGGTGCTAGCAAATGTGGCTGCATACTCCAAGCGATGCAGAAGTCCGGCTGCATGACCTCGGGTCTCATGTTTAAGTCCCATAGGCTCCTTGGTATTACTCATGGCTGAGGCGAAGTTACCAGGGGCTTTGTCCGTAGGAGCTTGATTGGCCCTGCAAGTCTGAAGACTGGGCAGCAGTAATCGTTCATAACACGCTTGTAAGACGAACAAGGTAGCGGATAATCATGAGTAATCATAAGCGCTGAGCACGTAATCTAATGGACCCTTTGCAACTTGCCCAGTTACCCTGCCAACATGATAATTCGTCCAGCAAGGATGGCGGTGGCAACATTCAAGCGTGGGTTGCTCCCGCATATTTGCCTCTTATGGGGGCCGCGGACATCAATGCCTCCCTGGGTGACAAAATCGACCATGTCGGATTGGTGAATTTCGGCATCGCATTTCTGATGGTATGGGTCGAAAGTTGCTCTTTGTGTGCGCGATGGAATAGCTTTGATACATCAGCGACACCAAGTACCGTTTCGGTCAACTCTTCTTTGTTTATCAGTGCTCAACCAAAGGGCCAGAAACAAACAAGCAGCTCGGTGATGACCGTATTGAATAATATCACAAGACTCGATGCACTTTTTTCGCGTCTAGGGCTCCACACGAAATTTTCATTCCGCTGTTCATCCTCGACTTCATGGCTTCCAACACAGCAACGTGTGGGCCGCTACCCAAAACGTGGCGAGAAAAACTGCAACTGTCCAGATGGTTGTTTGGGGAGTACCGCCGAAGAGGCAACGACCCGAGGGGAGGAGACCAAGAAAACAGAACGATGCGTCCAAAGTACTCGACGCTCCCTGTCCCCGATCCAGATAATCCTACCTTCTTTGACCACGACGAGTGGGAAAAGGACCCGTATAGGAAGGAATGGAGCGGTTACCCACTCGATAAACCGATGCCACCCACCGCTGATCCCCCAACAACGAATGCTCAGATTCGGTATACGGAATTGACCACTTGGTTCGGCGGCGCCCCTCGCTAATCTCTGCAGGGGCCTCTAGTATGGGGTGGTGAGGGCGTGGCGGTTCATTGCAAGTACCATGGAGACTTCGGTGAAGATGTTCGTGGTCGTGACATAGTCGGTGAGTTGTAGCTGCGCGACGCGATCCATGTCTTTACTGCTTCCTTTTGCGAAAAAGAAAACGAGGTATCGCTGATCTCGGCAAAGTCAAGGTAGCAGTTGACAGTTGGCAAAGCGACGGTATTATCCACGAGCGGCTATGATGAGGGTCAGTTCCACAGAGTCCAGCATGGCATGAATGCACTAACATCAGTACTGCGCACCAGAAAGTCAAGAAATCGGCACGCTGTGTGCAGTTGATTGATGCAGAAGAGGTTGGCAAACCTCCAGAGCCTGAAATTTATATGCGGATACCAGCGGACGATTCCGACGTAGACTGGGCATCAAGTGGGAGCGACAGCGAAAGTCAGGCTTCATTACGTAATCGAGGATCCAGGAGGCGAAAGACATATGGGCAACGACACTGGGAACGCAAAGCTGCAGAGAGGGAAGAACGAGAGAGAGAAGTTGAGAGAGGGTTGAGGAAACAGGCGAAAGAGCCAGCGCGAAGGGACTACCTGATCATGGAGTACCTTGAAAACGGCGACTTGGTAAGCTTGATATATCAGCTTCAAGAAGACAAATCCACGGACGGGCGAATTCCAAACCGAGTTCTTTGGGCGTTCTGGCTCTGCTGTACCATGCCCCACCCCCTAACGGGACACACCCCCCACCGGGACAGCCAAACCCCACCATCACCACCAAAATACCCCCTTACTCACTTACACGCAATTGAGGCTGAAGATGCCCAAAGAAATCAACAAAATTATCATTCTGTGGTGTTGAGGCTCCTCAATCCACGTATCTAGCTGGCGCCCTAATTGACCGACCGCTTCTCGTCACCTGGGGCTCTGCAACAGGGGCTTCTTTACCCTCCTCAGCCTCCTCAACCTCTTCCTCCTCCTTACCCTTATCTTTAACAATCTCTGGCTCTGCTTCTGACTCTGAAGACTCTATAACCACGGCCCTTAACGGGTCACCCCCCTGGGCCAATACCTCGGTCATATTCATGAACTTCTGGTTCGGATTTGGGACCTTCTTCCTCTTCTTGGGCCGTAGCCGCTCTAGTTCAGCCTCCAGGGCCTTGATCTTATGATCTTTTAGGGCCAGCTCCGTCTCCTGGTTCTCGAAGGCGTGGGAGATCTTCCTGAATTTCAGCCGAGTGGCTGGGGAGCGGTTCTTTACGAAATCTATGATCTGTTGGCTTGTGGTAGGGGTCTGCTGGTCTTCTGGCTCCGAGTCTTCAACTTCCTCTGGCTCCGGGGTCTTTCTTTTATCCTCCTGGATTTCCGGGTGCTTTAAACACTTCCTGCGGCTAACTGGGTAGCACCCCGTTACTCGGAAGCCCGAGAGGATATTCGGCTTAGAAAAAGCCTTGTCCCTAGCCTGAGAATAACAGCGGATGAAGTTGATCTTATCCACGGGCGAGGCATCTATGAGAGAATTTAACTGCGAAAGAAATCTCTGGTAGTAAGCTTTGAGCGCGTTATATGGTCCGTTATCTAGTGGTTGCATGCCGTGGCTGGTATGGGCTGGGAAAAAATAAAACAAGATATTAGCAAAATAACACCGCAACATGAACTCGTCCTGTTAGTTATACAGTTAATTAACTGATTAAACAACCCCTGAAAAATAAATAACGTACGAAAGTATGGCTACCATGGCCATCTAGTATCAAAAGGATCGGCTCTGCCTGGTCTTCCCCTCGTACAGCATCCATCTGGGGTAGGAAAATGTGGTCCAACCATAGGCACGCAATCTCGTTACTGGTCCAGCCGTTATCTGACATTATGTAGTACCAACCCGCGATTTTGTGTAATTCTTTGATGAACCATTAAGCCTGGAGATCTTTTCTTTTGAAAATTATGCCTGATTTGAGAACTTTTCCCGTGGCTGAGATGGCTTCGATAAAGGAGGTCCAGCCACACCCCTGGGGACTCTTTAGGAAGGCTTTCATAGTCTCAGAACTTCCTAAGACTAGGGAATCGATGCCTATAGGGGTTAGCTAGTTAACTGACAGGATAGGGGTGAATAGGGGGTTAAAAGACTAACCAAAACCCGACATGATGCCGCCCTTATCGACATTGTACGTATTTTCTGGCTTCACCCATTGATAATCCCCCAATATGTCAAAGAACCAGTTGACAGACTTAGGGATGAACCCCTTAAACCGAGCGGATTCCATCCGCTTACCGATTTTAGTCTGGATAATAGGGTTACGGCGTTTATAGCCCTCCATATAATTCGGGCCCAGTGGTGCGAAATCCCCCCCCCTTTTTCAGCAGTTGTATAATAATCTCCCGTACGGCTGTGTGAGAAGGGGCAAGCCCTAGGGACTCCTGGCGCAATATCCATTGAGCCACCTTACTCTCTTGTTGAGGGGAGAGTCTCTGCTTGCTAACCTGGGCCTCGGCTCAGGTGACTCTGCCGTTGATGCGTGCTGACAGCGTTTGTTTAGGGATGCCGTGTTTTTGGGCGGCTTTTCTCACAGACATGCCGTTATCTGTCACATCTAGCCAGGCATCCGCCACATTATCTTCAGTGTACATGGGCGGAGGCATCGTGGCTGGCTTCACGATGCTGTGGCGGCATAAGGGTCAGGGGCTCAGAGAGAGAATTCTACAGCAAATTTGCATTTAGGGGCGGGGCACAGAGGCTCCTAATCACTGATGCCGATGGCTGAAACTTCACTAATCTATATCCGGCTAAACACCAAAAAAAGGGCTATCTAACCATCTAAAGAGCGTATAGATAGCCTCAAAGGGGGCTGTAATCCGTGTAAGTGAGGTAGGGGACTTTTGGTGGTGGTTGTGGGGTTTGGCTGTCCCGGTGGGGGGTGTGTCCCGTTAGGGGGTGGGGGATGGTAAGTCCGAGAACCACACTAGTAGCCATTGTTCTGACTGACACCGAGCAAGTGGTTAGAGCCTGTATCGCAATGGAGTATCCTCCAAGAAAGCATCACCGTCTACGGAGGGAACCGACTATCCCCGATGGAGCTGTAGCGTGTGAATCGGCGAGGCGCAAAGGGATGATGCGAGAGCTCAAAGGGCTAGGGACACCGATCTATAAACATGCAGAGCACGAGAGGGACTTGGCAAATTACGAGCTACTGGAAGGTGACCTACTTGAAAAGTACCCATCGAGAGCCAATCAAGACAAGCGAAAACAAAATATGGTTCACTTCGACATAGATCCTCCAAATATCTTCATTGGGGGTCTCGAGCTGGACCGTGCTGGAAGAGGACTGTGGCGAAATACCCGTAGTGAAGCGAAAGCAAAGGCAAATGGCGCTTCGACGGAGCCCGACAAGTCTACAGAGAAGGCCACCGACAAGGCCACAGAGAAGGCCACCGACAAGGCCACCGACAAGGCACCTGAGAAGACCACAAAGGGAGCCGTAAAGGATACCGCAGAAAAAGACGGGGCCAGTTCAAAAGATAAAGGAGGTAAAACAAACCCCTTACGTGTGATACACGGTCAGCAGAACCGAAACCCGACCGAAGAGATGGGAGCATTCGCTTGTTCCTCGACTCAAGGTAAGTTGAAGCACCGTGTTGGACTAAGCATGAAGCCTGACAATTCGGCCGATAGCTTGGGGATTATGGCACTGCAGAATGCATCAGACAGGCAAAGCGCAAGTAAGTATTTGCCCTCTGCTTTGAGATACGATGGCCGTGGCTAACCTGCTCGACAGCGTCTATTACCTCAATCGGCGGTGGAAAGCGAAGCATGGCTTCCACGCCCCTGTGAGTTCAGTCAATGCAAAGTCCTGATTCTGTAGTCAGTGCTATACTGACACATCAGAAGGAGCAATTCGGTCCAGAGTGGGACAAAATCCCTGATAGGCCCCACGGTCCTGAGTTGGTTGAGTCTAATATAGCCGCTAACTATAGATCTCACACGAACGTATGGGGTATTGCATGGGTATGTTTTATTTTATTATCAAGCTCTTCGACGCCGAGGAAAGAGCAAAACCCAACTGCCCTAAGATACCACTAAAACCAGAGTCCCCATGCTGCACGCAAGAGCACAAGGTCCAGTCTGACAGAATATTACTCCACAACATTGAAATCATCTCCATCCCCATCCACCAAATCTCTAACCATGGCGTCTTTTCATGAATAAAGACCAGAACGCTGATAGAAACAGACAATGTGGATTTTGATAACCAAATGTAAGTCTGCGCTCTTTCTTATCCAAGGAACCCATAACTGACAGCCCAAAAGACTATCCTCCGACACCACCTCAACCACAACCGCCTTACGACCTGCCCGTTGCCGACCCACGGTTAACAGACGAAGCAATCGAATTATCCGGGCGCAGTCACGTCATTTCGTACTGCCCATTCTTCCTGGACCCAGCTAACACAGACTACGACTACGTTGACATCAGATTGCGCCAGACGATTTCTCAGTGCATGAGCCACGATCCCGGTTGGCGGCCATCGTTAAAGCACCTTGAATATCAAGCCACTCAAATCGTTAGAAATGCGGCGTTCTTGGGCGAGACCGATGAGTACGTGAGGCGGTGGGTACACTACTGGCTCTACGAGGCGCCATCCACCTCTGGCCCCGGCGGACCGACAGGCACGAGCGGTAAAGCAAAAGGTTTCGGTGGCGGAGGCGGCGGCGCGCCTGTGAACAAGCTGGAAGAGAACCTGGCTTCGAAGAAGGACCCTGACCACCCTATCCGAATCCAGCTGCAGATTCAGTACAATGCTAGCTTTCCATATGGCCATGATCGCATCCCCAATGCGGCGGTCAATCTCGACTGCGGGTTCCGGGCACTGGTCGACAGCATCCAAGCCCAGATCGGACCGAACCCCCTGATCGGCGGCGTCCCGACCGCCATTGTGCTCCCAAGAAACGGTGATCTTCGGACTATTTACAACAACCCGAAGGCAGCGGGTGAATTCGACGTACTCGTCCTGTTGAACGAGGCCAACGAAGACGAAGAAAGCAACTACTTCCTCTCTGAGCTGTCGCTGGTCCTGGTCCGCTGGGGCGAGTCCGTCGGGCTGAGTCTCCAGCTTTGCTATATCCTGGAAGGCCGCGGGAGGCCTATGCGCGAGCCGGTGGAGGATCAGAATCCAAGGAACCTCTGGATATATAACGATAATGCGATGGATCTCGCGGGAGCCAGTTACAACCATTACGAGGGCATTCGGGCCAGGCCGCGGCCCGCTTCACCGGCCGGCGGCGCTGGTACCGGCGTTAAAGAGGGGGCCGACCCGGACGACCTCCCAGACTATGAAAGCGACTGATCATAAACTGGAGGCCGAGATGAATGGTTCTGCAGTCCAGCTAGGGGTAGGGCATGCGCACGGCCGGAAGCGGCCCCTATATAAGCCAGCCAAGCTGGGACGGGGAGAACTTCCCTTCTTCATCTCGCGATGGTTGTACGGGGTCAAGGCGTCACGCACGGTACGCAACGGTCACGATATCACCCGCCCGCCGTCCCTCGCGATGTAACGAAGGGATATCAACTGGGTGCAGGTGGTGATTTTAGATTTTATTTTCCTAGGACGTGGGCAGCTTTAGTGAGTCTGGCTGCAGGCTCGACGCCTGGCCAGGCCCCTCGGAGATATGTCACCACACAGCCAATGCTGTGAATGTAGATTAGCGTTTTTGGGGGTGCCCGGTGCTATTAGACAGACATTGTACTTCAATTTGAAATAGTCGACAGGATTCGATAAACCTGGCTTTTGTAGCACTCCAGCTGCCGTATTGTCACGCGGATGTAACCTTGTGCCACCAATACCGGCGTCGGCAGGTTGGGACAAGTCCGCCAAGAAGGGGACCTGCCGCCTTCGCCTCGACAACTTCCCCATGCGGAAGGCCTGGAGATGGCAGGCAGGTGCGCGGGAAGACAAACGATGGTCGTAATACGTCAGTCTCTGGATCGGACTTGAGGCTAGAAATATCTCTCCTTGGCGTGCCTTGACTCAAGATCGACTTCATAAAAGCTTGAATGTCCCGATCTACTTTGTCATCGTGTGCCAGCGCCGAGATTGACTTCTACAACCCCAGCACCCAGCAGCGACAATGAAGTGGACCGACGCAAGCAGCTTTCTCTGCCTGGCTCACCTGGCTGGCGCATGTCTCCTCCCCGAGGAGCGCGCCGGAGGTTCCATCCGTCGGCACAATACACGCCAGATCAGAAACTCGGGTAAAGCAATCGGGACAGGTGACCGCTTCAATGGCGGCGCGCTCTTCCCTATTGGGCTGGGTAGTGGTAATGAAACGGATATGAGCACCATTCTCAATGTCAAAGAGGTCAACTCGGCTCTCCAGGGTCTCGCGAAAGAGTACGGCTTCGAGACCTTCACGACCCCTTATACCACCTACGAGGGTGCGACCATGTCGGGTGGCACGGTCGGAGGCCAAGGGACCTGCGATGAGACGTACCGCGTGTTTCTGAACGGCGCTATCCACGCCCGCGAGCGCGGATCGTCGGACAATGTGCTGTACTTCATCGCGGATCTCCTGTACGCCGAGAAGCACGGAACGGGTCTGACGTACGGCGACAAGACGTACACCAATGCCGACGTGGTCACCGCGCTGAGCACGGGCATCGTCTTTCTGCCGCTGAGCAATCCCGATGGCGTCGCCTACGACCAGTCCACCAACAGCTGCTGGCGCAAGAACCGCAACCCCGCGGCCGCGACGAACGGGGACGACGACACGGTCGGCGTGGACCTGAACCGCAACTTCGACTTCGTGTGGGACCTTTCCAAGTGGGCGACCAGTGTCGCGGATGAAGTCGCGTCCGAAGACCCCTCGTCGGAGGTCTACCACGGAGAGGCGGCCTTCTCGGAGCCCGAGACGCAGAGTATCAAGTGGGTGATGGACACGTACAGCAAGGTACGATGGTTCCTAGACCTGCACTCCTACGCTGGTGACATCCTGTACTCCTGGGGCAGCGACACCGACCAGAGCACCAACACCGCCAAGAACTTCCTGAACTCGGCCTACGACAGCGTCCGTGGGAAGACCTCGGACTCGACGACGACGGGCTACGGCGAGTACATCTCCAGCGCAGACCTGGACAACGTTAGCAGCGTCGGCAAGAGGATGGGCACTGCGATGGATGCGGCAACCGGCCGTAGCTACACGGTGATGCAGTCGGCTTACCTGTATCCCACGTCCGGGGCCAGTGATGACTACGCCTTCTCGCGCCACTTCGCAGACCCGGATCTGAACCTGGCCTACGGCTATACCGTCGAGTTTGGATTTGGCAATAATAAGGCATCTTGCCCATTCTAGTAAGTCCCTGGGTTCCCTTACGAGCTCTCCTTGCTTCCAAGAGGTGCCTCCTAGTTCACGCCCTGGGTGAGTTGTCTGTTGAGAGTGGTTACTGATTCCTGTTCTCTACAGCCCTACGGACGCTCAATATATCCAGAATCTGCAGGAGACAAATGCCGGATTCATGGAGTTTCTTCTCGGCGCTGCTGAGGTTGGTCTTGGCGACTCCCAGGCCTGTTGAGAGAAGGACGGGCTTGGTTCCACGGGCGGCTGAGATCATAAGTTGCAAGAAACCAGTCTGGGCGCTTATTTCGGGGGCAGTTAGTAGAAGACCATATCGCTGCTTGTTACTCCGTGCGCGTAGCAAAAGTCAAAACTTACTTAATTAAGTTGGGCCCTACGTCTATGTGATGATGGCCTGTTTCCAGAGAAACGACCTGCCAGATACGTTTGTTCCATACTATCACGTGCATATGCCTGAGATGGGCGGCGCTCGGCGAGAGGGAATCTCGGAGGAGACGTTGCAGGAGGTGCGGTGCCCTTGTGACAGATCATGGCGAGGGATTACTGCTACCCCGGGAAGAAGTTATGCTCGTACAGTTGCATAGCCTACATGCTTTAAAACATTATTTCTATAACAGAAACTGAGACTTGGCTGTTTGCTGCCTAGTAAGCCGGCAGTTCCCGGTCACCCGACTTGCCCGGCTGGGGGCCGTCACCTGAGCTGCACTCGTATTCACTGCGTACTGCATCCTGAATCCCATTTACGATTGCAAGTGAATCTAGCCGTGGGTGCAATTCTATCTTAGCAAAAACTTGGTTGTTTACACCTCTTATACCTTGTACATGGTCAGGACTTGGGGTTTTGTCTACGCCGCGCTTAACAGAGCAAACGGGCACCGCAGCCACAAACACGTTGGCAGGTGCGTCAATTACGACGCCGTCATCTGTCTTATGCTCTTTCAAGTTCCACGATACAGTATTGACAACAAGCCTTGAAGGGGTGATTCGAATACCTCGATGGAACCGCCGCCATACGATGATCCGGACAGGGATGACTCCAACGAAGTGCTCGAGCCGGTGATCCTCCTTCTCGCCGGGCAGTCCATCCACTCTGAATCGGCAGACTCGGCCCCACTCTATGAAGTCTCCCGCGGCGTCAGCTCTCTCTCTCATACAGACCAAACCGTGACATTCTCCCGCCTGGAGCACAATGTGCGGACAGATAGCAGCGGAACCCCCATTGTGAAGCGCCGCGACAGGCACCTTTTTGACCTCAAGCATCCGCCCGCTACCATCTCCACCGACCGGTATGATTTCTTCGTGGAGTCGGTGTCCAAAAGGACCTTGGGTAATATCGGTTTGAAGAAGAGTTCGATACCAACCAAGCGGGCCTTCAAGGTTCTGCGCATGTGCCGTTCAGAGAAAGACGACCATGTCCTGTTTGAGATCAAGCAGAAGAAGGACCAGTACGAATGGATCGATTTCAACGAGAGGGCCATCGCGTTCGAGGACAAGGCAGACAATCAGTACAGGCTGGTGGTCACGGCATCCCTGCACCGGGAGACGATGGACGCGCTTGTGGCTGCTTGGTGCCTGCGTCTGTGGCATGACTCGGCATTGGACAAGGAGAAATCGATGGGATGGACTGACTGTAAGTCCAAGCCCTTCTGCCACTGACTACAAGACTTGCTGAGTTCACTCCAGTCAAGAGGGTGTTCGGCGTCAGCCGCAACGAGTTTGCAGGCAAGAGCGCGTTCTACCCCAATGGGAAGAAGTGAGTTGACGCTTATATCGGGTGGCAATTGCCGGTTGAGGCGCCAATGGACGGAAAGATGATGTGCGTACCTTACGTTTATTCGTTGGCAGACCGCGAGCAGGAAACAATGGGGAATTGAGCATGGAACCTCGATCCTCTCTTTCAAACGGCACAGAAGGAAAAGCCCGCTGAGATACCCAAGAAGGCTCTGGGTAGTCCCTAGTAACATAACACCCCATGAAAGAGGCTTTGACGGACTTTGATACTCTCCTGCGTCTGAGCTATCGGGGGCTGTTTCAAATGACATTTTGACAAGCCTGAAGTATTTCGGCCGTGGGCAGCACGCCCAATGACATAGAGGGGTTCCCAACAAACAGCCGATGAAACTTGCCGTCGCGGAATTCCAGGTCTTACTCATATTCGAAGACAGCTAAATGGCCAGACATCACCGCTAGGCTTGTGCGACGCGTCTTTGGCTCTGAAGCAGATGTTGCAATCCAATATGTTGCTGGCGTGGACATGATAAGGTTGGGCAAGGAATGGTCGTGGCCCCTCGGCGCTTGTTTGGAAATGGGAAAGTGACGGACGGCCCGGGGGGCACTTGGTCTGGGGAGTCCTCGTCCCGGACTACAGGCGAGAAGAGGTGAAGAATGCGTTCATCACTAGCTGGGATGCGTATTCGACTCATGCTTGGGGTGAGCTCTTCGGCATTCTCTCACTACTTACTGTCACTCCCGAATCTAGATTAACGATGTGTTTCTGCTAGGAAACGACAGATACCACCCTATCTCCCAGTCCGGGTCCCAGATGAGCCCTAACGGTCTGGGTTGGGTCATCGTGGACGCGCTAGACACGGTGATGAACCTGACAACTCGACTGGATGAGCCTCGAATATGGCTTCATCGAAGCCTCAATTACTATCAGGACCAAGACGTAAACACCTTCGAGGCGACGATCCGTATGCTTGGGGGTCTCCTGTCAGCACACTACTTGACGACGAAACTACCCCACATTGCCTCTCGCAGAGACGCCGTGTACCTGACGAAGGCCGTAGAGCTGGCAGAACACTTGCTACCGGCCTACGAGTCCCGCTCTGGTATACCGTACGCGAGTGTGCATCTTGGCAAGAAGAAAGGTCTGCCATCGCATGCAGATGGCGGAGCCTCGTCGATGGCAGAGGCTGCCACTCTCCAACTTGAGATGAAGTACTTGTCGTACCTGACGGGTAATGCAACATACTGGCGGAAGGCAGAGAAGGTGATGAAGGTCCTGGATGATAATGCGGCGAAAGTTGGGTTGCTCCCCATATTCGTCCATCCGCAGACGGGCAACTTCACGACATCTGAGATACGACTTGGCAGCAGGGGCGATTCATACTATGGTGCCTAGCCCTACCCTCGTCCAGCTAGGCCACTTGCTGACTTGAACTAGAGTATCTGATCAAGCAGTATGTCCAGACTGGTGGCCAAGAGCCAATATACCTCGAGATGTGGGAAGAGTCCCTAGCCGGAATCGAAAAGCACCTGATCACCACGACCAAGGAGTCAGGACTCAAGTTCGTCGCTGAACTCCCACAAGGAATAGGGGGCCCTCTATCCCCAAAGATGGACCACCTTGTCTGCTTTCTACCAGGCTCAATCGCTCTGGGCGCCACAGGAGGCCACACCCTAGCAGAGGCGCGACGAAAGCCGGACTGGAATGCCGACAAGGAACAGCAGGTAAAGCTAGCAAGAGACCTGATGAAGACGTGCTGGGGCATGTACGCCGTCACGGAAACAGGTCTCGCCCCCGAAATCGCCTGGTTCCACGCGCACGACCGAGACCTTCAGCCCGCCCCGGGCGACCGCCCGGGGACTCCCACCATCGACTCGCTGTCATCGTGGAAGAGTGACTTCATCGTCAAGCCCGCGGACGCGCATAACCTTCAGCGGCCAGAGACGGTCGAGAGCCTGTTCATGATGTGGCGCATCACCGAGGACCCGCTGTACCGCGAATGGGGATGGCAGATCTTTCAGGCGTTTGAGCAGCACACGAAGGTCGGTGACGGTCGGGGGTATACGTCGTTGAACGATTTCAATGCGGTTCCTCCGCTGACGAGGGATAATATGGAGAGTTTTTGGTTGGTAAGTCATATCGAGTTGTTGGCTCTTACCTTTCGCACCTCCTTGTTGTGATAGTCTGCTAATTCATTTCTGCACAGGCGGAAACGCTCAAATACCTGTACCTGCTTTTCAGCCCCAGCGAATTTGTCCCTCTCCACGAGGTGGTGTTCAATACTGAGGCCCATGTCTTCCCTGTGTTTCGTCAAGACAAGTGGAAGGCCGGATGGAGCCGGAATAGGGGGGTGTAATGAAGCGGCGAGCGTCGAAACGGATTACTGGTAGTCTACTGCAGCTGGGGGCAGCAAAATGTTATGACAAAGAATCAGGAAGATAAGTACATATATTCAATGTACTGATACGTTGGCCGAGAGTGGTCGCGATGCCGTTTCCGCGTTTTGTAAATTTACACCCTGGCGTGGCTCGACCCTTGAGTCGCGCTCAAGGTGCGTGAGGCAAAGGCTTCCGGCGATGTAGTAAACCTTCTTTTTCGGCTTCACGGCGTGCTTTCAAAGAGTAAGTAGATGGTTCATATGGTTGATATTCGTGTATTCAGTACTAATCGTGATTATTGTGCTGTTGTGAAGTCTCTGTTGTGGGCCAGGTGACCCAGAAATGCCTGGTTGAGTGCACTGCCACCTCCCTGGCGCCACGGTGGCTTGCGTGCCATTTAACACGTGCAGGAGCCACTGGCGGATTGAACAGAGTAGATCTGGAAGTGGGCGGCATTGTGGTCGTGAGCAACTCCATCAGACTCAAGCTCTAGGTCTAATAACGCTGGCACTGCGCAGCAATGTGAAATATTCGGTTCTGCGTTGCTGCGCCGCATGGATTGCCTCTCATCTGCATAAGATATTCATGTGAGGACGGCTAGCGGCGGTGCCGAGGTTCTACCTTGCCCAGCCTTGCCAAAAGGTTGACGCGCTATCGTACGGTACTTTTCACAGTCCCTCCGCAAGCATCGATGACTGCGACCAGGTACCACGGCAGCGCGATTGGAAGGTGTCCATCTTCGGTCTATAGACTTTACCGCTCAACGGCTTTTGGGACGCTGTAGGACCGATCATTGACAGTAAGAGCAAACCTTCTCAGCAATCACGAAGTCCACGCCACGTGCCTGTATCCTTCCAGCCGGATAAAAGAGCCAAGCCACACCCTCGTACAAGGATGTCCGATGATCCAAGCCGCGATGATGATGAAGGGAGAGACACGTCCAGACGCGACGGACTCCATCCTGCTCAGCCTGGTGACAGTCTGGGCCCAGATGGAAGATACAAGACGCTGCACAAGCTCAGCGGCACTAAAGCCGCAACAACATGGCTGTCTCGAGACACGAGAGGGAACTCATACGTGTCGGTGAAGGTCTTGGCAGTAGAAGCATCGCGCAATCCAGGCTTTGACTCGAAACTCACCAACTTGGAACCCTGGAGCGACCACAAAGGCGTCGCTCATGTCGCCAATCTCATTGATCAATTCTGGCTCGAGGGGCCGAATGGGTCGCATCTATGCAAGGTCCTTCCTCTTCTTGGTCCGGCAATATCAGATGACGTTTGGGTGCCGGTGACCTTCACTCCGGAGGTGCTAAGAAAGATGTGCCTTCAAGTCATCATGGGGTTTGATCTCGTACACTGTCTTGATATCTGTCACGGCAGTGAGCACATCAACCTTATGACCCTAGTCTCAAAGCCCAGCTGACATACTTGCAGACTTTTGTCCCGCGAATATTCACCTCAAGCTGCAGGGGGTCGACGATCTCTCGGAAGAACAGTTGGCGGCAGTACTGGGCCAGTCAGCCGCACAGCCTTCACACCAGGCAGATTCAGAAACACAGGGATTGACTATCGTACAGCCAGTAGATTGGTCTCGAGTAGACCCAAAGTATTTCTCAACAGATATTCTCATAGCTGGCTTCGAGTCGTCGTATGACCCTCGGAACCCACCAGAGGCCCTAGGGACGCCGACAAGTTACCGTTCACCGGAGGTCTTGATTGAAGGAGCCCGCCGCGCTGATTATAAAGCGGACAACTGGGCCCTCGGGTGCACGCTGTTCGAGCTCCGTACAGGAACAGAGCTTTTTGGCAGTGGACCTGATACTGAAGTCAACGGCGTCTTGCTGGCCATGATCAAGACCTTGGGCACGATACCCGAGCCACTCTGGTCGTCTTGGGCGGATCGGCGGCTGTACTATTATGATGATGGGACGCCACAATTCATGGACGACGACTTTGCAGCTTCTAGTCCGCTCGAGGACCTGCTCACAGAGAGTTCGACAACGGCTGCGTCACGCAACGGGCCAATTGATTCGGGGGAAGCGAAACTCCTAGCGGATCTGTTAGGACAACTACTGCGATATCAAGCAGACGATCGTGTCCGGGCAGACAAGGCACAGCATCACGACTGGTTCAAGCTCTGACTTGATTTAGGTTCACCCATGAGGGCACATACTCTCGTATCCTAAGCTCTCTACACTCTCTTTACCTCCGAGACAATCTTCCTAGCGTCGTGCAAGCCCTGCGCCATACTTGCCAGCTTGGCGACATCGGCATCGTACCCGATCATCGCATAAGTCTCGGCAGTCTTCCGAATGGCATCTGGTGACATTCCGAAGCCGGCCCGCGGCTTGTTGTGCTTCTTCATAGTCGCTTCGAACGTGGCAACGGCGTCTTTCCATTCCTTCTCGTCGCCGCCCATCCCGTAGTTGCCCGGCAGGTTCATGCTGATGCGGGCGTCGAGAGTGCCCAGCCAGACGGCGTCGACGCCGGGGCACTCGGTCAACATGGCGTCGAGCTAGATCGTGGGAATAGTCAGCCAACCTTGTACGCACTACCAAGACCATAGTCCTTACGTTATTGATGCCCTCCAGCGACTCGATCTGTATCATCACGGCAGCCTGCTGGTTCAGTGACTCGTGGATGTTGGAGCCAGCGGATGGCGTATCCGTCAGCCCCGGTATGAGACGGAACGGCGGCGCCGAGCGCGAGCCGTTCTGCTTGGTGCCGAACTTCGAGGCAGACAGGACGTGCTTGCATTGCTCGACGGTGTCGACCTGGGGAATGACAATGCTTGCGCCGGCATCGAGCGCGTATCCGATGGCGGCGTGGTCGTGGCCAGGCACGCTATTCCGTGTGTTAGTGGTCCGCGTTTGGTCATCGATATGACTGCAACGTGGCTTACCGAACAAAGGGGATTGTTCGCCCTTGGCTCATGAACACTTGAAGCAGCATTAGCGACTATCTTATACGAGAGCATACAACTCAGACGCTTCCGCCTGGTTTATGCGGCTCCTTGAATTATACGTACTGGTATCATGAACCATCTAGGCAAGAAGGTCGATTAGTCACTGCTAACTGTCACACGCATCTGAGTGCTTACCGTTGTCATGGTTTCCACCTATAGCACTGCATGTCAGTAACCATTGTAACTAAATTTTGCCACAGGAAGGGATCTCAAATGAAGCAGCCTCCGGCCTACTCAACTTGAATGTAGATGAATAGGCAGGAGCGAATCGCCAGGGATACTCACGCCACATGCAGTGTGCTCCCAGTCGATCCACACGGCGTCGAAACCCATGGGAGCAAGGAACCGACAGGCCGGTATCGAGCTGATTCCGTAGTACACAATCAGGATTGGCGGGATCTTGCCGTCGTGAGCGTCGTGGAATGCCCGGCGAGCATGGTGCGGCTGGAAAAGGGACTGCGGGACTCGATCAGATCAGTGACTGCCGCTCTCATGGAGCTTGGGAGGAAAAGTTGGATATCCCAGGCCCAGGTCTACTTGGTCTATAGGTTCGAAGTAGGTATATGGCGCACTCACCGGTGCTGCATAAGCCTGCATGCCCTGCTTTTGGTTGGAGCTTTCTGCGCAATGTTGTACGGAACCCATGGTGTTGGATTGCTGTATGGTTGGCACAGTTGTCTGAGAGGTCTGAAAAGTGGACGTTGGTTATAAAGGAGGCTAACGATGTCGTATGGGAGGGCTATGTTCGTAATACTCAGCCGGGACAAGCATGAGTCGACGACGCACTTATATACAAAATCTCGAAAGCCCTGTGTCATGCAGTTTACAGACCAGGCCGGCGTCAATCCACTGATTCCCGCATCTACCGTACTGTAGCATTGTTGCTCCTCTAGGCAGAGCTAGGCATGTGGATCTCACGCCGACGACCTACGCCGGTAGGTGAGAATTAGCATCTACGATGTGGGCAGCGTGGGTATCACTAGACAGGGCGTCGTACTTGTTGTCATCTTCGGTGGAACTTTCCCATCGCTTTTTATAGGGGCATACTGATCTTGGTCAGGCCTCCAACGTGTTCAGCAGACCTGACTAATGTTACACATGCCCCTTTTTATAGAGTTGTCGGGATATTGGCCCTTAGAGGGGCCCAGAGTGCTCCACGGTATCCTTGACCAACTCCACCGCTTCACGAAAAGTTCCACGCGTTAGGCTACCCTGTCTACATCTAGCGACTTTCAGGATTCAAACGGGTAATTTGACTTTAACGAGCACTCCCCTGAACCCTCCGTCGATCCGAATGCGCCTTTCATCAATAACCCGACCGAAGGACCACGGATCTAGGTAGGTAATCATCATGTCGCTGACCAGTTGGTTAACCATCACAGAATTACGACGGTAATGCCCTGTCAGTGACCGGCCCACAGTTCATTATTTTAGGGGATGAGGTGTAAGGCTCAACCGTAGGGTCTAGTAGATGAACCAACGCTATGATGGCACGATCAGCGGCTTTGATCAACCCGCAGGGGAATTGGTTGTAATCTCTTAGGTCCAGTATCCGAGCTTTTGGAACTTTACAGGTAACAAGGATGGTAATCCCTAGCGCGGCGCCATATGGGTCCGTACTTCCTCTGCCAGAATATAAGGGGATATACATAAAGTGGAAATTCTGACATGATCAACAACGTGATCAACAGTACTGAAGCATAGAATAAGGCTCTATCCAGTACGGACCCAGAACCCTCCCGGCATAGCGCAGCGCTAGGGATCAGCATCCTTGTTACCTGTAAAACCAGACGAGATGCGGCTATCGGGAAGTTCAACCCGATATATATCCACTAATAACTATGAGGCAGACTTATTTTGAGCACGAATGTCGGGGATCGCAACCAGGGTCCAGTAGCGCACCCATACCCCCAGTTGTCTAGATAGGTATCAACTCAGGGATCGCAACCAGTAGCGCGCCCCATGCCCCCAGCTCACTCCTCGTTCTCGTTTAGAGCAAGTTCAAGAAGATAGAAGATGTCGTCGATCTCCGGAACGCCAGCTGAATAAACAGTCAGACCAGTGCCGGCCTCCTTCCCAGCCACCTGGATAGCTTCCTCAAATATATCATTTAAATCGACCTCAACTCATCCCCTCTCCTACCTTTTCCATCTTTTAGCCTTCGTCTAATTGCTAACATCATGTCGGATCTCATACCCTTCCCCGCGCTCAAGCTCCTGTACCCCATCCGCGAACCAAATTATACGCGAGACCGTCCACTTCAAGTGCTTGCGTTAGGCCTTGGCCGCACCGGTACCGATTCCCTCCAACTCGCCCTCACGGAGCTAGGCTACTCTGACGTCTACCATGGCTGGAAAGTCGGCGGCAGCGAATCCGCCGCCTGCCCACAATGGACGCGCCTCTCCCGGGCCAAGTTCTCCCACCGGAATCAAGACCTCTCCTTCCTGAACCGCGAAGAATTCGACAAAGTCCTCGGTCACAGTGCCGCCGTCACGGATCTCCCTTGCGCCGCTTTTGGTCCAGAGTTACTAAGAGCTTACCCGGATGCCAAGGTGATTTTGAATCGCCGGGACGATGTGGACGTGTGGTACGAGTCTCAGCGGAAGACCATCGATACCATTTGGACGGACTGGCGAAGTATACTGAGAGCTTGCTTTGAGCGGGAGTGTTTCTGGGTTTGGAGGTTGGTGGTGTGGAATCCGCGGGCGCTTTATGAGTGGGATTTCCAGAAGAATGGGAAGACGGGGTATGCGAAGCACTACGATGAGCTGGAGGCGGAGTGTAGGAGCCAGGGGCGGGAGTGGTTGGATTGGAGGGTACAGGATGGGTGGTAGGTATCCCACCTTGAGCACGGGGCGGAGGACGTAATGGCTGGCTGGCTAATATGTTGTTGCAGGGAGCCCCTCTGCGAATTCCTAGAAAAACCTATCCCGGACCACCCTTTCCCGAACGAGAACGCGATGGGAGGGTATGCGCAAAAGCGGGTGCAGCTTCATATCCAGCGGATGCAGCGAGCGGATCGGAATATTGCGATCGCTGGGGTTGTTGCCACTGCGTCTTTGGTGGCGGCGGTGAGTTGGTATGTGGATGGTCACGCGACTCTTAAGGAGCAAGTACGGTGGCTGTATCAGCAGGGTGATGCGGTGCTGCAGAGGCTGCGATGATCGGTACGAGCCTTCGATAGTAGACGGTCTGGCAGTACGAGTACAAGCTGATACTGATCTCGATACGAGGGTCGATGTGCGGTGCGATAGCGCCGAGCTTCCATTATCTGTTTCATAGGCGCAACAGGAGACTCCCTGTCTTATAGACGCAATCCAACTGCCGGGGACTCGGCTTACCGCCTCCAAAATTGTCAACTGCCACAGAGTGATCCGGCCGTCAGCGCGACACATGCGCGAACAGTTCTCTACGGTTCTCTAGCTTAGGTTACTCATCGTTCGGGGCAATGAACACAGCCCGACCAGCCCCAGCCTCCTTCCCAGCTACCTCGATAGCTTTCTCTCCATCCCTGAGGCTGAACACGCCTTTAACCTTGAGGCCTGCCTTCTCTCCCAGCTTCAAGACACCCGTCTCGATCATCTTGATCAGGTCCTGGGCTTGTGCGCGCGTGTACATCATCGTTCCCTTCAGCGTGAGGCCCTTCAGCATGATCAGAATGTACGGTACAGTCAGTTCCTGAATGCCGCCCATAAGGCTAACCCTCCCACCGTGACGCACAGACATGATGCCGGCGCGGATGTGATCGGTGTTCGTCGCTTGGGGCGGGGTGAAGTCGAGGAAGACGTCGACGGGTCCGAATTTCTCCAGGGCGGCGACGTCTGACTCGAAGCTTCCGCTGAGCTGGACCGTCTCGACCCTTCCAGGCGCCAGCTTCTTCAGCTCGCTGAGGATGGCTTCGTTGCGACCCATGGCTATAACGCTTGCGCCCATTGCGAGCGCGACATGCACAGCGCCGCCTCCGAAATTGCCCGTCGCAGCCGTGATGAGGACGGTTTCACCAGCGGTAAGGTTCACGTCGCGTAGGCCACCATACGGGACAGCAAGCTGCCCGAAGAACCCCAAATCGCGGGGCGTCACGCCCTGTCGCTGGAGGGCGGCCTCATCGAAACGGTGCACATTCTCGAGAGGCACCTTGACCAGCTCAGCCCAGGTGCCGTGGTGATAGACATCGGCTGACATCTTCTGGGCGCCCGATGTAAAGCCGGACAGCATTGCAAGCAAAAACTTGGATTCTGGATCATCGCGTGCTCGGATCAGGGGCTCGATGGTCACGAGATCGCCAACCTTGAGGCTGGCGGCGTCGGCTGGGACAGCTGCAACGCGGCCGATGGCGTTGGCGCCACCGACAATGGGGAACTGCAAGTTCATGCCTCGCGGGTTGCCGTTGGTGTAGATCTCGTCGGCGTAGGCTGCTACCCAGCTGTACAGCGGCCTCACAATGATGGAGCCTACATCGACTTGGGGGGTGGGTATCGATGTTACCTCTGGCTGCACAGATGCTGAGGTGAAGAGAAGCCCCTTGTAGGTACTGGGAAGCTGTTTGTGGCCGGTAGAAGACATTGTAGCAGACGCTTGCTTTTTGCTCGGGTAATATTTAGGTGGGTTATTGGGAATGGAATAGGAAGAACAGTATGCGTTGCTGGTGGTGCGATTTATACAAAACTTCATTCCAGCAAACAGTCATATTCGAGGCGCCTTTACTCTTTATATACCCGGCCGCATTTCTAGGTCCGGGTTTGGTGCTATATCAAGCCCGTGGTCTGTCAGCAGCTGACGGGAGACCGCACGGTCGGGAGGTTGCCATTTGTAAGTCAATTTCGTCCGTGATTACAAATTCCGGCCCGGACCCCGACGGTATGGGACAACCGACACACCACATACAGGATGTAAGCCTCCCTACGTACCAATCGCGAAGGATAACGTGGTGAGGTGCCTCTTGAGAGGACACTTGACAACAGCACTCGAGGACATGCAGTATACTGAATACACATCCGTGTTCGTCAATAACCCACCGGTCGCCGGCAATGCCACTTTGTCATTCACGCGCCCCTATTTATATGATTCCGTTGGCGGCTCCTTCAGGAGAGAATGTGAAGTCGCTTCCTACTGGAGGCCCTCGTGCCCCTTATTGACACCTCCAGGAGCTGTTTCTCGATGTAAGTTATCATTTAGCGCCTCGACCGCACGGGAAGAGACAAACCCAAGTGCTCTACGATGCGACCAAACGCGGAGCCCCTATGCTGTGCAGGGCAAAAAGTATGTATTGATTCAAACAGTCGCTTCATATCCAATTACATACACTGTAAACGTATATACCTTTTCAAATTCGTCTACGATACCATCACCGACGACGGACCCTTATCTCTACATTTGGCATCGGTATACTTGACCCAAAACCAGAGAAGTTCTGAGGCCTCTCAGCAAGGGGCTCAATGTTGTAGTTCTCGACCACATACGAAAGGAAGAGCTTCATCTGCTGAGCAGCGAAGAAGCGCCCGGAGCAAGCCCGCTTACCATGGCCGAATGCCAGAAAGTCCTCCGAAAGCCTGACCAGCGACTTGTTACTATACACCCGCTTCTTGTTCGTGGCAGGGTCGATCATCCCCTGCTGTATCTCGTCCTCGACGTATCGGAAGGCGTTGTACTTGTTGGGTTCGGCGAAGATGCTCGGATCATGGTGGACCGAGGAGCTGGGGAAGCAGATCTGGGTGCCGAAGGGGAGGTGTAGTCCGTCTTTCAGCGTGAGGCCGGCTGGGTCGACGATCTGGTATGTTTATCAGTCATTGTGCGATGAAACACGATTTTGCAGTAGCTAAAGGTACTGACCTTCCGATTGACATTAACCGCAAGCAAGTCTGACAACCTCATGGACTCCTTGATGGTCGAGTCGAGGAACACGAGTTGCGTGAGGCTGACTCTGTTGAAGTTGCCACCGGCACCGGCGCGAGCCTCTGCTCCTTCTTGTCGCAGGCGCTCGATGTAGGCGGCCGAGTCTGGAGAGCTGTTCAGATCGAGAATGGTGTTGATCAAGCTCATGCTTGTCGAGTGTACGGCCACCATGTTCATCATCATCAACCGCTCCGTCATGATGTAAGGATCCCGCATCTCAGGGTCCTCTTGGGCGAGGGACTCGTCGATGAAATATTGGAGAGCGTCATGCTAGGCCACATAGTTAATACAAAGGCCTGTTGTTGAAAAGGGGTTACACACCATGGGCTCCCAGTCGTAGTTGCGGTCTTGCAACTTCTTGATCGTGTGCCTGGTCCGCTCCTCGATGACTGGAACGCAATACCGTTGGCAAGTCCGCAGATGACGTCGATATCCATATGTCAACGGAACGGCGAGCGGTGTCCGAAGCCATTCTGGAACGAGGTTCATCACGACCGCGTTACGCAGTCGGCTTTGGGCGAAGTTCTCAGAGGCACGGAGGAAGGCTGGGTTTCGGTCTAGCATTCACAATTAATGAGCGTCCCCCTGGACCTGTGCACGGGGCTGGCGTCGGTACTCACACAGCTCGGGGCTCTGAGTAAAAGCCCGGTTGATCGACCGACCGATGATCTTCATCACGGCCGCGTATAGCGAGACTGACCGCCAGCTATCCCGGTCGGTCCCCCATTGGTCTTGTAATGCGCAACTCATCTCGTCTGCTACGTCGTCCACAATGTCCGCCAGGTGACGAGTGAGCTGTAGCCTGACAACGTTGTGGGGAAAGTTGGGTGCCAGGACCTTTGGGTTCGAGTTCAGGTACTTGGTAGCCATGAGGTCAAGTCGAACTTCGCGCGGGTCAACGACGCTCTCGGGCTTAGATGAGATTTCCTTAAGGACTGAGCTCGGGAGGACGACCCAGGGTTCCCGACCGAAGAGGGCCACTAGGAACGGTTCGCCATGGGCCGAGAGCTTGCAGACGTTAGCCACTCAGCTTCCTGGGCCAGACTGAAGATGCAGCGTATTCTTAGGACATACTCGGTTATACCCGTCAAGTATAACGTCGCGAACCTCTTTGAACGACTTGATCTGGGCTCGCCGATATCCAAACCTGCCTTGCTCAAACCCCAAGAACTTCAGGGGCGACGTCCCGCCAGGGCTCCCCTTGGCTGATTTCATGAGGGCCTGCGCATAGTAGTTGAACCCCAGCGCGGCGAGCATGGAGAAAAAGGAGAGTATTACAAGAAGCTTGGGGAGTATGGCGTGGGGTCCATCATGATCGACCTTCTCAAACACGAGAGTGTCATTGCCGGGAATGTGTATGTCCATGTTGCTCTGGTAGGCTTTGCTCCGGTGATCAGAAAGTGTGTACAGAATGCTGTAACGGATAATGACGCGAAAGTATCAAGTGAGGTTTCACCCGGGAGTATTAGTAGTAACGCGTCCTTTGCATTGTATCAACATGCAAGGCTCAAAACAGGATGGCGCATACGATGTGAATCCACTGAAGGAACGGTTCCCAAGACACGACCATTCCTGATTGCTCGAGACTATGACGTCCAACAGAGAGGATGAATCTGGATAACCTGGGATTTTGCTTAGGATGTAAGCCAGATCGTTTGAACTTGTCCAGCAGACACCGTATGTAGGGCCACTGTCAGCGACTTGTTTCATCCTGTTGATAAGTACGAGGCGCGTTCATCCCTCGTATATGAAAATGGCGGGGCATTGCTTCCCGGCTGGATCATTGAACCAGATCCTCTGCATTTCTGTGACCTTGTGTGAGTGATTCTGGTGTTGCTTGGAATGCAGGGTCCCTGAAGAGTGCGGTTCCTGTTGAAGAGGAATGACGGATCGGGGGTTGGGGCTACGAAAATAGTCAAGGATCCTTACAAAGCTTGGCGGAGCTATAAGATGGCTCGGCTTTCGTCACACCTTTCTACTGTGAGTCTGTGACAGCCTGACAGGAGTCGATGGTTCTGATCCTTCTCAGCCCTGTCAGCAACGCTATACATATGTAGTCTAGTGCTGTGTCATCCACCAACCCGCCGCAATTCCCACGAATGCTTGTCATCTCAAGAATGGGCATCAAGACGTCACATTCTAAAGTGGGGGTGTAAACGAAGCAAAGGGTTAAGAATAGGCGGCAAGCCGTGACGGGCTTTTCTATAACATAGTGTCCCGGTTCCACTGGTGGTTGACTGCCCTAGTCGAAAAACAATTCTCCACCAACGGACCTCGCACCCACAGTCCTCCTATCATTCGCCTTAGAAACCATACTTACTCATGTTTGACACGATGCAGAAGCAGCAGACCGACGTCCAGGTGATTGTCGTAAGTCCTGCCGGCCGCCCAAGAGATTATCGCTACGAAGCCACGATACTGACATCTACTAGGCAGGGCTACCACGTACGGGGACATTGAGTCTGAAGTGGGCGCTGGACAAGCTGGGCTATGGTCCATCTTTCCACTTGATGGACATCAAAAACCAGTTCCAAAGTGTCAAGCGCAGCGCCGAGGTCGTCAAAGTCGTCGACCAGGAGGAGAGGCAGAGCAAACTGCGGGAGCTCTTTAACGGATACTCGGCGGTCCTGGAGCAGCCCGCCAGCACGTGTCTGCCTGACCTCCTGGAGATATACCCAAACGCCAAGGTACTGTTACTCCCCCGTTATGCCTCCACGTGTAGCTAATTCAAGACGTAGGTGATATTGTCCATGCGGTCAAGCCCAGAAGTATGGCTAGATTCATGGAAGGGGCTCGGGGTCGATGTCCGAGGCCTCCAATTCCGTCTACTTGGATACTGGGCACCCGGTGTCCTCACAAGCTCCGACCTATACCGGGCTTGGACAATTACAGCCGCCCAAAATCACGGCATTTCAGAACCGTGTGTAGAGCTCTACCACAAACACAACGCATGGGTGGAGAGCCTAGTACCGGAAGAGAGGCTGCTGCGCTTCAACTGCACGCAGGGCTGGGCCCCTTTGATCGAGTTCCTGGACGTCCAAAAGGTGACGGAGGGGCAGCTGGGCGAGTTCCCTCGGGCGAACCAAAGGGTCGTGTTGCGATCGCTCAAGAGAGCAGCGATGCTGTACGGACTGGGGGCTTGGGTTTTGATGTTTTGTGCGCTCTATATGGTCATTGAACGGTTCGCTCCGCTCGGAGGGGGCCTCAAGTCGACGTATAGTCTCGCGGCATAGCGCAGGCGGGGACACGATGGGTCCCGGCTATTCTATCTATTATTCTGTTCAGCGTTTAGTATCAGTTTATACACATTTAATTAGTCTGCATTCGTGTATCTGGACGCCTTTCTAACTCGAGTGTTATCGTTCCTATACAGTCAAAGTTGAGCTGGTTGATTGATGACGCGAAAGCCTGTGGTGGGTTGGCCTTGGTCGGGTACACATGGGGACTACGTGGTTTGTGAATGCTCAAGAGACGCCGTCTCTCAAGGAGGACGCCTGAACTAATCCGCTCAACAGGCCGAACTCTATGTCAGCATATAAAGGTACGCTTAGGAACTTGTTCGTGGCCGAAATCGAAAAAGCAGCTTATGATGAGAATAAGCTGCTGACGGCCCCGAACGGCCGGATTATTATTATGCTCAAACCCCATATGTAAGGGTCTGCTTATTCCGGGAACCGTTTCTGAGTGACGCAATGCCGTTCCTGATTCCTGATATTGTGGGTAAGCCAGGCTGGTCAGGCTCGCTATTCGGATCGGGATCATGCACATGTCGCTGAAATAATAGGTAAAGGCTGATTTCTCCGGGGTTGATAGCTTAGATTATCGTTAATCCTCGCTTGACTGTTGCTTCTCATTGGGCACGTTGTCGAATGATGCCTTATTTGAATCATGAGACGATCCGCAAGGATCGCTTAGCCGATTTGGGATTCCGGATTGGCTCCTTCGTATCCATCTATGGTGCTCTTGCTTGGTCCAAGATAGGAAGCAATCTGCCGCAATGTGATCCTTCACTTGCGCGGCAACTGAGTTTAACCTCGGCCCAATTGTATGCTAACGTGGTGGCCCAGTGCGGGATAGGGGTTCGACGGCGAGGGTATCTTAGTAGTGTGATTGAGAGACTGAAAGCTGTTCTATGGACTTTGGTCTCGAGTGGCTTGCCTAGTGACACTTCGAGGCCATTTTGAGTTATTTAGCACGAGCTTTTGACGCCTAGTTCCTCTTTAGCAGGCGGCGTGTTTTGAACAGGCATGAGAAAGGGGTCCGTAGAACGGACGGACTGCCGTATTTACCATGGTGATCGACTTCCATTTTGGTATTGGGGCGAGTTTTATCCCAGGCTCTGGCCTGCCTGAACGAAATGTTCTCTAATATGGCTGAGCACGGGGATAAATCTCAAATTCATCAGCGTCTGGGGAAAAGACGCTGCCATAGTGTAGGGGGTTTCGCTCATGTAGTGCCTATGAAGTAGGTTACCTACCACTGCTGTGAAACAACCATCTACTGCGGTCTCTCAACCACCTTTACTAGGTAAGATGCGCAGTTCGGCTTCATAGTTGCGAAGTAGGAAGTGTCACATAAGTCGGCAGCGTAGCGAGCTGCCGCTTGGCCGTTGAACTCGATGCTGGGACAGCATCACGAGCCCGTGACCACGCCCTGCGAAGTAGTCACGATGAGGCAATAAGCGACGCCTCAATGCTCTTGCGAATTGGAAACATAACAAAAAACAGGGGCCAGGTTTGGTCTTGCTCATCTGGGTCCTTTATCAACCTTGCGCGAAAAAAAGTGTGGATTTGAGTTCAAGCCACCACCAGAATCTTGCTCATGCCCTCGCCAACCGAGGCTTCACAAAGACCATAAATATCTCCGCGCATCCTTTTTGATCCCCACCCTGGTCCCAACCCACAGCAAGTCCTTCGTCACAGTCTTCAACTCATCCAAAACACGCACGCGATGAAGTCCAAAAGCGAAACACCGGCTGACGCCCAGTACGCGAGGAAGGACAATCTCGAGATGTCGCGCCCTACCCTGCACCGGCTCAACATTCTGGATCTGCCTAATGAGTTACTCGTAGACATCTTCGAGATTCTCGAAAGCGCCAAAAACAGAGCTTGGCGGCCGAAGCGCCGTCTCCATGACAGTCCTGACATACGCCATGTCCGCCTCACCTGCCGACGGTTCTGCAACACCAGCTCGCATCTGCTCGTCTCCCACGTCAGGGTAGATCTGAGTGTGGCATCGCTTGCGCGACTGGCCGAGATAGCGTCCCATCCCGAGATCCGCAAAGGCGTCAAAGTGGTTAGCGTCCAGCTCTCCTTCTGGGACGCGCGTATGGCCAACGATCTCGCCAGGTTCATTAACCACACAACGCGCAACTTCCCGACGAAAGTTTTCGACATCCTAAGTGGCGCGCCCGGCTCTAAGATTTCGAGTCTTAACATCTCCAAAAAGGTCCAATCACATCCACACCCCGACGCCGTGCGTGTCGGGAGCAAATCAAACACCTATCTCCAGGAGGTCCTACGGGACACGCACGAAGAATATCGGCAGCTCCACCGAGAGCAAGAGAGTCTGCTCAGGCGAAATGCCTTCGAGCGAGCAGTCGCAAGTGCTATGGCGCGAATGCCAAAAGCGTGCTCGTTGGAGGTCGATGACCAGGACGTATGGCTACGCAGAGATCGGCCGAAGAGCTGCGGGAAGGAGCCCAAGAGAATCGTCCACCGAAACTTGATACGTCCAATACGGTGGGCATTTTCTTCGCAGTCGGGTTGTCCCCCGATGAAGCTGCTTCATACATTACCGATCATATGTCACGAAGCTGGGGTCCACCTGAAGAGCCTGAGCATCCATGTAACACGCCCCGAATCATATGCCGTCCTATCGTCGGACCAAGTCGCTCTCGCAAAGCTCAGTCTTGCAACTCAGCATTTGGAATATTTATATTTCGGGGAGGACCGTGGAGGGATGCATGGACTCACATCTGGGCACTTCTACGGTAGCGTCGCCCCCATAAGCAATTACTTGACGACGGTGGCGAGCGGCAAAAATCTCAGACGGGTTCGCCTTGAACATGGCCATGATCTCGAAAGGAGTGTCGCGCTGGCTCTGGTAAGATGTTTGCCATGGCAGAACGAACCGAACGTCTACATGAGCAGGCTCTGCGTCCATTCCTCTGAACTCGCCGAGTTCGTCAACCCCTTGGACAAGCCAATGAAGTTGCACTTTGGACGAGTCAGACTGGTCTGCGGCTCTTGGGCCGATGCCTTTGACATGCTTCGCCAAAAGCGGCTTCACTGGAGTTTCGATGGCTTATCTGGCGGCGAGGTTGATGATCTCGGTGGTTTTGATGGGAGCCCGCCCGTGTCCGTGACGCGCAATGGGAGGTTGGGCCAAGCTGAGAAGTACATACAAGGATTGGTGACGCTCAACCCGATTAGGGTGGCCTGTCAGACCCGTCCGTGGTTTGATGACCTGGTAACGGAACTGTCGCTCGGGGGTTGTGCGAATCTCCTGCATTAAAGCAGGTAGCGAGATCGATTGTCAGTGGGAAAGCCACCTGTGTTTCATCAGTACCAACGATGATTGTCAAGAAATTCCAGATAGTGACCGAGTTGACTGGTGGTAGATAGAGTAAGGTAGACGGTATTCTCCCGATCTAGGAAACGTTATACACTTGTTCAATGACGATGGTGCCGCGACTCGTGAGATACAGTTGGTGAATGCAACTGCAGGCGTGATGTGACTTGGACCGGTTGCAGGCTGGCAGGTGCGCGCAGGCGACATGGCCCGCCAGATGCCCGGATGCCGGTCATGTCCAAGGCCTGGTCCGAGCTTCAAGTACCCATGTACCTGCTACCAGCACCTCAGCACCTGCAGGCTCAGCTCCAGCCGGCTCCACATCAGCTCCAGTCCACAACAGCTGGTCATCACATTTACTTACTGGAGCTCCGAAATATGCCACCATTCACACACCAGCTCCCACCGTCAACCCAGCAGTAGCACACATACTTACACCAGGACACCAGGACCGCACCATGTCGCTGGCCAGAGCGGACAAGGCCCTGGCGCCGGCCACGCGGCGACGACTGGCCCTCCAACAGTCGCCCGCCTCCCGCCTGCTCAGACCGACGCTCGCCCAGGGCGCCGTTCGCACCCTCCACAGCACGACGAGATCGCTCGCGCCCATATCCTCCACCGGCAGCCCCGTCGGCGTCGTCCCGCCCTCGTACTTCCAGCGGCCCTCCCTGCCCGCCAACACCATTATCCGGTTCGTGCCTCAACAAACGGCCTGGATCGTCGAGCACATGGGCAAGTTCAGCCGCATCCTGGAGCCCGGCCTCGCCATCCTCGTGCCGTTCTTGGACCGCATCGCCTACGTCAAGAGCCTGAAGGAGGTCGCCATCGAGATCCCCAGCCAGAGCGCCATCACGGCCGACAATGTCACGCTCGAGCTCGACGGCGTGCTGTACACGCGGGTGTTTGACGCCTACAAGGCCAGGTGCGTTCCTTCCGTCTCCCATACAAACGGCGCCTGCCTGTTCGGATGAATGTGCTGACAAGTACCTTCCACGAATAGCTACGGAGTAGAAGACGCTGAATACGCCATCTCGCAACTCGCCCAGACGACCATGCGCAGCGAGATCGGCCAGCTGACGCTCGACCACGTGCTCAAGGAGCGCGCCGCGCTCAACACCAACATCACCGCCGCCATCAACGAGGCCGCGCAAGCGTGGGGCGTGACGTGCCTGCGCTACGAGATCCGCGACATCCACGCGCCCGCGCCCGTCGTCGAGGCCATGCACCGCCAGGTGACGGCCGAGCGGTCCAAGCGCGCCGAGATCCTCGACTCCGAGGGCCAGCGCCAGAGCGCCATCAACATCGCCGAGGGTAAGAAGCAGAGTGTGATCCTGGCTTCTGAAGCTATGCGTGCCGAGAAGATCAACCGCGCCGCGGGTGACGCCGAGGCCATCCTGCTCAAGGCCAAGGCGACCGCCTCGGGCATCGACGCCGTCGGCCGCAGCATCGCGAGCGGTGGTGCATCAGCCCACGGCGCCGTCAGTCTCAGCGTGGCGGAGAAGTACGTCGACGCGTTCGGCAAGCTGGCGCGCGAGAGCACGGCTGTGGTCGTGCCCGGTAACGTGGGCGACATCGGCGGCATGATCGCAACCGGTCTCAGCGTCTTCGGCAAGGTCGGCGAGGCGCAGAGCCGGACAATGGCAAAGCAGGTGCTGGAGAAGGGCGAGAACAACGACGACTCGTCCAAGCCACAACCCAGATCCTCCGAGTCGAGCGTTGTCGATTCGGTGGTTCGCGAGTTCGACAACACAACGAAGCAGAATTAGAAAACTACGCATGCACCACAAACGACACCTACGCACCCACCGCAAACGATGGAGGGACTTCGGAAGGTGGTTACCGAGACTGGCTTCCTGTACTAATAGAAGAAAGGACGCATCTCATTTGTCTCGAGACGACCACCTGGGCGGTTGGTCGGATGGGCTTCAGGGCTAGGGGAAAACGTCCGGTAAAAAAGGATGTGAGCATGGCGTCGGCGGCATTCCAGATGGCATGCTATCTGCGGATTAACTTGTACTTTTACGACTCAGCGAAAACAAAACCACACAACTCATGCATTCTAGGGAATGGGCTGAGATAGCGGTCGGGCAAGGCGCCCTCGGCAGTTGATAATTCCAAAAAAAAATAAACTCTCCCACGTTCAAGGCCCTGAACTAAGTGATTAAACCAGTGACGGTTAAATGGCTTGACCCCTACACCGCCGCTTATTACAAGGTATACCATTTGTTCAACCGTCTGGCTTGTTCCTGACGTAAAAGGACATCACGCAAGTGAACTCGCCAAGTGCGGGAGAGCAAACGTTCGTAGGGGTCTATGGATGCATATATAACTACACGTCTATCGTCTCAAACGCCCAGTTCCGCACCAACAACCTCCAACGCCTTCGTCAACAGCCGCAAAACATTCTCATCGCCGCTGGTCCCAGCAACTCTGGTCGCACCGACCACCAAGGGATAGAGCCTGAGCAGATGCTTACGGCCCTCGCTCTCGACGTTGGGCGTGTCCGGGATAGCATCCGGTTCACTCTTCAACTCGACCAGGCGTTCGAGTATCCACGCCAGCTCCTTGCGTTGGCTGAGAGGCTGTGGCATGTGACCTCTGAGGGGTTGATCAGCGATATATGCCCGCAAGGTCAGGGCGGCTCTCAGGATGAGGTATGGTGCTGCCGTTCTTGCTAGGCGGACATTGAGCTCGTGGGGAGCTTCAAACGGCATGTTTGATGATTGTCCAGGCGGAGGTAATCTCGGGGTAGGAGGCTGAACCGTGATCTGTGGAGTGGACACCTCGTCGTGGTTTGCTACCAGCGAGAACATTTCGTCCAGGCAGACGTAACACATCTTCTCGCGTTTTGTCGGCGGTGGATCTACGGTACGCCCACGGCGAGTCTTGTAGAGCTTTGACAAACCGACCACGTCCCCTCCAGTGTTGCCGTAGATGAGTAACGATTCCGCTGGGGCAGGTGCGTGAATGATGGACATCCGGAAGAGGCTTTCAGCAAACACCTTGCGCGTCTTCTCCGGTACGACCTCTGCGCCGAGCGAGGGTATTATTAGCTCGCGCAGCCTCAGAAAGGACTTGATGTCGAAGTCCTGGTCATCGAGAATGTTGACCCTATCTGGAGGCGCATCGCAGTCGGCGTTGGTGATGCCATTGGCAATGGTGACAATCATTTGCCAGACATCCTGCAACACTGACCGAGGGATGTCAAGGGTAAGAAGCTGCCGAAGGGTAGCCTCGAGGATGTTTAGGGAGGACGTTGTCGCTTGCTTCCATGGCTGCTCCGACTTGGTAATTATAGGGAATTGATACTTGGTGACGATCGGCCTTGATAATGCGGTGAGTGCAGTCAAGAAGGCCCCGTTACTATATATGTCGACGTCGGTAGCATGGTTTACAATCAATGATTGCAGAATCACCATGCTTGCTTTCGACATAGCAACATAAGTGCGTTTCTGCGTCGTCCGTTGGCTCGGCATATTACCACCATCAACAAAGGCCAACGAGATAAACTCTGAGGTTTGTGTTATTAGCGCAGACGGCGCCCCCGGGAGGTCTGTCCGTAGCATCTTTAGAACGTCCAAAACTTGGCCTTGTAGCGGCGTCACATGGTCAATGTCGGCCACGTAGGCCCCAGGTGTCGCTGCTTGCATGACTTCGTGCAGAAGAGTCAGCATGCGACGAATTCGCTCAACAGTGAGATCTGCTTGTATGAGGCGGTACACGTCGCGTAAGGCAGCGACATACGCCAAAAGACAATTCTGATTGTCGGTAGTCTTGCCAGTGTTGCCATCCATGGCCACCGGGACGCTGCGAGACCATAAGTCCCATGCTAGGTCGATGGTTGTCCTGTTGAAGTTCTGCTTTGTTCCATTCTGGCTGTGGGAGAGCATCTGAGTCAAGGCCTTGAACGTCGCGGTGTTAATCTCAAGGACCTTGAAGTCGAGAAGTGTCGCAAAGTGACCCAAGAGCTGTTGCCAGTATGAGTTGAACGTCGGGTGCGCCATCAAAACATCGAGGTAGTTTGCTAGAAGGCTGGATATGCCGTCCAAGACCACAACAGCGGTGTCATACCAGTCGTGGCGATATTTGTCGTCTGTCCCAGGCTCGCTAACCTCTTCGACTTCTTTCTCTATGAAAGATAGCAGTCTAAAGATCACTGACTTTATGCAGACGGACCAAGCTTCGGGACTGAGCCGGTCACCATAAGCGTCAAATATCCGCAACAATGTTTGAATGGCACCTAGCCATGTCAGCCAAGGTATCAAAAGGAGTGATAAAAGACTTACTATTTCTCAAGTCCAGCCGTTCATCTGTGGTCACTGTTGTCAACCGAAGTAGAAGCAGCATCCAGAGAGCCGCATCTGAAGAAGCATTTTCGGCATGCGAAGCTTTCTCGACCAATGCAGCTTCACCAGAATCCCCAACAAGGTCGTTGGTAATGGGGAGTGACTTGTTCTTCCCAGAAAGAAAATCCGAAAGGTCCCAGAAGAAAGTGACAGTCTATGAAACACACATCAGTACATCCATGCCAAAAGAGGACTTGAGGCCTTACCGTCAATGCGATGTTGAGGTCATCGTCTTGCGAACAGAATTTGTACAGGGTATCAACAAGAATCAGGAAACAAGATTTAGGTAAGGATGTCAGGAAATCGGAGCAGACTAGTTGTAAGGAGTTGAATGCCGATCGGATGAGCTTCGAAGATCGTGTGGTGAGCATCACTGGTTTGGCATTGTCGTCGTCGGCGAATCGCCTCGGGATGAATATACTGCCAATGATCTCGAACGAAATCTTCCAGCCGCTCAAAAGTGTGTCACCACAATCTTCAAGAAGGCTCTTAAGCCCTTCGAGTATTATCTTGTGGATGTCGACATCAGTCGCGTAGTTGGCTACTGAAGCTGCACGATCCTCCATCTGCAATGGTATCAAGGCGCTACGAAGACCTTCAAGAAGCCGAAGTTGCACCATGCCACGTGATTCGTCATTGAGGGTGGTGACGGCCTTCGCAGCATCGAGTACGAGTCGTACGAGAATCTCTGCCGCCCGACTCCGAACTGGCGCAGAGGTGGAAACGGAGCTGAGAGTACTAACAAGTTCGGAAGTTATTCTACCCCAGCCCGATACGTCGGGAGGGTAAATGAGAAGTCTATCTATATTGCTAGTTGCGAGGTCGCCGATCTTGGCCAAGGCGAATTGGTCCTCCTGGTTGAGACCTATGGTCCCTGCCGTCGATATGGTGAGTAACCTCCGGTGCTGACCACTTGGTGTTCGCAAGCCTTGAAGGGATTGTCTGGAAGGTGGTGGCGATTGGGGCCGACTCGCAGGCTCCGAAGCTGATTCCGACTGCCGTTTCAAGAGATTGCATACAGCATTGACTACTTCAACGAAAGAGTTATTGGGAAAGTCAACGGTGCTCTCGAGGAGTCTAGCGGCTGCTGTCTCGACAGATCGAATCTCGGTACTGAAGTTGCCTAGGAGTGCAGAAGCTTCGCTTTCTGCTTTGGGGTCTGACCCTCTAGTCACGATTGGTGTCCTCCCAGGAGCTTTGCCATTCGAGAATAAAACGAAATCGGCCTGCTGCAGTGTTTCCAAGACAATCGACCACGATGCACTGAGTGTTGGTCCCAATGCAATGCCTAGGTTTAGCAGGGCCCGAAGGCACAGGAGATTGCGGGTATTGAGTGTCTGTGGTGGTGTGTTTGCATCAATCGAGGCTTGTCTCTGCCTCTCGCCGGCGGCACCGACAGGAGTCACCAAATTCTCCACACTCAACAGCCCCCGAGCGTTGCCCAAAATGGTATTCGGCGTTTCGCTGATCGGAGTTGCCGCGGCTAGCTTTGATGATCCCATATTGAGGCAAGCGGTGAATACGTTCGGGGGCACCGCAGCCTTACCAAGTGTCGTCAGGAACGCATCTCTCGGGGTGGTAAGCTGCAGGAGTCCGGCCACGTGGGCAAATTTCTGAAAGGCTCGTACGAGACTGTGGTAATAGTTCGATTCGAGCGCGGCGTAGAGGAAGGTGGAACAGGTTGCCAGGATAGCTGGCCAACACTCATCAATTAGGTCAGCGCAGACTTTGACATCTGCATGTAAGGGATGGTCTTTCAAAGCCAGAGGATTGACGGGGATTGGATTTTTTTTGAACGATCCAGAGCGTTCCAGGCCACTTATCGTCGCCGTCCTCTCTACTGATATTTTGGGGGTGTCGGGCCTGTCTGCTTCTGTCGGAGCTGGCGATTCTCTGCCCATACCTGGTTGCTTTGCAGTGCGCTTGCGAGAGCGACCCTCCCCAGGAACTGTCAGGGGCAGTATAAACTTTGCCAAGCCCTCGGATAGTGAGGTAATGCATGATAGCGTCAAGGCATAGATGTAAGACTCTGGTGTGGGGGGCGGTTCGGTCTTATCGAGGTGATCAATGCAAGCTACCCTGACCGTGCTCCATTGGGAGCTAATACCCGTATTGTGGCCTTCGCTAACGGTGCCACTGATGATACCGGTGACGCCGCTCGCCTCGAGCATTGCTTGATCCGACGATGATCCCGAGTTGCCGGCTACGGGTATGGTAGACTGGTGACCAAGCCCAATAACTGCCGGTTTCTCAGTACTCACTCTGACGAAGGTCGCAGTCAGGTTTTTGAGCACGTCCCTCTCCCCTTCTTTGGCGTCATACATGGTGAATATTTGCCTTAGAAGAGGAGGTTCGGAGAAGATGCCCCTGAAAACTTCCATACATAATGCCCTTCTCCAGACAGCTGTGTCTTGGTCCAGCAGCTGGGTAAGAACGTTTAGGGCATCACCACCTTCGGACGGCAGTATGGTGAGATGCTTCTTAAGCATGGTGTATAGGATGCGCGCGAGTCGAACAGATATGGCAAAGTTTGGTTTTCCAGAGAGGGCAGAAATAATGAATGGCATGACTCTCGCGCGTAGGATATGGGCTTGCTCAGGGTGGTTTAAGAATATGTTGGCGTGTTGGCTCAAGACTGATTCTATCAGCTCAAGGCCAAACGTCTGAGGGAGGCCGGTGAAGCGGAGGTATTCCGGTCTTTGATTCTCAGTCATGAGGCAAATATCATTGAAGATACGGTACGCATCCAAAGCAGAGGCACGAAGCTGGACTTGGTCGTTGCTAGTTGGGGCATCGCCAACGAACCCATCATCCGACGTTGACACTGAGAATCTGTCAGTTCATAATCCAAGAGCCCGTAACATATGCTACTTACTATCCTCAGTGGCCACTTTTTCAAAGACAGTCATGACCAACTGCTGAAGCGTAGCAGCCGATGTGTTGTTGACGACGCCATTCTTGCTGGACTGCAGAATGAAGCAGATATTCAAGGCGGTGACCAGTAGATCGCCTTTGATGTCGATAGCATAGTTCTGTAAAAGCGTGGGTAACGCCTGTAGGATCTTGAGTTGTACGTCGAGACCAGCCGAGGTGGCCTCGCGTAGGGCCTCGAGAACGGGGCTCAGCTTGGATCGTGGTAAAGCGCTGACAAGGATCAACCGCGACAGGCAGACAATGGCTATGGCAGTGAACTTTGCATTCTTGGTCCCGCATGCGATGACAAAGGGGTTGGCGAAGTTGCCCCTTTGAGCCAGCTCTAGACATTGCATGAGTTGAGTCCCCTGTCACGTTGGGGCTGGGACGTACCAGCGGCTAGTTGTGCTTCATTTGCACTCCGGACGCTCTTAAGCTCTTCCAGAGACTTCTCTGCAGCCTTCAACGCAGTTAGCTCAGGTAATTTTCATGTGGGAGCGAGAAAAGAGCAGCACATACCAGTCTCAGGTCATTATGCTTGCGCTTGCTCTCCTGAATGAGGTTTGTAAGCTCCGTCGCAAGGAGCTGAGTGGTCATCTTGGCCAACTACACTGTGTATAATCCATCGAAAGAGTGACAACTTTGACGGATGGTCATCGAAGTCGTGAGATGTCGGACTGCTATCGAATGTGTGATATCAAGACAGGTGTTGCTGGGCGTCGGAGGGTGAGCTAGGTAGCTGGGCCTGCCTGTGGTCGGCCTTGACCTTCAAAGGTGCCAGATGTATTGCCCAGCCACCTTCCCACCATCAACACGACTAAGCCACATCGGATTTAACGCTTGACTGCCAGTGCCAACCAGCCGGCGGTCATCCCATCGTCAGGTGCAAGCTTTAAACAATGCTCTACCCCACCATCCCACCTTGATAAGGTCCAGTAGAAGCAGCCATCGCATTCAACACCCAAGCAAGGCGAGCAAGCACTCTTGCAAACGCCGAACAAACGATACACAATTTCCATACCGGCTCTACACCCACCGTACGACACGACAGCACATACTGCAAGTATGGGCGCCAAGATTCCGCGAAACTTCCGCCTCTTGGAGGAGCTTGAGAAGGGAGAGAAGGGCTTGGGAGCTGGTGAGTTCCTATGACGGCGCGCGTCGTTGCCCTCAAGCTGTAAGGTCTCAGTACTAATGGTGTTATATGACAGAGGCTTGCTCGTATGGCTTGGATAACCCCGAGGACCTTCTGATGTCGGACTGGAATGGTACCATCCTCGGTCCTCCTCATGTTAGTTTGCCGCTTTCTCTCCCAGCCAACGTGGACTGGCCCTAGGTGTGTTGACGATGGCAATCACAGAGCGTCCACGAGAACCGAATCTACTCCGTCAGGATGCACTGCGGTCCCCAGTATCCCGACACTCCGCCCACCATCCACTTCGTCAGTCAGGTGAACCTGCCCTGCGTCAACCCGAAGGACGGCCAGGTCGACCCGAAACAACTGCCTTGCCTAGCTAGTTGGAGAAGAGAGAACACGATGGAGACAATTCTGATTGAACTCCGGAGGTATGGACTCAGAGCATACCCAGAGCATACCTAGACTCCCTCCTGAACACGGCATACTGACCCCATGTCTAGATACATGGCTTCGAGTCAGTGTAAGAAACTGCCCCAGCCTGCCGAGGGCACGGAGTTTCCTACTCCCAAGAAATAAAGCATTGGACATGCGCAGACATGAGACACGACATACGCCCAAGACCATGGGGTTGTATGACAGGTTCTAGTGACGATAGACGGGGGACGAACGGATATTTGGTCCGACTGGCTACGTAAATGCCCACCTCATCACCCAGACTGGTGAGGCAGGAAAGCCGGCGAAGCAAAGAAGGGATATGGAGTCGCATTTTCCCTGTCGCGGAGCAGTGAACTATGATCGATATGACATCGCGTTACGGGGCGCGCCGAATACTTGATGAACATTAGGTACTTGCTCTCATGGATCTGTCTCGATATTGCTATAATAATGCGCACGTGATTTGGTGATGGTGTCGTGCACCGTACCATAGCAACTTGAATCCAAAAGCGGAACCATTTCCGTCTTTTCCCCAGATTCGTTCCAGCCCGTGTACAATTTCGTAACCAACATTGGAGCTCCGAGACCCTACATGTACCTCTCCAAAGCCACCACCACTCCCACATCCCAATGAACACATTCAGACCTAAACCAAGGTTCTTTATTCCCGCTCGCGACTCCAGGCACAGAACAGCATGTAAGCACCAGCACTCCAAGCATCAGTCAAGTGGCTGGAATAATAGCAACGGCCTGAACACCATGATAACCTCAAAGCTAACGACCAACCTCCCCAGGCTTCGCCCTCTACCGCGCGCTTCTGCGCCTAGCACCGCAGATCCAACTCCCCGCTGACCTCGCCGACGGCTGGAAGGCCAGCAACCCGATCACGACGCACATCCAGCGCGCCTTCCGGCGCAACCGGCCCGACACGAGCCCGCGGCTCGTCTACCCAGCCCTGAAAGCCGGCTACCGCTTCCTCGCCCTCCTCACGACCGCCGCCCACACGGCGACGGGCCCCGACCACGCCTCCATCGTAACATTCCTACAGTCGCGCCTGCACGAGCGCGAGCGCACGCGCGCCGTGAAGGCCCGAATCAAGGCCTCGCGCGCGCAGCACCCCAATGCCAGGCCCCGAACATCCGCGCCGCGCCCGGGCACGCGCCCCCTCCTCGTGAACACGACCCCTGCCCCCACGGCTTCGAACCCGACCCCAAAACCGCAGTACGAGACGCCGTCACGGCCACTACCAGCGTCTGAGCTGGGCGGCAGCGGCAGGCGCCAGGTGCCGCGCCTCGACATGGCAGGCTCTGACTTCCCGATTCTGCGGCTCACAAAACCGCAGCCGAAGCTGCTGAGCCGCGTGCTGACGCAGAAGATCGGGAAGCGCGTCGGGCGCGCGCGGTTCGTGCATGAGCTCCAGGAGGCGGGGATCGAGGATGCGCAGCTAGAGGACGCTTGGGAGAAGGATGTTGCGCTGTTGATGCGGTCGGAGAGACAGCAGCGGCGGAGGCGGGAGCGGCGGGGCCAGGATAACGGAAACGGAAATGGGGAGGCAGAGGTTATGAAACAGCTCGCGGCCGAAGAGCAGGCTATACGCAGCGACATGGCCGCGGACGCGACGTACAACCAGGGCGTGTGGCTGTACGGCATCCAGTACGTCAGCAATCTGCTGAATCGCGAGCGCGAGGACCAGGTCGCGCGCGCTGACGCCATGAGGAGGCTCATCGCGCAGGAGACTGCGCTGGCCGTGGCTGAAAGGGAGCAGAGGAAGGCTGAGAGCCATGCGCGGCGGAGGGCGCGCTGGGAGGAGCGGATGCGGAAGGAGGATGGTGAGGCGTGGAGGGAGACGGCTCAGGCGCCGCAGGATGGTAGTCAAGAGAGCCACACAACGTCGTTCTAGTGTTTGACTTTGGGATGTGTACGTGTATGTGTAAATATTATGTACGGTAACGCGAGGATAGCTGTATACCCCCTTCAGAGATGACCTGCGTTCATATCTAGGACACCCTCGCTCGCTCGAGGAACAAGAACGCCTGTTTTCCTTCGATATATGAGAGGCCCCTTCCATCCAACCATCCTCGATATTTCCTAGAGACGCCGCTCGGCGGATTCGTACCAGACCGTGACTCCTCTAACCACAACACCATGTTTTCCCAGTACCCGCCCATATATATGCCCCAAAACAGTATACCCACTCTTCCCCCTTTTGCAGAACAAAACAACCTACTCAGCGACGACAGACTCCCAAAACGCCGACACGACATCCATGGGGCGGAAGGCCGGCGCACGACCCATACATGTCGCCCGCGAAACCAACACTGCTTTCGAATTAGCGCTTATTCCCTGAGTTCGTGCCATATACATGGAAACTTGAGTCCGGGTCGTGATCAACTTACTATGAACAAACTTGCCAACGTCCAACAGCACCCTTTTCGACGCGGGGCCGGCAGCTGGAACCGGTATGGACCCGTGCGGTGAAGGATACATAAAATTTGCGTTTGGCACGAAGTCCGAAGCTGGAGAGTTGTTGCCAAACGTAGCCACACCAGACACACTCTCCGGGGCAGACTGCAGACCCACGCCAATGAAGTTGTCAGTGCTCATGGAGAAGGCATTGGGCGGTGTCGACGCCGAAACCGACATACCGTCCCCGCTCGATACGGGCGACATGTATTCAGCCGCAGCGGAGCCCATCAGGGGTTGGGCCAGGGCCGGTACACTGGATGAGTTCATGCCCAGGCCCATCTCGGTACCCAGATGGGCAGCACTCGAGGGGTTTCCACCGACGGACGAAGGCGTCTGCACATGCTGCCCATACAAGAAATCACCTGGTTGCAGTTCAACAGTCTGAATCTCAGCCGTGGGAGGGATGATGATTCCGTTCCGCGCAAGATAAGCCTCGACATCGTACGCGTCATACCAGTCACCTCCCATGCCGTCAATATTGAGATAGTTCGACATGCCGAGCAGCGAACTGCGTACGTTCATCGTGCGCTCGTCGAAGGGGCCCATACCGTAACCAGTACTCGGATACGGCGGTGCATCTGGGTACGTCTTGTCCCCGTCCTTGCCGGTGATGAAATGGGTACCGGACGCACCGATGTGATGAAACGGTTGGCGCCAGTCGTTCAGTGGCTCACTGTTCATGGCCGCCAGTGTGGCTATCGTGCGCGTCCGGATCTCCTCGATCGTCTCGAAGAGCCTCACAAAGCCGAAGACGCGCGACATTCTGGCAGGGGGCGGATTCTGGGTCGTTAGGAGTCCCACCGCCTTCTCTATCGCGAAGCGGTGGAGCCGGCGGCTGAAGGACCATTCGCCAAACGAGAAAGTCCGTGGAGCCGGCAGCGTGCTCCATGGTGAGTGTGTCCAGGGGGTGTTTGGGGAGTCCATGAAACTAGTATCGAAGGCTAGGTTCGAGATGAAGCTTGCATTTTCCGACGTCGGTGCTGCCATGATCTCATACTCAACTGGATCGTTCAACGAAGGATCCAGGTTCAGCGCGAGGTCATGGGGGAGCTGGTGTTGAACAGGCTCGTGCGAGACAACTATGCCACCCAGTAGCGGTTGCGCCTGGTGGTCACCTTTCGACGTCGACTGAGTGACGGGTTCTTCGGGTCTGTTGTCGGTAGTGCTGGTCTTCCATTCCGTCCGCTTTTCTCGTGGGGATCCCTCCAAGCTTTTTATTGGTGTGGCTTCGTTTTCCTCTGGGTCTTTGACTATGATCCCTTCCACCAGAGCCTGAAACTGTTGCAGCTGGTGACCGAATTCAGGCGCCTGTTCTAATATTCCATGACGGTTCGCGTAGTCTATGATTTTCTGATATGCAGTCTTGACATCTTTATTCGTGTCCTTGAGTGCCTCCACTTCGGCCTCGAGTCTTGCGATCGATATTTCTTTTCGCTCACGATACGCCCGCTGCGCGTCTCGGATCTGAGCTCTCCTCCGCTACAAACTTGTTAGCTTTCATGTTGTATGAGCTAGAGCGTGGATTCGTAGGAATAAGCCTATTGGACTATAAAAACGCACCCAACGGAAGTACTCAATGCAGCAAATTTAAAAGGGGAACCAAAAGGGGAACCAAAAGGGGATGAAGCAAAATGACACACCTCCGCAGATACCTCATCCTTGAGGTCTAGCCGTGGACGGCCTCTGGCCCTCTTACCCTCCTCAGAGGGCTCATTGCCATCAACTCCCGATGCCTTTCTCGTGCGTTTCTTCGGGTTGGGAGCATTTTTAGGGGGTACCCGAGCGCTCCCCTTGGCTTTCAGGGCAGCTCCCGATCCGGGCCGTTTTGTCACACGCCCATCGTCGTACTGTTCGGCGTTAAGCACGGCGAGGTCGCTATGGAAGTACCGCATTGGATGCTGGCCGGGTGCCGTTTCTGGGCTCCGACCTTGTGTAGACCCCGACGACCCACCACTCTCGTTTTGATGAAATGTGATATGACCAACGTTCCGGGCTACTTGAGATGGGCCTTTCGTCCTTGACAAGTTGAAGTTGTCACTACCTAATTCTGTGTGGCGATTCAAAGAGTTGTTATTCCTAGATAAAGAGGCACCGACGAACCCATCCGATGAGCTAGGTTCTGATGTGACTGCTCCTGGACGAGATGACAAAGCATCAGCTACTGGATAAGGTGGCGGCAGTCGGGGAACAGCGGTGTTAATCAGCGGTGTCTGACCACCGGAATGCCGTTGATGGATGTCGTGCTGGCGATTACTAATGAAGCCTGCGTCGAACCCTGGGTGTGATTTGGATATCGAAGATGGAGACATGGGTCAGCAATGGGCAGAACCCCATGTTGCAGCGGGCGTGACACTGCAGAGCTGAGCTGTATAGTACTTAGTATGTCTTAGTCGAGCGATCCGTCCCTTCAGCGTTGCAGCCATCGGCGGATTCCCCGTCTGTGAATACTGATGACCAACCGCCCGACGGCTGAGTAACGACCTCGCTGCCGTGCTTCCTTGTCGCAGACCAGTGTCACACTGGGCGGACGAACTGCTGCAGTCACATCAGTCATGTGTATGTATGATATTGATTGGTTGGATGGTGGCTTCCTGGGCTTGGACGTCACCAGATCCCGTTACAACTTGTGCGGGTGGGTGGAGTTCAGAAGGGCGCCGGTTGATGATGATACTGATTAGTGAACATTCGGCAGTCGGTAAAATAAGGTAGCATCGACACGGCGGGGGATCTGTGGAGGTCCCGTCCAGTCCGATCAGACGGGATTTTGTCATTTGATTGAGACTATATTTAGCTACGGAACGGGTCATATGTCTTCCGGTTTGTCTTCAGTCCGACTTCCAATCGGCTCATCCCCGCGGCTTTAAAAAGTTCCCCACGGTTTCTCTAAGTCGGTTAACCTCTGGTCCAGATCTCACGGCGTGGGCCGGTCTTTGCACGAATACAATGACAGTCCTGTGTCTCTGGTATTGACCTCAGGCTTTATTAATGATTATCGCTAAGCGGTTCTCTCGTCTCAACCCTGAAACTCTTTCTCCGCCGCGTCCAGCCTCACCTTCGTCAATGCCGCGGCTAGTCTGCACATCTGGTCGGGTTTCTTGGACACGGCCTCCCATAGTGTTTCCACATCACCACCGATCCCAATATATTTCGCCGTCTTCATGCTTCTCGGGTCGACATATGGTGCTAGGCAAGGCCAGATATGCTGTGCAGTGTCGAAGAAGATGTTGATGCCGACGTCACCTAAACCCTTGATGTGCTTGAGTTCTGCCCTGATCTTGGCGGGGTCCTCAGATGCCATCCCGAGAATGCTGTTTAGGTCGCTGTCTGTTGATAAGGAGGTCAGGGTCATGGACGAAGTTAGTATCGTTTGTGTGCAGCTCTTACCGTATATTTCTTCAATTAACGCAGCAAGATCGCCCATCATCGTCGCGGTCTTCTCTCTGCTCCTCTCGTCAGCACTCGTATTCCGACACAGTTATCCCTCGAAAGCATACCTGTAGTGCGTGTAGCCACCCTCGGTCAACACCTCGGTTCTTTCCTGCCAAGTGCTCTTCTTCAGGACGTCAACTTTGTGGTAGCCGGTCTTGATCACCAACGCGACAGTCTTGGCAGCGAGGGAATGCGAGATCCTCGTTGAGGACAGCATCGCATTCAGCAGCAATGCCAACACAGTATCCGGCGTAGGCTTCTCTGGATCGCGCAGATCTGTCTCGCTGAGTGGTAGCTCGCCATATTTTGAGATCAGTTCGCTAATCTTGGTGTCCGATGTCGTCTCTTTCGCATCCGCTGTCTCCTCTCCGTTATGACCTCCGCCTTCAACAGCTTCAGTAGCCGCAGATGATTCGGTCTTCTGCTGCTTGGGGTCTGGCGACTCGGCTTTAGCAGGGGCGGCTTTGCTATGCGAGCGCTTGTCGCCCGCCTGTGGCTCGGGGCCTTTATCCTGCGAACGTGTCGTCACCATACTGAACAAACGTCTTCCTCATGCGGCGATGGCGAGTATCTGCGGATATGCCTTGGTGTCGATGCGAAAACTTCGGGAGACTGGATTTATGAACTTCGGTCCAAAGAATGAGCTTGTTTACAGTACGAGCGAGTTTACATCACTATGATGATGAGGCTGAAAACCAACAAAAGTGGGGCGGGTCCACGCTCACCCCCGAGGTTGCGACAGCATCGTCTGCGAAGTTCGATGCGGCAGTGCAAATGACAATAAGAGCGGGGAGGATACGAAAGACTGAGGGTTACCATCGTCCACGCTGGACTCGCAAGGTGAAGATACTCGACCAAGCTTTCAGGGTCCGAAGTCGTTCACTCGGCCGCCTCATACGCAGTCCGTCATGGGGGGGACTGACAGTTCTCCCTCCCATGCACGTCGAGACAATCCTTCTCCCGAGTAGAGTTGCTGGCGCGCATGGTTGAAAGCCATATGAAATCGGTATAGTCATTAACCTCTCAAGAAGGTGACTAGCATGGTTTGGTCCAAACGCCTAGCATACCTACCTAGGCGTCTACTACATGACCTTCGTTCAGCCACATTGCTCATCTGCGCAAGATACATAACCGCTAACCTAGGAATTATAATGAGAAGGTTTGGAGCTAAGCTTTCTAGGGGAAAGAGAGAGTAAACCTGAGGCTGTTTAGAACCTTACTGTTAACCTTTCCTTCGATCGAGTCTCCCAATTATTTAATAGACTATGTTACCTACATTCATTCGGCGACCTTTCCCGGTAGGACTCTTCATCTGCGCTCGAGCCTGCCATTTGGTAATTCAGAACTTCACTAACCTTCAACCCTGTTCCACCGCGATAACCAACATGGCTCACCTTACGCAGCCCAACGGTGAGAAAAAACCACCAATACTGGATCTACCTCTTGAGTTAGTCCAGAAGATCTACGAGGGCTTAGAGACACCCAGGGACGCGATCAACATGGCTTGCACGTGCTCAGCATTCGCGGCAGCAATCAAACCAAGGCCTTTACACCTCATCACACTCAACGCTCGAATGCACAGGGAACGAGCGCGGAGACCTGTGTCCGAGAGAGAAGCTCTAAAGTTGCGCCAGAGAAGTCAGCCAATCCTTCACGCAATTCAAAAACACGACGATCTGGAGCTCATCGAAAAGATACTTGACATCTATCAACTGGAGTTCTCAGTACTCATCGACAACGTCTGGTATCCCAAAATCTACCATGTCCCTACTCCCGTCGAGGCAGCTATCAGTGCTGGCCGACTTGAAGTGGTGCGTCTTTTGGTGCAGAAGGGCTGTGGTCTCGGTTTGAGGAAGAAAGCGGCGTTGAAATTTGATCCACGAGTGAAAAGTCTACTCGCCGTCGACAGGTCAAGCAATGCATTCATGTACGCATGTCTCAAGAAACAGCAGGAGATTGCAATCTTCCTCTTCCAACACCGCGAGACCGAGATCTCGGGCGGGCACATGTATGCGGCGACCTACCTCGACAACCCCGACGTCGTCCGCGTCATCCTCCAGCATCCGAGCTATAACGGACATAACCGCTCTCAGCTTGTCGAGGATTGTCTCAGGGACGCGGTCAAATGCAACGCCGTAGGGTCAGCTGAGGTCCTCAATACGGCTGGTGCATCCGGCGTCGAGGGAAGACGACTGAATATGCTTGAGATCGCTATGAAGCACGAGAATTACCCGTGACCTGCCAATGAGCTGGACACTAACATGCGAGGTTGAGAAAGGGAAAGGCGGTGTCTGACTCCAGCAGAAGATGGTCTGCCTCCACTGCGAACCCCCACTAGCTGGCATGCTCTATATATAGCCACCGAACGGGAAATTCTTATCCATCGATACGGGCGCTTGGTCTAGGGGTATGATACTTCCTTCGCATTGCTATATAAAATACTTGGAAGGGGTCCGGGGTTCAATTCCCCGAGTGTCCAACTTTTGCCATTCGTACATGCATTTCGTTTTGGTATTTGCACGCAGAACTTCGTTGGATCTTGCTTGTCGTATGTGATAATCTCCATTTCATTTTTGCATTATTCACAGATGCGCTCTCTTCATGATACCCAAATTCTGCTCAGACTTTACTTCTATTTGAGGTAGGGTGTTGATCATTGTTCATTTGGCATCTATCCAACCTACAACTCCCTCTCCCCAAACCTCGGACCCATAGCCTTGAAGACCCTGTGGCCCAACGCACCCGCAATCAAGACTGCTTCCAACGCCAGGAGCCCCATCCATATCCCGTCAAGCACCGTCACTTTGTGGCCTCCAAGCTCAAGCAAGGCATCCAAATTCCACATCTGAGGTCGGACCGGTATTTGCACCATCGGGGTCGGGGTCGCGTTGGCAATGTGTATTTTGTGTTGCTGTATTGGGAGGCAGGGTCTATTTTTGGGACCTAACGTCAATTTCGGGGTCGACACACGCAGTGGAATGGCGAGGTAGGTGGGGTAGGGAAGCGCTTCTATACCGGTTGTCCGGGACAAAGGCGTTGGGCTGCACAAAGACAGCCGAGCCGCATGCGAGGGAGGTCAGGTAGGTCCTTACTTACAACTTCGTTTCTCTGCGTCCAGATACGCCAAGTTCGGTTGTTTTTGGGTCCGCCTGGGACTGTGAAAGGCTGGAGTTCGCACGCAAAGAAGACTCGGTAAGTGTAGAGAGATAGATGCGCTGAAGCAGCATAGCCGGATGCGCTGGGCAGGCAACATCTTTGGACTATGTTCCTGAGTTACAGTTTCACATGGGGATGTTTTATAAGATACTGGGATCTCATCCAGATGGGGTTTGGACACGTGTAGCGAAAGCACGGAGGCGGATTCGACGTGTTGGCTGTTCGGTCACGATGGGAATCGGTGGGAGGCGAGGGCAGGCGGTGGGATGGAGCGGTGTGTGGTCGGTGACCTAGGCGGTGATACCCAATGCCTACCATATGTATTCGAGATATTGGTTCACAACCAATTACCAAAAAGTAATGAACAGTTTCTGTCGAGAATTGGACGAGCCTGGCATTGTCAAAGTGAGATATATGGGAATGTTCCCTTCCGGGTTTTGTGGCAATACTGGAGTCCATTTACCCGGCTGGGGGGCGGGATGAGGATGCGTGGCGCGGCTCCAGGTTTGTCCATCCCATGAGCAGGAAGTAAAGGAAGTTCCTCGGTGGCTGCGTGACGTAGGAAGACTCCATCACATAATTGACAACACGACCAGGTGGTAAGAAAGCTGCATGGATGGTATTACACAGTATTACTAAGATTTCGTAAAGTCGAGGAGTCGTGATGCGTCGTAAAGAGGGTTGATATCTCGAAGACCAGTGCCAACCCCCATGGATGCGTATTATACATGTTTCCCAGGGAAGCCCGTACTCCATGCCTCCACGACGCCGGTAATATTCAAGCATGTTCACCTCCTGTTGTACAAGACCGTCTACTTCGCCTTGGTCTGCTTTGCCATTTCGCGCGCATCACCTCCCGAGGCTCTCCACCAGACGTCGCATCCCCATCGCATGGTACGTTCGATTGCCGCTGTTGGCGTTAGAGCTGGTCGTACATCGAGGTAGAAGACGGGCTCGCCGGACGGTTCAGGTTCTCCGGAGTAGTAGTCGATGATGTAGCGGACCTCCTTCTTCTGCCCATCGGTTTCGCGCGTGACGTACCAGTCGTGTCGATCGAAAGGGGGTTCGGTGCTGTTCATGTCATCAGCAATGGTCCTTTCAGTTAAGCTTCGATAGACTTACGCAAATGCTCCCGGGTATATCCATCCCATGACCTGGACCATAGCCGCTTTCGGCGTCATTTCCTGCGGTCTTCCCTGGAACCGTACCAGACTGGGACTCAGATCGTCCAGCTCCTTCTTATAGCCGTACTTCCGAACCATGGTATCGAAGTTTTGCTCGCCTCGACTGCACTTGCGCCAGCCCTTGTACAGACCACCGGCGAATCGCTTTTCCCACTCCATGATCTCGGCCCAGGCGCCCTCGTTCAGGAAATTGTGCACGCTGACCATGCTCTCGACGGCCGTGACGTCGGTGTCATCGTAGCCCTTGCGCAGCAGCGCATTGTACATCTGTTGAGGCGAGGGGTACTCCCAGTTGCCATCTCCGTCGCCTCGGGGAATGGTGGACGGCTCCCGCGACGTGGGAAGGGCTTGGGTCTGGTCCGGCGCACGCGCTTGCGATAGGTCGCTGAACATGTAGTTCAGGGGGTTCAGCTTCGAGAGGGTCGACCGCTGCTCGGGTTCTGTGGCCGCTTTCCTCGCTTCGTGTGGTACGGGACATGATGATGGAGACTCGGTCAATGGGGGAGAAGCGTGCTTCACGGGGCAGCTTGAAGCAGGAGGCGGAGGCGTCATCGCATTGGCACTCTTTTCGTGCTTGTGCATTGGACATCCTGGCTATCATGGGGTCAGCTCTCATAAACTCCCTATTTTGTTTATCGGTTTCAGGGCGGCTTACAGGTGGTGAGCGTGCTCCATCTTGGGAGATCGGAAAGGTGTGATGCGATAGAGGCTGCGACTGTGTGCTGGTGACAGGACCATCTGCCCAAAACCAACCCATGATTACTACTATTATGTGATCTGAGAAGCTTTCCAATGCCAAATGTAGGTAACGAAGTATGTGAGAAGTCAACGGCAGAGGGTTGACTTTGAATGGACTATGGCAGCGTGTATTACTTGTAAGGGAAAATCAAATGGTATCGCAAAACTTGAAGGCGACCTCGACTTATCGGCTTGTGAACTTTTCTAGATCGAGCCGATGGGAACCCCACTGCCCGGCCCGCGCGCCTCGGGCTATCAGTGCCCAATGACCTCGCCTGTATTTCAAGGGTTTTAGTGGAATGATGCGCTGAACCGATAGCAGCCCTGCAAGCACATGCTTGGGCTTAGGCGCAAGCGCCGGAGCATTCCCGCCGAATAATAATGTACGTCACCGATCTGCATTGATTCAGGTGCATGATCCGAGGCTTGTCGAAGTCGGTTTGTTATCATTCATCTTCGAGCTGTGTTATTATCTGGAGATTGGCATTTCCAGACGAGGTCGCGACATCATGCCCATGTGATCCCTTCTTTTGACAACAAGACCAATCCCCAAAAGACGACATGCGGTCGGTCAGCCTGCTTGGCCGGTTCTGCGCTCGTCGAGTTCTCCCGAATGCGCGAAGTCCCCATGTGAACCATGCGAACCTCGGTAGATGGCGTTCGACTTTCCGATCCCACATTCCCACCGCCTCCTCATCATGGCGAAATACTCAATCTGGCAGCAAGGTTCTAAGAGCTGCAGCGACCGGTGCGCTTGGGACAGCTGTATTCGTCAAGCTCTCAGAGGCCGATAATGGCGGCACGGATCAGACGGCAGAGGGGCGTATGCTGGAGGCATCGCGCGATGAGCTCGAAAAGACGGTCGGCGACAACGAGAAAGGATTCAAGCGGTATGCGCACAAGGTGCTGCTGTTTTTTGATGTATACATTTGGGAGCCTCTTAACACGGGCTTGAGGTTCTGTCACCTGGTTCTCATCTTTGTCCCCGTCATCCTCGCAGTCCCAATGATCTGGTTTGGGAAGCGCCAATCGGACCAGGACAACGAAAGGACGGGTACCCTATTGTGGTATAATTTCCTGGTATGGGGCATGGAGAAAGCTGGGCCAGCTTTCATCAAGGTATGCCATTGCTCCTCGCCTTTGCTGGTTTCACTTTGAGGCTCATTCGTTGATGCGCCGCGCAGCTAGGACAATGGGCGGCCTCGAGGACCGACATCTTTCCTGACCAAATGTGCGATATCATGTCGAAACTTCACTCCAATGCCCCTGCGCATTCGCTCCACGCAACGAAACGGATCATCGAGGCGGCTTTCGACGGGAGGAAGTTCGAAGACATATTTGATGAATTCCAAGAGACTCCTCTCGGTGTTGGCGCTATAGCCCAGGTATACAAGGCCAAGTTGCAGCCACATCTCGCCGTGCCTGGTGATGTGGATGTGTCGGAAACCTCAAGCAACATGCGACAGAATGTCCGACGCAATGTTGACACGGTGCTGAAGAGCTCGCCAAAACGGGTCCCGTCTTCCTATGTTGCAATCAAGGTCCTGCATCCCAGGGTTGAGCGGACAGTCCGGCGCGATCTCCGTATCATGGGCTTCTTTGCTTCAGCGCTGAACATGATACCTACCATCGAATGGCTTTCGCTACCTGACGAAGTTGAGCAGTTCGGGGAGATGATGAGGCTGCAACTCGACCTCCGTATCGAAGCTGCCAACCTCGCCAAATTTCGCAGAAACTTCAAAGATCGCACCACAGCCTGGTTCCCGTTCCCGTATCTCGAGTTCACTACCCGACAAGTCTTGATTGAAGAGTTTGCGCAGGGCATACCCTTGGCAGACTTCTTGGAGAATGGGGGCGGAGTCTTCCAGCGTGATATCGCACAAGAGGGTCTTGATGCCTTTCTACGCATGTTGCTGATTGACAACTTTATACATTCTGATTTACATCCCGGTAACATTATGGTTCGCTTCTACCAATCTCAGCAACCAAGTCTTCGTCGTCATTCCAGCCACGAACGTCCCGACGAGCAGCAGGATGTCACAGAGCAAGTACTTGCCCGTTTGCGGCCTTATCGCAAGAGGAAGGACACCGTAGCTTGGGAGGCAGAGCTGAAGAAGATCGACGCCGAAGGCTTCCGGCCACAATTGATTTTCATAGACACTGGACTCGTTACCGAGTTGAACGGCACCAACCGTCGCAATTTCTTGGATCTCTTCAGAGCCGTGGCCGAATTCGATGGCTACAAGGCAGGACACCTGATGTGCGAGCGCTGTCGACAACCTGAGGCTGTCATTGACGAGGAGCACTTCGCCCTGAAGATGCAGCATCTCGTCCTGAGTGTCAAGAGCAGTACCCTAGCACTGGGTAACGTCAAGATTGGCGACATTCTGCAACAGGTCCTCGACATGGTAAGACAGCACCATGTGAGAATGGAAGGCGATTTCGTGAACGTCGTGATCAGCATCCTTCTACTGGAGGGAATAGGCCGGAGTCTTGATCCCAACATGGACCTCCTCAGTAGCTCGCTACCCATACTGAGACAACTTGGCTCTCAAAGTGCCGCTACCATGATGAAGGGTGGAGACTTTTCCATGGTGTTCGTTTGGGCGGGTCTAGAAGCAAGGAGGTTCATGCAATTCAGTATTGAAGACGTAAGTGGAACATACTCTACGCTCCCATACCCCAAACAACTAACAACTAACACTGACGACGCTCGTGCAGGTTGAGAAATGTGTGAAATACGACTTGCTATCGCCTAACCTGTAGGCGCGATAGAGGTGGATGCTTCAGAATAGAACAGAGCAGCATTGCATAGGCGTTCAGCAGGTGCGGCTTGGGATGGGATGGGTTGTACACTACTCCTTGGGCGCAGAGGCGAATGACGGTAGACGAACAAGTCGTGGTTTTTGGGAGAAAGATATGGATTACAAGCGGATATATCTAATTCAAATCCGAGACCAGACCCATACGATATATGCCTACTCCCACTCTCTCTGTTTTCAGAATGCCAGGCGAAGTCATCTAGACCAAATGCGTGGCCAGCTGCGTAACCTGGTCCAACAGCGTCTGGTCCTCGCCGGCGGCATTCTTCAACACCTTGTCGCGCAGGTGATCGACCTGCAGCCCGGCGTCGGCCGGCGAATTGCCCTGCGCCGTCTGGATGCGGCTGACCTGGAACTCGAGGAAGAACTTGGGCACCTTGATAGCCAGGTCGCCGCCCACACTTCTAATCCCGGCCTCGGTCGCCACGTACGTGTCCAGTTCGTCCTGGAAGGTCTGCAGGTCCGAGTCGGCGACCGTGGGTTCTGTTGCGAAGGTCGATAGCGCGAAGCCGAGGGGTGTCTGGGAAGATTGGCTGAAGTCGATGGACGAGAAGGTGGTGTCGCCGGCGGTCACGTCGGGCACGCCGGAGAGCGTCGTGGTGGTGGTGGAGCAGGTTACCGTAGAGGCTATGGCGGCGGCCGCCTCGGCGGTCTCGGCCGGGAGGGTGGTGGAGTCGATTATGAAGCAGGCTTGCGCCTGGCGCTGGCGCGCCCAGGGCGGTAGGGCGGTCCGGGGGCCTAGCTGGATTACGGGGGAGGAGGCGACGAAGGGGATTTTGGCGGTGGCGAGGCCGGCGGCTAGGGCGAGGATGGGGAGGTGGGAATGCATTTTCGTTGGTGGTGCGGTGCGTACACTGAGGCTTTGAATTTGGAGACGACTACTTGGGTATTTAGGATTGACGACAAGTGTCGGAACGGGCGTGGTGAAGGTAAAAGATAGACGGCAACGAGCGAATGGACGAAAAAGAAGCACCTTTCCAGAAGGGAGAATAGAACTGGCACGAAGAGCTGAGGCGTGGGAGAGGAGACGGGTGGACGGCGATCATCAGGACTCTCGACGCGGAAGATCGTGAGGTTTTACCGGGGGGCACGTATAACCGCCAAGAAACTTTTGGACGATCCGTGATCCCTCATTGAGACGAAGCCAAGCCTGCCCTCCTGTGTCAAGATATTCTTTTCCGTCTCGTGTCCTACACGCGCACGAAGCGCCTGAAGGGCCGGTCCTGAGATTTACATCAGTCAGCTAGGGGGGAGACACGCAGCCAATTCCCAAATCCCTGATAGGCCAGCCACAGGTTCCTCGTTCCTGGATCTGGGCTGATCTGGGGGAGATACACAGTAACATCGACTTGCAGACAGGGTTTGCCTTGAGGCTCAACAGCTGACAGCGATCCTGTGCCAGGGGGACTTGCGACGTCGTCGACTTATAGCCCCATGTCTCCTGGGTTTCACGATGCAGGGGGGCCAATCAGAGGCCGGGATGCTGTGTGATCTCCGCGACCCTGGTTGTGTCGCGAGGTCTTGGCTAGGTCACTTTGGAGTTTGGACTACTTTGCCGAGGACTGTCTGTGAGCTGATGTTCTTTTCTTTTGTGAAGTGAAGCCATTGGTGGAATTCTTGCCATATATCCATCCGTCAGGGGAGGGTCGACCACCATTGGAACTGGACTTGAGAATCTCAGACCATCGCAGGGCAACAGCACTTCAGAGGGCTCCCCGTAAATTTCATTAATCAATTACTCTTTATTACTTGTTACTCCCCAGCCCTGCCCCGGATGGCAAGGGACTGTCTGTTTGTCTACCATACTGAGAACACACCGACGAAGGTGATGGTGGATAATGACACCACTGCTAACGAAGACCACAGCCCACGACTCATCCCGTGTATCTTCAACTCCAAGGACTCCAATCCGGCTCCCAGTGACCAATGGCTTTCCTTAGTGCTTGGGGGGCTTGTTTCATTCCTCCACGGACCAATATCAAGAAGACCGAACCCGACAGACTTGAGTAGCTCGTTGGCGATGACAGTGACAGCAAAGAGCAGACGAGCAACGACCTTGTCGAGGCACTTCAGGATATAAGCGAGGGCGAGGACGAGGCGCGTGATGTATATCAATATGCATCCTATATGTTTTGTCAGTTTCCATCATCATTACAGCAGGAGACAAAAGTGGTTTGGCTTACCGAGGCCGAAGCTTGAAGATGATGAACTTGACGGTGCAGAGAACCTCAATGAGATTCCTTATGGCTGCCATCACGGGGCTTCTGCAGGCCGGGATCATCAAGTGCGCCAAGCGCTGCTTCGGCCTTCGCGGGAAGCCCTGCATCATTTGGGAGGCAGCGGAAGGGTTCTCGGGTATGGCATTCACAGTCGCATAGAAGTCTGTGATGCATATTAGCACCCACCGCCGCCGACGTGGGATGTTTGCGTTGGCAAATCACTCATGTTGGGCCTTGTGCTCCTGGATCTCGGCGAGAAGAGTGTTCAGCCTCTTGTACACCACGGCAATCCGGCGATCGAGGATGCAGTTGGCGATGCGGTTACCGATGAAGCGACTTGTGAAGCTAGAGGTCAAGCCAACGATGTAACCAATGAAGAAACAAACAAAGATGCAGACAGCGATGGTCACTTTAATTTGCTTGACGACGCTGTTGTCCATGGCGGTGGCGATGGGGTTGGCGATGCGGTTAGCGATGAAGCTAGCGGTCCAGCCAACGGTGTAACCAACGATGGAACAGCCAACGATGTAGGCAGCGAAAAGGCCAATGGTGGCCCTTCATTGTGAGGGTGCTGTCTCGAGCTGGATGCTGGAGGCTTGGACAAGCGAGGGGTGGACTGGGGAGCCGGGCGTTGCTGATGAGAATAGAAGGGTCGATCAAATATGTGAAGGGTCAGACGACTCTATTTATGCTTGTTTCGCTCCTCAGCTCTTGCCTTCATTCTAGCACTTCTTCTTTCCGCATCGGTTGGTCCCATGGTGCCTGCTGTCATAAATCTGAACTGCCACATGACTTCCCCCTCAAACCCAGATTTGCGAGTCCCTTCCGGTGAAGCGGTTTACAGCCACCAGGACATCAATCTGCCTCGCGAATGCACCCTCCGAATAGGTTCAAATCTGCACAGGAACATACACCTTGTAAATAAACAACATGCCGATCAGAACACTCGACAATCATCAATTGACCGACAGCCAGGGCCGTGTCAGCCTGCATGCAATGATGAGCTCAGAAGGTGGCAGTACTGATACGAATGTAGTACTGTGATTACATTGTTTTATCATTGAGGTGCAGGCTCGTGGTAGACGCTACGGTAGACAGTAGAGTATTTCTTGCCTACGGATGTACATATGAAGGAAATAGGACTGCCTGAACCGCGCAAGGCAACAACCTCAGCCGATCCCTGGTGCCTGATCATCGGTTGACATCGCCCACGACCATTTCCATTGCGCCATGAAATTCCCTGGGGGGGAGAGCGATGCGATACCCGGATGCGATCAAACCTGATTCCCCTGCTGGTATTGCACATCATATTCTCTGGTAACTCCGATACTCTGTGAGCCTTCCGTCTTCTTGCCGGTTCCTTTGCTGCCCCCGGAACCTTTCTTATACGTGCCTGACTTCGACCCCAAAAAAGCAGACATTCGGGGAGAGTGGCGATCAAAGAATGGCTTGAGTCGTGCCGCGCAATTGCATATGATTGCGAGGTTGCCCTCCAGGATGGAGAGAATACCACCCTGAGCCTGGACCCAGGTGATATCCGGGTTGCTGAATCTTGCGATCAAGGCGACACGTGCAATCGAGATTATAGCAGCTCTAGAGCATGGAGATCAGTACTGGGCCCTGATTGATCTCTCGTAAGGTAGTCAATACTCACGCTGATCCGAGACCCAGGATGCCTCCGACGGCGAGCTTCTGCTTCAACGGCATATGGAGTCTGTGCAACATGGGAATAGGGAGTACGATAACGGCAGCATCGGAAATGACGTTGAGAATCGCATTGGCCAGTGCCCCATCAGAGAAGCATTTGGCAGCCTTTGGGGTTGCCAGGGACGTCCTGCAAGGGCCGATGAAGATGACCATGAAAATAATCTGGTAGCTGATCATGGCCGCGGCCACGATATAGAGGCAGATTCGAAATGGCTTCGAGGGGTTGATTCTGTGATAGAGGGTCAACATGGCCAGTTTGACGAGGACTACGGTCCACGTATCGTCAAGCAAATTAGAGTCAGCAATTACTTCTTTTAGATGTTTTGTGGAGTAAAATGGAGTCGTAATGCGTGTCTCGGGAGCATGACACGGGCTAGAAGAGGAAATTCGCGCCCTGGACATGGCTATATGGGGAAATCAGAGACTCGAAAATGTACATACAAGACAGCGCCAAAGTGCTCAAAACCTTTTCGTCATGTTAGTGAGAGATATCGTAGAGGGTGAGCTTCTGGTAGAACACCTACGTCAAGGTATCCTTGAATCTGGGTCACTCGGACATCCCACAGATGCTTGCCGAATCCGTTATCGAGGGCTGCGTGCCGTTAGCTATATGTTAACTAAACTCTCGATGCGAGAGCGCGCCACAGGCCGCCCCGGTCTACGAGTTATGGGGAACCTACCCATGAGCACAGTAGTACAGAGCAGCAGAGAACAACCAAAAGCCAATATAATAAGACCTATCCGGATGTCAGCGTCCCCCTTTTCATATTCATAGGTGGATGTTCAACCGCTTCACTTACCATCGTCCAAGTAGAAACCCTTGACAATGAAGACGGTCGTGTACAGACGCCAGATTAGAAATAGGAAGGCAAGGGCTATTGATATCGATGTAACGGCAATCGTCGCGTTTTGTAAGCCTGTTGCATTGAAATCCGGCATTTGCCCAGCGGGCGGCGCCAGGGCCGGTGTATTTGCGAGAGCTGCCAAGTCCATGTTGTCGTGTGTTGATAAAACCTAGATTTCGGCGCCCCGTATCCGTAGGCTTGACCCTTGATTTTTATTGAAGGGAACCGAAGAGGTGGTGACTTAACGCTTATAACACTTCTGGGAGTTGGAACATATCAAATAGTCACGTAACTATACTACGCCGCCACATGCACAAAGACTTACTGCAAGCAAATGTGAACAATGTGTTTGTTTCTCTCGAATCGGTCAGTCGTCATTTTATTGCACATTCTTTACTCTAAACAGCGTACACCAACGCGAGCTACCCCCTGGTTATAAACAGGTACCTGGGAGCTCATGCTACCATGTCAGATACTCCCAGGTATGAAGTCATCTGCTTGCGGGACGATTGTCGTCCGCTTTCATTCTTTGTCTCGGCGTTAAGTGTTTGCGGGCTAGCATCGGTATGATACCGAGCCGCAAGCAAGGGAGGCCAGCGGGAGAGATGTCTCACCAAGTCCCCGTGCCAACTACTGCAAAGGCCAAAGGCCCGACGGGTCAGTAGTAGGTCGCAGATGAACGGCTCACCGTGTCGAGCCGGGACTGTCGAGTTTAGTAGCCTCCGAGAAGACTCGGCAATCTCGCGGCGCTGGCTGGCTCTGCACTCGGATTCATTGCCGTGGACTTACCTCCAGCTCGATCTACCTGATCAGGCTATCGCGGCACTCGTAGATGTGTGCAGCTTGATCCTATGGTCAGGTTATCGAAGGGCTCATAGTCATGGGCCCGCGCCAGCGTGGCGTCGCGTGGCTGTACCTTTATGTCTAGGCCTCCAAGGGAGGCGACGCAGGAGCAGAGGAATCCCGTTCCTCTCCTGATGCCTCAAATAAGTTCATCGACTGTGTACTTACTGCAGCATCAACGGTAACTCACGAGCAATCCGCACAATACTGGCGCGCCCATTCCGCCAATAAAAAGACAACCTCCCTCTGCTCCAGCAAAACCCGCTCCGCCCTCAGGAGGTTACCTTTCGCCGTCGCGGCTATCGGCTGGCCCCACGACACATCACTGCACTCCAGATCCCACGCAACAGCCGCCAGCATTCGAGCGTCCTGTTCGGCAGTGTACAGCTTCTCGCACTCTCGGAAGTACATCTCCTCCCACCCCGCGCGCTCGCTGGCGTGGTGCGCGAACCAGGGGAACCAGTCGGGCCGCTCCCAGCGCATCTGCGAGAGGTTCTGCCAGGTCGCGGGACAGGAATCGAAGAACGCGGCGGGGTGGCCGAGGTACTCGAGGCGCGTGTGGTGGTGCTGCAGCGAGAAGAATTCGCATTCTTCTGGTTCCATCATGTCGTCTTCTTCGTGGTCGCACCATTCTATCTCCACGTATGGGATGCAGCAGCTGTGGTACCCACACCGTGGTTGTGACGTGTTGGGCAGCCACTGGTTCGAATGTGAGATCTCGCACTGGTGGTGTTTTGTTCGGAGTGGGTTGGCGTAGACGGTTGGGTTGGCGGTGACGGGGTCGATGATAATCGGTGTTGATACATCGTGGTGCATCTGGTGGATGATGTTTTTCCTACACATGGTGGAAGTTGTGCGTATTTCCAATACTAAAAAGTTCAGTTTCCTTGAGAAGAAGATAATCTCTGATGTGCTTCTGTGATGATCGATATACCAAGACCGGCTTGGGTATGACTTTGTTGCGTGATAGCCAGAGTCGAAGGTCTTGAAAGAACGGTATTCTAGACAGAAACCAAGCGACCTCAAGTGCTATAGCTGTGGAGTCTATTTATACGAGGAAGTAAGCACACTGAGATTGTTTTCGATGGAAGTTGCTATCAGTCTCCAGATCATCGTTCCTGCAGGTACTTATTCGAAGCCACACGCACAATGAGGATTCACCCCGTTGTTTCGGTGCCTTTCTGGGCGTACAAAGAGCGGCCATGTCTTGGTTCGTAGGAAAAGGCTCATCATTCCGACTCTTTATAATGGGATTATATCGTGAATGACAAGACCTTGTAAGGGGGGCTTTGTTGTTTGCCACGAATTGCAGGAAGGCGCCGCGATGTCCTTAGTTGGGAATGACGAGTTGCCGGATCATGACTTCGGAGTCACGAAATCACTGGCTCAACCAGCTTGCAGTGATCGACTCCATATGAACCAATGGCCCCAAGGTTGGAGAGATCGAGTCAAGCAGAAACCCTCAGTTGGTGGCGAGCAATTAGTTGGACAGGTCAAATACACACTGCAAGCATATCATGCATTAATTCCCATACTCTTTTGATCCAGCAATGGTCAGCTTTGAATGTGACGTTATATACAGTTGCTGAGACAGATGCCAGTGATAAAGATATCTACAAGATAGTGAGACTCGAGGTCAGAAATGATATATACAAGAATATAGTGAGACTTGTGGTCTTTGGTCCCAAGGAGGGAATCGCATCCTAGCTGCACGGGCTGATGCTCGCCGCACTGCTAGCATCTTGAGGGATGATGCCAGCGGCGGCGGCGCTCTGGCAGCACCATCTCCATTCATTAAAACCCGAGATCTCCTCGCAAATTTGAGTCAGTAATTGCTTCATTTAGGTAGTTTGCCGAGAAAACATGGAGTCGTAATGCGTGTCTCGGGAGCAGAAGCTCTTAACACAGGCTAGAAGAGGGAATTCGCGCTCAGGGCATAGCCATACGGGGAAATAAAAGACTCGAAAATGTACATACGTAGTTGCACTTCCACGACCAAAAGATCCAGCCGCCGGAGCGCTCGAAGGCTTGGGCTTGCGCCGCCCAGAAGTCCTTGTACCAGGCGTTGTTGGCGTCGGTGTCCTTGATGTCAAACTCGGCGTTGTACTGCACGTCGTCGGCGACCGAGATGGACCACTCGCCGATGATGATGTCGTCGCCGCCGCGGTTGTCGCTGCAGGCCGCTGAGATGTAGCCCTCCTGCGTGGCTGTGACCGACGTGTCCCACTTCAGGTAGCGGTGGTCGTCGTAGGCGGCGAATGTCTGGTCCGTCAGACTGGAGCTTGGATCGCCCGAGCCCCATGCGGTCGCCATCATTTGGATGTGGACGCGGTTGCTGTCGGTAACACTCAGCTGATCTTCACGAGCCCTGATGCGGCTCCAAGCAGTGGGGTAGTAGTTGGCGATCATGTCGGCAGCCTCGGAGGGATAGCTCCCTGACTGGACGGGCTCGTTGATGACCTCGATCATGCCGACGTTGTAGTAAGCGCTGTTGGTGTGAACTCTCTCGGTCATCCATTCCAGGAACTTGTAGGCGCGCTCGTAGTTGTCCGCGGTGTAGAACCCGGGCGTCGATACCGAATGGCCGGTGAACTGCTGGTTGGGCGTCTGCACCCCTGGCCCTCCATGGAGGTCCATGATGACGTAAAGTCCAGCCTCAGTGCAGTTGCCGACAATGTAGTCGAGGTATTCGAGGCCGCCTTTCGGGTAGTATTCACCATCGTTCACGAGATCCTCGTTGATCCAGAACCCGACGGGAATCCGCACCGTGTTGAGACCCAAGTTCTTGATCTGGGTGATATCTTCGTTGGTGATTCAGGTTGCCCAGTGGTTTCGGAAAGCTGCGTCGGCTGCGTCCTGGCCGAGGGCTTGCACGCACGACCACTCGTCGTTGGTGTCCCCACAGCCCATGGTGTTCCACTCATCGCCAGCCATCCACTGTATCATCTCCCAGTCAGTGACCGTAGGAGATCGCTTCATGCTCATAAGAGTTGCCTACCTTCTCGATGATGAAGTGGGATCCCAGGTTGACACCCCGAATCTTGTCTGAGCCAGGCAGCCATCGCCGACTGTTACGCGCGGGTGTGGTCGAAGACTCTGCAGCTGCGGAAAAGGTCAGAATGTTGTGCGTTTGAACCAGGGGATGATACTTACGTCTAGACTCAGCAACCCATGCGCCGGAAAGGGCAATCAAAGCCGTCGTGGTGAACTTGGACAACATTTTGATAGTGCAAGAGTCGACTGTCTACTGGAATGAATACCGGGAGCTTACACTCGATCGAAAGATAGGATTCGGGTACGGTTATATAGACAGAGAAGCAACCCACATGAAGACAGGACATCGGACGACAGCCGCCATCCCTGGGCGCCAGCTAGGTTCCACCAACCTGGTACCCTTGTCGTGGTATAAGCCCCGAGAACGAGGCCGTGGCCCGTGGGGTCTATGAGAAGGGGACTCGGCCGGGCGAACAAGGGCTGCAAGGTTGCCTCGGTTGCTTCGCACGCCTGGCCTCGCCCTGGTGTTGTGTCCTGCGACTCTGCGAGAGCCTGGCGTGCCTGGCATTGACTTGCCTCATCGAGCTATATCGAGGACGATCGTTGTCCCACCGGCTCTTGGGGCTGGAGCACTAAGCTTAAATCATACCTGTCGTTGAATTCTTCGAGTACTACGTAAGCGTGCGAAACCAGAAGAATGCCCGAGCGGAAGCATTCACGCACTGGTCCTCTGGTTGAATGAGGTCAATGCTGACGACGGTAGCGCCCTGGTCAGCTGCAGGCTGTATAGAAGTGCAAAAAGAGATTGACGCGGCTCTGTCATCTCAGTCTTGGGGGTTTCACCAGCCTGGCTATGTTCTATTCTCGGACAGGCGCAATGGCCCGGCCGCCCGTGGGGAGAGACGATCAAAGATCACGAGCTAAATTCTAAAAAGAGGGCGACTAACCCCTTTCCAAAGCAGCGGAAACGCGCCGGCTGTGAGAGGGCTTGGTGGGCTGTCCTGGTGGGGAATTACTATTAGAGTATTAGGTAGTGCCCGATGCTGCGCGTCTTCTGAAACAGATCTAATCTCCGTCGCCAGCACCATGAATGTGGACCTTCCCAACTCAAGTACCTATTTCGTCTGGACTGATTGGCTGGCTTGTTGCCCTGTAACTGTTGGAACTTTTGGAACTTCAATGTTGCTTTTATATGTCCGTGTGGACGTTGCACTGAGATATGTTACCCCCATTTCTATTCTTGTCATAACGACACCTGCTCAATTTACACGATACACCATTGCACCGAACAGGGGCCGACTAGAGAGTGGCCTGGGTAAGCGATGTCTGATGTCAACTAACTCCTCTTGCGCGACCGAGAGTATACCTCCATGCCAAGATGTAAGCCGATGGGCAGATGCTGACGCCAGACTGCCCACACCAGACCGTCAAGGGGTAGGCCCGCATGCGAAAATGAAAGGCAATCGAGGCTGACGCCAACCTCGTCTGTGGACGGCGAGTGAGCCGCATTGCCAATTGGGTTCGACTCCTTTCACCGGTGGCCGTTTGGGGCTTGGCTTGTCCTTCTGGAGGGACTTGCCGATCAAGATATCTAACCCCTTTCTTTCTAGCATGACAGTGAGAGTTGCAAGATATGACTTGGTGCATCTTGTCCATGAGTTTTCTTTTGCCTTACGGACCAGCGTCGACCAGAGTCCCGGTCATCTGGCGTTCCTTTGGACACTCTGTTGCAACTTACCCCCAAACGTGTGGTCATCACTCGACACGAAGATCGACTGCCCTTTTGAAGTACACACCTTCAATCGCACACGCCGGCCAAATTCGTCCTTGTTGGAACCAATATAGCTCTGGGTGATGGCCATCTTGCTTGCCGCCATCAGCTCACTCTTCTCATCGAGATTTCCGGCATAGAAGTGGGCATCGGTGGTGGTGTCCTGAGCTGCCACAATCGCCTGGTAGAACGCGATCATGGCTCCCGAGCAATTCAACAATCTCTGCTCGTAGACGTTGGTACCGCAGGAGTATGACTCCCCGGAGCCCACGTCGTCGGTCACGATGCCGTGGATGGAATTCAAGATTGCATCGCCGATAGGGGTCGAGATGATCACTACAAAACTCAGGACTGCGTTGGCTGGGATAGGCTTGAATTGTGCGTAACGGTCTTGCGTGGATAACTTGTAGTAGGTGGCGCCGAACGAGGTGCAGGTGCTCATGAAGACGTTGGCCATGAACAGACCTGCTATGAGACGTAGCCAAGTCGCGAAACTATATGCGGGTTAACTTGGGAGAGTCAGAGACCGACCTCCTTCTCGAAAATCGACCCAGTCTGTAAGAGTGAAAGGTGACAGCCGCAGTCGCATTCGAAATAGTCATTGCTCTGCCCTTGCACGCCAGGAAGGGTCGTGGTACCCGGCGGATGAAGAGTGGCCGGCTACACTCCCTCGATCGTGACACGTAAGAGCCCGAAATCGTCAACTGTACCTTCATGCTGCTCATGCACCTCAGGCCATCCATCATTACGGTGCTGGCAGCACCTGCTTTCAGCATTGAAGGCCCGTGCACCATCGACGACGCAGGCCGCAAACAAGCAGGTTGCCATACCTTATAGCACTTTGCGGGGGCGCATCTTGTGGTACTGCACATCGTTTGCTCACCAAATTCCAATTTCCCGACGACGTCGTTTCTTAAATAAACAACAACACGTCCAGAAAACCCAGCTGGACCTCCGCAATTCACGCAGTCTCAACCACCGATCCGGGCATGATGCCAACGCACAACATGAAAGGATATGAGCGGCTGGACGTGTGGGCCCTCGAATACACACTTCAGCTACGCTTCTGGCTTATCGGCATCTTCATAGCTGCATTCTGGTTCGCCACAATCTACCAGGAACCTTCATTTCAAGACAAGGTAGGAAACCGACCGACGCAGCCTCGAGCCCCATACCAGCGCGGCCAATCCACGGCATGGCTGCGACCTTACCTCACGTCGCAATGGCGGAAGGGGGCCGCTGTCCTGATCTACCTCGCCATTCTCTCGCTGCAGCTGTTGGAGGGGTACTGGATAGTCAAGATGGACGCCCGCATGTTGAAGAAGTTCTGGGTGATCGTGAGACCGCGGTACACCGGGCTGGGCGTCGGCCTCGTACTACGCTGCGCACTATGGCCCTTCCTTACCGCGTTCATGACCGTGTGTGCTCTGGCCACCATCGCGGCCGGATTCCTCATTGTCTTCCTTCAGCTCATTTGCCTCTTTGAACTGGCGACGCAATCCCCGGGCGACCTGACTCCGACCAGCTAACACGGAAAGCGCGAAGCTGAGGACGGATCTGTGAGCGCTGAGGGTTCGCGATGCGAATGACGGAATGCAATGGCTGATGCGCGCTTTTTCCATTCTACGGCGAGGCGTCTGTCGAGTGACGGTTGTCGGTTATACTGCCCCTTACTCCTGGGTATGTGCCGACACCAAGCAGACACCCCCTCCGTTTATTCCTCAACTCGTGACCGTCTATAAGGGGCGGTATTGAAGATAATGACGAGCAGATGTGTGAAGTAGCAAGGCATGTGCCATTGTGCCTCTTTACGCTCTGCTTTGATCAACACATTGGACAGGCGGACAGGTTGTCGTATCCGAGCACAGCTCCGAGATTCGTATCCGAGCACAGCTCCGAGATTCGTATCCGAGCACAGCTCCGAGGTTGGTGGAGACGGTCCATCGCTCGCGTCGCGGCGGCCTCTACGCTGACAAAATAACGTCACAGCTTCATCTTTGAAGAGCCAGCTTGCTCATGCTGGCTTCTGATTGGCACGACACCTACAATCCCACCAGTCTGCCCGACCGCACCGCTGGCGTCAACTATCCAGTATATATAAGGTATCAATCATGAGCGTCAGCATCTGAATGTCTGGAACCGTTGGCCTCTACATACCAAAGAGTCAAGCTTCGTCATGCGTTTCACGGCTATTGCAACCGCTGCCAGTGGCGTCGGTGTCGCCCTCTCGAGTTCGATACTCCTCTCGGGCGGAACCATCATCGCATTTGACGAAGAAGCCCGAGCCCTGGATGTGATCCGTGGCGGGTCGCTTCTAGTCACCGACGACCGCATCGCGGCGCTCTATGAGACAGGGAAGCCTAAGGACTTGCCTGCAGACACCGAGATCGTCGACTGCACACACAAGATCATCTCGCCGGGCTTTGTCGATTCCCACCGACATGGCTGGCAGACGGCAATGAGGACGATGGCCTCCAACACCACTCTACCAGACTACCTCATGCGCTATGTTGGCCCGGCCGCCGCAGCCATCTACACAGCTGAAGATGTGTACATCGGGCAACTTGTGGGCCTCCTGGAGGCCTTGAACGCCGGTGTCACGACGACGCTTGATCACGCCCACCATACCTGGACCAAGGGTCATTCTCAGGCTGGACTCGATGCATCCATAGACAGCGGTGCTAGAGTATACTGGAATCATAATTTCGCGGGCATGGGCGACTATGGCATCCCGGATCAGATTGCAGACTTCAGAGAATGGGTGACGACCAGGGCCACCGCCGACAGCCTCACCACCATCGCTGCCGCCTACGACTCTTGGACCGTTGCGCCGCCAGAGGACACGCGTGCAGTCGTTGACGTGATCAAGTGAGTGAAGGAGGCCTAAAACTAGGCTGCTGCACAGAAGGAGAAGGCGCTAATTCATGTTGACTCTCAGGGAATTGAAGATACCAGTCTTGACGACACATTGGATGGGAGGCGTCTGGGGCCGTAGGTGCCGCGGGCAATCGAGTTTATGATGCGCGCAAGCTGCTAATGGACGTCACAGTTGACAACTCGCCAGCCCTGCTGCACTCTTTGGACATTCTAAACACGAGCACTGCCGTAGTCTTTTCCCATGCTGTGGCCTTAGACCCAATCGCAGCAGACTTGCTCACGGCGACTAACCAATTCATCTCCATCACGCCCGAATCAGAGATGCACTACGGCCATTCCCACTTCAACTCACACATGGTCCAGGACCAAGCGGCGCTCGGTATCGACACGCACTTCACCTTTTCCACCGACATGTTGACGCAGGCGCGCATGTGGCTCCAGCGGGTACGCTCCCGGCTGTTTGACGAGGTTATCACCAGGTGGAAGGTCCCCTCCAACAACCCCATGTCGGCGAACCAGGCCTTCCTCATGGCCACTCGACAGGGCGCGCTCTCTCTGCGACGGCCCGACCTGGGTGTGATCAAGGTCGGCGCCAAGGCCGACCTGGTCGTCTTCGACGGGCGCACCCCTGGGATGCTCGGCTGGGCCGATCCCGTGGCGGCAGTGATGCTCCACGCCAACGTCGGCGACATTGTGCACGTCATCGTGGACGGCCAGTTCAAGAAACGCGGCGGCAAGCTGACGTTTGAGAAGTACGACGACGTGGTCGACCGGTTCCTGGCCAGCGCCGAGAAGCTGCAGCGATTGGTCGGCGAGAAGCCGGCGCCCGTTCTCGAGGGCAAGTGGTTCGGCAGGGACGCCGAGTATGGCCATGCCGATGAGGTTGATGTCATCCGGGGCCCTGGTACGGGCTATGGGGGGCTCTTCTTGGACACGAGCGATAAATCACGCCATGGTCCCGAATATGCTTCGGTCAGAGGTGATGGAAAGGATGAACTCTGAATCGCGTCATCATGAGTGTGATGAATGATGCACGGGACCCACCAAAGCAGCCCTGCACCCCTTTTCACTCTAAATACTTTACTTATCACGAGCAAATGCTAGCTGCAAGGACCATTAGCACGACTTCCGGCGCGCTTCCCGGAATCTCGTATCTGTTATACCATATCTGTCTCAATTCGCCGAGACCTACCTACCTGGTATCTATCGGTGTGATGTCTCATTGCTGTCTCTTGTCATTCGTCTCAAATATCGCGTCTTTAACAGCCACACGCATCCCGCGGCAAGGAGCCTCAACGTCACCTGCAGATGAATAGGCGTTATTATGTACTGGGCAGCATGACACCTTCCTTCTCGGTTTCGTTTAAGGGTCTGCGAGCGGTCGTCATGACATGCACGCAATATAAGAACCCAGCCAAGCACCCAATGCATGGATCGCCTCCCGTCAACCAATCTCATTGCGGCCGCTCCGTGCTTGTTCCGCCATGCGCGCTCCCATGGTCGGGATGCATCACGCCTCGTGGTCGCCAAGATTCAATTGGCGTCTTCGGAGCTCAGCCTTGCGTGATCGCAAGGTCGGTATAACGCAATAGATTAAAGCAGACACTGCCCATATATGCGCTGCCAATGACGACCCTGCCGGCATTGCTCCGAGATGTGATCCCCTGGGTGATTGGCGGCATCGCAATCTTTATGCAAGGTGCAATTCCTATGGGTTGCGGTTGTGTGTTCTGCGGGGTACTGACGGCACCAACGCAAGCACCCAGGATTTGGTGGGTGTCATAGGCCGTGCGGCTATATCACGGCGCCAGTGGCTTTCTTTTCTGTATACTCCCGTTGTGCAGGCTGAGTGCCGGTCGGGTATTCCCCTGTCCAGGATTGTCTGGCTCGGTATCGTTTACCTCCCGAGCCAACAGACAACCAACATGAGCGGGCTTTGGACGGCGTTGGAAGCTTGGTCCATCGTGTCGACACATGGACGTTGTGATACAAATAGCGGGATGGACGCTTTCTTGTTGAGATGGTGGCGCTCACGGTCTCTCTCGCGGTGTGTGACCTCAGATTCACACGAACACTGGATTCATACCGTCCGACCCAAGAAGCATACCGCCCCTGAAAAGGAATTCTAACCAACGACATTGGTCGACAATCTACTCAAAGATGCTGAACCAACTCACCGTGCCGTTATGGCTGTATGCCCTCATAGCGCTCTGTTGCAGTGCCCAAACGGCGCACGCCACACAGCCGAACTTCATCTTCATCATCACAGACGACCAGGACTTATTAATGGACTCCTTGATGTATCAGCCCAAGGTTCAGAAGCACTTCGGCGACGAGGGAACCTTTTACAGCAAACACTTCTGCACCATTTCTGTCTGTTGCCCCTCGAGGGTATCGCTGCTTACGGGGAAGGCTGCTCATAATACCAATGTCACTGATGTCCAAGCGCCATATGGTACGTTTCTACGCCTTGTTTCACTTGACCCCGTGTTCAGAGGGCCCCTTCATTGTGCCAGCTGACAAGTTGCCAGGTGGATATACGAAGTTCATATCTGAAGGATGGAACGACAAATATTTGCCGATATGGCTACAAGAAGCAGGGTACAACACCTATTATACCGGCAAGCTTATGAATGGCCACTCGATGTCGACGTACAACAACCCCTTCCCCGCCGGTTGGAATGGGACGGACTGTAAGTTGGCCATATGTTATGAAGCTTTTCTGCCAACTGATGAGATGACGTCCAGTCCTGATCGACCCTGGAACTTATCTCTACTACAACTCTACCACTCAACGGAATAAAGACGCCCCCAAAAAGAACCCGGGGCTATATTCCACGGATCTCGTCGCGGAAAACGCCATCGGGTTCCTGGACGAGGCCCTTGCCGCTGCTGATGAAGAATCCTTCTTCCTCGGCATTGCACCCGTTGGTCCCCATTCGGAAACGCACACTGCCGTTGTGGACGGGCTGGCAACAACGGCTCTGTACCCGCCGGTACCGGCGGACAGGCACAAGGATCTGTTTCCCGACGTGAAGGTGCCACGCACGAAGAACTTCAACTCGGATAAGGTATGTGCTGATTACCACTCCTTCACCCTCTTCAAACGTAAAGAGTGCGCGCGGGGATATCTTAACTCACAGAGCTGATCTCATCGACAGGCCACCAGCGCAAGCTGGATCAGATCCCTGGAGAAGAACAACGAGACCGTAGTCGAGTACATGGACGAGTGGTACCGGCTCCGCTTGCAGACGCTCCAAGCTGTCGACGACCTCGTCGACACGGTCTTCGACTGGCTGGACGCGCACCCAGACGTGCGGGACAACACTTACGTCATCTACACGACCGACAACGGCTTCCACATCGGCCAGCACCGCATGACGCCCGGCAAGAGCTGCAGCATCGAGGAGGACGTCAACATCCCCTTCTTCATCCGCGGGCCCGGCGTCGCCAAGGGCGCGGTCGCGACGTTCCCGACTAGCCATACTGACATCGTGCCCACGCTGTTCCAGCTGGCGGGGATCCCGTTGCGTGAGGAGTTTGACGGCGAGCCGATCCCTGTAACGGGGGACCTTGTCGCGGCGGGGAAGCAGAAGAGCGAGCAGGTGAACATTGAGTACTGGGGCTATTCGGTGGTCGAGGGTGTCTTTGGTGGTGAGGGAGCTGGGATGTACAAGACGCCGCAGAATGTCCTCGCTGGAGGTAAGTTGAGCACATATCGATTGGGTCACTCGGGGTTCCATGACTGACGCTGATAGTTGTCGGGATCAACAACACATACAAGACCGTCCGCGTGGTTGGTGAGGACTATAACTTGATGTACACAGTATGGTGCACCAACGAGCACGAGCTCTACGACATGAACGTACGTCGTGATCCCACCCCGTCCCTTCCCCCCTTTCCTCCCCCCTTCCCTTCCCTTTACCCAACAACTTCCACATCCGCACGCAACCCCCAGGCTAATCCACCACCCAGAACGACCCCTACCAAATGACCAACCTCTACCACACCAACAGCACCCTCGCCTCCTGGCCCCTCTCCAACCTAGAGCCCCGCCTCGACGCCCTAACCATGGTGCTCAAGTCCTGCAGCGGCGCCGTGTGCACGCGGCCCTGGGCGATCATCCACCCCGAGGGCGGCGTCGCCACGCTGAAAGACGCGATGCATCCCAAGTTCGACGCCTTCTACGGCGCGCAGCCCCGCGTTGCGTACACGGGGTGCGCGCTGGGGTACTTTACGGGGCTGGAGGGCCCGATGAGCGTGGAGCCTTATAGTTCGGCGGTTTGGGGGCGGAGGGAGAAGTGGAAGAGGTGGATATGAGCGAGGGTGGGTTGTTTGTTGGGGTGGAGGGCGTAGTGGGAGTAACGAGGGTTGGTGATAGACTGGATTTCTGGGGTTTCCGTTCGCTTTCTGCTGAGATGATAGACACTTGGAGGTTGTGTGTGATGAGGAGTCAGTAGCAATCATGATTTGCTGAATTATGATTGTTGGTGCCGAGGGCTTATTTCGGACAGCGAACACGAGGAAGTTGGAACCTACTATGGTGAGCAGACACTATATCGCTTGACAGCAGAGCTTGCGGAAGGGGCGTAGCATTAGACCAGATATGGCTGATGGGATTATGGAAGTCTTTAGCAATATAAAGATCTGGGATAAGCGAAGAGTGCATTCTGTAGAGGTATAGTCAATCGAATTCCTAGGTCACAGAATCGTGACAGTAATCCTAATAGGGGTATCATTCGTCTCCTCTCAGCAGAGGAAATATACTTCCCCTGCCCAATGATGATTCCGACAATCACTATCGATTGTACAATTTCCGCGAACGGAACACAAGCTCATGTTGCCCCAAACCAATCGGCCTCAGTCAAAATGGCCTCACCCTAGCTGAAGGTCACGTTCCGAATAACCCACTCACTCCTCCATGGCCTGTGAAGATGAAGTGGCCTCAAGTGGCTTCTTGGTCGGCAATATCACTGGGTATGATCCGATATACCCAAATAGCTCATTGCGGCACGGAGTCTGAACAGTCAAATTGGCAGTAGCTTGCGCCGTTGCCGTTGGCGTCCTTGGGACCCCGCTGCGCAAGTTGTGCCGTCTGCGAGGCGAGGTGAGAGCCTTGGGAGGAGCTGGGAAGCTCGTCATATTGCCCTGTGCCGGTTTTTGACGCATCGGAGGCCTTCGAGTCCCAGGGGCTCTCGGAGTCATAGGAGGTCTGCGGGTTCTCGGGGTCCCCGGAGTCTTGCGGCCTCTCGGGGTTGTTGGCGATTTCGGAAGTTTTGGCGTTCTGGGAGTGCGTTGAGGTCTCGGTGGCCTCGGTGTCCTTGGTGTTCTTGCGACATCATCTAGGCTGAGGCTCTCGATTTTGGGTCGGAGAGACTCAACTTCGAGTTCCATTGCATCGAGATGCGCATCTGGCTTCAGTTCGATGGCTTGGGCGACAACTTTGTCCTTGACGCTTTGGCATCTGTTCAACGCTTCCCGCACGAGATCCCGTCGCATGTCTCTTTGGTACTGGTTGATGACGTGCTCACAGCGTACTGACCAGCTCTCCAGCAAAACTGCTTGGGTAGCATCAGCTAACTGCCCTAGGGTTGCGACCGTCAGGTGTCGGACAAGGCCAAACTCGTTATCGGATCGAGTAACAGATCGGTCATGCAGTGTCGCTGCTGGTTCCATGGATTTATCTCGAATCGTGCCGAAATTGGGTTCGAAGCGGGTATGGAATGCTCTCGAAGATCCGAGTATCATGGAACGCTGTTCAATGAGATCCCGCCATTTTCTCTTGAGGCCTGTGAACATGTTCTGGACTACGAAATCCTGCTGGAGTTCCGATATGTCGTGATCGATAGGAGGGTCCAACGTCAACGACACGATCTTCTTCTTCTCCGGAGGTGTAACCGGATTCGCTGTTTTGGTCACGTCAACGGACGTGTCGGGTAGTGCATCTGACTCTGGGAGGATGGCCCTTTGAGGTATAGGCGGAGGAGGCATATTCGAAAAGCCAATGGATGCATGGTGCAGTGTGATTGGCTTGGAGCTTTCGACCTCCTGGGTTATGGCAGAAGGGGGTGTACTCGGGTTGGTAGGCGCCTTGTGTGAAGCGTCTCCCTCGGGGCCCGTGGCCGCTTGAGTCTGTGAATCCGGCGAGCACGTGGTTGAAGCCATCCTACAAGCTATGGATAAGCAGATGGTGAAATTCCGGTATCATAGATTCAGTATTAGCGGTGCTACATATAGTCGGATGACTTAAGATTGCCTCTTTGTAGTCAGTGCTATTTTGCCCAAAGAGCTGCTTCAGACAGTTCTCGATGTGGTGAGAATCGTCAAGATTGAAGCGAACATCCTATATCTGTTGCCGAAAGAGCATTGCCTCAGGCAAAGCTGATGATTCCTATCCCGCAATTTCGTTTCGATTTGAGGTTGCTGGCAGTCTGCCGGTCATAACTCGGATACAGAAGTTCTGTAAAGAGCTTAATGCGACGTAGTCAACCTCGATGCTCAGAACCAGTGTAGATTGGTCTAATCCACATCCTCACCATAAGGCTGACGATCATCTGGCCAGACTGGATTAACACTGTTGCACCAAGCGGAAACCATTTTGGTGCGATAGGCTCTGATGCGCTGGTCGGGGCAATCATCATCAGGGACTTCAATGTTCGTGTTGGTACCATATTCTGGATCAGTATGATATGTCGCATATCGTCCGATGGGCGGAGGCCGACGTTCATGAGGCCGGGCCGTTGGATGATGATTGACCCCCGTAAAGTTATGGTACGTCTCACGTCTTGCCAGGCTGCTCCTCGCTGAGGCCGGGACAGGCAGCGCCTGGCGTTTGGTAGGCAGCGTTGAAGAAAGATAACGTCCGCCCCGGATTGTTTGAATCCAGCCAATATGACGTGCCTCAATCCGGCAGTGCCCTTCGTCAGGTGCATGCGGGCGTACTATTTTGCACGCCTGCAGACTCTCGTCTTGCAGACTGGGCAATACACCATCATCCGAGTGCGCTCTTCAATCCATGTCCCGCATGCCCATGACGGACAATACACTCCGGCCGCCGGGCAATTCACGTATCTTGCAAGCCACCACTTCATGAATCTGCGACTAAGATGCTTATCAGCCTCTCTCAGGGGTATAGCTTCTTCCGTGCAACACTTTGGCGGGATTTGCTGCGGGTCTCTGACGCCGATAGTGAAAGACCGCTCAAGGCATGGCTTGCAATAGTAGTGGCCGCATTCAAGCCGCCGTGCCTGAGAGGTGTTGACATCGTCCGAGCATATCCTGCATTCTCGTGTCAGGTTTTTGTTCCTCTCTGGTTTGGTGCGTTCCAGTTCCGACTCCTCAGAGTCAGTAATGGATTCATCAGATTCACCAATGGAACCCCCGAATTCACTGCAAGCTGTTGATGCAGGCGGCTTCTGGTAGAATTCAACGTAAGTTGTTGATGCAGGCGGTTGCTGGTATTCTGATTCATATAGGCCGGTTGCTTGGCCACTGGGTGAATCTTCATCTGGGGGATGAGGTACCGCCTCTTGGTTCAGCGACACGAGCTCTTGTTCTGAAGCTGACGCTCCGCCGTCCTCCAACGGTACTGGGGAGATTTCGTCATCATCCGTGACATCTTCAAAGTACGGTTGACGGTACTTTAGGGTGATTCCGTCATCATCCGTGACATCTTCAAAGTACGGTTGACAGTACTTCACGGCCGTTGATGGTCGAACTGTGGTGGCCGGTGATATTTCATCTGCGTTTGCAGTCACGGCTTTGAGAGTCTCATCACAACTCCTCACTCCCAATGGCGTCGACATCGTAGTCGCAACTCCTCCCCAATTGATAGTTGGTGTTGTGGAGGCAGTACCTCGTCAGCATATGAAGTTGAACAGACAAGTTGTACTCACCACTGGGCTGTATTGACTGCATCACAAGGACGGGCCATCACCATCCCGGTATGGCTGCTTGTTAGGGTGGCTGACATTCGATTGCCCGACTGCGGCGACATCAGCTTCAATACGAAATCTCGCCCGTCTTCGGTGAGGTGTGGTTCCAGTCTCGAAGTTGGAAAATCGACTTGACCGTAGGTGTAACGGAAAAGAACATTGAGGTCCTGAAATATCGTCTCATGAGTCGTCATTCTGTAGATGACTGCGCCAAGCGACCACATGTCCACGGCAAAGGTGTAAGTGCCGCTTCCACCATCTGTGCCAATTCCAATCGCTTCTGGGGCTGCATAGCCGAGGGTCCCTTGCTGTAGTGTACGTAGTGTGGTAACGCCCTGCTGCCTTCGTTTGCTGATGCCGAAGTCGGCGATTTTGACAAACCACGCAGGGCTTGGAGTGACGACCATTATATTCTGATATAGTCAGTTCTCATCCATGGGTTATTCAGACAAGTGTTCATCTAGAAGGTAATACTCACTCCTGGCTTAAGATCTCGATGGACGAATCCATTACTGTGCATATATGTGAGGCCCTCTAGCACTTGTACAGTGATTTGCTGTACCTCAGGTTCCGGTAATGACTGGGTGAAATGTTTCTGCAAGTCCCCGTGTTGAAGATACTCCATAGTGATGAATACCGAGTCCCCAGACTCATACTAGCCGTCTGATCGCACGAAGCAATGTGCATACTGCAACCTAATGTCAGCACAGGTAGCAAGCAGCTTGCGAGTTCAACTAGCTCAGACCTTTGGGTGAGAGAACTTGACAATGGCCTCGAGTTCCCTCGAATAATCCAACTCTTCTCCGACCACGACATATTTCCTGACCTCCTTTACGGCCCTCAACCTCTGATCGCACCTCTCTCGGTAGACGGTGCCAAAAGCCCCTTGGCCGAGGAAGGCTGTGGGGCCATCGCGAAACCAACGCTCTGTTCTGCGCACCAGTCTTTCGCGTGCAGTGTGTCCAGTGCTGTAGTATACGTGCTCGGTAAATTGAGGGGTTACGACAGTTTCGATTTTGGAGTCCTGCACGAGGTCTGAGAGCAGTCGCTCTGGAGGCATATTCGGATTTGTCGGGATGGGGCGTCAGTCATCGGAGAGGTGCGGCGCTTGGGCGGTATAACATGAGACACGGAACTTCGACAGCGGCAAGTCCCAACAAGTCTGAATTTCGACACAGTGATCTACCAAGAAAGCCTTGGATGAACAGGACAACATTGTAGAATGGAGGAACTATTCAACGCACCTGTTCCAGAGCGGGGTTGTGCTGAGCGGTAGCTGCAGGCTGGCGGAGGTACGTACTTTCTGCGGACATACCTGTAGGTAACACTGCATTGCATCTGTCCAAGATCCAACCTCTTGAACGCTTCAGGAACGCAGCAGATATCCGACTTGCCGTATAGACCATGACCACTGACTGCCGATTCCATCCATATGGTTCTTGAGATGTTAGAAGGACACTTCTGAGAATGGGATACTATATTCAATCTTGTCGTCGTTGAGGTACGTATCGTGACCCAATATCGTCTGACCTACGGGCAGAGTATCGACACGTTTGTCCAGGACCGATCGGGATCGGGGTTGGGCGCTCCATGCATCATCTCGACGTACCTCGCAATGGGCGGCTTTCTTCCCACAACGCTTCTGATACTCATCCCCATCTGTGACACAGTCGTTAACATCATTGGAGCTAGAGTCGAGGCTACCTCGCTTGCTGTAAACTTGAAGCCATGAGAGCCCGAGACAGTCCAGACGTTGTTGCCACTAATCAAGGCCAACTGGCAGCCAGAGCTCAGCATTCTGTAATCTCGAAGGTGAATCCGGTGATGCCTGTTGATCATAGACAGCCCATCTGACTCCAGCAATATCATTTGCAGATTTCGTCCCTGAGCCTCACACCCAGGCTCACAAGACTATAACATCGCGAAAGGCTACCATCGCCTCAGGTCTACGAGGACTGCGGTCATCGGATCCCTGGTGTTTGGTTATCCGTTCGCAAGAAACCATGGCTTACACAACCTTCTGGCTCTGACCCATTGGTGCATTAGTGCATTAGGCGTTCCGAGTCAGGGCTTGTGCCTAGAATGGGAGCATCATGTGATGGTTTGGGCTTCGTCTGTCGTCCGATGCGCGTTTAAAGCTGATGGACCAGAGGCCTAGCTACGACGAAGTACCCCCTGGACGGGAAAGGCGCGAGCGTGATGTTCTGTTAGGGCCCACGGGAGGGGCGAGCTGCCCAAGGTGTGAGAAGAGCAAATGCTGCCTCGTGATTGTGGTGCTTTCTACGCAAAGAAGACTGATTCTTGGCTCAGAGAGTTTCCGTACGGACACGCAAGGGAGGGTCCATTGCGCCAATAATAAAGTCCAACGTGGGAAGTGCAAGATGTAGACAGAAGAAAGGGAGTCCAGGTATTTACCAAGGTATGGGAGGAAGTGAGTGAGTCCAGTCGGTTTAAGAGGGAGCGGACCTCGGGAAGTCACCACGTGTGAGAACTGCATGTGGGGTCATTTGATGGCAGCAGCGACGGTGGAACGTGCGCACCTTCCCAAGCACTCAGGGGCTGTCTCCGATTGGTCAGGTGCAAGTGGTCCGGGCCCCACCTGCAATCGCCAAATCCGTCAGCGGGACAATCCATTGTTCTGCCGGTTGAGACCAATTCTGCTTGCCCACGCGCATTTTTGTCGAGTTTCAACTTTCCTGCTTCTCCCTCCGCAAACCCAACACCTATCACAGCCCATCCCAACGCGTCATTGCGATCGCGACCGCGACTGTGCGAACCGCCCTGATGTATGGAGATAACCGCTATGCATCGTCCTCATCAGGACCTCCTCCGCCGCATGCTCCTCCGCAGTACCACTACGACGGACACAACAGCCAACAGCCGTATCCGGCGTACCCATCGTACTCATCGCATCCCCCGCCGCCTCCTCCCCCTGCTCGACAATGGGACGAGAGACCTCCCGCGCCTCCGGGAGGTAGTCGCGATTTGTACCACCCGCAGGAGCGACGCGATGATCCCTCATCCCGCGGCCCATACTCAGGTCGGCGCCAGTCTTCCTCCAACGGCCCGCCTAGAGACTACCGTGACGATGTTCATCCGCCCCAGTCCGACTTTTCTTTCCGCGTAGAACGTCCTCCTGTTGTTGACTCATGGCGACCATTTGATTCGTATGATAGCAATTACCGCTCTGACAACTGGGACTCTGCCACTCATCACGGAGACAGACAAGGTGATCGCAGTGACTCGCACCGACCGCGTCGTCAGGAGAATGGCCGACCGGCTGCTGGTGGACGCGACGGATATCGAGGTGGTCGGGCCACTCGAGGGCGCGGGGGTCCTAATGCGCGAGGCAGAGAAAAGCCCCATCACCGATTGCTCTTGTCCAAGAAACATGATCAGGGTGAACTGATGCTGGGAGATAGAACTGGTCGAGTAACATACCGAGATGTCGATGCGCTTTCCGATAGTGACGAGGCAGCCATGGATATCTCTGACAATTCTGACTCAGGCATCGCCGAGCCCGCAAACAAACGCGCGCGCACAACGGCCCCCGCCACAAACCCTGAGGACGATATCCCCAGATGGTCCAATCCAGACCCATACACTGCACTTCCTCCTCCCGATGAGTCTACGCGCAAGAAGAAGGATATGGTCCATCTAATCCGAAAAGCGCGCGTAGAAGCAGAAACAAAGCCCGCTGTGCAACCTGAGGCCGCTGATTTCATATCTTGCGATTTCAGTGATGATGACGACCGCAGCAAGCAAATGAGCAGAACAACACAGCACTCCGGGAATGACACTGGCAAAGGTGTGCCTAACGCGCCTACTGGACCACGCGCCGCCCCATCCACACTCCCTCCCAAGCCTGTTTTCAATCGCGAACGGGCTTCTTCGCTTCCAACCTCGGCACCATCTGGGCCAGCGCAACTTCCCAAATCCGCCAAACAGGCTGGCAAGAAAGCCGTCGTCGATCTCACCCCATCAGCAGCACTAGGCAACCGCAAGCGGACCTTCGACGATCAAATCAAACTGCCACACGCATCCTTGAAAAAGGCCACCAAAATGGCCTCAGGCGGTAACGTGGTCGCGAACTGGCAACCGGCAGCTGGGGAGGACCCTTTGCCCTGGGCCACCACCGATCATTCTGCGACGCGCAACATGGGAACCAGGTAAGCCGCATTCCTGGCGTTGATGCTATGATGCGTGCTAATGCGCTTCCTAGACTGCACAAGGAGATCATGGACTTTTACGATTTCGTCCGCCCTCGCGAGTTCGAAGAGCATGTGCGCAATGAAATGCTCACCAAACTTGAGGCCCTCGTCCAGAGAAAGTGGCCCGATGCCACCATCTTTCCATTTGGATCCTTCATGTCTGGTCTGTACCTTCCCACTGCGGACATGGACATTGCGATCTGCTCGAAGGGTTATATCGACAAGGGAATCCCGAAGTATGACAGGACCAAGTCTCTGTATATCCTCAAGGCCCATCTTACGAATCACAAAGTAGCTTACCGAGACGAGATCGAACTCATCACCAAGGCGAAGGTGCCACTTGTCAAGTACACTGACGACGAGACTGCTTTGAAAGTCGACATCTCATTCGAGAAGACCGACGGATACAAGGCCATCCAGACCTTCCTCGACTGGAAGGCCAAGTACCCCGCGATGCCCATCTTAGTATCTGTCATCAAGCATTTCTTGCTTATGAGAGGCTTGAATGAGCCCGTCAATGGCGGCATTGGAGGATTCTCTGTCATCTGTATGGTCGTCAACCTGCTGCACCAGAACCCCCAGGTTCAGAGTAGATCCATGCTGCCCGAGCATCATCTCAATGAGCTTCTGATGGAGTTCTTTGACTTGTACGGCAATCGTTTCAAATTTGAGACGACGGCAATCCGTATGAATCCGCCGGGATTCGTCAGGAAGGTGTGTTATCCAAGGAATGTAAAGGGAAGCTGAGCTAATCACGGTTACATAGGGCGAGGCAGGTCCCATGGTCTACCGCAATTACGATCGACTGTCCATCATCGACCCGAACAACCCCGGGAATGATATTGCTGGTGGCTCATCGAATACCCCAGTCATTCTGCGTCACTTTTCTAATGCACACAAGATGTTGCAGGAGAGAATGTCCAAACTTGCCAAAGAGGACGGCCCGATGGCCTCAGACCAGTGGAAAAGTACTATTCTGGGCCCGCTGTTTGCAGGCAGATACTCAATCTTCCAGACTCAGCGAAACTACCTTGGAAAGCTAGCCAAACAGGGACTCCCCGAATACGGTGCTCAAGAAGTGGAACAGGTTAACTGGTAGGGCTCGTCAGCGCCATATGAGCAGCTGTTGAACTTACGTGGAGACCAACGAAGAGTTCTTCGCGTGGCCCCTTGTAGCATACGAACGATGACATCCATCAACGTTCTGCTTCACTCCTGGACTCTTGGCTGGCAATGAGTATTACGAGGCAACGACACAATACGACGAAAACGGCAATTTGAAGCTCGAGATGGACTCGATACCGGGATTGGCGGCCACCCGCAAGACAGTCGAATCGGACTCGTGAAGAAAAGGCGTTACCGGAGGTGTCGTTTACAGGAGATACCCATTCTGCTTTGCAGGTTTCCTTCTGCTTCACCGACTCTGTTTCATTTACTTATGTAGTATAGTATGTAGGGTCTGTGGGCGGACACCACCACGTTGCCGTCGACAGCCCTACCTCTTTTCCCACCCTTTGCTCCACCACATCGGATCGACTAGGATCGATGGTTTATAGCCAAGTGGCGAGGGAAGAAATAGTACATGGCATTCTCACATACAGCCCATTCGACGGGCACACTCCAGTGGAGAGCCGTGGTGACCTACTAATCGAAACATGCCGACCTGTATTATGAGTAATCGGGTCAACCGGCACCTGTGCAGCAAGAAGCGAGTTGTGACACACTAACATTGTCTAGGGATTATGGGATCTGGACTTAGCCCACCCGGCCTCTCCATTATAGGTGGAAGGTCGGCGGCGATTCTGTCGCATCCTGCGGTGTCTGATGACACCACCTTTTCTCACCGGGTGCTGGACTGCGTGTCCGGCTTCGGAGAGGATATCAAGCTGTTTCCTGGGCTGCAATGGTCCTGCGGGTACGCGGTAGGTAAGTACGCTGTCGCGTTGCATGAGCTGCTTTCGCTGCAGTCGCGTCTGGTGGCCAGTCCCTTCCCATCTCCTCATGCACAATACGACTGTGACGTCACGACGGAGAGCTGGAAGTGTTCTTGTACTCGGGCAGTCAATGGCCACGAGGATGGGTCCCGCCGTCTTCCTTGCCTGTAGGACGCAGTTCTAAGCTGTGGTTATCCCAAATGATATCTACTGGGTAGGTACTGTTCTTCTGTCTGCCCTTCAATAAAGCTTTTGTACCTGTATCTGCCACCATTTCCACTGTGCAACCAAACAATACTTCTTTTCTGAGCCGCTCGTTAATGGCGTACGGGCTCGCCGACTAGAGGTCCGGGGATCTGTTCGGCGGTCACGACTCCTAGTGCGTTGGGCCAGTCATACGTCTATCATGTTACTGTTCGCTTCACTACACAGTTTGTGCAGACTGATGGACCACAGCGTCGGGCCAGCCGCCCCTCCGCAATGCAAAGACGCCCAGTATCGACGGGGAAGGAGCTGGGATCCATGCACTTGATGTGTAGAAATAAGCATTTGACGTGGGTATATAATGTGGAGATGCGGGGAAGGGAACAACTTGAGGCTCTGAACAAACTTCGCCTCGACTTCAATGACGGGATTGCCACTCACGACCCAGGTGCCAGCTCCGACGCATCAGACCGATGGACCATAAAGCTTCGACCTGGTCACGCTACTCCGGCCCGTCTTAGTCCAAAGATCGTCTGAGTACATCGGCCGAGGGGACGCCGGAGCTGGGTGCTGGGGGGAGCTGGGACGAGCAGATGGCGCTGGCCTTGGGACAACAGACTGTCAGGGACGGCATCTTCATTCCGCTGGCTGGATGATTGCCCCTTGATCATCGTCACCTCCCGTAGGCAAGCCTGAGGTTCATCTCCGTAATGAAGCCACATGGCTCTGCAGTTCTGTCACGCACCACGAGCCAATCGAAGTGCTGGCCTCATGCGGCGAGATACAGACGGCAGAGAACCCCGCGGGCCGTTCCTAGACCACGATGTCGCTTACGGGCTTCGGCATCACGCATGAATATAACCCCATACGTATCGTTGACGTCTGACTGGCCTCGTCCTCTATATACTACGCCTAAACCCATACAGTACAGCACAACATGTCGTCTACCGCAGCAAGAAAGACCATACGGGGTTGCCGGTTTTAGGGGTTCGTCCCCCTGAGCTTGTGTACAACGTGGATTCGTCTGACTGCAATACATAGCACAAGCCTCTCCAGCTCTGGGTCACCAGCAGCCATGATGACCACGACCCGTTGAACGGCTACCAGAAATAGGGGGAAATTCATTGGATTCCAAAGTACCCAAGCCAATCGATGAATCGATGAATCGATGAAACCATCAAAGGAACTATATCAATGCACTTCTACATTGCATTATTGGTGTTGACCCATGGCAGGCTGGACCTCGCTGACTGACTCTTCGTCCGAGCCCAGCTTGCAAGCAGCAGGAAGCATATCTGTCGCTAAGAGTCGGTCCGTCACAGTGAATCAGATGAAAGGGTACACAGACTCTATTGCATTCACTTGGGGCCACATGGCAGCCTCTCTCTCGGATGTAAGCGATATTCACCCGCTGGCATGTTACGCCTCGTGAGTGAGAAGTCGTGCAAAGGCGGCTGTCCCATCCCATCACAAAGGTTATTGCGCTGTCACACAATGTTTGCTTGATGGTGGTTTGCACTCAACAAGGCAGCTCTTGTGATATTCGTTGCCCAGTCGCTTGCGTGCAGCAGCCTCACGTGGCAGAGGTCAAAAAAACAATTTTCTTATTACCACAAACCTGGGTGCACATCCTCACTCAACCTGCCACGAACCACTTCGCACCTACAAACCTCCTGCTTCTCTCCATTCGAATCCAATCCCCGCCGCCATGTTTCAGGCAAACAATGTCTACTTCATCTGCGCATTTGCCGCCATTGGTTCGTACCTTACTCTTTCGTGCATCCCTTCAGTTGGAAAACTGCACCTGGCGCAACGACTAACTCTTGTCTACCTACCAGGTGGTGGACTGTTCGGCTTCGACATCAGCTCCATGAGCGGTGTCCTGGGTACCCAAGCCTACAAGCGGTACTTTGGCAACCCGGTCTCATACCAACAAGGCGGCATCACTGCTTCCATGCCCGCTGGCTCTCTTGTCGGCAAGTCTCACACCCGCGCGCGAACATCTCCCAGCTTTGAGGAGAGCCCAGTCTGACCTCGTGAATAGGTTCGCTCGCAAGCTCTTTCATTGCCGACAAGTACTCTCGGAAGGTCGCGCTCCAGGTTGCTTGCATCCTGTGGATTATCGGCTCAATGTAAGTCGACCTTGGACCATACTGGTTCATCCAAGTCCTCAGATCAAGCTGCATTGCAGCCGGAATAGGATGACCGTTCACTAACGATGACTAGCATCCAATGTGCCTCCACGGGCGTTGGCATGCTTTGCGCCGGCCGTGTCATCGCAGGTCTCTGTGTCGGTATTGCCTCTTCCATCGTCCCCGTCTACCAGTCCGAAGTCGCCCCCAAGGAAATCCGCGGTCGCGTTGTCTCTCTGCAGCAATGGGCCATCACCTGGGGCATCCTCATCCAATACTTCATCCAGTATGGTGCGGCGCAAGTTGGCGGTGGTCCAGACGATCTGAACCAGCCCGAGGCCGCCTTTCGCATCCCGTGGGCCATCCAGATGATCCCGGCTTTCATCCTCCTGATCGGCCTTTTCTTCTTTCCCTACAGCCCGCGCTGGCTGGCGTCGAAGGATCGCTGGGAGGAGGCGATCAAGGTGCTTGCGCTGCTGCATGCCAACGGTGACGTCAATCATCCCAAGGTCCTGGCCGAGTACAAGGAGATCGAGGAGGCGCTGCGGTTCGAGAAGCAAGAGGCTGTTTCTAGCTTCAATGCCTTGGCTCGGCCGCGGATTTTCAAGAGAGTGTTGCTGGGTATGAGTATCCAGATGTGGTCCCAGGTAAGTCCCGAAGTGATATCGACTTCATTATTCTATTCCTTTCATTGGGAGCCTAGGATGCTAACACATGACAACTCGTAGCTGTGCGGAATGAACATCATGATGGTCAGTGCATTTCAGAGTCTCTCGTTACCCCCTTATGACAATGTCTTGGGAGACAACTTCCTATCCTAGCCTGTGCCAGGAGCCCTTCTTCTACATGCATCTGGGCTTCTTGCTTCTTGTTACAATATCTGAAAGAAATAATTGCTGACTCTAGCTTGCTGATAGTACTACATCGTCTACATCATGGAAGCTGCCAACATCGCGTCTCCCCTGACCACCGCTTCGATCCAATATGTCATCAACGTCGTCTTGACCCTCCCGGCAATACTCTACCTTGACAAGTTTGGACGCCGGCCTGCTTTGATCTTCGGAGCTTTCTTCATGATGGTGTTCCTTTTCACTTCTGGTAAGTTCCTCGTCTGAGTCGCCTCCACTGTAGATATTGTTACTGGCTAACAGATGAAACAACAAAGGTGCACTCCAAGCCGTGTATGGCCAACCGAGCGCAAGCAGCGACGTCACCTGGATTGTATTGGACAACACGCCCGTCTCAGCCGGCATAATCGCCTGCTCGTACCTCTTCGTCGCCGTCTTCGCCACGACCTGGGGCCCGACTTCCTGGACGTACCCGGCCGAGATCTTCCCGTCCAAGGTGCGCGCCAAGGCGGTCAGCCTGTCAACGGCGTCGAACTGGTTCTGGAACATGATCCTGGCCTTCGCGGTCCCGCCGCTGCTCTGGAGCATTAACTGGAAGATGTACATGATCTTCGCCGCGTTCAACGGTGCTGCTTGTGTGCATATGGCCCTGCTCGCGCCTGAAACCAAGGGTTATACGCTGGAGGAAATGGATGAGGTCTTCGACTCGGGCCTGCCGGCCTGGAAGACGCGCACCAATCCCAGTCACCTCGATCAGCTGCGCGAGGATATCGAGAAGGGCGAGCTTAACGTTGCTGTTCCGGGAAATGGTGGTGGCAATGCTATGGCTGCGACTACGGCTGCTACTACGACGACGGAGAATGCGGCGACTTCGCCTGCTGCTGGGGAGGACAAGGAGACTAAGGCTGCTGTCTAGAATCTTTGCTTGGCTGTGACGAGCCGTCTAACCTATAAGGCTAACGTTAAAGGGTTCTATAGGGTTTATGTTCTGAGGTAAGTCAACACAAAGGATTATAGAGGCTTCTGTCAACTAGAAGACACTCAGATGCTGGGGCTTGGTCTGATCCAGGGGATCACTGTATAGTCGAGTCGTCAGGAGATTTCTCCCACCTTAGGGTTGGCTAAGATGCTTAGATTGATCATTGAGATAGAGACTGTCTATCTATCTAATTAGGAGATGTCTATCCTTATATATCCAATCTCTCTCTCACTAATGAGATGTGTTCACTATTGCTCGCGTGATCAGAAGTGAGCAACCTTCCCTTGCTCACCATTGCTCGCGTGAGCAGACGTGAGCAACTCTAGTCACGTGATCCTGACTTCCTGGATCACGTGTCTGGATGCCCTGCGCTGTTCTGTATTGTGTCCCCTTTCTAATTGGGTTCCCTCATAGGTCATCCTTTTCCCTTCAGGCCTGCCAACGGGCCCGTGGTATTGTTGGTTCGTAACATTGGCGTAAGGGATGGGTGAGATTAGGTGGATGCTGGTTTTGGTTGGCTCCTGGTTCTTTGCCTGGGGGTGGATCCGGTCAGCTTTGATACCACTTTGGTGCACACCCGGTCTTGATCAGGGTGATTGATGTCCTGCAGGAAAGCAGGTAGTTAGACAAGGTAGCTGGTTAGGTTACCTTACTCATGAGAATTCTGAAGTTATGACTTCTATGAAATCGACTGTCCACGGGACGCTGCTGATGTGGTATGACATGGTATGATCATGTTAAAGAAAGCGACACGGGTCCATCAAGCGATTCCATAACAGCAGTGGGATCTTTGATTTGTTCCAACATATCGATTCCTTCCGGTTCTGGAATGGCAACGTCGTTGAGCTTCTCGACGTTGTCCGATGCCCTCTTCAGATACTTCAGCAGGCTTGCTGTTCCAAGGTTGCTCTCAAAAGCCTCATGCATTTCGACTAGCTCCTGTTCCAAGTCATGCAATCAGTTGGGGGGCTAAATGGGTAGTAATCGGGCGCCGCCCAGTATCCTAGATGGGCACGTGGAAAATTAGGCGTGGCCCAGCGAATAGAGAAATGGCTAATTCAAGGCGTCCGCATAGCAAACATTATTGGATGACGTCCCATTGAGCACGAACTAGCGGTGATGGACGTGTGCACTCGGTGACCCTATCTAAGCACCCTGGCATAGATAGCTTTTCTTGAAGGACCAGATGGATGACCCCAAGGTCATACCGCCGCAACAACGGGGATGGGCCCGTGAGCGGGACTGACTGTACTTATTATCTTGAGACCTCCACAACCCTGCGATACAGAGGCTCTGGGAGGCGTGGTTTGCACTACTGAGGAGCTACCCCCCACGTTAAATACAAAACAAACAAACAAACAAACAAACAAACAAACAAGCACCCTGGCTCGCGGGGGTTCCTGTGTTTGGCGAGTTGGCGTTTGATGCGGTTGGTGGCTCACAGTCTAATCCTTGCTCCATCACCTCTTCCACAACTGCCAACTGCAGGAAAGGAAGTGGACAACCTATTAGCGCTCACATATGAAAGTAGCAGAGCGATCTTCATCTTCATCTTCAACATCATCATCAGCTCGAGCTGTCTGAATGCACACACCACTCCATTCTCCCCCAGCAGCCAAAGTCCTTCAAAAGCGCTTTGGTACCTAGGTATGCTTGCTGCTAAAAATGCCTCGTCGGCGAGCGACTTCGAGGATGCCACAGCACCGTCATTAGCCAGCCCTCGTGTGGTCGTCTTAACCATACTGCTCGCTGCCTTCTTGTACTTCTACATCCGTCGGAGGAGCCAGAGAACGGTGAGACTTGGCGATCAAGAAGTAGTGCATTCCCTCGGTGGCTGACCTTTCGCATTCTACCCAGCTCGAGATTGCCCTTGCGCAGCAATATAACTGCGAACCGGTTCTTCCCAGGGTGCCATACAGACGGCCCTTAGCACTGGATCTGCTGAAGGTTCAATTCGAAGCCTTGTTTAGTGGACACACCCTCGAAGCATTGACTGACTATATTACCATCGCCGACACTGTCAGACTGGAACTTTGGGGGGTGACGGGATACATCACCACTGATCCAGCAAACATCGAGACTATACTCTCAACACGATTTGATGATTACGGGCTGGGTAATCGTCGCGTCGCAGCATTTCCTCTGCTTGGGGAAGGTATCTTCTCACAGGATGGCGCTCCTTGGAAACACTCGCAAGATTTGATCCGACGCCAATTCGCGCGGGTGCAAAAGCAAACGCTCTCAGTGTTCGAGCCTCACGTCAACGAACTCGTCGAAACTCTCACTGACGCAGCAGCCGCGGGCAATATCGTCGATATGAAGCCGTTCTTCTTCGAGTTCACCTTCAACACGACTACGCAGCTCCTATTCGGCGAGCCCCATAGCAGCCTATCTCGGGAAGACCGCGATGCTTTGCGAGACAGTTTCGACTATGCTGCGCTCGGCGTCGGTATCCGTGTTAGGTTGGCCGACCTGGCTCTCTTGTATAATCCCCCCAAGTTCCGCAGAGCATGCACGGTAGTGAGGGATTGGGCGACATTTTTCGCTGATAAAGCCTTGAGATACAAAGACGAGGTCGGGGAGGAGAAAGCTTCTGAAAAGTACTCCTTTATCATCGATCTGTGGAGAGAGATGGGGGACGAGGCTCTTGTGAGAGACCAGCTGCTTATATCCTGATCGCTGGTCGCGACTCTACTGCTGCTTTGTTGAGTTGGACCTTGTAAGCTTGCGGACTCTGGTGCAACACCAAGCGGCTAACATGCAATTATAGCTTCCATCTAGTCCGTAACCCAGACATTCTCGACAGAGTGAGACGGGAAGTCTCGGAGATACCGTCAGACATGCACATCACGCGCGACCAGATACAGAGACTACCCTTCCTGCGATGTTGCTTTAGCGAGAGTAAGATGCCCTCGTCCGCTATCACCTTTGATGCTGCTATCAACCTTGTTGACAGATATGCAGCTCTTCGATTATACCCTCAACTGGCACTGGCTATGTGGATTTCAACGGAGGATCCAGGCTCTGCCTCGGGAGTAAGACAAGCCCCTTTACACATCACGTATTCCATTGCTGACCACGTATAGAGGACTTTGCCCTGATGGAAGCTAGTTATGCCGTGGTTAGAGTACTGCAGGCATTTCCAAACATCCGTCTCCCAAGCGAAGTTCCGAACGAACCGGTCGGTGCGGAACGGCAGAGTTTCTCGATTGCGCTGTCACCCACAGATGGTGTCAAAGTCTTGCTGACTTAGCTAGAATGAGGCCATGTGGGATTAGGAGTGTTCACATGATAAAGACACATTGTTGCAGATATCTTTTTTCCGCTGCAAGGAAATGAGGAAATGGCACGGGAGGTCACGTTCAATATAGTACTGCAGAATATGAGGCACAGCGCAAACAGGCTAAATGCCGAGCAGCAGAGAAGCAAAGTCTGTTGGCCAAAACCGTAGCATCCAATGCAGGCCCAGTAATATATCTGCCCAACGAATGCAACAATCATCTCGAATTATATCACGGACTTTAGTCAGCGCCGAGGGGCGGCTTGATGCCGATGTCCATACAATGTCGCCCCAGAGGTCACCCCGCAACACGACCACCCGCACCGAGGACGTCTCGACTGCTGTCACTGACAGACGACGGAATTTCCTACATCCAAGTAATCGGTAGTTTTGCGAAGTCGTCATATACCGCCGTGACGAAGACTTCGCTTGCAAGCAAATGCGGCCGGCACCAGAATGGACGCAACCAACGGCAACACGACCACCTCACCAATGGAAGAAGGCCATTCAGACTCAATGAAAATACCATGGCACATCATAACCCCCTCGCTCATCATATACTATCTAACTCTCGTGCGTCTCCTCCGCTTCCGCGCCATCCGGCAGCTCGAAGCCAAATACGCCGCCTACATCTCGGACCCCTACCGGCTAAACTACAAGCAAGCGCGCGAGATCATGCACCTGTCCATGCTCCACGACGACCCCTTCTTATTCGTCCTGGGCACGCAATGGGCGCTCGTCAAGAGCTACGCCATGGCGACGGGAACGCCGCTCCTCGCGCAAACGCGACAGCTGTGCGACGCCACCAAAGTCGGCCGCCGCGCCGAGGACACGGCCGTCTTCCTGGTCGAGCTGCTCGCGGGCGACATCGACGGCGCGAGGGGGCGCGCCGCGCTGGCCAAGCTGAATTGGATCCACGGGCGCTACGGGGACCGCATCAAGGAGGGCGACTACGTGCACACGCTCGCGCTATTTGTCCTCGAGCCGCAGCGCTGGATCGCGCGGTACGGCTGGCGGCCCATGACGCTCCTCGAGCGCGTCGCGCAGCTGGTGTACTGGCGCGAGGTCGGGCACCGCATGGGGTTCGGCGGGATCCCGGCGACGCTGGAGGAGCTGGAGCTGTGGAAGGCGGACTACGAGGGGGAGAATATGTACTTCATCCCTGAGAACCGGTTGGTTGCGGATGCGACGGTGGGGCTGTTCCTGAGGCAGACGCCACGGTTCTTGCATGGGGTTATGACGAGTTTGTTCATCTCGTTCATTGAGGAGGGGAAGGTGCGCGAGGCGCTGGGGTATCCTGATCCGCCTGCTTGGGCTACGGCTTTGACGGGTGGCTTCTTGTGGCTTCGGGGGTTTGTCATTCGGCACTTTTTCTTGCCGCGGTTGCGGAAGCTGGATCCGTTGGCTAAGCCCGGCGCGGATGGACGGCTCTATCAGACTCCTTCGTTTGTCGCGTTTGAGCCGTGGTATGTTGCTGATACTTGGTATAACAGGGTAATGCTGTGGGTGACATCTGGCGGAAAGATGAAGCCTGGTAAGAGTTTCCAAAGTCGAGGATATCTGCCCGAGGAGCTTGGCCCAGCTGAGTTCGAGAAGGCATCTAGAGGGCCAGTAGAGAGGCAGGCGAAGGCGATGGAAGAGTATATCAAGAATGGTGGATCAGCTGGTGTGGGCTGTCCCTTTAGATTTGGGTAGTAACGAAGACTGAAGATTGCACTGCTTCAATATCGCGCACGGGGTTGAGTGCTTGTGGCTCGCATCACAAGGGCATAGCAGAAGGTAGAAGATCAACCAATTTTTGGATATAGCGACAGACTGTTCACTTCCTATGTGGAGATACGCTGCTCGATAACATACACACCTGGTCACGTAATGTGAAGAACGAACGACGGCCCCAAATTTTACATTGGTCACAGACGCGGGTAGAGCCTCAGCCCCTGAAGTCCAGGAAAGCCTTCGTCATTCTGCTTCGAAAGTATACACTGGGGACAGAACCCTACACTATACATTTTGGACCTGTTGGTATTTGTTTGGTCTCAAGGCTTTCTTATCAACTCTGAAAGAGGGGGGAGGAGTGGTTCAGGGGCTCCAGCTGGTTTCTCTGCGACCAAGTCCAGAATGGCCCTCCGATGTTCAGGGGAACTCTATTGATGCCCCTCAATCGTAGGTACATTATGTCAGTTGCTTATAATCTCAATGCAGCCGAAAAGATTCGTTCATAAGGGGCTGCAACTCCCCATCGATTACGCTCACCAACCCCTATTTGCCACATAACGACCATCAGGTCTCTAGGCGGCACCTAGGAATCTTGGCGGGTCATCAACCTCAGCTGGGAACATCAAAAGACAAGCTGTAGTATCGTACGCGGCGCCACCAGCCACTTCGATCCCCAGGAGTCACATCTCGCATCACTCTGTGCATATCCGTCGTCTTTATTATGTACCCATCTCACCAGAGTGAACAGCGGCGCTTCCACGACTACATCTCGAGATGGGTCTAAGTTTCATTTCAAGAGATTACCAAGTCAATAGCGGGCAAGAGAGTTGGCAAAAGAGCGCGTTTGGGGCATGTGACGGCGATCCAGCTTGATCGTGATCCTGACCCATACGTCGCCCCCTTCATGTCGTATGTCTCCGGGTTACCGTTCTCGACTAAGTTACCTACGAAGCCAAACGAAGACTACGAAGAGATCGCTTTAGTACCACCAGCCGCGCGACTCGGTGATCTCACCACTGCCACTGTCAGAGGTATGAGAACGTCCATTGGGTCTCAAGTCCCATCGGCGACTCGAGGTCTCGAATCAAGATGCATCTGAGCTTGGTCAGGGTTCAGCCGTTGACGGACGAAGGTGCTGGAGAGAAGTTCGCTGACCAAGTATTCGAGGGGCTCGCCCGAAGCGTTCTCAGACTGGCGATGCATTGAAGCTGGGGAGCCGTACGCGAGCACATCCTGAGTTATCACCGGCACTTGTGTCCGGAGTGGGTACATGCGGGGACGGCGCACGGAGACTTTGAGGGGAATGGGGACGAACGAAGAGAAAATTTTTGCGACCAGACAGACTGAGTCACCATCTGTCATATTGCTCTTTAACAAGTCAACATTATCAGCAAGTAGCGAAGAAGTTAAATCTTGATTGGTCTAGTGGTAAGGATACCCGCTTGTCATAGACAAGTTCGAAACGCGGGTGGCCGGGGTTCGATTCCCCGATCGAGAGGTATCGCGAGATCTGATTTTTTGCACGTTGGGTAAATTCATTTTTATTGCTATTGGCGCCCTTGCACACGAGCCATCGTGCAGTTGATCGCAGCATGCTACGTATGCCGGCGGTATCGATACATTTAACAGTCTTCGAGCTCTATCTAACATTGTCGAAGTTTACTTACACTTTTGCACGCGTTCGAACCCCTGGTGATAAGAGTCAAATGAAATGTGTGTTCGTTCTTCCAAGCGTATACACAAGGTCCCTGCATTGAAATGGGTGTTATCACTAGATGTATTCGTAAGTGCTGCCTGTATTCAGGTCGCGGTATGTCAACGCCGATCCACGGCAAATTTTACCCCTATCTACCTACCTCTATAATGGTCAACAGCCTCCCGGAGATTAAGCAAACTCCCAGCCCTTTACCCTTCTCTCTTCTTGGCCGGATCTCGACTTCTTTGCTATCGACCGCTTCGCGAGTGTCCGCCACCCACTTGTTCCGCAGCTCAGTGTTGACCGCGGGTTCCTTCTGGCGTACCATCTCGTCAGGGACTCTAGGAGATGATTAGCCATGTGCTGAATGCCTCCTTCTCCACCTGGCTGTACGCAACAACAAGAGCGGACCTATGATGCCTCGTCGCAGTCCAGGTGCGTGCGCCATAGCCACCGTCACTATCTTTGCTACTGCATATGTCCTCCTGCACCAGGTGCATCATCTCGCAGGCCAGCGCTGACCGAAGGCGTTCGGCTATGTACTGGCAGGTCGCTGAAGCTGCCTACCGTGAGGCGGTGCTTCCGCTGCTTCCCATCAGCGAAATGACGACCGGTGTCATCGGCGCCGTCGTCACAGCCCTGGCGCCTCGCGACCGTGTCCCCGATGGCAGAGCTACGCCGTGCAACCCATCTGAATACCTGCACACTGAGGCCAGACTTCGGCCTGCACCCACGCGGTGTTCGAGCAGTGCGCACGGCGCTTCTGGTGGGCCGACGTGCGAGGCGCGCGACATATGCTGGACTTATTGATGACGGTCAGGTACGGTTGGAAACGTGTGTTCCTCATGTGCCTCGGCGAGGAGAGCGGGTGGTTTCAGACCATTGAGAAGAGCCTTCTCCGGCTAGCGGCCGAGTATTCTCAGACCCGTGATCGGTTTGAGTGACGAGACATCTACGCCACATTGTACCCTTTCGAGCGTGACCCTTGCCTTGGAAAAGGTGTGAGGTGATGTGCTCCATGGAAGGCATGGTTCGCGATACAGTCTATTCAGGAATGTTTGGCTATGCTGGATGCACCATTTTACTACGGGACTACGGAGAACTTGTCATAATGAATAGCTCACTGCGATCCTTACTGATTAACTCGTTCGACTCGACAATGACACACTCCTGCAGAGGAAGGGGATTTGTAAACTGGATTCGCCGGATGAACCACGCCTGCCAGTTCCCCCATTTTGCTTGCAGTACCTCAATCAACACATCTCGACGCTTGGCCTTGCATTGTTATCTTCAGTCAGTATCCACGAGTTTCTGCGTCTCCTTGAGTATGGAAATTACATGCATCAATCCAGCGGAAGCTGCCTGTCATGCCGCGCCAAGCGACGGAATCGACACGATAAAGCCCCTTTTTTTAACAAAGAGATTCGACTTTCTACAATAAGTCAGGAGATACCAATAGACTTCTTCCACAAAGATCGCGGTCCTTTGTGACTACCCAATTCCGGCTTCGGGTACCTTTGTTTTCAAAGCCCTCGCCGTTACGTCTAAGGCGAGAACGGTAAACACTCATGCAATGGTCGCCTAAGATTCGAATCCGTGGACCACAGGCTGAACTACACTACTTGGCCGAGGATAGGATGGCTATCAGCTGTCATTCCTGCTCTACGTGGGACTTTTAACATGTGTCTCAACATCGTCACTCATACGTTGGTCTGCGATGTTCGTCCGGTGATGCCTCACCCCTTGACGCCGTCTACAATCGTCATCGACCCTTTTACAGCGCCCCAAGGAACGTGCTGCGATTTCACATCCGCGCCGAGCGACCCTTCTCGGTGCCCTGTTCACGGATGTTGCGAGGTCGCAGTCCGATCGTTCCCCTGTGACTGCGGCAGCATCGTCGAATACCACCGCTACGAGCGCGCCGCTCCCTCATCAGAAACCACTACACAGTCAGCCCCAGGACCTCGTCAAGAGGTCTGGCGAGAGATTCAGAGTCTCGATGAAGTCCTTACCGGGAGCGCCAAAGACTATCCTCTGGCATCTGAAGAGGTGCGGATAGCACGTCGTGGTATGCGGTTCAGAGGGGCGGACCTCGGACCAAAGGCCAGGGAATTGACGAGCGCCGTAAGCAACAGAGACCTCCAAGAGCAGAAGCTGAAGAACGGCTGTCCTCTAGGGCCTGAGTTCAAGGAAGCTTGCGAGCGGGTAAATTGTCTGGAAATGGAGGCTCTGCAGCACAGGTTCAAGGCAGCTTGCGAGAGGGTAGATCGTTTGGAGGTCGAGGCTCGGCAGCTTAGGGCTGATTACTTTGCGTGGAAATGTGCGAAAGAGGGACTCGAGAACCAGGAGTATGCAAAGGCCATGTTTGTTTGTTTGTTTGTTTGTTTTGTATTTAACGTGGGGGGTAGCTCCTCAGTAGTGCAAACCACGCCTCCCAGAGCCATTGCATCGCAAGGTTGTAGAGGTGTCAAATTAGATACATTCAGATCCGCGCACGAGCCTATCCTCGCTGTAGCGGTACCAATCTGGAGTGTTCAGATGGTTTTAGTCAATACCCAAGCACGATTCCGTCAGAAAAACCTCCTATCTAGTGACAAAGCGACCCAGTGAACCTCAGTTCTCTGGTGTACATATCGTTCCAGTAGCCGTTCGATATATGTCGCATTGGTGGGTGGAGTAGGTGTTTGTTATCTGCTGGCGAGGGAAACCACAAGGGGGAAAACCTCGCAGGAGTGGGTATTGTGGAGACAAGCTGCTTGGCTATCGGGCTCTGCGATAAAATGGGGCCTCTCCACTGTCGTGTGCTGGTTATCGACTCGCACAAGCCGGGTCAGAAAGGGGGCCATAGCAGGATTCGAACCCACTTGTTCTCGTCGCCCACCGCACAAACGAGAACACAACCAGGCGCATTTGACCATTGCGCCATACGGCCTATGCAAAGGCCATGGCTGCTGTGATGTCTGCCTAAGCTGTATATTATCTCACAGGTACGCAGTTGGACGACATGATGTTCTAGTAGTGTGTTTGTTCTTGGGTAGGCTGTGGCCCATAGCTAACCTAGATAGTAGCACATCATCGGCATCGAAGACTTCAGGCGTATTGAGAGAGGACCCCGTGATGGAGAGCGGACTTCGTGATCCTGCTCTATGCGGAAACGGTATATTTGACCAAGACCATTGACGTGAATCCATACCTTAAAGTGAAGCCTCGATGCGAAAGGCGCGTGGCTTTCAAAAACGGGGTCGTGAAGGACACTGTGAGTATGACCTGAGCTCCCAGCTTTGCGCGGACCTATATCAGGCGCGGAGGAGGGCTTTGTATATATATATATATCATCAGCGTTATTCAGAACACCAATCAGGGTGGCACGAGAGCCCAACACGTGGGCAGATGAGGGCAGCTGCCAGAATGAGATACATTTATTTACGATCGCGAGGTAACTGAGGTTGAGGTGAGGTGCAGAAAGTCAACTGGGCTGTCTACTTTTCTGAACGGTTACATAGTTAGAAGGAACCCACATGAGTCCAATGCCGTCAAAAGGGGGTCAAACAAGAGACGAGTCGAAAGTCAGGAAAAAATCAGAAACACGACGCAGCACTGGGCCTACAAGAGGCTGCACTTTCTACCTGCTAAACGGCCAACCGGTGATCAAGCGATCAATCACAGGTCTCTACACGATACAGCCTCGATGACTGGGTAGTGCAATGTGCAGAAGGCCGGGATAGTCAGGACAGTAAGGCGCCTCGAGAACAATTCAAGGCGACCCTGTCGCCTCTGGGTGAATGTTGCGAGCCCGCATTGGTGATTTCATGCTCGCTGTAACCTCAATGCTCGATGCCTTCCGCCTATTGCCACCGATTAACAGCCTCGTAACTGTACGAATCACCAATCTGCGCGATGGACTATTGCCAATTCGTCCATATCATCGTAGTAAGTCCGCGTAAGCCCGGGAAATCATGGCACAGACGTGGCGGCACTCATACTTCACCATAAAACAAGGCTGACCACTATCCATCGCAGTCCGCGTCGTTCCGGCCCTATTCTATGCAGCTTCTCCATGTTGAGTCATCGTTATTCAGGCTGGGTACGACTCTACTAGGCGGTGATGGCTACGAAGCCAGTAACACGTAGCGATCAAAGGGAGTCATCACGCTCGGTACTACGCACCCACCGTGAGAATCTGTGATCGTTCGTCGCCAGGTCACTTGACCACGCGTCAACATGTCTGCTTCGAGGTGAGAACGGGCTCAGCCACCTCCAGTAAAAGGCTATATCTCAACCCAGTGCACCGGCACTGTCCATCGTAATGCTGGCATGTATCACCCTGATGTCGAGCCTGAACGTCGCAAATGCCTTAACCGAAATGGGCGTGCACGCAATGAGTCACAGAACCCATGTCTCCCTTCCCAGTTGCGCCGGCCGAGCGGATCGTCTACCAATGTTTCCATGCAACGGGGATGTCCTGCCACGGATTATACCAATGGGCTCCTATATCAGACTGCGATCCTCGGAAGAATGAGGCGAAAAGGATATGCAAGTGGTCGATGGAATCCAGATACCTGGGACAAGGCGACTTGCTGATGCCACCTCATGTGACGTCCAGCGTCAACGGCGACTATCGGTAGATATATACGCGACGTCAAGGAATCATGAGCGCGTCGTAAAGCAGCGACGTGCTACGTGATAGGTGTACAGCGACTGCTTACACCGAGCAGCCAGCCCATTCGTCGATCACAGTCGTAATCATATATAATGCCAGACTGCTGCCTATGCAGCCCTGTTGTGAACGAGGCCATGACTTCCGAATGGTAGAATTCATGGATGGCGTTCAGCAGCGAGTATCCACTGGATAGTTCCTCCGAACCCTCCGCGCTGTCGTCGTAATACCACTCCTGCCTGGAGGGCAAGTACCCGGTGGCAATATGGCGATTACGACCAATTTCCCGAAGCGAACAAACCCAGTATCAGGCCCGGGATAGCAAGAGTAAGAAACGACGGCCTTCGTCAGTCAAATGACAAGGTAGACTGAGGTGTGAGTCATGACCGATGAAACACAGCCTGTGGTACTCAGTCGTGAACGTAGCATTGTGACTGACCAAGAGGAACGAATGGCCGTTCAACGCTGTTTCGACTCCAAGGGAAAGAGGGTGTATCGCAAATGACATTGAGGCGACCTGTGAATATGAAGGCGTTCATGGGGTCGATTACCTAGCTGGCTTTGGGCCGCCAAACGCCGTGCTCCGAAATTCGTGACTTTGTAAATACGAGGTACTTTCTCGCCAACCAAACGTGTGTCATGGGTCCGCAGTCGAGAAGCCAAATACCTTTATGAAAGTGATTGTAGCCCAAAAGCATACCTAGAACCCGATGACGTAGATGCAACAGATGAATGTCTGAGAGATCGAATTTGTCACAGCAGGCGAACACATATGGAAGTCCGTCGTCCAGAATGGCAGTATTCCGGAACGAGTGGAGTGGCGACCACATGGCGACGTCGCCGCTTTCGTCTGGCCCATCACATCCAAGCAGAGGCCACACAGCCACAATGGATGTCGCCCCGGGGCCTTCGTCAGGTATTCCTCGGTGACACGTCAACACAGAGTCAAATAGCAGTATCCAGACTTCTGGGCCGGCCTCCCAATGGGATGCGGCAGAAGAGGGATCACCGTGCATGTGCATGTGTAGTCTACGCAGTAGTAGTCTGCTGGGTATCAGATGCCGCTCGGTCATGGGCAGGCGGGTGAGCTGTACGCTTTGGACAGCGAATAGGAAGAATCGGGGGCGATATATCCTCAGCTGGCTGTGTACGAAGCAACGCCTTCGCATTGCCTCTTGTCATATATAGCGACACCCTCTCATAGACGCGGAAGAATTGTGACCTCAATAATTGAACACACAGGAGGGAGGCAGCGGCAGCCGATGACTGATGGTATTGCCGTTCGCCCGGCGAGACCCAATCTGCCGGGAGTCGTTGCCAACAACGGTGCAATTCGTGAAGTGATCTCGAATCAACATCTCGGAATCGCGCGAAGCCATGGAGAGAAGGGGGACCAGGTGAGCGCTCGACAAGGATGGCCGAGTCGAGCAATGAAGGAGAGAAAACATTACTTTTTATCAGATCGAGAATCGATATCAATTTCAATTCTGTCACACTCACGTGGTGGTGGTGCCTGATCATGGTTGGTTTACTGTTCCGCGATGAATTGAGGGTGTGAATCGCATTGGTGTTGATAGGTCCATGGTCGTAACGTTTCCGCCACCATAATGAGTTCCTCGACTCATCACGACTTTGTCTCACCACATCTCTCGGAGGAGAAGTGTGGTCGCATTGTCGCGTGGTCGAAAGTCCTCTGCAGTATTGTCCTCCCAACGGCGAAAAGCGAATGCCACATGCTGTGAATGTCCTTCCTGCATGAAGCCCACCGATTCCGTCCCCCTCGCCTTGTTTTCCGCTTTGTGTATGTCGCCGGAGAGGGGCACGCAGCATGAGCATGAGGGGTGGTTTCGAAATATCAACGAAGAAAAAACCATGGATTTTTTTTTTGTGCGCTGCGCTACGTCAGACTCACCGACCGGGGGCGGCCAGTCCTGTCTTCTGCATGTATGGCATGAAAAGGTGCCGAAATCCCCTGCAGAGACGGCCTCGCTGAAAGAGTCGGTGAGTGACAGAAACGAGGATCTGCTTGATTGTCGCGCCAGATGTCTGGTGAGGGCCTCCATCCTCGGTCCGGGTCGACAGTTGTTTTTGTTGATAGAAAGGATCATAGGCTTGGAAGAGGAAGCTCGGTGGAGCAGGCCTGTCCTCCAAGGCTGTCAACGACACACGAGTGGTCGGGCTCAGGGTGTTGGGTAAGGGGTGATAGCACTAGCGCTCCCTCTCGCAAGATCCTGTGGCTCAAGGCGATGTGTGCCCATGTGTGCCCATGTTTCTGCGCTGATGCTCTCCAATCGGGTGATGCACGAGCTGCATGCAGCCTGAAGGGAGGCCGGCGGGTTGACCATACATTTCACAGCATCTTCTCAGCCCACAGATATTGGACATCAGTGCAGCGGGCAGCTCGTCAAAACAATGCCCGCCGGGTAGCAGGACATGAACACAGCACAATACGGCGGCATGCCGTCCGCTCTCTTACTATTATGAGTCACGCTGATGATGGTATGATGGTACGGTGTGGTACGCTCATGACGGAGGACTCGCCCGTTTCCTCTGAAGTCTCGCAATCAACAGCTGTTGTTTGTGATGATCAGAGGGAGCGAAATGAGGGATTGAAAAATTTCCCGTCTTGATATTGTCGAAATGGAGAAGGCGAACGGTGCGGGACATGGGGGACCAAGCCACCCGAAATAGTCAAATAGGGGCGCCCATTCTAGAACGAGATTGGCTAAGGTGTGGCCGGCGGGGAGAAGATCCACTGGGCAATACGTGCGACGGCGGTACTGATGAGCTGAAAGTACTTCTGGGCCCCGGCTCGTCTGGTGTAGCAGGCTTGTAGATAGCGAGCATGGGGTTTCCAACAGCCACGCCAGACCGATCCTCATGCACCGTTGGACTGACCCGCGGCAGTGGGTGTAATCTCCGTCGAGCTTGATGCTGCAGAGCGTCCAGGCATCGTTGCGGCTTGACCGTGCTCTGCTACAGTCCCGCAGATACTGTATGGAGAACTCAACGGAGAACGTGAGTCTTGCCCCGGCAGCCCTGCTGTAGGAAGAAACTAGAAGCCGGGGCTGGCGGGTTATGGGCCGGCCGTCTGTTTGTCGGGACGGCTTTTCGATCCAGCTGAATGCGAAAGGGGTTAAGTGCGGTGAGCCGCATTACTCACGCGAAGTTTGTGTGCGACCCATCCCAGATACTGGTAGGACTTTTCCCATGATGGAAGGAGGCTAGGTTCATAGGAGAGCATCTGAGACGGTTGTACAAAGCTCCAATGGATTCACCATATTTCGGCGCAACCTTCATATCGGTATTGACTCTTGACCACTTGTGCCTCTGTGAAGTTGTCACTTGGCCCCGACCGGCAACAATACGCTGCAATTGAGTATTCAGATATCCAGTTCCAGCCATGCCTTTGGAGGTAGTTGCTGCTCCTCATTGTCATGATTCAGTCGTTGGAGTCCGTAATCCAAGGCCGAGACTCGAATCCTGGCTGGCCATCGGTGACCAATTGAGCTGAGATAATAACGCCGAAACGATGCGCGGATGTAAGACAACTGAAGTCGATCGTCGACTAGCCACTTCATATCTATCTGTTAGGACCCAGAAGATGCCGCGGTTGAGGGCACATTGTGCGACGTGCCACCGGAAGTGACGGGCATGAAGCAGCACATGCAGGTAACAAGTCAAAGGCAAACATTGCCAGTCATTTCTTCAATGTTGGAGGCTGAAAGGAGAAGCACAAGGTCGCCCATGAGTCAGTCGTCTGGGTTCAAGACCAATGACGGATACGACCGTTCTCAGCTCCGGCAGTCTGCCATTAGGCTGGCTGGCTGGTGAGTGATTGGGGAATGTTGAATGGCCACTCCAGTGTCGATCAGCACTCGTTGAATCCTCTCAGCTCGGCATCGTACGCGCCTCTTGCCACCAGATACAGTGTTCGCCCTTATTAGCCTCGGCTGAACTCTTCATAGTACTTCGTACATAGAGCCAGTCCGTCCGTCCGTCCGTCTGTCCGTCTGTCCATATGTCCGCCTGCTTGTCTGCTATACTTATGCAAGGGACAGAGATCCATGGGCCATGGCAGCACGCCCGTTCAAAGACCACTATCGTAGGCACATACTCACGGGTAAAGTGGCGACCTCCACGTTTTGCGGCTTTTTGCCATGGCCTATCTTCCCCGCCATGCACGAAGGGGTGCAGGTGACCGGCCCTGGAACGAACCATTCTCGGCGGAGCAGTTCGTTTGGCCCGACGTGCCAGAACACTGAACAGTCAGCCAGAGAACAGTCACGGTGGTCACTGGTCAAATGATCAAGACAACCTTCTGTGAAGAGCTCAGGTAGAGTGACAGTACCTTCAACGTTAATACTCGTTGGTCATACACCGGCCACCAGAATGGTATGGAATGTAAGCGCTGGATGGTACGCTGTCTGGGATGGCGATGGTGTGTAAGACATGAGCTTACCCTTTCTTGTCTCCCCGCCACCCACCATCAGTTCATCAGTTCCATCCGAAGGACCACCACCATCCAGAATCATCGCCGCACCAGGCAAGTGGTAAGCCTGGATCACATAATCCAGTGGGACTCATCGGTATGCGGCGTTAGACGATGGGCGTTGGTTGTTGGTTGAGCTGAGTCCATTTGCGAGTGTGAATATTGAAGAAGCAAGTAGAAGAGACGGGTCAATTGATAAGCTGCATCTTAATAGTTGCCTTAGTATGTACGACATTGAGGCAGCGTCGTATTCGTTCACGAAAAGTACTGTACTGCGTGTACCTACAGTAGCATCTCCTCATCCTCGTCCCCCACGCAGCGCCGATACTACCATACATCTTGCATGCCCCTCTTCCCAGAACGGACATCTGTCGATACCAACCTGGTAGTAGATGGGATCCATAATGCTGAAGGCGGGGGAGGAGGGGAGGAGTCAGACACAAACCACGCAAGCCATACCGTCGTAAGCCTTGTTGCCTTCCAACTCCTCGTTCTTCTAAGTTCTCACTTCGTACGTGTAGCTGGAGTTGATGACGAATGAGAGAGTCTGCCTATCTGCCCACCTGCCCACCTGCGTGCTGTACCTGCTTCCGATCCCTTCCTCTATCATTATCACCCCGCGATCATCAACACAACTTCTTCGAGCTCCGTCGTGTTACTAGCCGGATGCTGGACTCATAGGAGAACCTCAGCTATCATCATACGATACGAGCACTCCTGATAACTCCCATTCTTCCACCCAGTGACGACCTGTGACCTGACTTCCGCTGAGCGACTGTATGCGACAGGAGTAGTGTCCCAGACACCTCCCACTCCGTCATCTGTCGATACCCGTTGAGACAAATGACTTACCGCCCGCAGCCGAGCTGCGTTTGACAGACCGGACGGCGTACAGATCACATACGGTCCCGTTCAATCAGACACGTACATGCATATATTGGCTTTCATCCTTTCTTGTCAACAAGGAACGCGGCACCCCGCCTGCCCGCTTGGGCTTGTCTGACGCTTGACCAACGACGCGCCCACCACCAGAGCAGGCCGACAGACATTTCTGACGACGAGGTTGGCCTTGTCTTTGGCCCTGTTCGACCCAAACAGAACCGCGACTCAGACCCGTTCGTTGATTGCTCGTCGTATGAACTGCTCTTGTTTACAAACGACTCCGCGACGAACTTCAATGTCTTCTTGTTTTGGTCCACATTGATATCGATATCACCCAGGCCCCGACCAGAATTCAGACCCAGACCGAGACCCAGACCGACATCCACCATCCTCCTCCCACATCGCCACTCGTCGTCGTCAGAATTCGATATTGCCAGGGCAAAAGACCAGCTTGTGGCCCGTCCACTCGGCGCAGAGGCCATTCGAGCAGTTGAACCTTCTGGAATCGAGCTTGACCCTGGACAGCAAGGGAAAATTTTCCCTCCTCCAACGGCCCGTATCACAGGCCCAGGGACTTGATATTGCGCCGACTGGACCGACGGGCTCGAGGTTGGCACCGGGCAGCACCCGGCAGCACTCGTGTTCACTGTTTAGAACCATCTCTCAATCTCGCTAAGCGCGAAACCAATCTTCCACCAGACCCTTGGAACCCAGTCTTGGAACCTTGGAGGCCGTCGACTAGTAGGCGCGATCCCAGCAGTCTGGCAGTCGGAGACCATCGTCATTCGACAAGCCTAATCCCTCATCCATCCTTCATCGTCTTTCGAGATGGGATATTGTCCAAGCACGGAGAAATTGCTTGCCTCATATTGACATATGCTAGTCGAGTGGCTAGGTGATAGTCGCCGCCTCCATACGGGCATATCCTATACACACGTCACGGACCGCAACGGAGCTGTGGGAACGTGAGTTGGCGTGTTGCGTGTTGCGTGTCGCACTCGTATTCTGTTCCCGGCTCAGCTCGTCCGCTGGTATTCACACGTCTCGGCCTCGGAGAGCCTGGACCTTGGACCTTGGACCATACGGAACCGCCATAGGACCCTTATCACGGGCACTAGACGGGAAACAATCGTCAACCTTCGGAGCGGCCATTCACTATACTGCGCCATCAATCATATCACTTCGACGGGGTATGTGCAGTGCTACGGCTGGAGTCAGCGAGCGACTTATACCCGACCTGGCTGGACACATCTGCCGCGCTGCAATTCAGTGACTACAACGACCGCGGCTTGACAAACATACGGTTGAGATACGAAGACGAACGAGAAAACCGATTGGATACTCAGCCAGTCGAATACCCGGTTGAGTCAGTCGCCAACAACGACGACGACCAACGGCCAACAGACATTATCACAGGTCTGCAGAAGAGCCAGATTACGGTGATTGGCCACTGAACAAAGTGCGAACCGAAGCTCCTCAGACAGTGGAATTGTGGCGCAGGCTGTATGATTCCCATACCCCCCTGGAATCCTCTATCTCGGGTCCTTTCGCACGCCCCGTACACCAAGCTGGTACCTCATTAGAGGTACCTTGGTAGCGGCTGGCCAAGGATCAGGCTTCGAGGCACCTGGGCAGGGATAACCCCCCTCTAGCCCAATTGTCCACCCCGGGCACCCCCTGTGCTAGACCGCTAGACCCCCCCGAAGAAAAAAACTCGACGCTGGGCTGGGGTCACAGCGCGCGCACTCGCTCCCAATTGTCCATGTTATTATTACAAAAGGACTCTGTCGCGCCCAACCCCCCCGTGAATACACCTTTTCTCCCAACTGGCTTCCGCCATATCTTTGACTCAATCGCCACCATACAGCAATCTATTCACTCGGTTTCTACGTATTCACGAATTAATCAGCTGGACATTCGAATCGTCCGGCTCTTTCTCGCATATTCCCTGATCAGAGTCGACGCCCTCGACTTTGATACCCAATCTCCTGGTCCGGGAGATTCCAACACCATATCTTGACATGTTCTACCAAAGAAGACGGCCCTCCTCTCCTCTTCCTACCGACCACATACCAAGGTGACGGGTGTCACTTTCTCCAGCGTCACGCCACCGGCGCCATCTCTTGACCACACCACAAACCCCCGAAACATCACATCGCGCGACCGGGGGACCACCGCAGTTTTGGAGTTTCTTCGCAGCGTCGTCGGGTGTCAGTGGGACATCGCAAGAGTCGAGGAAACATGAGTTACGGTTCGCCTTACGGGGGGACCCCTCTGAGGGGGGATCCCGGCTACTACTACGACGTGAATAGCCCTTCGCCTACGCCGTCGCCTCATCACTACCAATTCTTCCCAGCTCAGACCCCCCAGCGGCCGGCCACGCGCGCTCACCATCGCGGTGCCAGCACCGGCTACAACGACTATCGACCCGCCACGGCCTTCTCTTCGCCGCGATACAAGACCAACGGCGAATATGGCATGCCTGTCCCAAGCCCGAAAGTGAGTTCGCGAAAGCACAATTTCTCCAAGGGGGCGAGTCATCAGCAGACGCATCGCACGCCGAAGCGAGAGCGGGAGCGAGAGCGCCGCAACTCGCATTCCTACTTTCGGGCCTCTCATGGGGATTCCGACGAGGACGAAATCTTCGAGGTCGACGGTGTCACCTACGTGCTGCCTGCGCAGTCGAGGAGTCGCAGACACAGAGACAGACACAGCTACTACTATACCGCTCCGGAACATGGCACTAATCACTACTACTACCCGCAGGTCGTGCCGCCGTACTACGAGAATGAGAGGGAGAGGGCCGACTACGCGCGCTACGAGGAACCGCCGCTTCGCCCCTCTACCAGAGCAGGCCACCACACACACTCGCGTCGTCCATCCGGCTACGACGACATACCCCCACCTCGCTCGGCCACCAGGATGGACAACCACTCTCGCCCTCGTCGGCCGTCTTCGGGAGCTGTGCCGCCTATCCAGCGTCCGTCGACCACCCGTCCGTCCAGCTCGCACCAGAGGAAGGCGGCCGCTGCTTCTGCCGCGGCTCCCAAGGCGACCGAGGCCGACGCGAAGAAACATCGCATTCCCGCCGGATACTCGTTGAAGAACTGGGACCCGACAGAGGAGCCCATCATGCTTTTGGGTAGTGTCTTCGACTCCAATTCTCTGGGCAAGTGGATCTATGACTGGACCGTCTACCATCACGGGCCCGCGACTCCTATGGCGGACGTCGCGGGCGAACTTTGGCTTCTTCTAATCCAGTTGTCCGGGAAGGTCAAGCGCTCCGAAGAGGTTGTCCCAACAGTTAGAGCCCAGGAGAACCGGGAGATGATTGAGGATTTTATTGAGTCGGGCGAGCGCCTCACGGACAAGCTTCGGGCCCTCCTGAAGAAGTGCGAGTCTCCCATGTTGAAGGCCAGCAAGAAGCGGGAGGCTGCGCAACTCGGCAAGAACTCCGGCATCGAGTTCGTGGACACGCTGTTTGGTGTCGACCGTGAGATGCCGAAGACGGAACGTTTCATGCAATCCGTGCGCCTTTGGAACCTTCGGTTTGACGCCAATTGTGAGGACATCCTGAAGAGACCGACCCAGTAGAATGCCACCATGGATTTTCCGCTGGATTTTCTTTCAGGCTCTCTTTTCCACTGGCTCCCGTCTGCATCTCCCAAGGACTACTACTCCACGGTGTTCCAAGGACAATAACACAAAAAACTTATGGATGGCACAGCCATTGTGTACCACTAGGAATGGATTCCCGTCCGGGTCATCTGGTCATATCCGCCAGGATTTCCCTATCTGGAATTTCCTACACTGTCATATTACATTGATATGCCCCAGGGCAACGCATCAGGGCGTGAAGGGTTATTGACACTTTCCTGTCATCTTTCCGTTTTCGAGATACCCCGGATCGCAAGAGAATGAGAGAAGAGCGAGCGAGCGAGCGATACCGTTTGCTTATTACGCGGCGCAAGCAGCAACTACGAACGAGGATACGATCGATATACCGTCATAAGGGACATGTTTTGGGACTTGAAAAGTTGGACCGGGATGAGGGCATTGGCTTCCGTCTCGCAACAGCATGGTCGTTCAGGGCTCAGGAATTTGATTTTTTGCTGCTTGGGCGAGGATTGTTGCACCGGGCTGGCGGTGAAGGTAATGGATATTGTTGACGGACTTCACCTGCCAGCCGAGTTTGCTCTGTGCCCTATGCACTTGGGACTTGACTGGACATCGCTAGGCGTTTTGTCGAGAGGGTCACCTTCTGCGTCATGTTTTGTTTCCCACCCCGCATCTTTATAGAGAGAATCTCGACCGCGAGAGATTGGCATTGGGCTGGCTGGATATACCCCCTTCATTTTAGCAACTAGTAGACGGATATTGAGAAACCAGATAATTCACTTCACGATGACTTTGCTCCCTGAAACGTGGTGAGACTACCCGAAACCCTAGGTCTATCGAGATGCAGCCGCATCACGGACGCGACTGTTCCTCCGACGCCAGCCAGGTTCACGAAGATTACATGTAGATGGACCCGGCATGCGCATGCACCTCGTAGGGCCCTCCTGCATGACTTCATCCCGCTGTAGTCGCCCTCGGAACCCCCCACCCGAGGCAGGCTCTGAGGCTATCCACGACGTCCCTTCTCATGCAAGGCTCTCGTAGGCCACGATGGGCTACGGATGCCAAGAGACGAGGCTGTCCAGGCGGGCTTGTCGCATCACATCTATGAGGCTGCTGGACTGCTTGTTACGAGTGTCATTTCATCACATCACGTATCGACTCTGCGTTTTTTAATGTAGGTACCTTACCTTCCCGCCCCCGAAGGATGTCCTTTCGTGATTGCGATCGATCCCAGCCTTCCTGTCGAGTCTTCCTTCCCGGCCATCCATCCATCCATCCATCCATCCACGCCACCGATTGAACCAACCCCTTGCGCGAAAAAATTTCGCGTACCAACCTTCATGTTCCTTCCTTCCTGATCCAACCCCCTGCCAAATATTTCCAGTGTTGTGGTGTGATGGTGGCTGAGTAGTATCACGCTCATTTACTTTTATTAATTTCGCGAGAGCAACGGAAGAAAAATGTTCGTGTGTGCGCACGGCATGTTTGGCCGAAATTGCAAATTACTGGGCTGACAGCGATGCGGCGCGGGTCATCCACACCACAACATCCGTTTTCTTCTGGAAGCATGGCGATCGGCATGTGTTGAGTCAAGATGACTCTTTCTCTAGAGGCGAGATCATATCGGGAATGGAGAGTCATTCCTACCTAGAGGGAAGAGAGAGAGAGAGGAAAGCAACAAGCAGTCCCGATCCATCCCACGGGGGAGGCTCTTTCGTCCAGTGTTTCCAGTGGTGTCCCGATGGCGGGAACAGGGCCAATTTTAGGGTTTGATGCGGTTGCAATGTGCGCCGCCGTCCAGGATCCCAGGGCGCGGTTCAGAGGCTTCCGACAGGCTCATTTAGCGACAGCACAGACATCGACATCATCCGTGCGCCCCATGCGGCCGGGGCAGCAGCCCAGGACGGTCAACGCCAGCGAGCATGGCAGGCAGGTCGCTTCAGCGGCGGCCGCCGTAGGGCTCGAGATTCAATGTTCAGCTGGACGTGGGGTGCTTCGATGATGTTCGTGTCCTCCAACTGGACTGTTACCTTACCTCACCATGGGCAAAGAAGAGAAAAGCACGGTCTTCTTGCACCTCATTCGCCAATCGCATTCGTTGCCGTCTTACTCAGGTTGAAACCGGTAGGCTGGCAGTTGAAGTTCACCCGTCTGTCAGCATCCCGACACGAGCGATGATGCGATCCTGTTGGCCACAATGCCGGACGATGAGTCTGACCGGTACGGTATTATTACATGATGCGGTCTCTTCCCTCACATCCTCCTCGGTACCAGGCAGGCAGACGCATTATCAGTTCTAAAGCGCAATCATCCCAGATTGGGTAATAACTTCCTTCAATGTCAGGCCTGTGCTGTTCCTCGCCACACGGCCGCCCAATACGAAGGGTCAAGTCCTATCAAAACAAGCATGTCCAGACCGACGTGGCTGGTGAGAGCATCAAACCGTGGGGAGTGAGCGGAAGGGAGGGTGTGCGGATCAAACGAGGCAGGCTCTCGCGCACATGCCTCATTCCTTCTGAGACCTGTTAATCTTCGTGGTGGTGTGCAGGTGAAACTTTTTGCATCTTTTTGGCCGCAAAAGGGAAACGCCAGCCGCGGCGATGTTTCTTTTTCTGCGTTTGTTCCTTGCATATGCGCCACCTTTCCCGAGAGGCTAAGGTATCGCGGAACGGGCTCTATTTAGCCCACAGGCTCTAATGCATGGGGTGTGGCCGCCGTCGAGATGCCAGCAAGTGGTGGTCTATTCTTCCTCTTGAGAGGCTACAGCGAACGGTGACGGGTAGTGACGAAGCCGATACAGCCTCACCGTCGCTAATCTCGGCCCCCAAACGAGTCAGTCGGCATGAATCCCAGCGCCTGATCCCAGCCCATATTGCAATCCTCATGGAGTCTGCTATCACACCCACCACCCGCGATATAGGTCAGGCACGAGGTCCAGCGACGGGTTCTTGCACTTTGGGGGCTGGGAGGCGCCTCTATCTCCAATCACAGCCGGTGCGATGTGACGGGAACGGAGCCATGAACTTCCCGGCATTTTTAATTTGTTAATCTCAATGAATTAGTTAAAACTTTTTATTGAAAAATACATAAGTTAATAATACAAGCGTTGCACGGCTGTTTTCAGTTAATGTTGTGAAACTGCGGATTCGTCCGTGGAATTAACGAATACCCCGGCTTTATTTATAAATTTAGGCTTGCTGGAAATAGGTACTGCGTATCGTGGGCTTCGCGCAAGTGTGCGGCGCGACTTGCGAGGTGCATTAGTGTCGCATTCCCCAACGTCCAAAATAGCAGCATTCAGCACATGATGGATGCTGTGCTGCGCTGACATGCTTCATGATCGGGACTCTCCCTATCGCACCGTATCGCACAAAGGACTGAGGTTATCTGGTGCGAGGTCTGGCAAATCAGATGTCGCTGCTGTCATGAAAGGACGCATCGACCGCCGTGGTTTCTATTCTAGAGATGTTCGCTGCATGCCGTCTGCGACGAAGTTACTGCGATCTTTCGTAAGGCTGGCATATGCGGGCGACACTTCAACGCTGACTGTATGGGGGTTACATCAGTACAAAGTATGTATGGAGTCAATCAATGCCAACCGACAAGGGAGGCGTCCACATGGGCTTCTTGGTTCCCGTTCCCAAATGAGAGCCGCGTGGGCTATCACTTTACGCCTATCCCTTTTGCCAACACGCAAATCGAAGGGGGCTGGGCTGGGGAAACGTTGTTGCACGAGAATGGTTACACATGCCGCAAACGGTCATGGCCTGGCGAGTCCCAGAGGATGGGAAACCAGCACAGCATCCGTACGGTTGCCCGCCCTTCAGAGCACGCAAGGGCGCGGCATCTACAGTCATCAGTCACCTGCTGAACCGGTCTGAGAGTATACTGGTACTGTACCGCCCATCTGTCGATAGCGTGTATCCTTGCACACCAACAGCTTTCCAACTGGGGTACGTCGGCGGTTACAATCACAGACATGCAGGCGGTCATGGTGATGGAAAGAAGGTGGCCCACCAATCACGGCCCCCTTTAAGTGCAGTGTGGTACTCCTCCGCCAATGGCAACATGCAGTGTCCTGCGCTGAGCTCGAAAGACACACGGGGTAGATCATCGTGGCCTGTATATTCCGTATGTCTGGGTTGCCTTACTAGTGGCTGTCCCAGTGTCGAACACGCAGGCCCATCCTGATGGTGTTCACGTATATACCTAGAAAACATATCGCAAACTCAGCCCCTCCTCCTCCTCCTCTCACACACCCAACCCCCCTCTTCACGCTGCAGCAGAGTAAGTCATCCCATATGTAAGCAGAGCGACGCAACTGCAACCCCTCCTGCGCTCAATGGAGGCACAACGCTTACTATCTGCACACGACACCCAATCCAACTGCAGGCCGGCCCCGATGGGATTGTCTGTCATACGCGGGGGCTGGTTCACGTAACCACATGGCAGCAAGATGGGCCAAATCCTGCCGCACGTGCTGGTATGTTCGCCGGATGCATGCGCGCGCATTGGTCGCATCGCTGGGCTGCAGTCAGCTCTTACCATTCCATGGATGAAAAAAAGGCCAGCCACTTCAAGTAGGTAAAAGGGCCCGGCTGCATCGGCGTGTGTGCGTCTGCGGCGCTGATATGTACCGCGGATATGTATATATTTCAGGAGTCCTTGTACAACATAGGGTGTAGTACCTACCAGTGTACCAACCCCTCATCCCATCTCGTCTCATCTCATCTCTTTTCCATCTTATCTCAGCTTACGCACAACGGATGGGTCAGATAAAACTGACGCACGCTTGCGACTCGTATACCGTGCAGGCCCGCTGTGGTGCGCAATGAACGTGAACACGGCAGATATTAATCCATGCCGATACGCTCCAGATAGGGGCTAGCTGACGGGTAGCTGCTGTGTTGCCTTGTGTCAGTGTTACGGCTGCTCCTGCTGCTGCCCGTCCCATGTTCCTGCAATGGTACGTACTTGTTAGGGAGTGTGATGCTTATCAACACGCCTAATAGGACGAGAGGTAGGAGTTTAGGGTCCGAGGGAGGAAGGAGACAAGGCAATGAGGCTCAACTCTTCCTTGTAAGATCTAGGCGAAGGAACGTCGTGGGGTCTGTTCGAAGGGCTGTCACCACTGATATCTACCCACCTGAAGTCAGCAGAACGCCTTGGGTTTGGGATTCTTCTTGGGTGTAGGATCAAACATGGTGGCCCAAACCGGCCTGAGGATTGCTTGTTTCTAGTGCAGCTGCGTTTTATCGATGTACCATGGTGGCTGGGAGCTGTAAGACTACACTAACCCCACACAAGTCTCCGTACGGCCCTATCCACACACCATCACCACCACATTCACTGCTCAATTGCGAAGGCATCACGAGGCCGGAAATTATAACAAAATATGTATTTGATAGCGGTTTAGTAGTGGTTGTACCAGCCGCGCGCCCGGATCACTGCGGCAATCCGATCGGGGAGAGATCTGATGAGCTTCTTCGGGAGGTCAGGATCCAACTCCGATCACGCGGCTTGGATTATCTTTTTAGCCCATGCCTGGTGAGCGATATTGTCCTTCAGGTCTTAAAAATGAGGCTCTATTTCCCTTAGTTTCTTCTTTAGAGCTGCCCAAACGTGTTCAATGGGGGTTCAAATCGGGGCTGTGAGGAGGCCGGTCGATAGTCCAGATCCCGTGCTACTCTAACCACTCCGGCGACCCTCTTTTGACGTGCACAGGAGCATTATCTTGCTGAAAAGGGTCCCTGTCTTATACAAGGGAAGAAGACCTTCCTTTAGGACTTGTTGATAGCGCCTAGCAGAGACTCCTCCGCGTGGTGAATCCGGATCTTCTTCGCAGAAGACTAGCTTGCCTAGGCCATCTTCGTCATCACGTAACCATATCAAACCCTAAATTATTATCGAAATACGAGCTCTCTCATGGCTCTGTGGGTTCATGAGATCCTTGCGGTACCGTTCATTGGAGAGGCGGATGACCCATTCGCCAGGTCTGTCGGGATCATTCTGGATGGTGCATTCATCAGAGAAGAGGGCCATCATCAACTCTTTTTGAGCGCGCTGTATGCGGTATTTTTGTGCCTAAATAAGCCGTTTCGTGGCGTCATCCTCTGTGAGAGAGATTTGTTTCGCTGTGCGCCATTTATTGAGGCCATGGCGGCAGAGAACCCTCAAGATGGTCTCTGTGTGGCAGGTAATGCGTGCTTTGGCTTTGAGCGCCTCTCACGAGAGACGAGGGAACCTCCGTACCAAATCAATTAGATGGCGTTCTTGCCTATGCGAAAGAAGCCTAAGAGCTCCCTTCCTTTGTGCAGTGCGCGTGGTTTTGGTAGTATTGACACGCGAGCAAATTTCAGAGATGGTTTCGACGCGTTCCGTGCCGTACGCGCGTGCGACAACCCTACGATTACAGCCCTCTGCGCGCGCCGTGATAATGCCTGCACGCGCCTCCGAAGTAAATTCGCCGTTCGTCTGGTGAGTGCTGCTCAAAACGGTACCTATTTCGTTAATATCCACGGCGAATTGATTTTATTATGAATTATCGCAAGATGAGGGTGTCGCGTTGTTGTTTTGGTCAGAAGATTGAATTGGGGCTAGTGTACGGAGAATTATGTGGGGCAAGTGTACATGTACATAGGTAAGGACCTAGCTGCCGTGTGTATCCCGTAGAGGTCCTGCTCCTGCACATGACACATGGCACATCGGAGTGTGTAAAAACCGGAACCCTGTCTTCGGGCCCGTTGCAGTCCGGTAAGTATGGGTGCCCGTCATGAATGCCGTTGACGTAGTGTACGCTTCGGTTCCGGGAGAGGATTGTAGGACCTTTCTATACTCGCAATAGCGCACAAGGCTACGGGCGGTGTGGGCTCCAGGCCGAAGAGGGTGGGATGTGCTCACTATGGCACTCGACACGATCTCTACTCATCATCACGCGGTAGCAGTCTGACCAACAACTGGGCATATTCACTGGCCTATGGCCCGTAACGTGATACGCGAGACGAGGGCTCAATGTTAGGCTGGACGCTTGACTCCAAGCAATCCGTTTCATGTTTCAAAGTGAATGCGAATTCCTACGCAATCTATAAGGATAAGCCGTTGAGGTATGACACGCTGGTTTGACTATTGCTCGCCTTTGGGTGTGCCTGGACGCGTCGGTGGTAAGGTGATGCTGTCAGAAGCTCAGGTCCCAGTTCGCCGCGGATAGCTGATCTGGCCTCCGGCGATGTGTCAATGAAACTTGCCGTCGAGGCCAATGGTGGCTCACATCTCTGTGATGTAGGGTGCTTCTTACACGTTATCTACTGGTATATCAACGCCGGCGCTCCATTCGTTGCTTGGAACCATGCATACGAAGCTGCACCAGCCTGTGGCCACGCCATACGGGGAGGCTCAAGTAGGGTTCCAAAGGCGTTTCATGGGCATGATCCTATATAAGTAAATTCCTTGACCTTGGGAAATCGTGACTCATTCAATGCTTGGGCATAATGGTTGTTCAGGAAATGACTTTGAGGTTGATTCATGGACGACTGAGTGACGAAATGTAGGTAGACTACATTCAAGTCAGTTTAATTCACTCACTGCTCGAGCCACCGCGAGATGGCGAATGACACAACCTGACGCCTGAATAATACCACGGCCAGTACTGACTGACACCACCGACAAGTGGCATATTCTAAGTATTTGTTCAGCTCTGCAAAGGCGAGTGGTTCTCGCAGATGCCAAAAAACTCCTCGCACGAAATCTCATAACGTCAACAACACCACAAAAACCACACCAACCTGGCTACCCCGTTCACCATACGCACCACCGTATCTATCTACGGACCGATCGCCGCGACCCTCTTCCCGCGCCTCTACACATTTCTCCTTCAAACGAGCCTCAAGATGACCACCGTCCCCACGGACTCCTACGCCAACCGGCCCCTCGCCAGACTCTTCATCAAACCATACATCCGGTTCGCCCCCGTCATCTTCATCGCAGCCAGCTGCTTCATATTCGGCGTCGCCATAGTGCTGAACCAGAAATCCCCCGTGCGCACCGACAAAAGCTGTCAGAACCAGAACGACCCCGTGTTCTGGGAGACGCTGGGACAGGTGCTGCTGCGGGTGCTGCTTGTGGTGTGCATCCTGCGCGCCTATGAGGAGCCCGTGCACGAGAGGGTTCTGAAACCCATATTTTATTCGGCGGTTGGGTTGGCTGTCTTCTTCGACATCCTGGCGTTGGTGCTGTATAGCACTGTCTGTGGGGGTAATGGATGGCTGGCGAACTTGTTGCTGCAGTGGGGAGGGAGTGTTGCGGCTGTGCTGGCGGCGTTCATGTTGGCTACCTATAAGGACGGCCCCTGATGAGGATCACGGTAATTAGAATTGGATATATATGTGATGGAGTTCGATGGGTGTATTTTTGGGTTGCAGATTTCCTTGGAAGGGTCGCGAGATTGTGCTGTGCGCCTTGGTGTGTTGACTGCCTCAGACAGACACTATCGGGATACTAGTTGGTGTATGGGAGATACCACTGTACATTATGCTGACCTTTTCCATGAGGTTGATTAGATGTACCATTGCAATATCCTTCTATTTGAGTTCTGTCTGCGTCCCCTAAGCCGCCATCTGTAAAATCTCCACCACCTGCGCCTTGTCGAGCTTCACAGGGTTAGCAATGGTGCACCAGTCCTCCATGGCATTATCCGCCAGCAACTCGAAGCGATCTTTCCCTACACCAAAGTGGCCCAGACTCCTGGGCATGCCCAGCGCCTCGACGAACGCCGCGACCAAATCCCCCGGATCAGCAGACCCCCTATCCAAGTCCTTCAAGTCGAGCTGCTCCACGACGGTAGGCTCGTCCCAAAACGCACCGAGAACAGGACGAAGCTGGTCCCTGACCTTTTCGTCTCCATGCTGCCAGTTGTACTTCAGCACGTACGGCAGCATAACACAGCTCGTCTCGCCGTGCCCGACGCCCATGGGGCCGAGCTGATGCCCGATCCCATGACTGGCGCCTATGCCGTTAAACACGCCCTTGATGCTGTCCTTGACCGCCAACATTGATTTCAACCTCGCCTCCGTGTCATACCAGTTCTTCTTCGTCTGCAACAGACTGACCAGGAGCGTCCTCAGCGCATTGATCAGCTCGGGACTTATCTCGGGCCGCGCGTCAGGCGCATTCGCATACAGACCCTCGATGCAGTGATCGACAGCGCGCACGCCGGTCGACAGCCAGACGTGCGCGGGCGTCGATACCGAGAGGGATGGGTCGAAGACCACGATGTCGGCGTACATGGATTCGTGCCGCAAGACTCGCTTGTGGTGCGTCTTCGGATCCGTCGCACCGCCCGCCGGCGTGAACTCCCCGCCGGACAGCGTGGTGGGCACGTTGATGCAGGGGATAGTGGCCGGCTTTACATCGTCCCTCTCAGCGGGCTGCGAGCCCATCATCGAGTTGCACTTTTCCCAGAGCACGTCAACGCCTTGTGTGGTGGTCACTCCATTCGCGACAAAGAGACGCGCAAGTTTGACCCCGTCGGAGATGGAGCCACCGCCCAGCGTGATGATGAGATCGACCTCCTTGGCCTTCAGATCTGCGGTGAGCTCGAAGACGTCCCCCCAGGGCGTATGGGGCAGGATGCCATAGCGCACGCCGACGAGCTTGTCACCGAGCGCCTCCTTGAGGGCCGTGAAGGCAGGCGTCTTGCTGATGGACTTCGATACGATGACGTATACGCGCGATGCGTGGAACGTCTGTTCGGCGTGGTGCGCGCAGGCCTTCTCGAAGGACAGCCCGTGCGAGACGTAGGGTTTGGCCTTTGGCGGATCCCACGAAAAGAAGGATTCGCCTGGGACTGCCATGGTGGTTGGCGATGTTTCGCGCTTTGAAACTGACTATTGAACTCTCGAGGAGTGGCTAGTCCGTGGTGGATGGCTGTGACAGGTTTGGCCCTTAGAGGCTATCGTGAGAGGCAAACGATGGTAAAAGATGACGGGCTTGGGGGTAGTTCTGCTATATGCTTCGCGATTCTTCAAACTCGAGACGCTATGAACGTTATTTTGATATACTCCTCGAAACGAAAGCTTTGCTGTCACTCTTGTGCCGTACTTATAACGTCATGCGGAGCCGATGCGCTTATGTTCCCCTGGAGATGGAACCGGAGCCGATGCGCTTACATCCTCCTAGAGATGGAACCCATGCAGGATATTCGACAGCTGAAGGCCAACACTATGCCAGATCTGGAGTACGTAGCATATCTATATCTGGTACATAGAGAATATCGATCACGGTGTGTTGGATATAAGAGTTGCTGTCGGTCTTCTGCCGCCGGCGGTTGGTTGTTGTCAGCACTGACCGGGTGTGAAGTGAAGCTCTCACAATCGTTAGCGTCATAAGGTCCTCCTCGCGACCCTCAGTGACGTTATATTCACACAAAGTTGCAGATTCTTCTCCTGATCTTTGGAGCACTATATGGACCTGTCGCATCTCGCTCGGCTCCAACCGAGTGAATGGCTCACATGTCCTGCTACTATATGAAGCGATGTGAATGAGAAGCAGGAGGTAAACTTGGGACACTTGCCATAACCGGACGGAGAGCTTCGGCTTGAGCCAATCAGGCAATGCAGGAGTCAGACTGTGGTCAAACAAGGGGAAGCATCACAAGAAGGTGTATAACATGGGATGAACCCTTCTTAAGTACGCATGCAGGTACGAGACCAAAGGTTGAGCGCTACGTTTGATATCCCGCTCATGCATCTTCTGAAGGTTGGATGTGCAATCAGACCATTTCTTGCAGCTCCCGGACCATCACAGGCCACATTAAGCCGTACGAAGAATGAGTATATGGAGTCGTTCTCACCATAGACTCGACCGTGTCTGCAAAAAGCATAGGCATACCTCATGCGCACTCACAAGCTGTGAACCCAGGTCTAAGAGTCGAAACAGGCCAGCGTCCCCAATGAGGAACCTCAAAGAACCTGGGTTTCGACCGCGATTTCAAGATGAAGCAGCGAGCAAACCATCAGCGGATATCCGCAGTGATATTCCAGACCCAATGTGTGGCTTCGAAATCTCTGGCTGCCAAGCATGTCCATCTTGGCAACGGGAGAGACTATATAATTCCCCAGTCCAACCGCCGCGCCTCGCAACGCCATCGCGGCAACTCACCAGACACACGTCCCCTAGCAAGCACCACCACCCCAAGCCATGGCGTTCAGAAACTCCCTCTTCCGCAATTCATTCTGGAGCTACCAGAGCCACGAGCTCGTGGTGTATCGCCTGAGCGAGCTCTACACACCGTTCGACGCCACAGAGGAGGCTCGGCCGCCGGCGTCCGGTTCGGGATCGGGATCGGGATCGGGATCGGCATCAGCGCCCGTGTCGAGCTTCTCCGATGACAGCGACGATGAGCCGAGGTCGGATTCCTTCAACACTACTCGTTCGCCTGCGTCACAGCTGTCGCAGGCCTCGCCTGACAAGTGGACTACTTGTCGCGAGAAATCACTGCCGCCCATTCCGCGGACATACACTATTCAGCGGGAGCCGAGGAGGTATAACGTGAATTGCCTGTCAAAGCCCAGGCGGGACAAGTCTTGGTCGCGAGAGAAAGCGAAGCGAGCGTGCGAAGCCAAGGTCAAGGCGCCGGGAGACTCGGGCATGTCGCGACTGAGAGAGGTCTTGTTCGTTTTCACGGTCTGTATGGCCCAGCTGTGTGCTCGTGAGTTGCTGCCGCATTGAAATCTCTCTGTCACCGAGGACCAAACCAGGCTAATACATGATCAGAGGCTGGCATCGGTCAGACGTTGCCCATCCTTCGTGATGTTTGTGCTACGTTCGGTGTCGCCAACCCCAGTGACCTGAGCTGGGCTGTGGCTGGCTACTGCATGGTAGTAGGCACCGTCATCCTTGTCGCCGGAAGACTTGGAGATGTCTTCGGATACAAGAACATGTTCCTCGTGGGCTTCATCTGGTCCGCCGTCTGGTCCGCCGTCGTCGGCGCGTCCTTCTACTCAACGTCCAGCCTGTTTCTCATCAGCCGCGCCCTTCAAGGGGTAGGCGCTGGTCTGAGTCTTCCGAATGGGCTAGCACTTCTAGGGGCGGTTTATCAGCCTGGTATGAGGAAAGCCGCGATCTTCACTCTCTACGCGACAATGTCGCCCCTTGGTCTGATTGCTGGGGCGGCGGGTGCGAGTGCCCTCACGCTGGTGTGGTGGCCCTTGGCGTACTGGGCCTTCACGCTCGTGTTGCTCGTGGTTGCTTTTATTGGCTTGATCGCTATCCCGAATGGCATCCGAATAACTAAGAGATTCGAGACCATCACCGCAGCTATGACTGAACTGGATATCCCGGGTATGCTGACTGGTATATCTGGCCTTGTTTTGTTTGGTTTTTCTTGGAATCAAGCAGCCTTGGTCGGTTGGCAGCAGCCATATATCTGGATTGCTATGATCGCCGGGCTCGTGATGGCGACGCTTTTTGTGCTTATCGAACGCTACTACGCCACGAAGCCTCTCGTACCATTCTCTGCTCTGTCCCCGGACGGGTCGTGGATTCCTGTCGCATTGGCATGCGGATGGTCGTGCTTCGGGATCTGGATCTTCTACACCTGGCAGTTCCTCGAGGACTTCCGGAACACCTCCCCATTATTGGTACGTTTTCCAGAGAAACCAGTTGGTTCGAGGTAAAAAGCTGACTTGAACGCACTATAGTCCACCGCATGGTTCAGTCCTATCGCCGTCATCGGTTGCTTGGCTGTCATCACCACGGGTCTCATGCTTCATCGATTTGGACCATCCATCATGTTGAGCATCTCGCTTGCCACTTTCACCGCTGGAGCACTCCTAGTGGTTACCATGCCGGTGGTGCAGATATATTGGATCCAACTCTTTGTTGCTATGTTGGTGGTCGCCTGGGGCATGGACACGAGCATCCCAGCTGCCATACTCCTCGTCTCGGACGGTGTCGAGAAGAAGTACCATGGTGCCACGACCAGTCTCGTGAGCGCTGTTGTCTACTACAGCATCTCGATCGGGTTGGGCGTTGCCGGTACGATGGAGAACAATTTGAACAACGGCGGCGCGACCAGGCAGGGCACGTTAAATGGATATAGAGCCGCACTCTGGACCAGTGCTGGCTTCGCGGGGCTCGGAGTGCTTGTCTCTCTGGCGGTGTCGGTGAACATGTACCGAAGGAACCGATCGCGCGGTTGCAATGGCCATGGTCCGATGGAGGGACATCAACAGATCTGAGGTTCAACAGGCAAGTCAACGCAAATGGCAACGGAATAGTCTACTGCGTTTTGTAGGTGCGGATACCTATCAGTCGTGGAGTTATCTTCAACACTCCCGTCGTGTGGCCTGCTATGGGAAAGTTAGAACCCGCAAGTCTCTGAACACTCATGTCTATATCGTATCAATCGCTGCACTAGGCTTTTATGTGAATAGCGGCTGACCCGAACAAGCGATATTGGTCTTGCTCTGATGGTCGACCAGAGCTCGTACGTACCTCCAGTTGCGTTGTTGTCAAACAAGTGTCGACTGGTGAATCTCAACCACTCCAGCTCGAGATACCACACCATTCTATCTCAAATCGATTCACACTGCATGCATGGTGGCGAAACTCTCGAGAGTTACCCGTGAGCGGGATACGTGTCGAAACAATCAACAACGTCGTTGCATGTGACAGCAGGCGACACGATGCCCGGGAATGATGACATGCGGTGCGCTTATTCGAGGCAAATTCCCCTGTCGCTCTTGTTTCAGTTATCGGTCTAGATTCCACCTCAGCCACGATCAGTGACGGCACAGCGCCACTACAAGCCACTATCAGCCACATTAATTGGGTGCAGACAGGCGCTAAGGGCCATAACCAGGGGGACCTTGGCTCCGGGGCAGGGATGCTGTTTCGCAGCTAGGAAGGCAATCGCGTAGCTGATGACGTATCATTTCGGGTGCATGTGGTTGCCCCTCATTCCATGTTCAAGCTCGTATGAAGTTGACACATATTGGCAGCCGAGTAGGATAAGCAGCTGTTCAGTGCTTATTACAGGCAGTTTCCCAGTGAAATAATCTCTAAGACTACGGCTTATTCAACTTTTTGTTTTTGACCTCCAACAACAAACAACGTCACATTAACACGAACCAAACCTGCCATTCCCTCTAAGTTCCCAACACAATCCAATCCAATCCAATCCACCACCACCATGGCATCCAACACCGTCTACGTCAAGAATATCTCCGCCAAGACGGAGGATAAGGAGATCAAGGACTTCTTCAGCTTCTGCGGCAAGATCACCGACATCAAGGTCACCCCCGGCGAGAGCGAGTATGTACATTTCTGCATCACGACTCCTTGTTTCTCCCGCAAAGCATCTGAACGGAGTAATTACTGACTCTAATTTGCTACCAGCACCAAAGATGCCACCGTCACGTTCGAAAAGGAGACCGCTGCCAAGACCGCCCAGCTCCTGAACAACACTCAGCTCGGTACCCAGCAGATCTCAGTCTCCCCTGCCGACGGCAAGACCGACGACGGTGCTCCGCACACCTCTAACGACGAGCGTGACTCCGACGAGATCACCCAGGAAGAGAAGCCCCGAAGCCGCATTCTGGCGGAGTACCTTGCTCACGGCTACGTCGTTGGCGATGCTACCCTCCAGCGTGCCATCGAGCTCGACACCAAGCACGGCGTCACCAACCGCTTCATGACCACCCTGAACAACCTCGATCAGAAATATCATGCCACCGACCGTGCCAAGGCGACTGACCAGTCCTACGGTATCAGCAACCGAGCCAACAGTCTCTTTGGAGGCCTCAGCTCGTACTTCGAGAAGGCTACGAGCTCCCCTACTGGCCAGAAGCTCGTCAACTTCTACACTGTCGGCCAGCGCCAAGTCCAAGATATTCACGCTGAGGCTCGTCGACTGGCAGACCTGAAGAAGGATGAGCACGGAGGCAGCGCCTACAAGGCGTCAGGTCTAGAGCGCGTCTTCGGCAAGGAGGGAGAGCAGTCTGCTGCCGGAGGCAACACCGGGGCCTCCTCAGTCCCTGCGCCTGGTCCCAAGGCTGGCACGGCGGAATCTACTCCCCTGGGCACAGGTGCTGACCCTGCGAAGGGCTCCGGAACCGAGAAGGCCTAGGAACACAGAGTTATCGTTTGACGAGTTCATGAATGGTTATGACCACACAAGCAACTTGGAATCGTGTGAAGCCTGGAGTTCATGGGTTTTTATGATCAGCTGAAATGATCGGCTTCTCCAGGGTCGGTTGACTACAATAAACACTTCGCTGCTACTTACTCGGCTGTCTCAACAATTGATGCAAAGTGACCATGAATGCGTGAGACTGGTGAAATGATTTGCGGTATAATCACCTGGAAGAAGCGTTTATGTCCAAGGCAACTCGCTGGAAGAATCACCAACTTTCTGCTGATTCCACAGCCACTAATCTGGCCAAATACTCTGTTGGTACCTAAAGTATGTGAGATGCTTTCCATAACCACCTCCGTTCGATCTGGACGGCACATCTATACGGTCAACTTTAGATTAAAATCATACTCTAGCCGGCTAGGCCTTGATGGCAGCCTCTGGCTAAGGTGTTCTATAGTCTGTATGGATATGACATATATGCGAAGAGTATTGAGCGAGCGTACTTGTGATAGGTTAGAACAACCACCAAGTAACTCTCTAAACCAATCGCCTTCGGGGCTACCTGACCATGATCTTGGGACCATTAGCTGCTAAGATACTGGCACCTTGACAGCCGTACCCGGGTGTTTCTCAATGTATTCGATCGGAGCACTCAGCTCAAGCAGTCTCGCAGAGTAGGTACAATACAACCCATGCCATTGAGCAGTCGAACCTTATATCAATATAAACAACGGTAAATATATCGAAATGGAATAAGTACACTAGAATAATCATTGAAGGTAATGTAGCAAACTAAAGCTGCTGATTGCTGTATGCATATTCCAGTATTTTACTACGAGGATCTGGGGAAGGACCTGCTATACAACTAAGCAAAAGCCAAATGGAATATATAATGGGCTGCGCAGAACCCAAGCGCAGAAGGTCACCGACCTTGGTATGTTCGTATCACCATGGCCAAGTATGTCCCAGACCAGATTTCATTCATTCGTGAAACTAGGTTTGTCGGTAGCTAATGCCTCGAGCATTTGCATGTAATGCTTCCCTGATTGATGTACACCAGTCCCAGTTCCATGCTTGGAGGAAGTCTCTCCATACCACGTCATCTCATAGTCATCGTATCGTAGAGTGGTATTTAGTGACCCGACTTCCCGTCCTTCTTGAACTTGTCTTCGAGAGCGTCATCGACGGGGCCCTTGGGGTTTGAGGACAGGCCCTGGAGGTTTCAATCGTCAGTTTCCAACTTCTTGCATTATTGGTTAGGTGGGATAGGTGGCAAAGGACTCACCTTGAGCTGGTCCTCCATGCCTTCCTTCTTGTTGGGTGCCTTGTCGGTGCCCTGGCCAGATGCGGGGGTGTCGTGCAGCTGGGCGCCCGACTGGGTCGAGGGGTCAGGGGACTGGCGGCCTTCGTTTGATGCGGACGACATTGTGGAGGATGTGTGGTGTCTTATGTGGGCTGTGAAAGGTGTTGCTGGTCTGGGAACTCGGTCAGTTGGTTATTTGTGGTAGACAGATGGGCTTTCAGACACTGCGAATGACTGGAGGGCGGGGTAGGTTAAGGAAGCTTACATTGGGTGGTGAGGTTGAGGAAGTTGGTTGTCTTGAATGTGGTTGAACTTGACAGGAGGGGATGTCCACGATAGCGTATCAACCTGTTAAATACCCAATTTTTAAGAGACAGATCACTGGTAGAACGGCGGAAACGGGTTGCAGATGGTTTCAGACCAGAATTTCCCTCACAAACACAGCTGACATCATTGCTTCACACGTCACCAAGTTCCATTCTTCTTCGCCGAAGCCATCCATAACCCCCACCACGGCCACCGTGGGCTCCAGCTGTTTTGCCAGCTTCCAATTGTCGAGGGGCAGCGGGGCACTGATGAGGGGTTATCTTAAGGTACCCAGGTACCTTTCATAGTGACGTACATACGTCTCAGCCACAATGGCCACAGCTGTAGCCTCCACCGCAATGCACATGCACATCGACGACGCTAGCTGTGTCTGACAGCCGAAGACCCCGCATCGAGACCCCTCCCTCAGCTGCCTCATTGGGCCTGATAAGCACATGCCCTGTAGCAGTGAAATTCCAAAGAGGCGGGAAAGCATGAACCCGAGTCCCGACCCAACAACCACAACAACAACAAATCGCGACATACGACACATCACCAGACACATCACCACATCCCGGTGCACCTAGCTGCTACACACAACCCGCAGACGACATTGGAAGGCCTGAATTAATCCGCCAGCTACCTAATCGACTGTGCTGCTCTTCCTCAACTAACGTAGTCACTGGAACTGCCATTGCAGCCAGGTGTGTTGGAATATCTTTCAACCGCCTGCTAGGTATTGATGATGCCCGACCTCAACTCTGTTCCAGCATCTCCCCACGCTCTTGCGGCATCTCGACGCGCTTCCTCGACCCAGGCCAACCAGCCGCAAATGCCACCTCCGCCCGCTTCCACGTCGCCTTCGTTGAACATCCTGCCCTCGAACCAGGAGGCTCTCCAACATGCGTCACCAGGATCGCTATCATCACCACCGCTCCCGGCTGCAGCGAACATGGCTCCAGCACCAGGACAAGACAATACGGGTGTCGGCGCCGGGCCGGGTCCTTTGCGACACCCCCGCCCTCTGACCGCTGCTGAGCTGCATTCAGAAGTAGAACAGGAGCAGGAACTGCTGGTCAACCGCTTGACTCGAGACTTGACATTGCTCCGAGCCGCCCAGAACTCTTCGGTCGTCTCCAATACCTCATCCACGAGCGCCTCGACTTCTACCGACCAGGCTCACCCGTCTTCGTTTACCGACACTCACCTCCTATCCGGTCCAGGGTTTCCGATTCCCACGACCAGCGCTGACCGACGCCACCACCGAACGAGCTCGAGCACGAGCGGACGCAGCGTCAGTCAGGTTGCCAGCCAGGGCTCCATCCCTGCGCCGATACCCATACCTCAAGCCCACTCGGGAAGTGCTGCTTCGGTTCTGGAAGCTGCGCGAAACCCGCGGGGTGCTCCCGGAATGAGTAGACAGAGCAGCAGGACGTCGCATAGGAGCAGAAGTCGAAACCGATCTCCTCATTACGGTAGCCTGGGGCCGTCTTCGTACACCCAACAACATGGATTTCCCCACGACCCCAGCTCCAACTACTTTCTGCGTGGCCACACATCTTCAAACCCGAGTATAGCTCCTACACCTAGCTCTGAACTCTCGCCCGGTCTTATGCCTGCCACCATGCGCTATGAGGAGACGGCACACTTCCGCCATGAGCTCGAGTCGGCCAAGAACGAGAATGAGAACCTCAAGAGACGGGTCAAGGAATTAGAGAAGATACTACGAGAGCGTAGAGAGAGTGATGCCAGCCTTGGCAGAGGCCGAAGCGAGAGCACGAGTACAACTGCGAGCGTTAGTGTTAGCGGTGCGACTGGAATTGGAGGCGTAGTTGGGGGCGGAACAGGCATTGCTGGCGGTAGGAACGAACGAAGAGGTATGGAACGCGCCATGAGCACCCTGAGTATGGCTGGCAGTGTTGCGGTTGGCGTTCCAGACGACGAACTTCGAGTTGGAGAGAGTGCTGCAAGCACAGGTCTCCGCTCCGAAGCTGGACAGACCCAGGAGACGAAGTAAATGTCTCGAAGGGAATGAGACTGGAAAACCATGCACCTTTAGCATATGAAAGACTAGGCGGGATGTGTGGTGTAAACTTCAGCCATCGTGTTTTCTGGGCTCGCGTACAGCAGAGATAGTACTAGATCTTGTGCATGGTTATGAAGATCATGACTGAACGAATGAACTAATAGCAATGCGACTACAGTGCTACAAGAGATATGTGCTATCTGCAAACCTCTGCAATCGTGACGGCGAAGACTTCGCCGGATTTCTTGGTTATGACTGTGAGGTGACATGGTCTTCTAGATGGTAGATCAGAAAACAGTCGCTGGAGCAAAAGAAAGCACTGGTAGGAATATCCTTGTACTGTATAACTTGAGGGATGATGTGGTTTGGAAGGTTACCAGCAACACATGCCGTCTAACCCCTTTCCATGAATATGGGCGTTAGCGATCCCCGGCCATGGGAAGCTTCATATCCTAAGCGCAACACGGCGTAAAAGCATGGCCGTTGTCGTTATGTCACTGCTTATGACGGATGTCTTCGTGGTTGCCTACAAATTAACATATTTCAGGGAGGCACGCCGTAAGGTCCTTGGGGGAAGCCTATTTGTATATAGGGCTCCTATAAAGGTAGCTGTGTATATCCAAGGGGCTATGATGTGCCGACCCGGGATATAAGGCGTATAAATCTCACCACTCCTATTTCTCGCAGGTTGGCCCTCGATTCTCTTGGCAGGTTGCGAACGGATGGACACGAAATGAATATGATGCCGTGCGATAACATCAAAACAAGTGTAATTGGCAAGTAGGTCCTGTTCATGCGTAGAATAGTAGTCCCCAAAACCAGCGGATCTAGCATACCCCTTTATATGTGGCGAAGTCAGAGCCGATGCTGATGACTCGGACACCGACAACACACCCTCACAGCAGCCATCTCCGCAGCTCCAGCTCGACCCTCCGCCCCTAAACCTTCACCATCGCCATCCCCATCCGTCCCCTCAACCCCCAAAACCGGCTCAACAACCGCCTCCCCACCCCCAACCACCAACCCCAACTCCGTGAGTCCTAAATCCGGCACCGCGACCAACCCGACAAAACTCGCAATGAGGAACGGATTCTGCGCCATGCCGCAGCCCAGCTCCTCCCGCACCGCGCGCTCCAGGCCCAGCGACGCGTCCCGCACGCTCTCCCACGGCGCCGACGCCATGCAGCCCGCGACGTCGAGGCCGACGGACCCGATGACGCGCTCGCCGCGCTCGGAGACGGCGACCATGCCGCCGCCGCGGAGCGCCGGGTGCGTGCGGTAGGCGCGCGCGGCGGCGGCCATGGCGGCGTCGTCGGCGCCGATGATGACGAGGTTTTGGTTCTCGCAGTTGGTGGTTGTGGCGATGGCGCCGCGGCGGAGGCCGAAGCCGCGCACGTAGGCTAGGCCGCGGTTGGGGCTGGCGTGGTGGCGGTCTACGATGGCGATTTTGAGGATGTCGCGGGTGGGGTCGGTGAGTATGATGGGGCGGGAGGCAGCGTTGGGGGGAGAGGTGGATGAGGATGGCGAGGGGCCGACGGCGAGAGAGGCGTGGAAGGCGCGCTTGAAGTACCCGTCGTACATCTCGACGCATTGCACCCAGGCTTTGGTGGGTGGCGAAGCTGACGGGGAAGGGATCGGGTACAGATGGTACGATTCAGGGGTTAGGTGCCGCTCGTGGATGTGAATGGTGTTGAGCGTGAAGTCGGGGATAGGGTCCGTGTTTGCAAAGAGCGCCATGTTGTCTTGAGCTACGATAGCACCGTTGCCAATGATGATGCTTGGGCTATATAGAAGAATGTGAGCATTTCGTATTTTGGTTACGTGATGTGACGATGCTCCTCACTCACCGTGCATCTTGCAGCTTGTCAAGTATAAGCAAGTCCGCCAGTTTCCCCGGCGTCACACTCCCGATCAGGTGATCAAGTCTATAATATGACGCGGCGTTGAGCGTAGCCATACGATACGCATCCATCACCGACACGCCCAGCTCGATAGCACGGCGGACGTGCAGATCGATGTGTCCCGTTGCGTCAAGGTCCTCGCAGAGCTTGTCGTCGGCGCAGAAACTGATATACCTCAGCCCGTCTTTGTAGAGATCCTTGTGGCTGAAGACGGCTTCGATGTTCGAGTTCATGCTGCCGGACATTACGGTCAGCATCATGCCTAGGCGTAGCCGCTCGAGCACGTCTTCCGGTTGGTGGGCGTTGTGGTCGTCTCCAATGCCGCCCTGCAATCCAGTGTCAGTCCGTGGTCAGACCAGACCTGCGGTATCGCCGGGAGAAAGGCCAAAGACCGACGTACCGCACAGTATGCCCATAGTGGCTCGTTGACCAGCAAGGCAGAATGTCCGGTAATGCGCTTACCAGCATGCAATGCCGCGGCCTGCTTCTCGGCGGATGCCATATCCAACGAAAAGGGGTTGGATTCGCCCAAGGTCGCTGCCTCGCATTTGGAGACTCGTTCACAAATCTCAGCTGTTGACAGTGATGTGCCTCCGAGCTCGATGTCCGGACCACTCATGGGCACCTTGTGCGATACCTGCCTGAAGATGCGAAGTGGTGTCGTGGTTGTGCCTGTGATAAGTCACAGTTAGGGACTGCTTCTAGACACACGTGCGGCTGATGATCTCACCCATGAAGTCCATCCCCTTTCCACCGAGAACCTGCGTGGATGCCGTAAGCGAAGTCACATGATATAGTATGCTGTTTCTGCTGCATACTTACATTCGCGATGCAATTGGCATCAGCCAGGACTGTGGTAGTGCCCCTCGGGACACTCAACCTGGCCAGCTCTCCTGGCACAAGCTTCGTGTATTCAACATGAATATGCGTATCAATGAACCCAGGGCTGACATACTTGCCACTGGCGTCGATTTCTTCGACGTGATCACCTTTTGGGTACTGACTTCTTGGGAAATAGTCCCAGGGAGTGATGGCCGCAATGTGACGACCGCTGATCACGACGTCCCGCTCGAGTAGCTCACCGGTGTGAAGAGCCAGGATGGTGCCATGCCGGATGATGAGCGACGGAGATGCCGTGCCCCGGGCCACGTGCCGGAGCTGGAAGAGCTCCTCGGCTGTGATGGAGAGGTGAGCTCCGGTCGCGTCAGACATTGATAACATTCGGTTCATTGACCGTGGAAGTGTATACAATGCAGTGCAACATGCCACCGCTGCATCTTTCAGGGCATTTGACCCTTTCGACACGCCGTACTATCACTGGCGCTCTTTCGTTGCGACAAACGCGTTAAGATGGTGGCATCGGGCCAGTCGATCCGACCCGAATTGCCGGCCGGCACCCATCACTCTGACCAGCTGCCTGGCCACCCATCTTAACTCTCGGCCAAGCAAGCGGGCAGGATCCGGTTCCGTCTTGCTGGGTTCTCGTTCACCCTCTTCCGGGTATCTTCACCACTTCAGTCGGTACCCTCCGACGAGGTAAGTTTGCAGGACAGGCACCATATCTAAAGATGGCTGGTATCGCTGCAGTGCGGTGGAGTCTATCACAGGGTCCCTATCTCAGCTGCTCCCAGGTTGTGCTATAAGAGGGTGGAGAACAAGTTGATAAGAGGTCTGGATACGCGTTCCATGGCTGGTGGCCTTGTCTGGGGCAATGAAGCACTGCTATTGGTACGGGGTCTTCGCACAAGGATGGGGTTGGCGTGTAACGTTGATGATAAGCACAAGCTCATCTCGAGATATAGAGATGGGGACTTCCTGCAGGAGTCTAGACCTCGCATGTGATACCTATGATAGGTGCAAAGCTCTCTCTCTCCCTCTCTTAGGCAAGCTACTGGCTTGAAATTCTGCCGTCGTGTGCTTGACTTCTTGACATACGTGCTTCCCAGAGGATTTGGGTAGCAGAGTGCTAATAGCACACGATCGTGAGAATGGAGAAAGGTACAGGTTCGCCAACGGCTGTCGAGGGCTCCGTATCATCGATTGATGGCGGACTATGGCAACGCCTTCACGACAAGGTGAAGCTCGAGGTCGACGAGAGCACCTTTGCTCCTGAAGGGACGCGCTGGAGCAATAAAGACCTGGATCCGGTGCCTCCAGAGTTCCAGACCTGGCGAACTGTAGGTGTTATTACCTGCAAGAGGCCTGGCAAGTGATTGCTGACGACACAACAGTACAACTTCCTCACCTACTGGATTGCTGATGCTTTCTCGATCTCGAACTGGCGCATCGGCGCTTCACTCATAGCTATCGGCCTGTCCTGGAAGTTAGCCCTTGCGGCTGTGGCAATCGGAAACCTTGTGACGGCCTTCGTCGTCACGTTCAACGGCTTCATCGGTGAGTACACTAGCGTCCCCCTTTCTCGCAACTGGACTGACATCAGTAGGCGCCCGGTTGCATATCCCGTACACCATCCAAGCAAGATCGGCGTTCGGCTTCTACTTCTCATACGTGATGGTAGTCTTCCGCGTAATCATTAGCATATTCTGGTACGGTATTGGCACTTACACCGGCGCCGAGTGCGTCCAAACTATCATCTACGCCTGGGCACCGAGCTTTCGCAACGTACCGAACCAACTGCCAGAGTCGGCCAACATCGACACCGGGTTCATGATCTGCTACTTCATCTACTGGCTCCTCGTCTTGCCGTTCCACTATATCCCGGCACACAAGCTCCACTGGTTCTTCACCTTCAAGGCCATCGTGAGTCCCATCGCCGGTTTTGCGATCATGGGATGGGTCATATCCGAGACGGGCGGCGGCGATCGGGTCTTCTCGTACGGCAATGAGCTGTCAGGCGCAAAGCTGGGATGGGCGTTCATGAGCGGCGTCAATGCTATGATTGGCAATTTCGCCACGCTTGGGGTCAATATGAACGACTTCGCCCGGTACTCGAAGAAACCGAATAGTCCATGGGTTCAGCTTCTGGTCATACCAACTGTCTTTATCATCATGATGCTCTTCGGAATCATCGGAGCCAATGGATCGCGAATACTGTATGGTGAAGTTCTCTGGGACCCAATGACGATCGTCAACCACTGGACATCGCCGGGTGGGCGAGCTGCGGCTTTCTTCGTGGCGGTTGCGTTCCTCATTGCCAACATCGGTATCAACATCTCAGCAAACAGTATATCCGTGGCAGTTGATCTGACGACATTGTTCCCGAAGTACCTGAACCTGCGCAGAGCTCAGTACGTGTGCGCCATACTGGGCGCTTGGGCAATGACACCCTGGAATATCCTCAAGTCGGCGGAATCGCTCCTCACCTTCATGGACGGTTACTCGATCTGGCTGGCGCCAATCTCGGGCATCCTCATTACAGACTACTGGTTCGTGAACAAGCAGCGAGTAAGTGTACCCGACATGTACCGACCAGACGGGATATACGCGTACGAGAAATGGGGCACAAACTGGCGAGCGGCGGTGGCGTTCGTGGTCGCCTTCACCCCGTTGCTGCCGGGGTTCGCGAAGGCGGTCACACCGAGCATAGAGGTTTCGGATGGAGCTTCGAACATCTATGCGATCGGGTATTTCTTCGCGTTTCTTTCCAGCTCGGTCATCTACTACAGCCTGAGCAGGATCTTTCCGCCAAGGAGTGAGCACAGCAGGCGGACAATCAAGGAGTACCTGGAAGAGGCCAACATGGAGTCGCGACTCTGAGGACGCAGTGCCAGGCTACTGTTATTGTTTGATAGGTAACTTACTTTGTTGAAGCGCAGACCATCTCAGACGTCGCGAATATATTGGCGATGGTCAGTCGTGCACCGTACCTCTCCAGCGAGGTATTCGTTGAATTCACAAGGCAAATTGGCCACTGGCGTCTGGTCTTGACCTCATAGTCGCGTGAACAGCTGGACTCAGCGAGGGCTCAGCTACCATGCTTGGGTTTGAGTGGAATTATCTCACATCCATCGCGACATCGCTTATCCTTATCTCGGGAATAACATGGAGATTACCTGATCATGACTAGATATGCAACTATCGGTATTATGCAAGTCCCGAGCCAGGGATCAACACTCATCTCATTTCGTCTGTTTGTGTGCCAACCGCGCGCAAGCAACGACGCCAGCAAAAAGCCTGCTGTTTGGTATTTAGTCACTAACCGACAATTTTGTTCAAAGGGGACCAGTTGCGTAACTCGCGATGCCCTGCTGGACGATATCTTCCGCGCCTCTGACCTCCATATTCAACTACAGACGACCGACTGCGCCATGTCTGCTCGGCAAGGAGAGGCAAGTGCGCCAGGAATAACCAGATGGACGACCAAAATCCAACGCATCGGCTGGACTCCGAGTTGGCTCCGGTGGAATCCCGATGACAATCATGAGCTGACGTGGGGGATGAATATCTGCTTTGGCATAGTAAGTCTACACCTACCTATGGAATCGTCTGTCATGCTGACCCTCAACAGGCCAGTGCTTTCAGTGTTGCAAACCTATACTATACCCATCCCATCCTGAATATTCTCGCCGACGACTTTGGCGTTTCAGACGAGCGCGCAGCATTGGTTCCAACCGTCATTCAAGCTGGCTATGCCGGCGGCTTGCTCCTCATCATACCCCTTGGGGATATCCTCCGTCGACGACCTATGATCCTCAGCCTGATATTCGCAACGGCCATGATAGTGGGTACATCGTGTCTATCTAAGCCCACCCTACTAACTATCTTCAGTGGCTAGGATGCACACTCACAGCCTCCTTCTCCGTCTTCCTTGGCCTATCGTTCTTGGTCGGGCTGCTGACCGTCACGCCACAACTGATGTTCCCTCTGGCGATCCAGTATGCACCACAGCGGCACCGAGCAACCATGACCTCTGTAGTCATGTCTGGTCTGGTGTTTGGTATACTCGTAGCTCGCCTGATCAGCGGCATCGTCACTCAGTACACGTCGTGGAGAAACGTGTACTGGTTAGCCTTCGGCCTCCAGATTGTCATTTGGGTCCTACTTTTCCTGTTCATGCCCGACTACCCTCTCTTGCATCCTGGCACATCGTACCCCGGGATTCTGCTGAAGATCGTGAAGCTGCCTTTCCTCAAGCCTGCCCTTACTCAGAATTCAATTATCGCTTTCCTGGTCATGGGCATGTTCACCTCGTTCTGGACGACCCTTACCTTCCAGCTCGCCGATGTGTTTCACCTGTCCACGTTGGCCATCGGGCTATTTGCTCTCATTGGCATCTCGCCCGTGCTCCTCAACCCGGTCATCTCGCGCTTCCTGACGTCTCGCATACACCCTCACGGTACCCTCATCATAGGGCATCTCGTCACGCTTGCAGCGGTCTGCGTCGGCACCTTCGTCGGCACTTTCTCGTTGGCGGGGCCAGTCATCTGGGCTTTCATGGGTGATCTCGGTATGAATACGATTGTTGTTGCGAATCGGATGGCCATCGCAAACGTCGATCCCACAGCACAAAACGCAGTGAACTCTGTGTACATGGTATTCACCTTCTGCGGACAATTGTTTGGGACCGCCGTCGGAAACACTCTATACGCACGGGGTGGATGGACGAACTCGGGAGCCCTAGCCATCGCCCAGATGATTGCCGCGCTGATCGTTCTCTTTGCAAGGGGCCCGCACGAGAAGGGCTGGGTCGGATGGCGAGGCGGATGGGATTTGAGAAGCCCTATCGGTCAGGAGAAGGCCGAGCCTCGGGCTACCCAGAGCGATGTTGAGGCCAGTACAGAGGAGTCGACCATCCAGCCAGCTGCAGAGAACGACGAGAAGTCCAGCAACTGAGCAAGCAGCGTTCGTACGTCATGGGTGCCAGACTTAGTCACATGGGGATGCACCACGAGATGCAGCGGCTTCGTCTTGCGTATGACTTGGTCACACCGTAAGCTCGGTTGTATATAACAACCCGTTGAATCACGACAACCACCATCAATCCGCGTTGCGTCCTCCAAAAGGGGCCATCTACCAGCGCATTGCCCGCCCCCCACTAAGCCTGGCGCGCTCCATTGTCCATGTTCTAGCTACCAATGTCGGACTGCTTGGTTGCTAGTGATTGGGAGCAACTGTATAGAGAGGTTCGTGCCCCTTCTGGAACCATCGTTCCCAGGAAATCTGCAGCGAGGATTGCATTATAAGTCTTGGTGTAGGGATTGACCTGAAGATTGAATCGTTTTGCTGATCTCCGAGTAGCTGATAGATCATCATCCAGATTGCCTTTTGTACCATCGGCAGGCAGTCCAAAACAACCTGAGTAAACAAAAGAGAAGTATAAAGGCTAGGGGCGGCTACGGAGGGCTATACTAGGCGGAGTGCAATTTGTGCCATCACGTAAGGCCAGCCCAAGGGGTCGGCTGGGTCTGACCGGCGCAGTCCAGCCAGGAGCTTCGGCATATGTATGTCTTCAAAGAAAGTATACCTCCTTTCAATTGGAAACCGTGCAGGTATTCAGCGGGCACTCCAAATGATAAAGCACCTTGACGATCGCCCATGAGGTCTTCGTGGACTTCGCAAGTCTCTCTTGGAAAGACATTGAAGATTCTCTCCACGAAAGTCGAGACTGATTGGGCGCTAAAGCCGGCAGCCGGGTGTGTTTTCTTCCCCCGACTCCGATATAGGATATTCCCCGCGACTATTGCCACCTCACTCCCCCATGTCACGTAAAGTACCTATACCCAAGCCATCTGAACCACACCTCTACAGACCGCGATAACCTGGCAATCACAGTCTATTGACCACCCAAACAACCTCCCGATCCCCTCAGACATCAAGATGATCGCAGGCATACACCACGTCAACCTCGTCGTCCCGCGCGACACTCTCCCGGAGGCAGCCGCCTTCTACGGCGAGACGCTGGGCCTAACCCCGCGGCAGGTGCCCTCACTCCAAGTCGGCTCGCTGCTCTGGTTCGACATCGGCACGTCCGGCCAACAAGTCCACATCGCCTTCGGCAAGCCCGACGACTTCGCCTTCGACTCGTCCGCCCACCCGTGCTTCCGGGTCGGCGACGGCGAGAAGCTGCTGGAATTGCGCCGGCGGATCTACGCCCACTTCGAGAAAGGAGGTGCCGGGGCGCCGAAGGCGGCCGACAAGCCTGGTGGCGAGGACAGCGGTGCGAAGGGCGTCGAGTATCCGCAGAGGTTCTTTGTGAGGGATTATGCGGGGAATAGGCTGGAATTCACCCTGTGATGGATGGATAGATGATGGGTTTGACGCACTCATGGAGGGCATGTACGACTTACGCGCCTTCGCCTTATGATACTTGGCCCCGTCTCATGAGGCGCGGGGCGAGACTGCTGATGGCCCATTGAGCGGAGGGCATGGGGGAGGCCAAGGAGATGACCGAGGTGTACGAACAGGCGAGATAGCAGGTGGTGTGAGGAAATGGGACGTGTTGTTACCATAAGTGCAGGTCGCGTGCAACGCATACAGGTCAACCCCTGAATAAATGAATCGTGGGTCGGTTTCGACAGGAAGCTTTGTCAAGTACCAGTATCGAGTTATTTTGTTTTGTGACCACAGGTCATTCAGAAATGGTGGGACCAGAGGTCCAGTAACATGTAAGAAGAGTAGTCAAGTACTAGTATAGTAGTAAGGATCGCACTCTCCGCACGAGAAAAAACACTTCAGGTTTCTTCAAGGAAGAAAGTCCAGGACTCTTAACTACTACCTACCTTATCTTGTATCAACCGACTGGTGGAGGTGTTGCAGGCTTTGAAGCGCTCCTATGGCCGGCTGAAATGGCAATTTCCACATTGTTATTGCGCCGAAACCACTAGATTGCTGCAGGTCCTTGACACAATCAACCACCAGCGCCGCGCGAGACCGGCCAGGTTATTCTGGAGAGTCATCTTGTACGCCGTTCAGCCAAGGAGGGCCAGCGACAGCTGCGAGATAAAACCGAAAATCCGTAGCTTGTCATCCGCGTGAACCACCGCCTGGCGCCGCGCTGTTGTTGAAGAGAGCAGCCGTCGTAATCTTCGGTCAAGAGGTGCCGAAAATGCGCTCAGTGTTGTATCTAGCCTGAGCACTCATCTTCTTGGTCATCCTGTGGGATCACCTGATTAGATAACTAGCTGCCGGAGCTCACTTTCCTGCTTATTTAAGTAAGAAGGTACCCCCTGTGACAATCAGGCCTGCAGCTGCGCTGGTCAGGGCTGATGGGATGAAATATCTAGATTCAACGATATCTAAGGAAGAAGAGGCAATGTCGGAAGAGAAAGGGGAAGCTAGGGATATATATGTACATAAATATGTGGAGGTATTATGTAATACCGTAACACCCCCTTCAGCTAAGGTATCCTTCTGCTCTTCCAATACATACCATTCTGAAATCTCGCAAGAGGGCGAGATCCCTCACGAACAGAGTGTCTGGGTTCTCCCCCTGGTCCGTATTGTCTTGGCCACACAAGAGCGCATCAATGTTGCAATCACTTGATGTCACAGCTTAGTGGTGTGGGACGGCCTTGCGGACAAATTGCTTCCCCCCAACCCCGCCCCCATTTTACCCCCTACCCCTATTTTGGGAACACTAGATTAGCACTGCCCTAGCAACTCTCCTCTAAGGGGTACATTACTACCACCGCGAATGCAGTATTCTCGGTTCTCCAGCGTGGCACTGGCCATTTGCCATTGTAGTTAAACCAGTCGCCAATGTCGTGGCCAGATCCGCGCCAGATACACGTCTTGGGCGCCGTGTCTGTCAATCAGTAGATAGACTTTCCCTCATCTTCCTTGCGAAAGTAGTTAGTCATTGAAAGCTCTTTTTTGACAGTACGGCAGCGACAACTACATGCATTCTTATCCCAGCAGGCCAGGGTCTCATTCTGGATGTATCACGAGTCCCTGAGCTCCGCGCAGTTGTAGTCCGTCAGAGACGCAAACGGTTGGCCGTCTCCATCTACAGTTCTTTGCTACGCTCTTCGTGGCCGTGGCTAGTGTATTGACGGCGCCGACATCGTTGGTGTTGATATGGGACACCTGATGACCTACGAGGCCGCTCATGGCGATGAACCGGTCGTCAGCGGTGTCGTCAGCGGTGTCGACAACCCTAATCATGTTGCCCTATATGCCGATCGGATTCACCGAGTTCTTCTTGAGCTTCAAGGTCTCGTCGACCACGAAATATTGATCCTACACATAGGAGTTGGAGGTTACTTGAGAGACTCTTCAGAGGGCACGAACCTGTAGTTACAAATTTACAAACCAAGGAGATCGATTTTGGCTTTAGGCCTTCTCGTACGCACTGAGCCCCTTTAGATTCTTGTAAACTTCATCAACGTACACTTGTTGATATCGATATGGTTATGAGCAGGTCTCCTGCAGCCGATGTAAGAATGTGAGGTATGGTGGAGCCACAGAGCTAAGAGGACATCGTACTGTAGCAGGCGAATTTTGCTGTATTTGTGTATTCGTACATGTGTGCGTGTGGAGGCTGCGGCAATGAAGGTGGCTAAACCAGGGCATCAGCACGTACCACCCACTACTGAGGAAAGGGGGCGCCAAGCCGTTCTTTTTCGCGGCTTCCATCCAGGTAGCCAATGTCCTGGCGTGACGCGCGACTTTCCACAGCAAGTAGTGTATACCGGCATCAATCTCCTTAGAAACGCATGGCCGCTCAGCGTGCAGAACCCCCTTGTTTCCAGATATTGGATCGACGGTGATGCTTCGACGTCCTGTTTTTGATGTCACCGTGCAGCTATTCCGGTCAAGGATCTGAAGCGAAGACTCAAAGTCTCTACTGTCAGCCCTTAAGGACCAGCGGTGTCTGTCAAATACTCAGTCCGTCACTTACTGGCTGGCTCTTTGGTATGTTGCCTCAACCACACTGGCGGCTGGTCAAACTTTGATGGGGCAAAATCGCAGTCATGTCAAGCTGACTGTTCGCAGATCTTGCTCTTCTTCCTTCCCTTCTTCTTCATCTTCTTCATCTTTCAAATCATCTTTGTTTCTCGTCGCGCCATTTGGCACGACGACCATCTTGTGTTCAGTCCCTTCTCAGTGAGATCGTTGCTAGGCAAACCTGGTCCAGTGGACTTATCGACCGAGCGGCTCAGCGGCACGCTTCCAGTCAACCCTTCCTCCCTCCTGTTTGTGTTGGCATTCTGCATAGCGAAGAGAGACTGCCCACAGCGCATTTCGACTCTCGCTTGTTTCGCAAGAGCAAAGTGGGCGTGAAGCGGCTCAAAGACTGCTGCGCTGGGACATCATTATGTTTTGCATGCGCGCTATCGCTCGACTCCGCGATGCCATACACGCAGCAAGTGCCAAGCTGAGGAAGGGATGCAGCGAGCAAGGAATTTTGACTGGACGCCATGCGAACAGACTCTTTTTCTGTACTTGCCAGCCCTTTTTGAAGCACAGGAGAATACTGGTGCTTGCCATACAGACTTACGATGCGAAGTCGCATTAGCCTGACTGGCTTTCCAGTCAAGGGAAGGACTTCGACCAGGTGTCGCCGATCCACTCAAGTGGAAGAATGCGATGCTGCTGTATCAACTATATGGGGCGTCTATGGATATTGCGTCCGCTGCGTCGGCCCCATCGAGCTTGAGGTCTGCCGTCCCTTGGTACTGCTGGCTGTCGGAGACGTGTCTGCAATGGACGCTACGGAGCTTCGAGCTTGTCTTGCGTGCAGACATGCGGCTCTTACTTCGACGGCCTCTACTACTATTGCACAGCAAAAAGGGGGGCGATTAGGGATGAGTCTGTTGTTGTTGGTGCATAAGGAAGAGAGGAAGATGTGCACGAGTGGAAGTGGCCTGTGGGCAAATATCCCCAAAGTGGGGACTGGTGGTCATGTGACCACGCAACAACTACACTGGCTGGCTTCCGCTGAGTGCACTGCTTGGACATTCTGCGCTACAACGTCGGCCCGGCTGTATCACCAATGGGGCGTCCAACGACAACGAAAGTCCGGGGGATGAAGGAAGAGTCGCCGCAAGAGTTGGCTCGCTAGACCATCATCAACCGCCATCGAGAGTCCTCTCATACCGGTGAAATGGTTTTATCGTGGCTGAGGGCTCGAGTCTGCGGCTATATGCACGGGAAAGACATGGAAAAGACATGGAAAAGACATAAAAAAGACATAGAAAAGACATAGAAAAGACATAGAAAAGACATGGAAAAGACATGGAAAAGACATGGAAAAGCCGGGCTGGACTGCCGACTTCATGCTGGGAGACTCGCTCTGACATCCTTGGACATTTCAAAGGATCTCTCAGTCTGCGTAGGAGACTTGGCGACTCGCTCAGGCGATGATTGTAATGGCGCATGAGTCGGGGTGCTTATTGGCGGCATGAGAGTTTGGAAAGGACAGCATGGCCACTGCCCTGACGGTGTGCCTCTCCATTTCGGCTCCTGGGATAGGTAGCTTGCCGCGAGAGTACAATCTTGCTCGTGCAAAGCTGAGTCAGGGAAACACGCCAGAGTCCGAGTCTATCGGCGTTAACAACATTGCGGAACGCCATAGCCCACTCGTCCCTACAGTCCACTTTCAAGCGACATATTGAGGGCATTGTGGCAAGTGGCTATCTCCGAAAACTACCTTTATCGCCGCAAGGTACATCCCCTTTACCATTCCAAGGGCTTCGAGTCTCACGAATAGGTGGCTACACTTGGCTCTCATTAGGTAAGCTCTTCGACCGCAAGGGAAGAGCCAAACCTAAATACCTCAAGATACAGAAAAAGCTAAGCCCCCGTGCTATACGCTGAGTCTAGCAGGATAAGACGCCGCAATCCGTCTCAATCTACCAAAACCTTAACCATTGATAGGTTAGAGAAGTCTATGCAAGACACCGCAGGAGATCCTTCAGGTGATGTACCTAGGTTTTGGTGAGCTGGTGCCAATGACCGCTCAAGGGGATGCCTTTCGCTTGGCCAACAACGAGTATACAAAGACGTATGGATGCCCAGTGTACAACCACGGAAAAATTCAAGTACTGACTGGACGCATGCCCCTTGGTGAGCCAATTGCATTACACTCAGTACCCAGCCAGGAGCCGGCTTGCATGGGGCTCAACAACAGATTGGAGGATCCCCCCATGTAATGGGCGGCTGTGCAGGGCCACCAAGGGCTCGCAGACAGACCTGGAACAGACGGAACCCTCTAACTATGGTAACTTGCGCAGAAGTAGCCAGGCGGCTTGAGGTGCGTCGAAGCCTCTTCTGACTCATGACTCTCTCAAAGCTAATATGTTATAGTCCATCAGCAACGGACTGCTAGTTAGACGGATGCAAAAAGTAAAATGCTCACGCCCTTCACCTCAGCCAGCTTCTGACGGCACCTTTCAGAGAGTTAGGGACGCTGGCTGTGATGATGGTACCCTTGTCTAGCGGTCGAAGGCGCCAGAGACCAGTTGAGTCGAACGAGCAACGGATCGGTAGGCGGTCTAGACCCAGCCCCCATAAGTCTCCGTGGGCGCCATGTTGAGAGAATTACAGACCAAACTTAAATATTTGGATATACTGGCACAAGCAGACGGCGGGTGGCGGACGGAGACTTGCGAGGGTTCAGAGCTAACTACTTATACATTGAGATCTAGTTGGGCAAGGTGATCATGCATACCGATACTCCGGGGTTTGTTGTGAAGATTAAACAAGCTCACATGCCTAGGTATCGTTGGAGGCATGGATTTGATCTGCCACATGGGACATATTACGTGCCATGGCTGAGTCAATTGTATAGTAAGGTTCATGAAAAGTGCAAAACCTTAACAACACACCGCAGCCACGTTCCTATACACTTCGGAGAAACGATTTTTTAACTATACTTATATCTGGCGCCGCCTGACTGCGAGGCACCTCCCTCCCTTCTTTGCAATCCAACCCTGCAAGTACTCCTCACAACCGACCTTGTCTCGATCCTTCGACACTTCATACACTGCTACCCATTAACATCCACAAGCACCACGGCCGACATTGTCTCGAACCGTCGAGACTTCATACACAGCTACCCAGGTAGCATTCAGAGGCACCAGCACCAACACGAATGGTCTCCGGAATTACTGACAAGATCACCCATCATGTATCTCAATATTGATGATATTGTACTCCGGAATGTTCGATTATTTCCCAAGCCACTGGACGCGATCTTAGCCGGGGCGACTTATCCAGCCAGAACACAGTTGCCTCCTCCCCAGCCAGCACCAGTGGCCGAATTGCCGCCATCACCAGTGGCCAAGATGACGGAAGAGGACATCCGGCAGCAGATAGAGGAGCTCCGGCAGCGGGTAAAGAACTCGCAATCAAGATGTAAGAAGCTTACTAATAAGTTTGTACAGGAGGTCGTGCAACCTGAACAGCAGGCAGAACCATCGATAGAAGCCTCTCAGCCTGCGAGTATTCTCTCGGACGAAGGCGCCACGGAGACTCCTCTCCCGGCACCTACCGGGACGAAGCGCAAGGCTTCTAAGACTCTGTCATTAACCGCAGCAACTAAGAAAACCAAAGCCAGCAACACGGACTACGAGAAAGTGAAAGGAAACAGTCTGAACAGTGATGAGATAGGTTGCAAAGCGACCCAGCCTTGTGACCGCTGCAGGGACAAATCCCGGGAGTGCCGAGTCGCCCTTGATCCCGGGAAGCCCTTCAACTCGTTCAAGTGCGGCCACTGTATCAGCCAAAAGCTCAGCTGCAGCTTCAGCGCGACCACCCCGGGTATTGACTACCCGCCTAATGAAGAGCGCGACGAGAAGGAGAAAAAGAAGAAGGAATCGCGTAAGACGGCGGCGGCCACATTGGAAACCAAGAAGAAGCTTCGCAACGCGAATGAGATTCCGGACATGCGTTCACCCTCCGCGGAAGCCTCCGGGTCGGGCCTTTCGAAGAGTCCCGCCGAGCGTTCCCCATCTGAAGCCTCCGGGTCAGGCTCTGCGCCCGATCTTGGACCTTTTTCTTTGCCGGTTGGCGTTTACAAGAAGGGCACCTGGGCGGCGGAACGGAGTCGTTGGAATGCCATCAACGTTGTCGATGGGAGAGTGTTGGGCTTTTTCCCTGCCACTAAAACGCAAGAGGCCCGGGGAGTGATGTGGCCCGGGACAATGAGGAGGCAGACAATGGCAGGTCCGCCCGATGACGATGATGCGGAACAGCCTCTTCGTGAGCCGTCGTACTTGACGTCCACCACCTGATTGCACTTGCCACTGCCGCGTGCGACTCCTCCAAAGACTGCAGTCTGGACTGTATACCGCAGGCAGCTCCCGCCAGGCCGAGCTAAACAGTCTAGCAGTCTGCTTTCTGTTGTCATTCTATTACACCAGCACTTGCATTTCCCTGCGACCGACACGCGTTTGATGTCGGGACGACCTGGGAGGGAGCTATGCGCCATGAACAGAAGGGGAGATGTAGTAGTAGTGTACACTGTACACTGTACAATGTGCACTATGTGCGAAATTCCAGTGACGTTCACGGCGACATAGTTGTTAGATAGGTTGAGTTGTCGGGCTAGACTGACTTCACCTTGGTTATGTTAGCGACTCTGTAGGTGCCTTGTATATTGGTACCTTTAGTTTTAGTAAGGAAACTTCCCCCAAAAAGAACCTTTTCCCATTGATATGCAGTGACAAGTGTTATGTTGATTAAGGCGCCCCAGTATCGCTGGGGAGGTGACAGAGGTGCCGATGAGGCTATTCCTACTAGGTATGCGGTGCAGAGCTGAGCGATGGTATGCCTTCCCCCCTATTCCCCGGCTTTACAGCGGGTTTAGTGATGGATTCACAGCCGCCACAGCCACCAGGACTCGCTGAGCCACACCCTCCATGTGTGATCATGCTGCGTACACAGTATGAGTGCTGAGCCTGATACGCTGAGTTCGGTCGCTGATTCTTCATCCCATCGCCGTGACCACAAGCAATGAATTGCACAGATTCGGCTCCAGTAGGGCGCTGAGCTCATTCCGTCTGTCCAAGCGGATGCTTCAGAAACGGTGACACCATGGATCGAAGCCGGAAATAGTAAGTCCTCGCGAAACCGCTACAAACCGCGCATTGATCGGGTCGTCGCACCGCCGCCGAGGGCGATGTCGCTCGCCTGTGTAGCAGCGTGTGGGAAGTCCCCCCGATACAGGTGTAGCTTCCATGATACGTCCTGGGCATCTCACCTGTCCCTACTCGATTGAGGAGGCGTCTTACCAGCCATGGATCCACGCAATGCCATCCCAGTGACTCTCCCAAGAGACAAGCCCACGCAGAGCTACTGGCAGCTCGAACCAGACGAGATCGCTGACCTGCGCTCTACCGAGTCTCTCCCGAGCGACGCGGATGTGGTGATCATTGGGAGTGGCATCACCGGCGCTGCTGTGGCTTATAACCTCTTGAGCAATGGAGCTCAGAACGTGGTGATGCTCGAGGCGCGACAGGCCTGCTCCGGTGCCACTGGACGCAATGGTACGTCCCGTGGCAATCCCTTCCCCTTGCCATTATACTACTCTTACTGACCTGAGTGGTTACGCTGTAGGCGGACACACGAAAGCTGCCTCGTACCGTTCGTTCCTCCAGCACCAGCAAGACCACGGCACGGCCACGGCTGTCAAGATCGCCCGTCTCGAGCTCGCCAACATCCGCGCCGTGCATACGTTCGCCAGGGAACATGGACTTGACTGCGATAGCAACCCCTGCGGTACCGTCGACGTGATCTATGATGCGAAGCAGTGGGAGGCCGACCAGCGTGCCGTGAAAGCCATGCAAGCTGCGATGCCTGGCGACGATGCCTCCGTCTATACCTTGCACAGCGCTGAAGAGGTGCGCGAGAAGTTCTACTGTGGTAAGGGTGGGAACGAAGCTGTCTCGGGCGGGATCTCGTACGAGGCGGGAAGCCTTAGTGCGTACAAGCTGGGCAGCGGTATCCTGAAGCTCGATTTACAGAAGGGTTTGAACTTGCAGACAAACACGCCGGCCCTTAGTCTGAACAAGGTCGACGATAGTGGTAGGTGGCAGGTTGAGACGCCGAGGGGCACAGTCACAACCAAGAGAGTAGTGGCGGCCACCAACGGATACACAGCGCACTTGTTGAAGAGATTCCAAGGCGTCATCGTTCCATTGCGTGGGCACGTCACCGCGCAGAGACCCGGACAGAATATGCCCAAGGAGGGGTTGCCGGCGACGTACAGTTTTATCTACGAAAATGGCTATGACTACATGATCCAACGAGCGAAAGGTCCGCAGTTTGAAGGGGACATAGTGATTGGAGGCAGCTTGACCGCGGCACCTGCGGATGGTCTCGAGGAATACGGCACGACGGACGACACCGGCTTCGACGAGGTCATCGTCCAGACCCTGAATACGACGCTACCTGAGTACTTTGGCGAAAGCTGGGGTGAGGATCATCCTGATGGGCGCGTGCGCAAGACCTGGACTGGTATCATGGGCTATAGCCCAGACGGGTTTCCGTTCGTGGGCGAGATGCCCGGTGAGGAGGACCTATGGATATCCTGTAGCTTCCAAGGGCACGGTATGGTGCTCTGTTGGATGTGTGCTCGTGCTCTGGTCGCTATGATGGAGGGTCATGACAACCAGGAACTAGACTCCTGGTTTCCTGAGGCTTTTCGAGTCAGCGAGAAGAGGCTCGCGCTCAGCTTTCGTGGTCGTCTACATACTGGCGCCGAGCCTTCACCTTATGATAGTTGAGTCGAGACTTTACGGCTTAGGGGAAGTGATATGGCGAACGTGCCGCCAATGCATTCTACCTACACTACTCTGTCCTGTGTCTTGTACCGCCTACTTTTGGGTATCCGAAAAACTTGGCGACCTACACCGTCTGCTTGCCCTATCCCCATTCGATAGAGTACGTCACTCTGCTGCAAAGCATAGCGCCACATTCACTTCCTGGCATAGTGACTGAACTGGCACGTATGCACGGCGGAGGGGTCCATGACGGTGCGGTAGTTGTACGCAGCGCAGTCCTTGTGCGTCCCGATGCTGAACTGGGTCTCCGACCGCTCCAGTGTGCCCTTTGAAGGCCCGTCCGAACCTATGCCCGCGAGATGGACGCTCCACTCAATGTCCTTCGCCTCAGTCGTCAGGTATTCGTGCACAACCTCGTTGTCTTCGTGTTGCCCGCCGTAGCCGCGAGCAACGGTATAGCGAATGGCCCAAAGAAGCCACGGCAGCTGGCCTGCGTAGGGCCGAGTCAATCCTCCGGCCTGGTACAGGAAGCGCCTCACGTTGTGTCGCCGCATGGAGGGGATCAGCTTCTTCACGAATGCCGTGTTGATCTTGGCGCGTCGTTGTGCGTTCACGTCCCCGAGCATCGAGACGGTAGTCGACTCCGGCCACCAGTCCGTCGGTGTCGAGTGTGTCGTCGGTGATGGAGCCTTGCAAGATCTGAAGGTCCTTGTTGTCTCGGACTTCGCTGGGAAGTTTGTCGGGTGTCCTAACGAGCGCTCGCACTTTGTGGCCGTCTTGAAGAGCTTGGATGACGAAGTGTTTGCCTGTCCCGCCAGTGGCGCCGAGCACGAGAAATGTTGCGCGGTGGGCCATGGTCGTACTGTGTGCGTGCGTGGTCGTTTTATGAGATGGTGTGATGTCCAGAGGAATACATGGACGAGGTGATATCGTCTAGGACGTAGTCTCATGTCTTGATATAGATAAAGTAAGGAGCTCGAATATAGACTCGAGACCCAAATAGAGACAACAATAACTCCGTCACTAATAAATACAGCCTTAGCTCCGTCAATAATACATCCTTAACTCCTTCAAGCGCTCAGTCGAGGTTAGATTCCTCCGCAACTCTAGGGATCGCGAGCCACCCCGGCCGACCTCAGAAGCCCGACCCCGAGCTGCCCCTACCCCCGAGATCCTAGTCGCGTCGGGTAGAGAATACCATCGGTCTCTAGCGCCGTGATGGTTAAACCGAGCCTTTACGACTAATAGGATAATATCACGAATATGCCAACAATATACATTACTTATACTCAGGATATATGCTCTAATGTTTATAACCTAGTAATATTATCAAATCTTAAGTTACGATCTCAGTAATAAGGTCTATAAGGATATATATCGGTTATTGATAGTTACGTACTAGGGGGAAGAGATCGCAAGGCACTATCCCCATCGTTGATCATCATGAAACAATTATACAACACAAGCCTCCAGTCTGCCGCCTCGTATAGCCCCAGGCCCAGGACGCCCCGGGACGGCATATCCTTTCCCGTTATCTTCTACGGCAGTAGATCTAGCTTCGGGTACTCTGGAATCTTCAAACCCCCCTTATCCTCCGGCATCATCTGATTGACAAGCTTGTCGATCCCCAGCCACGAGACCCAGGTCGCAATACTGTTAAAAACACCGACCCCCCACTTTGACTTCATATACAGGATCCCCGGCGCCCCAGGCGGCAGCTTCTGCGCCTCGTCGACAAACGGCCGCATGACCCTCTCGTAGCCCTTTAGCGCGGCTTCCACGTCGCCCCCGTGCCGCGCCAGCTCGCCCGCCAGCACGTACGCCCCCGTCAGCGCGAGCGTCGTCCCCATGCCCGTGATGGGGCTCGGCGTGTATCCCGCGTCGCCGACCAGCGCCACACGGCCCCGCGTCAGTTGGCAGCCCTTTACCTGCCCGATCTCCTGCGCGTAGAAGTCGGGGTCGGCACGCATCTCCCGCAGGAACCGCTCCGTCTGCCACCCCGCGCCGTCGAAGAGGCGCGCGAACGCGTCCATCTGCGCCGCGGCCGGTTCCTTCAGACACGCGCGCAGCTCGGCCGCCTCGGGGCCGTGCTCGGAGTCGACGTGCTTGGCGAGGTAGATCTGCGTGCGCGGCTGGTTCGCGCCCGACCGCACCATGATGCCGCGGCTCCCGGGCGCTGAGAACCACTTGGCCAGGTCGTTGTCGTCGGCGGCGCGCGGGATCGTGAAGTAGGCGATGAAGAGGCGCAGCGACCTGAAGGTGGCGTCGCTGGCCGCCTGGCTGCCGAGCACCATGCGTCGCGTGCGCGAGCGCTGCCCGTCGGCACCAACAACAAGATCGTAGCTGCGCGTCGTGCCGTCGGAGAACGTGGCGGTCGCACCGGTGTCGTCTTGCGTCAGGTCGGTGACGGACCTGTCGAATTCGTAGTGTACGGTGCTTCCTCCGCTCTGCGTTGTCTCCTCCTTCCGCTCCTCCAGGCTCGCGCGGTAGAACACGCCCACCAGGTCCCCGCGCATGATCTCGAACTCGCTCGTGAAGGACTGCTGCCCGCGCCCGGACTCGTTCTTCCCGAACACGGCCCTCTGCTTGCCGTCGGCGTCTACGATCGTGAACCCGGCCTCGGACACGACGGCCTCGCGCACTGCGTCCGTCAGTCCCAGCTTGCGCACCACGGCGATGCCTTGTGCGCGCAGGTCGATCTGCAGCCCTGTCTGGTTTTCACGGCGAGAGCGTCAGTTCTATGTCCAACGGGCTAGGTCTCGGGATCGACCCGTGTCACACCAGGCAGACAAAGGGGGCCCCTTCGTGTTCTGCCAGAGTGATATGCTACCAGCCGTGCTTCAAGGGGAGGCAAAAACAGGAGGGATACTGACCTGGCGTAGGCACGGCGCTCGCTCGACGACTGTTATCTCGTGCGATGCGGCGGAGGCGCGCCGGAGGAGGAGCGCCAGGGCGGGCCCGCAGACGCCGGCGCCGATGATGAGGATCTTGAGGGCCATGCTCAATGGGGTTGTGTTGCTGCGCTGCCTAGTGTCTTGCTTGGGTATTGAAGCTATGGCTGTTGTTATACGACGACAACGATGATGATTAATGAGTTAGTATGTGAGCCTTGTATTGATTACTTTATTCGTAATGGGCGATGACAACAAATATGTACTATTTGAGAGCGGGATGCGACTCCGTCACAAGAACCGACCGAAGTCAAGTCCTGACTCGTGCCCCCGGTTCGGCCGTGTTTGGATGTCTCAAAGGCATTCGGTAACTCGCCGTGTGCGAGGAGCGCTCTCGTATCTAGCCGTGGGCACCACGCCATATTCTGGACAAATCTATGTACCTATGTCGTGTGAGTCCCTGGCGTAACAGCGGTACGGATGCCTGCTCGAAATGATATGATCGCCTGCATCTCTCCTTTTCCTCCCGTAGTTTTCGAGCAACCGGTCGATGACGGCGTGGAGACCGATGGTGGTCCCCACTCGGCGCGACTGGGATCTCGGGGGTCGGGCTTCTGAGGTCGGCCGAGGTGGCTTGGTGCCAGGTGCCAGGGTGTCAACGAAGCATGTATTAAGCCTCGTGACATTCTATGGAATCGCATTGTAACAAGGCCCAACTTCTCTGTTGTAGATACATGAGTGAGTGACTGTTCCCCGTCAGCTTATGCCTCAAGGCAGTACCAGGTGGTTGCCGATTCCAGACCATTTGATCAAGGGCATAGTGGTGAACCATACTTAGCTACTAGACAGAGAAAAGCTTGATGAGAATACCCATGTTGTGGTTATGTCTTACTCGACCATATCAGTAGGGGAGCCACATTCTATCAGGGGCAGTAATCAAGCTAGAATGTATGGCAATCGGTCTCCATCTCTCGTACTAGAGCAGACGACCATCCGATGTCGCGCCCTCGGGCTTCTTCCAGTGAACCTGGACACCACCCCAACTCTCTTCATTGTAGCCCTCCTGCACCTTCTTGCACATCTTCAAGCCCCATTCCGTCACGCCAACCATCAGAGAGCTCTCGAACATAAAGGCACAGCTGCCCTTGCCCACCAAAGTCGGTTTCAGCTCGGCGTTGCTCGCGCCCTCGAAGCTCTTCGCATCCGGTCCGTGGCCGCTCATCACGTTATGCAAGCTGGCACCGCCGGGCATGAAGCCGCCCTGTCCGCCTTTCTTGGCGTCGTACTCGCCGGCGACCAGGCCCATGAACTCGGACATGGTGTTGCGGTGGTACCACGGAGGGCGGAAGGTGTCCTCGGCGACCAGCCAGCGCGGCGGAAAGATGACAAAGTCGGCGACAGCGGTGCCTGCATGATCTGAGGGCGCCGTGAGCACGGTGAATATGGATGGGTCGGGGTGGTCGTAGGAGATGGATCCAATAGTGTTGAAGCGGCCAAGGTCATACTTGTATGGGTAGTAGTTGCCGTGCCAGGCGACAACGTCGAAGGGGGTGTGTGCCTGCTTCGTCTGGAACAGCGAGTTGTTAAACTTGACGGTGATGGTGTAAGTGCGGCGGCCCTCGGATGCTGTCGCGCCGTGGTCCTCGCTGAAGCAGGCAACGGGTGCTTGGAAATCGCGCGCATTGGCCAGACAGTTGGAGCCGATGGGACCGAGTTCTGGCAGAGCGAAGTGGCCCTGGTATAGTTCCAGGGCGTAACCGCGGACTGGCCCTGACGGCAGAAGGACCTGGTACTTGACTCCGCGTGGTATCACGCAGATCTCCATTGGCCGGACCAGGAGCCACCCCAGCTCGGTCCGGATATCTAGAACACCATCCTGGGCTACGATCAGAAGGTCGCCGTCTGCGGAGTAGAAGGCCGAGTGCTCGTGCATGGACTTCCCCGCCGCGTATATGTACATGCCAATACCCTGCTTGAGGGTCGGGTCGCCTGCGCCGGCCACCAGGTGTAGTCCGGAAACGAAGTCGGTCTGGTCATCGTGATCAAAGGGATCCCACCGTAGTTGATTCGGTATGTATTCGAGCTTCGCTGGGTCAGAGGGCTTGTCTGATTTGAATGGACCGTCTGCGGCGGGAGTAAAGGGAGGGTGTGCACATGACGGGAGGATGCGGTATAGCCATGACTGTTGGTTCTCGTGTCTCGGCGCTGTGAAGGCGGTGCCGGAGAGCTTCTCGGCGTATAGGCCGTGCGGCGGCTTCTGGGGGGAGTTCTGGGCGATGGGTAGAGCACCAGGGACTGCTTCGGTCCTGGAAGTGTGAGTGTGTGAGCAGAGCAACTAGAGTCTAGGTCAAGTGGTTTCCTTACTCTATATAGCTCCCAAAGCCATTGTGATACTTGTAGAGCTCACCGAATTCAAATGTCGTAACGGGCATAGTCACATGAATAGTTGAATACGCTCTAGACTGTGGACTCTCGGGAAGCATTCAAGGTGGACGGATACTGTCGAATACGTGCTGTTGATGGTGTCGTTTCCACAAAGCGGAAGAAGCCATGCTGGAAAGTGTAGACTGCAGCCAGATGGACAGATGGACACCGGCTATCGAAGGTAGTTGTGACTTCCAAGGTTGTGACGATCACATGGAAGTATGGAAGTTCAATTCCGCGCCTCTCTCTTTGTTTGGTAGCTGCCAGTCTCCAAGTCTTGAGCTGCGGCCCGCTGAGACCCGCGTTGGAGAACTTGGGGAAGCCGCGGGAGCAAAAGAAGGTCCGATGCTAGCCGGGAATAGCCGCTCAGAACGTTCAATCGCTCCTTGCCATGTCCCCGTAAAGTTGTAAACCACTTGGAGTCACGCAGACGAGACGTTAAGGTATTGAGTACGGGCAGTCTCCTGGAATACATTGAGTGATGTCTTTTATTAATGCAGTTTTTACCAAGTGTAGGTATTACTCGGGTATCACTGAAGGCATGTACTGTAGGTGTCCATTCCCCTTCTAACCCCTGAGCCACTCCTTGGCCCTTCTGGTCCACTGGTGTGCCAGCCCTTCATCTGTGCGTATCTTCTCGCGATACACTGCAGTACCTGGTCAGCTAGCGCCCATTGCTTGTTCAGCGTGAAGAGTATGGCATCCACGGCTAGTAACGTTTGTAGGGTCTTTGAGATGTACAGCCCAGTTTTTCAGGACGCTTGACATGGAGTGGCTGATCGTGAGAACAGCCGAGAGCAAAGGAAGGACGACAAGATTATAGGGGTTGGTTGTACTTACGCAGCTCGGTCATGAACTTGTAGAGATACGTCGTAGCGCCATGATAGCTGATCGAATGATCGCTATCCGTAAACGTCCGCCACTGCATCTTGATGGGCGGGACACCCGCGCCGACCAGCAGGTCCACCAGCGCGGCGGTGTTCTGATAGTGGACATTGTCGTCGCCCAGCCCATGCATGATGGAGAAGCCACCGACGATGTTCTTGAAGCCCTCCGGGTTGCGCACCGCCGTCTTGTTGTAGCCGTCCGGGTTCGTCTGCGACGTCTTCATGTACCGCTCTGTGTACATGCTGTCGTAGAAGCGCCAGTCGCTGACGGGCGCCACGATCAGCCCAAGCGTGAATACGCCCGAGTCCGCCTCAACCACCTTGGACGACAGGTATCCGCCGTACGACCAGCCGAAGATGCCGACCTTGCTGGTGTCGATGAATGAGTGCTGAGACGATAGTTCTTGTGCCGCCCAGATCTGGTCAGCGGCTTCAAAATCGCCTAGATGCGAAGCCACAAGCGAGCGGTAGGCTCTGCCCTGGTATCCCGAGCCTCTATTGTCCACCGTGTACGTGATGAATTCGAGCTCTGGGTCCGAGGTGATGTATGCGTTCCAGTTCGGCGTGTCGAAGGATTTCAGGACTTCTTGAGCGCCGGGGCCACCGTAGGATGTAAAGAGCACCGGGTATTTCTTGGCAGGGTCGAAGTTGGGCGGTAGGACCTCCTTGACGTTCATCGAGTACCCATCTGGGTGCTCAAGCTTGAAGTACGTGGCGTTGGGCAGATTATACTCTTGAAGCGTGTTCCATAGCTCCTCGTTCGAACTGATAGTTCTCAGAGGGGCCGCGGTGTCGTTGGCAGCGTAGAGCTCCTGGTATGGTACGTCAGGGCCTTGATAGCTGAGGATGTGATACCCGCCGCCCGAAGAAAATGAAGCGCTCCAGTAAGCTGGAATGGTATCATCAACAAGTGCTTTAGTCTCCAAGGTGGAATACGAGACCGAATAGATGTGTCGCTCGGTGCTGTCGCCCTGAGTCGAAGTGAAGTATATCAATTCGCGCTCGGTGTCGATCTTCAAAATGCTCACTACCTCCCACTCCCCCTCGGTGAGCGCAGTCGTGCTTGAACCATCGGCAGCATACAGGTAGATATGTTGCCACCCAGACTCGTCTGAGAGATCAACATAGTAGCTGCTGCTTGACCCATTGACAGGCCCTACGAACTGAATGCCCAGATTGTTGTCAAGCCATCCATCGGTTCCATCTCGTTCACGAACAACCAAGGTGGTGACCCCATTGCCAACGTCGACGCGTACGTGCTTCGACATATCCTGAACACGGTTGAAGGCACGGTAGATGACACTGCTGTGATCTTCTGTAACCCAAGCAATCTCACCAATGATCAAGTCATCCGACTCAAACGCGTCCATTGGCACTGACACCTTCTCCTCGCTTTCAATCATCAGAAGGGTCATGGCCACCGTCGGATTTTTGGTGCCGACCTTGGGATATCGTAACTCGAGGTTATCGGGATAGACGGGCGCAATCTCCATGTTGTCCATGAAGTACTGCACGGTGAATGTCTCGACACCCGTCTCATTGAAGCTCAGGTATGTGAGCACCTCACCATCTGGCGAAAACCAGATAGCGGAGCGGCTGCCGAATATCTCCTCCTCGTATACCCAGTCAGGCACACCATTGAACATGTCCAGCGACCCGTCGTCCGTGGTCTGCGATATGGTACCGTTCTTTTTGAGGAACAAGTTGTTACCGCGCACGAACGCGATAGCATCGCCCGCGGGCGCAAACTCGGCGTACTGAATATCGCCAACCTGGTCCTCCACCAGCGGGGTCAGGTCGCCAGAATCGACATCGAGGATTGAGTAGTCTGCAAAGTACGAGTGGCGGTACTGCTTGGTGTAATTCGTAGCAAAGAGCACCTTGGATAGGTCGGAGCGGAGCCAGTACTCGACCATGCCAGAGGGGATCATGTCGGCAGACACAAAGGTTGAGTTCTCGCCCGTGATGAAGTTCTCAAGAATCAGCGCCCCATCATCGGCCGCGTAGATGTATTGACCGTCCTCGCCGCCTGACAGCCAGCTTACGGATACCGAGCTCGCGCCGAATGCTTTGCTGATCATGGTCTCGTTCCAAGTGAGGATCTTGTCGCCATTGCCGGTGGGCTGGTGCGGTTGACGCGCCGGCTCAATGGCAGTGACCGCTTGAAGTAGCGCCGCTCCAGCAAAGAGCTTGGAGGTCGTACGGAGCTTCATGAAGGGCTTGGACTTTGACCAAGGGAATATGGCCAAGCAATTCACGAGCGAAGTATAGCAGAGGAAGTGAAGACGACGGGCAAGGGGCCGTCGCCATCATTTATCCATCTGCTCGCATCATCGGGGAACGCGCTCGGGAATCGCCCTACAGGGCCGAGATGCACAATTTCCAATTTGCACTCACCTCGTCGTCACCTTCCATAGGCCACCTGCCTCACGTTGTCCCTGCGCATTGAGGCCGCAAGCGGGGAAGGTCCCTTGAACATGTCTTGCCAAGTTGACATTGACGACTCAGGCTTCTTGGTTTCCTTATCGCCTTCCCACAGAGGAAGTCAGCTTCTCCCATGTCGACTTGGCGGCCCGCCGAGATTAAGATGTTGCCTTGGCATCGCGACATCGACCAGAGTACAGCGACGGGGCTTGGAAAGGTCAAAATGAATAACTTGCCAGCGTCGTAATGCATATTCATCAGTGGAGGGTTGCTTGGTGATGGTCATGTACGAAGGTACGCCGGAAGGGGAGCAAAAGACAAAATGAAGGGAAACTGCAGGGCTGCAGCCGTTTATTTATGAGACCAAATATTCGGGCAGTGTCCCTTTCACTATCGGGGCAGCGTCTCTACTCGCGATGTAATCCAAAACCGGGACAAAACCGGAGCAGCACAGGTGCTTACATATATAGGGGCTGCGCGAACGCCCCGGTAACGCCATATAACAACCACTTGTTTGTTTGTTTGTTTTGTATTTAACGTGGGGGATTGCTCCTCAGTAGTGCAAACCACGCCTCCCAGAGCCTCTGTATCACAGGGTTGTGGAGGTCTCAAGATAATAAGTACAGTCAGTCCCGCTCACGGGCCCATCCCCGTTGTTGCGGCGGTATGACCTTGGGTCATCCATCTGGTCCTTCAAGAACAGCTATCTATCGAGGGTAGATTGATGAAAAGAATTTGCTCTTCTCCACGAATTTTATCCATTCTGTACTCCTCTCCCCTAAGTATTGTAAACAAGCTGTCCTAAGCGAGTACCTAGGCAGCAGCCGATTTTTCCCCAGCCTCTTACAAAAGAAAATGTATTGTGGTATTTTCTTCTTACAACAACTGCAGTGATCATTGGAGTCTGTATGCCCAAAGCGTTCGTGGTATCTGGCAAAGTCGCCATGTCCAGATTTGGCCGCTAGAAGTCTGTGTAAAGTACTCCTCTTAAAAGATATAAGGTCTCTTTCAGTTATTGCATGTGAGTATACTTCTTGATACCTAGGTTCTGATTGGTCTTTCTACCATTAATTGAACTCTTTCTTGCCCTTTTTTTTTGAGATCTCTCTTGACCCACGAGATTGTGGGAAGGTTTGTCGTGTCTTATTCTAGCATGGCACCTTCTTTTGTTAGTGTGTTGGCAGCTTTGTTACCATTAATATCTCTGTGTCCAGGAATCCATTTGATAATTACTCCAGGAGTGTGTGCCGTGGCAAGTTCTTAGAATCGTAGAAAAATGTTCTGTGATGTCCCATTGAGCCCATCTATCACTGCTGTGTTGTCCAGGCAGACATATAGCTATTTCCTGTGTCCAATTGCCCTGGCTGCTGCAAGCCCTTGGAGAGCGCCATGGAGTTCAGCATCTATTACTTCTGCTTGGAAAAGTCTGCCCTTTCCCCGGTATACTTCTTGTGTAGTGTTGCCTTTCCTGATGGTGTAGCCCCATCTAGTGCGGATTGTGCCTTTGTTGTCCAATTGTGATCCATCTGAGTAGATGACAAGGTCAGTGTTCATATTTCTCTCTTATAATCATTCCTTGAAGAGCTCTGTCTCTTTGTCTTTGTCCTTTCGGATTGGGGGCTTTTTCCATGATGGCTTGGTGAGTATTGGTCTCTGGAAGTCAGGGACTAGCTGGAAGTTCCTTTGTAGCCTTGCTGGTTCCTTGCGAGCTTGTACTTGGAGCCTGCCAACAAGTAACAACCACTTGATTACATGGCGGATTCTCTAGGCTGTCATGATGGCCTCATGCGATGTGAGGTAGGTGCAGGATGGGGTCCGAACATCTATTGTTGCGCAAAGAACCTAACTACACGTATGGATGGATCTGTCCTGTTATGTACTCTGAGGCTCTTTGTCATCTAGCTGGACCCATGCCTGTATCCTGACAGCAGCACCCCCCTCCAGCTTCTTCGTCATGAAGAAGCACAAGATGAGGCTATCTGGTCCACCTCGTCACTCGACGGCGAATAAGGGTCCTCGTCACCCAAGCCCTCGTCGTCACTCGGCTCATCCTACACGAATTAGCCAGGCATGTAGTACGATTAGTCAGGACCCTACATCTAAGGTGTCAACGCCATAGCTGACAAGCAGGGCTATCCCAAAGGCCGTTGGGTCAAACTTATTGTTGTCTAACATGGTGCGTCGATGTGCAGGACGGCCCCATTCGTCCCTCATTCGCCGAAAGTACCTAGCTCCCCCGGCTTCTTTCCAGTCCAGGTCACCGTATCTGCAATGTCCCTCACGCCTTCATCTAGAAACAGTTGGTCATCGATATACGGAATCCTGTTGACACCTTTGTGGATGCTACTTTGATTTCCAACCAAGAAAAACTGTACCCCGACTTGATGAAGGGGTGCCTTGTGAATGTCAAGCCTCCTCGCGGTCTCCACCAGCGATTTGCGCGGATCATCCTCCGAGAAACCGGCCGCAATGACAATCAGATTAAGCGGTGGGAGGTTTTGCTTCCCATAATCAATGAAGACATAATTATAGAAAGAGTTGCCCAGAATATCCCCCAAGCACGAATCCATCCAACCCTTCCCCTTGGGCTTGACGCCGCGATAGATGCCCAAGACATTATCGCGCATTTCCGGCACGCCGTTGGCGATTCCAATATTCCTGTAGCCCCTCCAGGTCGTGGGCCAGAAGCTGCGGGCGCGGGCGCGGTGGTTGAGGAACTCGATGTCGATGCCGTTCGGGTCGTATTCAGTGCAGATTGGGGCGATCTTGCTGAGGAGGGCGCCGACCTCGCCCCAGTATGGTTCCATGGAGGCGGAGTCGTCGATTAGGAATACGGTGTTGAAGTGCTTGAGCGCGGCATATGGGTCTTTGGTTGCGATATCTCCGGGTTTCACCACGGCTCCGAGGCGCGACCGGTATGGCTGCTCTGCTTGGTCGGGCGGTCCGGCGGGAATTGTGGACGCTAAGGGGTAGGGAAGCGGATGTTTTCCCTCTGCTATACTGTCAGCTCTTATCATATCCCCTTGAAGTTCACCATGGGGGGCTCAGAACATACCGGGATGAGGATAGTGGCCTTGCACCATACTTGATGAGCTTGACCGCAAGTGCCTACTCAAATTGAGTTGGTTACCGAGCTGCGATAGCTAATGAGCGCTTGTATAACAGGGCATCTAGCTTTTCAGTTTCTTTGTCATGAGTTGAAACATGTGGGGTACTTCTCTTTTTCCATGGTATAAGCCACCTGGATCATCGAGCCCCTTTCCCCTCCAACCTTGGATAATACGGCTCGTTGGTGGCTGAGGTGCTGCAGTATCATGACAAGCCATATTCTATCGTCCTATATACTCGATCCTCTAAGTAACCAGAAGGCAACCTTCCACGGCTCGCTGGCGCACATGCTACCAAACGCCTCGCCCACCGTCCTTCGCCAGCCACGCCCGTACAAATGACTTGCTGGCGAGACCGACTGTCGAACAGCATCATCTTCTGCGAACAGTACCTAGATATTCTCTGCCATTTATATTCATCCAGAATTGCTGGTTTCCTCATGTCCAATGTGACGTGGCGTAGCTGTTAAGATGACTATGGTGCGCCAATAGGTGTGATGCCTACCCGAAAGTGCCATGCTAGAGTATGCCGTCGACTACCCATCCTTCCAGTTCGTAAAAGGGCACATGGTGCCGTCTGGGTACTTTTTTGATGTCAGTTACCATATATAATCTGAGAGCATTGAAAATCACCAAGTGTATGATACTGCCCGTGACTGGTGGCGGACTCTTGTCTCGCGCTGGGAATACTACATGAGGCTGCGGACCCATGTCAGCGATGACGTGGAACGAACCATCAGCCCGCGCGCATATGGCCAGTGGCAGTGCTGCCGATACGCCTGATCCAGAGAGGGGTACGCCCTCCGTGTCGTCGAGAGGCCGTTCTCGTATAGCATAATACATGAGCAGCATGCCAATTATCGCCGTCTCGTCCATACTGGCACCCTTCTCCTCATAGAATCCATCGGTTGGTTAGCACAGATGCCACCGTCGACGGCGATCCCATCCAGTCATGTTATGCAGCGTCTGCCGCGAAGGGCTGGAAGGCATACATGACCCCCAGAAGACCAGGAGGCTCGGACAAATGAGGGACTTCCCCGAGATCCTGCGGCAGCAATTACGGAAGCCGAAAATCAAGAACATCGAGAACGAAGAATTCAATGAAGCCGTAGGTGAGTTCCCGGCAGATCTTGTTGGTGTTTTCGAAACCCAGTCTTACCGATATGCAGACAAACTTGACCTCCAGGAACACGAGAAGTACGTCTTCGGCCACCACGTCGACTATGCCTCCATGCTGCGCTCAATGCAACTGGGCTGTGTCGCGTGCACGCAGTTCAGCGTATTTAACGACGAGAACGATATCAACCCGGCGTACGAGAAGCTAGGGTACTACTCGGTATTTTGTGTGCAGCGATTATTAAAAAAATACAGTGCCGAGCTTACTATGCTCGTGTACGTGGGAGATCCCCTCGAAGAGTTTGCTCACGAGCTGGTAGCGCATGACGGTCAGTCTTCCCGGATCTTCGCGAAATGATGCTCGGGCTAATAGGCCGAGAAGAGAACGACCGTGTCAACTCTGCGATTTCCTACTCTACAGCATCGGCAGATACATGGGCTGTAGCCCAGTCGTGGTTGAAAAGGTGCCTGGACGACCACGAGATCTGCCGGAACCAGAAACGGGAGCGCTTCATACCCGCCCGTCTTCTAGAGCTGAATATCGACGGCGACGAGAAGACGTTTAGGCTCGTCTCGCGCGCTGAAGTAGATCTGCAATCGCCGTATGTGACACTGAGCCATTGCTGGGGACCAGCGCCGCCTCACGGGAAGTTGCGGCTTACAAAACCGACGCAGGCCATACTGCGTGACAGCATGCCCGTTAATATCCTCCCGGACCTTCCGCGACGCATTTGAGATCATCGAACGATTGGGCGTCCGCTACCTGTGGATCGACCGTCTCTGCATAGTGCAGGACTCGGCAGAGGACTGGCGGGTCGAGGCATTGACGATGCAGACAGTCTTTCGGCACGGGTTCCTGAACATCGCTGCTCTCGGGTCCGCGGACGACGAGGGCGGCTGCTTCCACGAGCCCAACCCGTCCCTGATCGCGCCTACAATCCTCGACCTCGGCCCTAGGGATGGCAAGCTGGCCTCGTTCTACAGACTGGATGCCGAAGATTGGGCCTGGCAGTCGGCATTCGTGGGGGAGCCGCTGCTCTCGCGTGCATGGGTCCTCCAGGAGCGGATCCTCGCGACTCGGACCCTGTACTTCGGTAGCAAGCAGGTCTTCTGGGAGTGTTACGAGTCGAACTGCTGCGAGACGATACCAAAATGGCGGCTCATGTTGCGTCACAGGTCCAGGAACCCATCTCTGCAAGAACCCGCAGGTTCAGATACGTGGAAGATACTGATCGATCCTGGGGACAGAAGCATTATTGGCGCGACGACAGGGTGGTTAGATGTAGTGGGAACGTATTGCCAATGCAGCCTGTCATCCCCGGACGACAAACTCGTTGCGTTGTCGGGTCTCGCGAAACACATGGGCGGCGTGCTCACGAGACGTGGAGCCGGCCAGTCCGTGTATCTTGCGGGCTTGTGGCAGGACACGATGCCCGAGAGCTTGCTCTGGAAGCCCAAGGCGCGAGCTCATAGGCCGCCATCATACCGCGCGCCATCCTGGTCATGGGCAGCACTTGACGGTGATCTCAACTTTGTGCAGTATCCAGTGTGCAAATGGCATGTGAATTTGGTTAACGCCATGACCACGCCACGAGCGATCGACCCGGCAGGCGAGCTGACGGGTGGTACAATCTGGCTCAGGGGCCCGCTGGTGCAGGTAAGGGGCCTGCGACGTATCAATACGGATGCATCTGAACGTGAGGCCTACAATATCAGCTCGTTTCACCATATAGGCAACGGGGCGCTCATTGATGGGCTTGGAGATCGCGGTGCGTACTTGCAGTTCGACACCGGGGAGGATTTCCCGGATCAATTGACACTCCTCGCGTTCAACTCGACGCCTCACAAGACACACTCCTATGTCATTACTAAAGGGCTGGCTCTGGTATTTGCCGATGAGACGCGAAGTTGTTACCGACGCGTTGGCTACATTTGGCTCAAAACCATAGTGGATTTTACGGTCGGCGATGACGCCCAGTCGATGCCAATAGGGCCGCTACCTATGAATGATGTCGAGATCGTCTGAGGAAACCTGTGAATATAACGACTTTCACCTCGAGTCACGCCTGTAGTCGGTCACTGAATCTAGTACTCGCACCATGACTGTGGTCCCGTACGTCGACTGCCGATTCCGAGAGCCAGTATGAGGCTGCGAGTTGGAGCCGCGTCCTGGAGACTAGGAAACTCGAAGTTAGGATCACAGCAATATCGCAGCTTAGCGTCTCACGATTGTCAGGATCGTGACGACCTACTACTACAAGAGGTAGTGTCGCCTTCACATGGGATCTCTACTTGCATGTGGCAATACAGATCAGGGAAATAAATCCGAGCAAAATAAGCCAGCTAGTGAACTATCTGCCACAGCATCCCACACGCCGCTCGAAAGGATTGTACCGATGGCAAGGACTGAAACTTCTCTGGGGAGTGCTTGACAGAAAACAGACCCGACAGCAGGAGTAAGCAGCTACTCGGCGTTCTTTTCCTTCTTCTTCTTCTTGCCGCCGGAGTTGGAGACACCAGGCGTCGATGACAGATGGATGTAGAGCTGCTGCCAATCGTCTTGCTTTTCCTTTTGCTTTTCCGGCGTCTCAGCGTACTCCTCGTGGTCGGGGACCCACTCGAAGCCCTTCAGGTATGGTTCGCCGAGCTCGTCGTCTGTCTGGAGGAGGCTGTTAGTCGATTGACAAGGTAGTTGAAGCCTTTGCCCGGCGCATGGCACAATTGTTCATTGGAGGAGCCAGCACTCACCCTCTTCTTGTACTGTCTGTGGATGGCAGTCAACGCATCCTTGATGGTGACGCCTGTTCTGTTCCGCGCGGTCACCACGACACCATGTTTGAAGTGTAGTTCAATAGCTCTGACCAGGGGTGTGACCAATGGCTTGTCCAAGATGTCCCTGTCCTCTACTGACGTAGCAGAGGTATTGATCTTCCTATATGGTTACCGTGTCAGTCGATGCGGTGCATGGCTATACCATCAGATGGAAGCTGGCCGCCTACCATCCCGTCTGTTGTGTTTCCTTGGCTACTGCAAGCGGGGTTTTGGTTTCCCCTGTGAATGGAATGCGTGGTCAGTTCAGTCCGAACGTATGCTGTAGTTCGCTGTGGTTGGGACTGAATACGCACACATGTCCTTCACGCTGGCAACTCCTGCCACGTGAGAGCTGGCTCTCCTATGGCCAGCCTTCTCCTTGACGGGAGATTCGGGAAGACCCTCGACGGCAGAGTCGACTTTGGTAAGTGGTTCCGACATGATGGTTTGGTTTGGTTTGGTTGTAGGTGCTTGTGTACACAGTCCTAGATCTCAGCTGTCCGTGACTCCTGTCAGCTTGCAGCTTTTGGGAGGTCGAGGTAGGGAGAGAGGGGATTCACGGAACAAGGTCCAGGGACGGGGAAGAGCTACCCTTGATAAGCTGAGGTATGACGGGAGATGCGGGCTGGAGTGTTGGTGATGATGACGATGGGTGATGGTTGCTGTTTGCCGCAGGAACGACGACTCTTGGGTTGGAGGGCCGTTTGCTTGTTTGTTGGATGAGGTCGGATGGTTCACTTGTAAGACAGAAGAGGGGAAGAGAGGAGGGAGGAGTATCAGGAAGAGCCGGGAGAGGAGAAGGGAGAAGGAGCTACCAGTAGTCATGTAAAAGGGGAACCCCTCATCTGCTCTTTCCTACCGTAGCATGATGGATCAGCGACCAGCTGATGCGATTTCCTACCGTTGAGTACTTAGGGGTACAGTTAGGTTTCGTGTAGTAATGCAATGGGTACCTATTTACACGGTGTATCACCTTAGGTCGTATGGTAGGTAGCCAGAAGTAACGCCATGGCCCATGGCACGGGCGGGGTAGCATGATCAAGGTGAAGCTAGGTACAGCTACACGCCGTCAAGCACGTCGCCACGGGTGCAAGCGGACATGTAGATAGCCATGATGTACTGCAGCTACACGCAACGGTGGTGGTTCGGTACTTGTCTGACTACCTAGATCGCGTGACCAGCTCCTAGCAGCTCCTCTTCGCTGAGCTCCGTCGGAGAACAGGGGGACGAACAGCCCACTCCCGCTGTAACATCGTCAGGTGCTTGCCCGATATGGCCTAGTAACATATATAGAACCTGGGGAAAATCCGGGGCACTTTTGACCCCATTCGGGTACTCCACTCCAGCTGCAGAGCCCCCGCCGGCAAGCCTCACATCAATGCTGCTGACCTCCTGTCCGATGCATCATGTGCTGGCCTTCTGGCATTCTGCTTTGGGCGAACCTGATATGTGTGATTATATGTCTATGTTGCTGGATGACAATGACCAGTGTTACGCTCGTCGGTCAAAGGAAGTCTTTCCCACGTCATCCGCTACCCCGAAGTTATAAGATAGGAGGTTGGTGTTGTTTCTGAGTCGCGGAATCCCCTCACGTTAAACGCGGGCGGGGTCTCTGTTTGACTATTGGTTGACTTGAGCACTTGTGGCTGTCCGCCGGATCAGCCAGTCATCCACTGAAGGTTATTATTCCTGAGGCGTCCTGTGACACCTCCAACAGTTCAGTTCCGGTGCTGTAAGTGAGGGGGAAAGGATAGACGAGCGATACTGTTGTAGTGCATATGTTACAAGGTGCTACGCACAGTAGGAATCCACTTATCAACTTCTCCGGTAGCCCTGGAGATTCCTCCCTCCAGCATCTTTACCAATACCAACCGTTTCACATATCGTTCCTAATGTGATCCGTTGCCGTTGAGAAGACGTACCATCCACATCCGGGCAGGTGGTGGAATAGCAGGACTCAATTATTTCCAGACTGCAATTCTAATCAAGGATGTCAGAGGGGCAGTTAGACGAGCTGTGGCTGCTCAGTGTCATAAATGCCAATATATGACCCCTGTTGTCACTAATGGCGAGTCGACCCGGTGAAGGTTGAATAGGCATGAGAGCGCAATATGCATGCAGCAATCTCCGGTAGCATGCGATGTAACCCATCGAACTGAGAGATTGTTCAAATAAGAACGACTGCATGAGCTGCAGGACCCGACCGGTGTACGGTTTGTGGCGCCCAAGCATCCGTATCAGTTTAACGCACCGCAACATTGCCAATGATCAACAAAGTGATGACAAAGTGATGAGATGAGAATTGTGTAGAACTTCTGTGAAGAACACCTGACCGTGGAGGATCGGCAGTATGAATGGTTTATTATCGTAGAACGAGAGACCGTGAAGCGAAAACCCTAATGTAACGAACTCCGAGCAGCGCAATATCTTATGGGGTCCAGAGGGATCCCAGTTGCTCAACAACACAACACCACAACTTCCTCTTCCCACTCCCCGAGCATCAAGTAGACATTGAACAGCCACGGCCCGTCACCCTCTACTCTCCCTTCCCCGACCCCTGCCCACCTCCCGAAACGCCCTTAACAGTATTATCCACCGCGCCCGTAACGCCCTTGCCCACATTGCCGACGCCCTGGGTCGCAGAGCCACCAATATCACCAACACCTTTAGTCGTGTCGCCGACCGCGCCACCCAGACCCTCGGTGATCTTGCCGACGGTCGACGACAGGCCGCCCACCAGGCCGCCCTGGCCGTCGCCGCCCGTGAGGACGTTGTTGAGGCCGCCCGTCAGCCCGCCTAGGAGGCCTCCGCCTTCTTCGTTGCTGTTTTGGTTGGTTTTGTTGTCTGACATTGTCGCGGAAGCTGGGGTTTGTTTTTGGTTTTGTGTTTGTTATGGAGGATGGATGTGAAGTGACGGTGATGTATTATCGAGTCTCTTCTGAGATTGGTAGTTGGTCTTGTTCGATGTGGCCGTTAGGTATGGTGTTTCATGCGAGAACTGCAGAAAGGAAGATGCCTCCGTGTCCTCTGGCCTTATAGGACGACACCAGACAGAGCCCACGCAGCACAAAACAAGGTTCGACGTTTACATCGCACCCGTATCTGGTGACGTGTTTCTCCCACCCCTCCAGATCTCCATGGAATCAGTAGATCACCGGAGACCATGGATGATACCAGTGGTTTGTTAGTAACGGACATGAATCTCGCAGTGACGGTGCGGAAAGCGGTTCTTAGGTGAAAGTTAGAAACACCAAGGTTGGCGGCTAACGCATGGGAGCCCGCGGAGAAACCTTCCCACGGCTTACGAAGACGTCAATATCCCGAGGCTCGGACACTGATAGCAGACACATGCCACACACAGGAGAGGTCATAGGAAGAGAATGGAAAGTTGGTATTATCAAGGGATGCCTGCTACACCACGCAAACAGCTGATCTGGAAAGGCTGAACCCGGTTTGTATCCATCCCCATGCCGCAGGAAGACTTCCTGTCTAGAACCCCTGTAAACCTTCCCTGTGATGCACCCGTCACACCTCGCCATTCGCACACAAGAAACATGAAAGCGCCGCCAATGGCCCATAACGAAGACACATGATTCACCTCAACGAGCTCACTTAGCCGCGGCTGCAGACGGCTCTTCTTTAGTCTCGGGGTCTTGCTGGACCTCGGTCGTCGCCACAGGTTGTGTAGAAGGCTTCGCGTACCACTGGACGGTCAGTACTGGTAGGTCTGCGGGCTTAGACTCTTTCTCCTCTGTCTTCTCCTCTGTGCTCTCCTCTGTGCTCTCCTCTGTGCTCCCATCGGTCTTCTCATCGATTTTCTCATCGATTTTCCCATCGGTGGTCTCGGTCGCCTCTGTCGTCTTTTCAGTCTCGTCGGTCTTCCCGGTTTCCGTCTCTATTGGCTTGTCTGTGTCAAGAGTATCTTTCTTCTCCTCTGTCTTCTCCTTGGTGCTCCCATCGGTCTTCTCATCGATTTTCCCATCGCTAGTCTCGGTCGTCTCTGGCGTCTTTTCAGCCTTCTCGGTTTCCGTCTCTGCTGGCTTGTCTGTGTCGGGAGTATCTGCCTGCTGTTTCTTACCCCACATGTTAACCGTCGGCATGGATGGCATCTGAGGCATCGAGGGCAATTGTGTGGGGATGTATTGTGTGGGGATGTAAGAGCTGAAGCTTGGCCCAGAGGGCATTTCAGGCAGACTCGTTGGCACGTAGGATGCAACGCCTGTCCCTGCTCCTTGTGCAACGCCCATGAGATACCGCATGTAACTGCTCTTGCGCTCTTCTTTGGTACCACCACCGACTGGAGGGATATCTTCATCATCGTCGGGTAGTGGCACGGCGGCAGCTGCAGCGGTAATGTCCAGTGGTGATTCGTCGGGCAGATCATCCCCAGTTTGCTGTCCATCGGGTAGGGAGTCAGTCGAGGTACTGCCAAGGCCATCAGTCTTGGGGATTTCCTGGCCATCTTCTGTGGTTGTGACAGGTTGCTCCACGGCTTCTGGTGGTGGCGGTGTGGCAAACTTGGGATCATCCACAATGTCGGAGTCGTCGTTGAACCATCCGATGACGATATTGGCGGCTTCGTCAGTCATCTGCTCGTACTCCTCATTCTTGTCTCGAACAAACATGCTCATGTGCGCTTGGATCTCATCATCAACTCTCTTGATGACTTTCCGAGAGAATATGGAATGAGCTTGATGATCTGCGGGCGGAATGGCACAAAATGTTCGCTCAGGAACGAAGTAGCCGCCACTCCATACTCCATTCTCCCCCAGCGAAGTGTAGAAGTCGTGGATGCCAACACCCTTGAGTAGTCCCATACGTTCGAGTCTTCGGCTGAGCTCTTGTTGCTTCATCAGTGTGCCAACGAACGTAAAGTGATCAGAGAGGTACTCAAAAGATCGGCCAACGTTGCCACGGTTGATGTACGCCAGCCCGTTGCTGAGTGTGTCCACGCTGCTCTGGTAGCCTTCCTTGACAGAGTCTTTGTTGAGGTTGCGCATGTTTTTCATGCCGCTGATGATCTGCTGGCGATAGGTGTATGCAGTCACACCTCCAGCAGCGATGGCGCCAACGGTACCAGTGCGCATAGCGATGAGCTGCCAACCCTGCCATGCTGGGCTGGATGACTTGGCCGCAGGGAGAGTTGAGGCTGACCTTTTGGACGCAATAGAGCCGAGAGCAGACGGTGCTGCGGAGGACAGGGCTGTCATGACATTGAAAACGCTGCTGACTTTCTGGTAGTTTGAAAAGGCACCGTAGACAAACATGGACCTCGCCAGGCCGTTAAAAGGTGTGTCAAAAGTCAAGACGCCCTGAATCAAGGGAAAGATGGGCGAGTCTTCCTGACCATTCGCGATTCTCTCGTTCAGAACGAGCATGAGAGAATCGGATGCGACGAAGCCCCTAGGAAATGTAAGTCAGCGTGGCAAAACTTGATCAAGTATGGGGGATACATACCCCATCGAATGTGCCACCATAATGACTCCGACCTCACGATCATTTGGGGGCCATGGCTTCTCGGTGTGCTCCTTGCGCACTTCCATGACCTTTTCCTTCAGCCTGTTATCCGTGAGCGAAGGATGCTACCGAGAGTGGTGGACTTGGGCTCACCATGATAGAAAGGCTTCCGAGCACTGTCCCAGCTCGCCCTTGGTCTCATACTGTGGATACACGATGGACTCGACATGCTGGTCAGGCAGCTTCTTGGCTACCTGGGTCTTCAAATCGTAGGGAAAGTCGCGGAAGGTGTTGTCGTTCCCCTATGGGGGTGTCAGCTGGGACGGTGGCAGGATGGGTGTCGCACGGAGCGGCGATCCGACTCACCTTGAAGCCGTGGATGAAGCAGAGCAATAGTGTTCGTGGCATTGTGAGCTAGGGAAATCGGATGCTATAATCAATCACAGGGAGTAATAATGAAGAGGTCTAGAATCCACCAGGTCGTGAACAGAGGTGGACGGTAAGGGTGGACGGTATGGAAGGTATTGGACTTATGAGGTACCTTACTCACGCAGGTAGGTATTGATTGTACTTATGTAGGTGCATGTCCAATGAGGACGAACCGCCACCCGCCAACGCCGGGGGAAGAACCAAGTCCTCCAACTCCAGTCTGCTGCTGCTGCTGTGATTCCCGACTGAGTGGTCACACCCTCACCCTCATCGCAGCTGCCCTGTACGTCATTCCACGTCACTAGCGGCCAACAGCGCCTGGAATACCTGATTCAGCGATTCGCATATCAAAGCTAAAGAGGTAGATTGAGAACGTGCAGGTTTTGGGACTGGACGGTCATGTTGGCGCGAAGGGAGGCCTGGTGATGAAGTCTTGCAAGTGGCTCGGCCTTGGAGATTGGAGGATGACACCCAGAGTCCAATCCCCCGCTGGGCGAGTGTCGGCGTTTGAGAACCATGATAATGGAAATTCGAGGATACGGAGGATCGTGTGTATTGACTACGATGTCACATTGCTGGACTCGAAAGCGCGATATTATAGATCTGATCGCAACGTTGTCGCCTGGAGTAGGTGATACGCAAAGCTCACATCACAATAAGCACAATTCAAACTCACAGAAGACGCTATGAAGTAGAAGAATAAAGTGAAATAGCTATGAACTACTCGTACAGGAGGCATTTTTCGCAAACCAGGTAGAAACATGTGCTCGTCAATCATAACAGACAATAAGACTGAATGCCGCCGACTACCAATTTCCAAACCCGCCAAGTACCCAGATGAGATTATACAGAAGTGATTAGACAACATGGATTACAGTTAGACCCATTACACTTCGCATCGAGACGCGCTGCGCCTCTACTTCTTGCCCGTCAACGAACCGACGACACCGCCGAGACCCAGACCGCCGAGGACCTTGTTCAGTCCGAGGCCGCCTAGCAGGTTGTTGACCAAACCGCCAAGGCCGAGGCCGTTGAGCAACTTGCCCACGAGACCCAGGACACCGCTGAGCAGCAGGCCGACAGCAGCGATGATCTGGAACAGAGGCTCGGACAGGAGACCCCATAGAGGGTTGATGCCCTTCTTGGCCTTGGGCAGGTTCTCGAGCTTGCGCTTGGCACGCTCGATCATCTCGGTGACATTGCCCGTAAGCTCCTTGAGGAGCTCGGCCAGCCGGGCCTCCTCAGGCGTGGCTGCGCGCGTCGCAGACTTGCCCTGGGCCTGGTTCTGGATGCGGCCGTCGGGGTCAAGACCACGGATAACACCGTTGGCTTCCGTGAGGATCTTGCTACCTTCCTCGATGAGTGGTCGGACCGTGTCGACGAGCTTTTCCTCGTCGCGGTCTTCCTCCGACTTGGCCTCCTCGGCATCGATGCTCTGTTACGAGTATGGTTAGCTGATGCTTAGACGGAACAAAATGGAGCAAAGGTTGACTTACACCCTCAATGTGCCGGAGGATGGGCTTGATCTTCTCAAGCGACTGCTCGATGCAGTACGAGATGCGGTTGGCGATCTGCTTATCCTGCTCGAGCTGCAGACGAGCCTCTCTCTCCTCCTCGGTCTCTTCAGGTTCGGGCTCAGGTTCCTCCTCGGAGATCTCGGCGAGCAATGAGCAGTGACCCAGGCGGTTGCCCTTGGAGTCAACAACGTCGCCGTCGTCGTCGATTACCTTACCGATACACTGGCTCACTTCACCTGAAGTTACCTTTCCAATGAGGTTTCCATTGTCGTCCACGACGTTGCCTTCATTGTTGACACGTCTGCCAGACATGGGGCTGACGTCCTTCTTCTCAGGAATCTGGGAGAGCAGAGAGCAATGACCCATCTTGTTCCCCTTCTTGTCAACGACGTTGGCATCGTTGTCAACAAGCAAGCCGGCACACTCGCTGAGTTCGCCCGAGGTGAGCTTGCCGATGACGTCGCCGGCGTTGTCCACGACATTGCCTTCACGGTTGACACGTAGGCCAGCCATGGGGCTGATATCTTCCTCTTCAGGAATCTCCGACAGCAATGAGCAGTGACCCAACTTATTGCCCTTCTTGTCGACAACATCGGCATCATTGTTGATAGGCTTGCCAGCGCACTCGCTAAGCTCGCCAGAAGTGAGCTTGCCGATGACATCTCCAGCGCTATCGACGACGTTGCCTTCGCGGTTGCAGCGTAGGCCAGCCATGGGGCTGACATCCTCCTCCTCGGGGATTTCTGCCAACAGGGAGCAGTGACCCAGCCTGTTACCTTTGGAGTCAATGACATCGCCTCCATCGTCAATGGACTGGCCAGCGCAATTCTTCAGGTCACCATCCGTGAGCTTGCCCATGATTTCACCATCCTGATCAATAACGTTGCCCTCGCGGTTGACCTTCTTGCCAGACATGGGGTTGATCTCCTTCTCAACTTCAGGTTCTTCCCAGCGTTCGGCTTGACCGAGCTGGTTACCGTTCTTGTCGAGGATATCACCGTCATCATCAACGGGGCGGCCAGCGAGGGCCTTGGGGTCACCAGAGACGAGGCGGCCGACGACATCACCACCGGGAGTGACAACCTTGCCCTCCTTGGTGACAGTGCATCCTTGGAGCTCGCTGAAAGGACCCTCCTTCATGCCCTCGCGCTCGGCTTCGGGTACGAGCTCACACTTGCCGATGACATCACCGCCTTCGTTGCGGATGAAGCCCTGCTTGTCACACATCTTGCCGATGAGACGGGGCAACGGGCCCTCAATGACCCGACCGTAGATGTCGCCGTGCTTGTCGACAGCGTTCCCGGCCTTGTTGATGCGCTTGCCAGCCAGGGCCGACATGTCGATCTCGGGTTCAGGCTCCTCTTCAGGTGCTTCCCAACGCTGGGCACGACCAAGTTGGTTGCCGGCCTTGTCCAAGATGTCGCCATCGGCGTCAACAGCCTTGCCCTTCAACTTCTTGGCATCACCCTCAACGACAATGCCGACTTGTTCGTCGTTGTACATGACAGCGCCGTTCTCGCCGACGAGGGCGCCAGGGAAGTCCTCGAATGGCGAAGGCTCACTGACCTCCTCGCGCTCGCCCTCGGGGATGGGCTCGGCCTTGCCAATGACCTTGCCAGCGTCGCTAAAGATCTCTCCGTTGTCGCCCACCTTCTTACCGAGAAGGTTCTTGAGAACGCCCTGGACGACGTGGCCGAAGACTTGACCCTTCTCATCGACGACATTGCCGGCCTTGTTGACCTTCTTGCCGACGAGCATGGAGTAGTCAATTGCCTCCTCCTCGGGCTCTTCTTCCTCTTCAGCCTCGGCGCGCTCGGCACGTCCAATAGTGTTACCGTTCTTATCAAGGATGTCACCATCGGCATCAACCTTCTTACCGATCAAATTCTGGAAGTCATCGCCAACAACGACACCGACCTGGCGGCCTTCGAAGATGACCTTGCCGAACTTGTCAACTGTCGCATCGGGGAAGTCCTCGAAGGGGGACGACTCATTCTGAAGAGCCTCGGGAAGGACTTCGACCTCGCCAATGACGTTGCCTTGTCCATCCCAAACTTTGCCATTCTTGTCTGGTGACTTGCCAATGAGCTTCTTGAGCTCGCCGCTCTTGATTTTGCCGAGCGGGTTGCCGTTGTCATCGACGACATTGCCGGCCTTGTTGATCTTCAGCCCGTTAAGGATGGAGATGTCAGGGAGGTTGGCACCCTCCTCGGCTCCCTCGACCTGCTCCCCGGCTTGCTCTTCGGCTCCAGCGGCTTGCTCCTTGGCAGCGTCGATCGCATCGAGACGCTCAGCAGCTTCTGGCACCTCGTCCTTGATGCGTCCAACTACAGTACCCTCAGGCACCAAGTCGACTTTGCCGAGAACAGTCTCGTTGTCGCCAAGGAGGTTGCCACGGCCATCGATTCCCTTGATGTCCTTGTTGAGCAGATGTTCGAAGTCTTGACCTTCAGCCAGCTTGCCGAGAATCTTGCCGTTCTTGTCTGTGACCTGCCCATCTTCACCGATGTTGAATGGGCTCTCGAACATGCCAATAACCTTGTCAGCCACAGTCGGGGAAAATGATGGAATCTGAACGGGCGCAGCTTGCTTGGCGTCGTCCAGCGCATTCAGGCGGTCCGCGGCTTCGGGAACCTCCTCCTTGATACGCTGCGCGATAGAGCCCTCCGGCGCGATATCGACCTTGCCGATCACAGTGTCGTTCTCACCGAGCAGGTTGCCCTCGCCGTCGATGCCTCTGACCTCCTTGCCCACGAGGTCCTGGATGTCTTGGCCTTCGGCCAGCTTGCCGAGGACCTTGCCGCTTTGGTCGGTGACCTTGCCACCGTCGGAGACAGTAAAAGGTCCATCGAACATGGCAACGATCTTGTTGGCAACAGAGGGTGATAATTCTGGGATGTTGGGAAGATCTTGCTCAGGTAGGCCGTCAGCTTTGGAACCGAGGTCTGCTTTGGACCCAGCCTTGGAGCCAAGGTCTTGATCCTGGTCGGCCATATCCTTAGTGTCGATGGGTGGTGCCTCCTTGGCCTTTTCTTGAATCTCTTTGGCGGCCTGCTCATCATCAGGTACGTCAGCGGCACCCTCGGCTTTCTCGCCAGCATCGCCAGCAGCACCCTCCGCTGTGTCGGCGGCACCTTCTGCTTTCTCACCAACATCGCCGGCAGCACCCTCTGCTGTGTCGGCGGCACCCTTTGCTGTGTCGTCGGCGGCGCCCTCTGGTGTCTCGCCAACATCGCCGGCAGCGCCTTTCGCAGTATCAGCAGCGCCCTCGGCAGTGTCACCAGCCCCCTCCGCCGCGTCGCCCGCAGCGCCCGTAGCGCCTTCGGCAGTGTCGCCAGCGGTATCGGTGGCTCCCTGAGCGGCATCACCGACCTGATCTGTGGTGTCCTTGGTGCCAGTCGCATTACCGGCGGCGTCGGTGGCACTCTTGGCGGTGTCGCCGACAGCTCCGGTTGCGCCCTTTGTGGCGTTGCCAAGGCCACTTGCGACACCACCGACCGCCGACTTTGCTGTATCGGCGACGCCTCCTGATTGTTGGTCATCGCCCTTACCCGACTTCGTCGTGTAGTTGAGGTCAGAAGCAACATCATCTAAGGGCTCAGCCTTGCCAACAACTCCGCCATCGTCGTCTAGGATATCGCCTTCTTGTGTGACGATGAAGCCATTAAATTTGGATGCTTCGCCGTCGGTGACTTTGCCGATCGGGTTGCCATCGTCGTCGATGACCTCGCCGCTCTCGTTGATGCGGCCAGCGGCTGGCACCATCTCGCCCTCACCCTCGTTCGATTCATCCATGTTCGACTCTGATGTGCCTGGCATGGAGCGGGGGGCTTCTGGCTTGTCGGCGCCTTCGGTGGCCTTGCCGGCCGTATCGCCGACTTGTTGTGTGGTCTTGTCCAAGGAATCCTTGGCCGAGTCTGTGATGCCGGACATGGCTGCGGGATGAATGAATGTAACTGGGTCTTCGTCTGTAATATATGTATGTGTAGTGACCACGACTTTATGGTGGCCGTCAGGGGGTGTTGATTGGGTATGTTGGGTATGTTGGGTATGCTGGTTATGTTGGGTATGGTGGGTATGATTGCGGTGAGTAGTCATGAAGTCCGGGAGGTCAATGCCAGTAGAGTTTCACGGCGCATTTAGTATTTATGAGGATGTGATCATGATGAAAGCAACAGCAGACTGGGTCCTGCGAGGGCCTCGCCTTACGTCACTTGGAGAGGAGCTCCATGGGTAGCTATCCTGGGGAGACGAACAGCTCGTTCTCCCATCCCCGCAGGTTGGATTCGTCACATATTGGGTTCGACGTCATGCCGGCCCTGTTGGCGCTGAGATAGATGGCCTAGAACGTCATCAGGAGCAAAGTCATGGCAGCCATGACAAAGGTCGTGGTTGACACCAGTCACAAGCCACGAATGAGGCTGCCCGTTCCCTGCGAGTAAGCGTCGATCCCCGGCCGAGTGGCACAAGGGTAGCAGACCGCGCAGGGTCTGTGGCTAGTCAAGCAGGGCGAGCTCGCGCCACGGCTGCACGGCTGGAGAATGGCGAAACATGCTGTGGACTGTGTCGTGGGGTTGGGCGGTCCTGGATGGAAATGGGGGGCGGCCATTGGCCGGCGGCGTGCAGGACGGGGATGGAAAACAAGATTCTCGCTCGAAGCTGTTGGGAGCCATGTCGGACACACAGTGAATTCCGTAGGGTGTCCGCGGGTGTCCCAGCGTCGGATCTCGATGGTGGCGAGCTTCCTGGAGCTCGATGCAGGCCGCGGCGCTTTTTGGCTGCTTGGGTTGCGTGTCTGCTGGGGGGATGCCGGCATGGCGAGGGCTAGAGGCTTGGACTCCTTGGAGGTGGTGAGAAGTCGCATCTCAAGCGCGCATCCGGCATCCAGGGTGCTCCTTCTGATACACAGCATGGACTCTGGCGGGCACAAAACCAGGCAGCGGTCGTGATCCCCATCCCCAACCTCATCAGCCACGGCAGCCGCAGGGGCCTTGGGATCTGATGGCAGGATGGACGATGGACGATGGGGCGGATGGGGTCCCGCGGGTCTATCTGACGCCCCTACCCCTTGATGGTGATCTGATTGCCTACCAACCAACACTAGGGCCAACAGCCGCGCGGTGTGGGAGGAGTGAGTGAGGCACCGCGAGAACCTTCCCAATGCTAGTGTGTAGTATGCACCCGCTGCTCCATCCGCCCACGCGGCCGGGCCAGGTAGGTAGGCGTCAAGTCGCGGCGGGGTCAGTTGGGGTCCATGTCTGGGTGTGTGGCAGCTCACGTCACTATCCACATACTCAACCGGTTTTCCCCCTGTTCTGCCTGTCGGTCAAGCCACACCAGGAAGGTCCTCGAGGTCCAAGACATGGTGGCCAGCCGTCAAACGTCAGAGCCTGGTTGCCTGGAAGTCGTGGAATCGTGGAATCGTGGAATCGTGCATTGGATGTCCAGCTGTCTCGAGAGTCGACAGGAGGTTGTGCAATGTTCATAATTGATTCATGTTGGGTCGAGGTCCATGTCACCACCTGCAGACATGAGTCAGGCAGTTCAGGGCAGTCAGGACCAACATTGAACTACTGCCACCACCCGCCACAATTTAACAAACTTTGGTGGCTCATTGCATCAATTGATTTCCACCAATGAGCCGCATGACCCAACCTTCAACGCAACCTGTCTCAACCTCAACTGACAACCTGTCTCAACCTTGGAAGCTGGTCTCCGCGTGTCCGGGTGTTATTACCGTGCGCCGCACCTTGGGAATTTGAAACGAGTCGTAACTTGATAAGCGTTGTTGTTCCAAGGTTGGTAACATGCTACGGAAATTGACCATGTTGTGATTTTCAAGCCTGGACCTATGTTCCTTGCTGCGATCTTCCCAAGCGTGGACAATCCGAAATTGACCTTGCTGTGAATCTCAAGCGTGGGACATATGTTCCTTGCCACGATCCTTAGCATGGGCAAGGGTGACTCGCAGTCAGTCTGCCTATGCCCAGTAGGCAACACGGCACGGCAACCACGATCCGTGTGTGGCATACCAAATCGGCTGACACATGTGGGTTGTACGTATCGCACAGATTCTTGAACGTCGTGCGATTGTGTAACAGATGTTGTACATACATATACAGCGCAGACCGGTGGGCAAAGTATTTGACACATGTTGTACGTAGTTTTACAGTTTTGATTCAAAATCCAACCAGCCAGGTAATACCCAAAACACGACTTGTCCCGTTGTTTGCTTCCTCCCATGCCGACCATGGGACGCTCGACCCTAAAAGACTTATTATCATTACTCTCCTCGTAGAACCCCAATCCATGTCTCAAATTACGAGTCCTGTGGTATTAACCTCGACATTGGCATGGGGGATGCGGATAACCACCTCGACCCCGTCATATGTGGACTTGACATCGATCAAGATATCCTCAGGGAGTCATGAACCCTTTGGCGGCTTCGAAAATGTGGTAGGGATGCGGATCGTCAATTGTATGCCGTCATTCGTAGATTTGACATCCAGGAAGATGTCTGACGGGCTTCCCCCCGTGTGAGCATTTACGCTCGGCTTCGACTCCTGGGCAGGTTCGTCGCCCGGCTTCTTAGCGCCGGTTTGACCTGAATTCGCGAATGGTGGCAGCGCGCCGTTTGCTCCTGGCTTTTGATGGAACTGTCCGATGATGTTGCCCTCCGAGTCCAATATGTTGCCTTCGTGATCGACCTTCAGTCCGCCCAGCGCTTCACTCGGTATGTCCGCAGGTGGCGGCGGCTCTGTGAAGTTCTCGGACACGTAGCCAACAACGTCTCCATCATTCCCGTACACCTCACCGTCATCCGAGACCTTCTTCCCCACCATTGCTGGTAGGTCACCGGTCGCGTGCCCAAGAACTTTGCCCGACTCGTTTACGATGTTTCCGACATCATCAACGGTGTGGCCGCCAAGCCCGCGGGCGAGGCGCGCAAGGTCGAGAGGAGGCTGTGAACCGATCGAGGCAACTTTTGGGATTTGGGGAATGGGCGTAATATTTGAAGAAGAATGTACCGACGGGTCCAGGATCTCTTCTGGTGGGTCCTGGGACTCGCCGTTCGGGAGATCGTCGAGATCATCTGGACTGTACAGGTCATCCGTGCCCGGTAGGTCCTTGACGTCACCAAGGCTGTTCGTGCTGTTGCCCATTCCGGGCTTGGCAGCCTCGGCAGTGCCGTTCGCACCCTTATCGGAGCGTTGCAAGGGAATGTCGATGCGTCGTTGGATATGCGCGGGTTGACCCATGTTGTCTGCGCTTTGCGTAGCTCCTGAAGCGCCGTTGGGTGTGTTGGGTTTGGAACCCATTGCTGCTCCCTTGGCACTGTCGGAGGCTTTGGTGGCCTGTGAAGCTTGCCGTTTGCGCGGCTGCCAGTTCAATTTCTTCGGTGCGGCAACTTGCGCCTTTTCAGAGATACTGGAGGTATCAGGTTCGCCCACTTTGTTGGTCGGCGCAACGCCGGGTCCACTGCCATTCGCGTTGTTTGTGGCACCTTCAGCCTTCTTCGAGACATCGGACGCTTTGCCCTGGACTGCACTGGCAGCATCATTGTTGGCCTCGCTCGAGCTCGCCTTGTCCGATTCTATACCATCTGATCCCTTCTGCTTTGCATCGGTAGCAGTGTCGCCAATGGCTTGCTTCGCCCTCTCGTTCGGCTCTGCGACTAGGTTGTCGTCGTTAGGCAATTCTTCCATTGGGTTGGGTGAGACATCGGTGAGGCCACCAGTAGTATTCTTGCCAGCCTGATCTGTGGTAGCTTTGGCCAAGTCGTTTGTAGAGTTTGCGCCCTCGCCAGCATCCTTTGAGGAGTCCTCTGAGGCATTTCCGAGTAGAGCTTGGATGAAGCTGTTCATCTCCGGATGCCTTTGGTCAGCCTGATCTGTGGCAGCTTTGGCCGAGTCGTTCGTAGAGTCTGCGCCATCGCCAGCACCCTTTGCACTGTCGCCAGCATCGTTTGCGCCCTCGTCAGCATCCTTGGAGGACTCCTCTGAGGCGCTTTCGAGTAGAGCTTGGATAAAGCTGCTCATCTCCGAATGCCCTTGGTCCGAGAAGAACTTGGCCATCTCGGAGGGCGATGGCAGTTTTTCGGTTGAGTTGGACATCGACTCCATCAGATCATTGGCCGTGTCCTCGAGGGGGCCGTCGGCGTTTCCAGCCAAGCTCTTGAGAGAATCGGTCATATTCTGCGATGATGATTCTTTGGCGTCCGAGCCGCCGTCTCTCTCGCCACCGGCAGCGCCAGTTGCAGCGTCACTCGGGTCCTTGGAGTTTTCCTTCGCGCGAGCAATCTTGTCCTTGAAGCTAGACGTGGTGCGTTGTAAAGTGTCCGAGGTGTTTCTAGACAGTGGGCCCCCGGTGTCGGTGCTTCGACTGGCCGTGTCGGTGGGGGTAAGGACGTCATGGTCGACCAAGCCGATGGGTGTATCGCCAGTGGTATCCGAGGCAGCGTAGTCATCGAGCTTGCCCGAAGGAGCTTCTGAGGCGTCGGTGAGAGGGGCCAAGGTTGTAGATTTGGCGACATCATCGAGGGCGGGTTTGCGTAACGAGCCTGTGGACTGCGACGCGACCGACCCGGACCGTGGAGCGTCAGGGGTACCCTTCTGTGCGGAGTTGGGCGCGGCCTGGCGCGTAGGCTGACCGAAGGAGCGCGTCGACTGTGCTGAAGTCGAAGTGCCCGATCGCGGCCGTCTCACTGGAGTCGGCGTCTTGGTCTTGATCGAGGGCTTGAAAAGCTTCCTCGGCGGCGTCTGCGGAGTGATCGAGTCGGCCATGTTGGTTGATGGAGGCGTGCAGCAAGAGGAAGGAGACAAGGTAGGCGGTAGGCTAGTGGCAGGCAATGCCAGGGTGAGGTGGCTGAGATGGCGAACAGGCCACGGGCAGAGTCAGACTGTGGACAAGAGAAGTGTTCATCAACGGGTTGACGGGGTCAAGACTCAAGTGACAATTGGGAGATGGGCAGAATCCTGTTTGAGTTTCATCGATCCGAAATGCACGGGCAGGTATGACAGCTTGTCAGCTCCAGCTGGTAGGGGGTAACTACTTAATAACTTTAAACTACCCGGACCTGCGACACCAGACCTGACCTGGGAAGATCATCGCGATGCAGCGGGTGCGACTGGAGTCTGGAAACCTTCCATTGCGTCATGGCCGTCCATTAGGCCTATTGGTTCTATTGGAGTGCTAATAGGTTAGTATCGTGTACAGTCTAGCCGTTCGGAGAAGCACTGGTGTTACACGGTACGGTATTGGGTAAGGTGCGGATGGATCGCGGCAAGGGGCTGTCATCTGTCTTTCATCATGTGTGCGTGTGCTACTACCCGAGAGCTGGTCCCATCGAAGGCATCGTCACCATCGTCACCACTGGAGTGTTCAGTCCGAAGTCGAGGCAGTCGTCCAGATCATCCCCAACAAGCAAACAACTTCAGTATCTCACGAGTCGTGTCAGAATCATACTGTAGGTATTTGTCGTGTGTAATAAGTTCTGTGTGGCACACACCACACGGATCCCGCCATAGCGGTGCCATCGGAGTTCTTCTTACACAAACTCTACTGGTGGAGTGCGCACACGACCCCGTCGTGTTTCTGTTTCGGACCTGCGGCAATCTCGTACGGCGTGCCATCTAAACTTATAATACTGTCCAAACCAGCAGCTTGCCGGCGGTTCCTGCAGGAGGCCTGCAGGAGGCCAGAAATTCTCACGGCCGGCAACTCCTGACCCAGGCGGCTATTACCAACACGTACATGGTGGTCATGCAGGTCTGGATGGAGTGGTGCCACTGCCGGTGAGTAGGTGTTCCGGGCCCCGGCACGGTGGACAAGCAAACACCACACGCACCTCCTCGTAGGTTTTAGAATTTTGTAGCCAAGTCGAGTCTGTTGAGAAGCGACTAATGCAAGGTACTACTAGTATGAACTGCATGCGTCAACAATCTGCCATCCGAGGCAAGCATCTCGATGCGCTGGTTGTAGTTACAGGACTGCGTAATAGTCGTACAGCAGGTGACATGATCCCCTCCGTTCTCAGGCAGCGCCCTCTGCGGATTACAAAGCAAGCTGGGTGAGGCACCCAGAAGCATTACGAGATGGAACGTCAAGTACGTAGAAGTGAACCGAGGGCGACAACCATCCCCCTTATTCCCAGAAGCATGCTCTAAACCGCCCAGTTCGCCCAGCCCGTACACCTGCAACTGACATTGCGTAGCTGTGGACTCGTGCTGGTTCGCGACTGTGCCATCGCATGGGTTGGCGTTGGCGTTGGTGCTCACAAACCTGTGCTGTAAATGCCAAAACGCCTGTCAGTTACATGTTTTCTGTTGTCTCTTTCTCTTGCGTCACGATGTGTCGCTTCCTAAGCCCTGGGCGCAAACACCAAACACGTCCACAGGGAACCGGAAGTCCCAAACTGCGATGGCCGCTCATCCACTGAATAGCATCACCGTTAAACCGGCAAAACCCTGATTGTAGACACATGCGCAACGAGAGGAGAGTGCTGGGGTGGGGAGAACAGGGGGTCGTATGAGATGGCACGTACAAGAGCGACAGTGTCAGATCACCGTGTATCCTCGCCTTCAGTGTCACCTCTACCTCGAGATTGAGATCGAGTCGCAGCTTCAATGAGTCGGACTGTTCCACGGACACATGTGTAAGTAGTTAGTCGCGAGGGTGTTGGAGAGGGAGACACGAACCTTGCCACCGTCATCTTTCTTCTGAGGCTGTTGCATCTGCTGCTGCTGTTGCTGTTGTTGCATCTGCTGCTGCTGCTGCTGCTGCTGCTGTTGGTACTGCTGCTGCTGCATCTGCTGTGGTTGGCGCTGCCGGCGCGGTGCCAACTGCTTGTCCTGCGCATCCTCCTGGACTTCCGAATCATACCAGTCTGGCTTGTTGCGGCGACGTCGGGGTCGCCTCGATCCCCTCTCGGATTCGGCGCGCACTGGTTTCGCCTGCTTCTCTTCCTTCGCCGGCTGCTCTTGTTTCTCCTCTTCCGCTGGCTTTTCTCTCCTTTCCTTCTTCGCTGGTTTATCTTGTTTGGCTTGCTTCTTGGGTGACGGAGAGCGTTGCTCGGCTTTCACCTGTTCGCTCCCCTCGTCTTTGGCGGGAGCTGAGTCGTCTTCTTCTTTCTTCACGTTCTTCTCGGCCTTGTTGTTGCCCTCTTTTTTGACGGGAGCTGAGTCTTCTTCTTTCTTCGCGTCCTTCCCGGCCGTGCTGTCGCCAGCTTTTTGGGTGGGAGCTGAGTCGTCATCTTTCTTCACGTCCTTCTTGGCCGGGCTGTTGCCCTCGTCTGGCTTGCCTTGTTCGGTTTTTTGTTGCCCATTCTCAGCCGGCGCATTGTCGTCTCGTTGCTCATCGCCGTCTTGGCCGTCTTCTTGGCCGCGGTTCTCTTGTTCCTGGCCGGCTTGTTGCGGCTGATCGTCGGTTTCTTCGCGCTGCTCCTCGGGCTTCTTGTTCTGCTCGTTGGACGACATGATGTGAGACGTACGAGGTACTAGTGCGATGGTCCGGCAATTCGCTATTCGGTAGCGAGTAACTGGCGATAATCCACACTGAGGCTAAGTGGCGCGCTCAAACGGTTTTATTGTCTGGGTCTCGAATTGCGCAGTCGCAATACTTGGTTTGGGGGAAGCTTTACACAGCCGACCAAGAGCTGGGCACCACGTGACGCCATTCTTCTGCCAGTTTCAACTTTCCAGTCGTTGATGGAGCGACGCCCCAATCAGGATCCATTGCCCCAGAGCCCCCTGCACCGAAACCCTGGTGTCCTTCAGCGCATGGGTGTCTCACCGTGTCCGAGCGGCCGAGATGGAGTCCTCCGTTGACTAGCCACGGTTCACGCCACATGAGGTCATGCCTTGTGTCGGGACTCAGCTTCTCGTCCAGATCGTCCCCTTATCCCAAACAAGGCCTGGACTCTTCCAGACATGGATGCTGCTGCTGCTGCTGCTGCTTGTGGCTGGTAGCCTGTAGGCAGCCTGCTCCTGTCAGTCGTACCCCTGGGGTTGAGAACCTGTTTTGACATGCACTCACACCACCCACACTTCGAAGAGGGCAGGATTTGTCGTCGCTTCCCCATACTGTACATACTGTACATACTGTACATACGTGATACGTCTCTCTTTTCTCCCGAACATACGACCGACAGAACAGTGGAGTCTCCCTTGGTACCCTGCACTCAGACTCACCAGCCACATGGCTCTCGCAAGTCTTGGCCTCCTTACGATTGGTGCGATACCCACTGTCATTGGGGTTGCTGAAGCCATCGACGCGCAGAAGAAGCAGAACGCGCAGGCCAAGGAGAGGATCAAGTTCAACCTCACGGCCAAGTTCTCGCACGACGGCGACTCACCGCCGCAGACTGCGTACGTGGTTTTCAAGGACAACAAGGTGAGTCGGTCGATGAACCGGCGGCGCTCTAGAGGCTCCAGTGCCCCGTCGTCGCGTAAACTAACCTCGCGATCAGCTTTATCTAGATCACCCAGCCTGCCCGGTGGCAGGCTACCGTTTCAACGGCTTCTACTTTGGCTACCCCAGTCCAGAGGAGCATCAAGGGCTCGTGGCACCGATAGCGGACGATCCGCCCATGCTCAACTGGATCTACGCTGATAAGGACACGGGAGCTCTACACCATGGCTCGCGTAAGGAAACCATAGATCACGTTATCGGGCCCTGGAGCTGGACCGATGACGAGGAGTTCCTGATTCTCGAAGGCGAGCAGTACTTCGTGGCGGTCGAGGAAGAGGATGGCACGTGGTGTGTCTATTATGACAAGAACGGGGACCTGGACGAGGTTCTGGCACCGCGCGAGGTAGTTGATATCGAGCTACATCGTGAGCTGCAGCTGGGCGTGTCCAGCCGAATGACCAAGGATTCAGATGAGAAGTAGATGTTATTTTCGGTAGCATAGGCGTTCTCGGCCCAGCAGGCGTTCAGGCGGTCACGGGAGCATCTTGAAGAGCAAAAAGCAACGGTATCTGTCTCACCAACAATAGCAACCTTGAGTGGAGTTTGTGTTTTGCTGATGCAGATGCACGAAGGGCCCAGATACTTTAAACACGTGCCACCTGCACAGACTGGTACTGAACCTTTCAGCCCCTTCGTACAGCCACGACAAGCTTGAAGCCACCCCCAGCCAGCCACCCCGGACCAGCTGCCAGCCACACCACCATTTTCTGGTCAGGTCATCCCGTAACCCAAATGGAAAGCCAAAAAGGGCTGCCCGCATCCATGATCTTTCCACGAACCGGACATGCAAGTGATGGACAAATCAGCAAACCCAGGGACCCCCGGCTGTACTAGCAGTGCGTATGCCTTGCAGCCTTCCTGTCCAAGGCCCATACCTGGAAAATTCCAAGAATGGCAGTCGTCAATTCAGGATTTGGGGCGAGGACAAAACCGGCCTCCAACATGCAAAGCCCCGGTGACGTAGTGCTCTCAAGCATGACATCCACCTCATCCGATATGGATGTGACATGTCCTGCCCAGAGACCGTCGCCCTCGGTCGTATTTTTGTCTAAATGCTTTGGCCCAACGGTTTCCCACTCTAACCCCCAATTCATCCCGCTAGGTTGATATACTCGAACGTCGTCTTCGTCGTACCGTTCTCTACTAGTTCTTTGCTAGCATCACCAACCTCGCAACTCGACCCACAAGACTAATCACATTCACCATGTCTTCAACCAGTCCTTCCGGTGGCCAGGCGCAGGGCAAGAGCAAGAGTAGAGGTCCGAGCCGAGGCGGCCGCCGCAGTCGTCGCAACCAGTCGAAGGCCTCGGCTCCGCCGCCCATGCCCGAGACTGACCAGTACTCCGAGGACGAGAGCGTCGACGAGGAGTACGAGGCACCGCAGCCCCAGCGTCGCCGCCGCCAGCAAACACAGCAGAAGCCCCAGCAGCAACAGCAACAGGGCGGTGGTGGTCCCCTCGGCGGCCTGCCTCTGGGCGGTGGAGCCACCGACATGCTGCCCGTTGGCGACGTCGGCCAGACGGCCAACAACCTGACACAAGGTGCGACGGGCGCTTTGGGAGGCGTAACTGGCGGCGCCCTCGGCGGCGGCGGCGGTGGCGATGGTGGTGGCAAGAGCGATACACTGAAGCTGAGGTTGGATCTCAACCTCGAGGTCGAGGTCACGCTCAAGGCGAGGATACACGGTGACCTAACGCTGGCATTGCTGTGAGTGACACCTATTACTGACACCTACACCCGATCCCCCCTCTACCCTGCTGCAACCTTTTTCCTCCCAAACACGGCCTTGCGATGGCTGTGTGTTCTAGAATCTCTCTGATTCTTTTCCTGGATCATAGCCAGTAGCCGATGTCTACATCTAACGCCCCATGCCCGTACGCTTTCCATATATCCAACCCGCTCTTGTTGTCAGTCGTTCTGATTGTTTTGAAGGGATGGCGCTTAGGCCTGACTTGCACCGTGTGCGTTTTTGCGTGGAGATGTTGCTATTTACTTTTTACCTGAGAGGTAAGCCCACCTCGTCTCGTTGTTCTACTCTCCCTTTTCCATGCGCCGCACCATGCTCCCCTTACGACCGTCTCGATTAGCAGATTGACTAATATTTTTAGGGGTTAAAGGACGAGTTGATATCCTCACTTACCACCTCATATTTACCATCGTTTCTCGGTGTGAGCAGGCGGGGCTGTGGTCGAGGGCGTTACCTGGCGTCGAACTTGATTTCTTCTACCATGATGATGTCTGCGGATCACATATTGCTATCTAACCGATACAATAACCATGCAAACTCAGCATACCATTTCGTTGGATCCCTGTACCTATAGACGTTCATGAATTATAACGCTTATTAACTCGAACTGTGAAGTCAGATATGTCATTCATTGTGAAGAGCATGAGACATCAACGATACCTATCTCGACTCTCGCGGCGCGACTTCTATGTTCCAATATAACATGCATGTTATATTGACGTCAGTGACTCTGACATTTTGAGCCTACCTAGCTACAGTTGGTCGTGTGGGTGGTGTGGATGATGCTACCGGTGATGGGGGCATTTTAATAGTATAGGGGGGGATGTTATTGACATCGCAAGATGCGTATTGAACTCCATGAACGGACTCATCCATAACGCATCGACCTTGTGGCACCTGTCACATGATCTATACCCAATACATTGACGACTATGGCCCAATTTGGGTACCGTCTGTGCCCGGACGCCGTCGGAGGAGTCGCAGTCCAAGCAGACGGTAGGATAGTCATAGCTTCCACTGCAATGGCGCCACTTGTTTTCTTCGCAGTTCGTTCACCACCTTGTGGGAGACAGATATCACAAGCAGTAACTCAATCATCTATACCGTGGGTACTCCAAGTGGTTGGTTGGGCTGCATCCTTTGTTCTCGGGGATGGTGCGGCACGCAGCCAACAAACAACATGCAACCAACCTCATGTTCCAGACACTTGCAATTATATCAGTCGAATCGCCTCAATCCATTGATGCATCAGCGCGTGCACACAGAGGGATATCACCCTTTCGGAACATGTGCCTCCTGCATCAGCAACTCGTCGCGCGGACTGCTTGACTCCAGGGCAACAGGAAGTAAACAAACCACACTCACGGATCGCAACCAGCACCACTACAACCCCAGTCGCCTCTAACATGCACACTTCCATTACTAGTACTAAACGACTTTGAACTTGAGCTTTCAGCCTTCCTTGCAAGTACCTACTTCCATGCCTACCAAATGCCGCCCTGTTGACCAGTTCTAGCGTCTACGCACACCGCTGTTCGATACACAACAACCGCCGGCATGGACCCGACCATGAAATTCGGCAAGGACGCATACGCATCCACCGAGCTCCTAAACAAAGTCGCACTAAGCATAGTCGGTACGACGGCCCTCTGCTGGCTTGTTCTCGCCGCGTTCTTTTGGTACCAATTTTTCAAGCCGCTTAAGAAGGTGCGCGTCGAGATCGAGGAGGGCATCGAGCTGCGCGATCTTCGGAGAGGGCCGAGGTCGAAGCCGAGGGTGGCATCGTGGTGGCTGGAGCATTGATGGGGAGATGCACGCGAGGACCTAGAGCAGTCGAGGGTCGAGGATTGGCACGGGAATGTCGTTTGGTATTGTGTGGCGGGCATGGCTCGTTCAGCACGACATTGACTTCTGGTTGAGAATCACCTGAACTGCATTGCTTGTCGAAATGAATCCGTTCTGTCGAGGTGGGTGGAATACAAGATACGTACCAACCAACATACATGTACGTACCATCTCGATTGTTGCAAAGAAGACTCGTTTGCTCGAGCTCCTCCAACAAACATCCTGTAACCGCGGTTTTCTTTATTCCCCTTTTTCATCAAGGCGCCAACACTATACCACCACCGCATCACCCACATTTAAGCCACGCTGGCTGGCCGACTGCTTGATGCACACTTCCCTCTACATTTCCCATTGACTCAGGTGTAGCACAGCTCTTCTCAGTTGTCGTCTTTTCATATCAATACGAAAGTATCCCATTCAAACATACATTGCGCATCGTCCAGCACGCGTTCATTCCTGTTGCACTCCTGTCTGTCAACTAATCCTGCGAACTTTAGTCACCCATCCCCTGATGCTTCAAGGGACGGCTCCTCACACGTCTTAATGACCAGACCCTAGCTCATCAAAACTCTGCAATACCATCAGCGCCTATAGGCAGCAATGTCGACCAATATCGATGTATTGTTTTGCTTCCTACTAATATCCTTCAGTGTGGGTTTTATCGGGGCTTGCGCTGCAGCGGTATGGGCTTGTCGTGTCTGCCGGAGGGAGCGAAAGGAGTCGGACGCAGACAGGAAAGCTCGAATACAGAAAGAAGATGATGATTTCGACAACTTCGTCACGGGTGCGATGAAAAAAAGAGAAGATAGTGATCTCGACCTTTTGCCCATTGGTGCGATGGGACGCGGCAGACCAGGATCTCCGATCAATAGGCAACACGTCACGGAAACAAGACGTGATGGGTATAGCCCTACCGAAACGACTGGGAAGGAACGCGACAGAGCCGTACGTTCGATCAGTAGGAAACCCGCCCTGGAACAGAGACGTGACGGGTATAGTTCTACCGAAACGACTGAGAGTGAACGCAGCAGCTTTTCCTCTCACGCATATTTAGCTGGGTTTATAGAGGCTGACGGATCTGGTTCTGCCGAAACGGCTGAGAGTAAACGCATCAGCTTTTCCTCTCAAGCGACAATCCTGCCGGCCAGCAGTGGCAGCGGTAAATACCTAGATATATTAGCGTAGTTAGGACCTGGCGCAGTGGGAACCCCATAGCAAGTCATGATCGAACCACAGCCAAGGGTCATTCATCTCTTCAAATTCCTCCTTGTGAATCACCGCCTGCATCCACGACTTATAGGTGAGATAAACCCCATTCACCCCCATTCACCGGATTAGTTGCTCTGAGTAGGCAAGCTCTCATTGTTCACTGCCAACCTTGGAATCACATATACCTGTTCGAACATTGGGTTCCCAGCGCTCCGTGATTCAAAGAGTCGCATCCGATGTCGAGGGTTCAACCACTCAGTGAATCATCGAATCGCCTCCCTGGGGGACCGAGGATGGAAATGTTCATATAAAGTTGACCTCTTCGAATCTCTACTCTCTACCTTTCAATACTGCGCCAAATGTCCTAGAGTCGGACTCGATCATTCACACACACACACACACCTATCTCATGGTCTCACGCCCCCACGTAACACGCTCCGACATTCGACACACCACGTTCCGACATTCGACACACCACGTATACTCGGAAGTCATCCTATACGGTCTCCACCACTGGCGCCCTCGTGTGCTACCTCTCGCGACTCTAATAAGCATCTACTCCAATCCCAGTAGGTATTCACCTCCATGACATCTCACCCTCAGAGGAGCCCCTGAAGCTGACCTTCATCCACAGACAAGCTGCCAAGCCGCACTCGCTAGACCGACGAAACTCAGCAGCTCGCGCTTCAACCCCATCATTCAATATGGATCTCCCCCCTTTGGCTATCCCTACGGCTTCCTCTGTGGCTACCCCTAAGGCTACCCCGGAAGTCAACGCGCAGATTGCCGTGGAGTCGCTGCTCCTCTACATCACCGCGGGTCTATCCGTCGCCATCACCCTGCTCGCGATCGTCAATCTCAGCTTCCACATTCACGCCTGCCGCAAGGGTCGGCCCCCCCGGATCCCGAAATCGACTGTCAGCGGCAGCAGCAAGGGTGGGGCGAAGGGCGGTGGCAGCAGCCGCAGCGTTCGTGGTTGAGATGTCGCGGGGGCCTAATATGATGGCATTGGGGGAGGAAAGTGAGAGGATCGACGAGGGAAGAAGGCATGGGTTTAATTACAGATTGTGAAGCGTTGACTGGGTGCGATGGAATAGTTTGGCGAAGCTTCGATGTGTTAGGTTGTATTCTTAGCCAAGAAGGATACTGATTTGGAGGGTTCTGTTGTTACCTCGATAGACCAATCTCACCGTCAACAGCATTTCACCAGCAGCATTATCACTGTTGAAAATGCAGAACAGAAGGCATTTGTGTGGCATCCAATAAGTTGTCAATGCACAGGGCTACAGTGTTATCTGTCCAGCAGTACGGCGGCCGGCCAGCCCGTGAAGCTTCTCACTGTACATCTCGGGGCATCCAATCCCTCCACAAGCCAGAGCCCCTCTCCCAGGACTCAGTCGCCTGTCGAAGAAACATCTGGGTATCTAATGCTCAACACGCGGCACTGTCAGAGCACCACTGTCATCATTCCTCTTCCTCCAACCATCGCAGCACCCTCGACCACTGTTCTTGTGGCTAGTACAGACCGATGCAGATGTCACCACGGACCCGGGCAGTCAAGTGAACCTCGGCCTCCAGGTCGAGCTTGATGCCGACCAAAAGGGCAGGGGATTTCTGGTTGCCCTGCTCATCGGTGGCGCCCCTTAGAAGTTGGCCTGCGGAAGATCGTCAGTGCGGAGTCCGGAGGGTTCAGGGTGTTGGAATGTCACCTACCGGCAGGCTGGGCAAGACCGCCCGATGTGGGCAGCTGGGGCAGAGTCTGGGAGAGCGGGCCGGCAGGGCGGCGACCACCTCGGGCCTGGCCATCGGAGTCTGAGTCGCTGTTGTAGGCGACGTTGTTCTTCATGGGGATAGCGGAGGTGCTAGCAAGTTCGTGTCAGCCAGGGGTCAAGTCCCACGGTTTCGATGGAGAACTCACGTGCTGGGAGTGGCCATTTTGAAGATTGGGCTTGGAGGTGGTGTGGGTGAAGTGGCTGAGTGAGAGGTATTAGATGCTAATTAAATGATTGGAAGAATTAAGGGATTGACAGATGATCGCGCTGCGAAGAGTCTGGGGAGGTCAGGCCGGCTGAAGTTAGTGAGGTTGGGATGTTGGACGTTAGATGCTGGATGGTGATAGAAACTTCTCCAGACGGACTTCGAGATGTCCTTCTATATAGCTGATTACTTCGTCGACCAGATGAGTGTTTCTCAGGCGATGGACCTTGGATCTACCGAGGGACAAGGCGTCCGCATGGCTACGCATCTACTGCCGAAGCTCCCCTGTGACACAAATCCAACCCTAGGCGCCGCGATGCGACGCCTCCATCCGATATGGCACGATAAACTCGTCTATTCTTCCTCAAGAGCCTCGCCGCACAGGCTTGGGCCATCGTGTTGTTGTGATTCTATTCTCCACATTTCATCGGGAAATGTGGTGCTCAGATCAAAGCGCAGAGCCTCAAACTCTAGGGGTCTCGCTTAGACCCCGGTCTGGCATGACAACTCCCGAACCTGACCTGAGGATGGCGTGATCCGACGGAAAATATTGGGTCGGCGATGACACAGTAACACGGGGTATCATCGAGGTCCCTAGCAGATCAAATGTTCTAGATCTCCATCGTGACTTTCAACGCCCCTGCATCGAAACGCGATGCGGGCGGCACCTAAACACGCTGTTATCATTGAGATCAGCAAAATCATAACGTTACAACACACCTCGGGTGTTCACACCTGGAACACCTCTCCGATATTCACAACAGGTTCTGTCATCTGCTCTCTCACTCTTATCCTAGAACACCAATCTCATGTCGGCCACCGCTCACGCATCCAAGACCTACTCTTTCTCCGGTGACAACCTTGACGACATCCTTGGAGAAATAGCCATGGCCATCCCTATGCTCCTGGCGCTCACTATCTGCCCGGCGATACTAGGGACACAAGAGGCAATTCGCCAGAGTCAGTCCAAGAATGAACGGGAGGAGCATCGCGCACGGCGGTGTAACTTGGTGGTCTCGTGCGTGAAGCAGTCGATTCGAAGCCGTGACATCAACGGGAAGCTGGTGGTCTTGAAAGACAACAAGGTAAGCCGCTCAAGTCCGAAAATTATGACCAGGAGCAATGCTGATGCGACTTGGTTTAGCTTTATATCACTACAACACCGACATTAAGTGACGACGAAGAGGCTCTTCCAGCCAAGGCCGGGTACCCATTCTCTGGATACTACTTGCCATATCCCGACACGCCATACGAAGGCATAGTCAGCACCGTGAGCGATGATCCTCCCATGCTGAACTGGATATACGTCGACAAGAACACGTACGAAGTCAAATACGGCCTCCGAGTTGATGCGCAGGACCACATCACCGGGCCTTTTGATTGCACTCGGCAAGACCGGCGCATGACACTAGAGGGCTGGGAAGGCTTCGCAGCCGCTGAGGAGTTTCCCGGTGTATGGGCTCTCTATTTCGATCGGGACGACGATGGTCTGGTCACGAAAGTCCCGATGGGCACCCGAGTGCTCGAGGTCGAGCTGACCCGGAGAGAGAAGAAGGAGCGCAAGCCCGAGCCCGATCCGAGTCAGGCGCAGACACTGGACGAGAAGATGAAGCAGCACAAGGAAAATACGCAGAAAGAGGAGGAAGACAGACAAGCTTTCTACCAGACCGAGGATCTGCAAGCCCAGGCTAATGAGCAGCCTGCAGCGGTGCAGCAGGAAGACACTCCAGCTGCTATAGAGGGACGGATAGGCCAACTCAGTATCGACGCGAAAGCCTCTTCGAACTTGCAAGAGCATCTCTCACCAACTACGACTCGCTCACCCAGCGCACTGACGGACAACCTCTCTCTCTGGTCTGCCGCAAGGGGAGCGGGTGAGGCTGACGACACAGTCTCCGTCACAGTAGCTAGCTCTGTCATGGACAGGAACGATGCCCCTGAGGCTGGCGCAGCAGAAACAGAAGATCAGGGGTACAAGAAGCCGTATGTAGAGGAGGCTGTTGCCGATGATGCGGAAGACGATGATGTCGATAGATAGTATTTCCAGAGTGTACGGGTCGAGAGGTACACCATGTAGAGTAGACTTGATTGGATCTGGGAGTGATTTCTTCGCAAGTATCAGGATACCCAAGATGAACTTGGCCATACAAAGTTATTCAGCATATGCTGTTCTCGCCTCTAATGGCCTGATATTAGTGACACACTCACGCGTACCGGGGAAGAGTGGTAGGCAGGTGTCTCGTGATTAAGCTTAACCGCCCTAGACCATCCAGCTCATAGGCAACACGACTGCGTGGAAGCAAACCAAGGCTCAGAACCAGAGCACGAAATGATGCGTCTACACGGTTGCTAGGCTGGGGACCGTCGTCGATCCTGTGTCGCAGAATCGGATACAGACTCTGTATGGGATCTGGCCCATATCAGTCGTTATTCACCACCAATGTGTCTCAAGTCGCCCCCCGTGCACCAGAATCTATGCTCTCCGTGATCCATGTTGAGACAATCTAGAACATTTCTGTCGCTCCTCTCCGAGGGTCTGGATTGGGCCAGAAAGTGAGTCGATTGGAGATCCGGGTCTTCGTACTTCATTCCAGCATAGGTCGGCTTGGTGAACCTCATCTGAATACTTACCTGTAGTGACCCGAAGAGCATATGTGAAGGTCGCATCTGTAACCCAGGTCGTCGATAACCTCCAATATGCTGAAGGACCTCCTACAATCTATGAACAATGATGCGGACGACGCCAATGGAGTTGGTGGACTAGTTGTCACGGCTCTTGGGCCGTCTGGGCGGCATTACATATGTTGGAAGACGAACTCTGGACAGTATAAGCAACGTGAGCAGAACTTCCTTCTCTGGTTTAGTACCGAATCTTTGCTCATCATTCCGCGTGTTCAGAATCACATGGTCTCCCAAAGCGGTTACAAGAATGGCTATTCCCATCCGATGGAAGCACCAGAGACTTTGAGACTTTACAGGTGATCCTGTCAGGAGACGACACCTTCTGGGCTTCGGACAAGAACGGCGACCTCCGAAGCGATGAGTCAAACTCGAACCGAAATCTTCGACGCGCTCTCACATTCAGCGATGATACGCCGGCGTCGGCGGGCAATCGACGACTGAGTCGGGCACGGGAGACCACAATCTCAGCCCCAGTGGGGACCGAACGCCCGCGCTCAAACACACTGCCCTCAAAACTTTCACCAGGTAGCCATGCGCCTGAGCTCTCACCAAGACCGCCGTCGACACACGGTCGTTCCACCTCCACTGCGGACAGGCCACGTCGGGTATCCGCCATACCACTCGCCTTCGTCCAGCAGCGGAGGAAGTCTGCGATACGGCCGCCCAGCGTGAGCTTCGCAGACCACGATGATTTGGCGGTACTCAAAGAGCATCCGAGTCCACCAGTTGCCAGGAGACCATCCAATGCCTCCTTCAACCCACGGCGCAGTCTCCTCTTCAACCGCTGCGACTGCGAATGCGGATGCCACGGACACAGCTCGAAAGCCCAGCCCCTGATGCCATCCACGAAGCGAAGATCCGGATACGCGGACGCGAGCGTCCAAACGGACACCCTACCCGACCCCGACGAGCCAGTGCTCCGCAAGGCTTCCTCACGAACCTACGACCATCACCGCGAACTATCCTTCGCCAGCACGGCCTCGTTCGAGTCCGACGTCTCCCCCAACAGTCAGCGGTCGAGCTTCGAAACCACCGTCACGCGGCCCGACTCGTGTAGCCTGGATATTCTGAAGAAACACGAATACCAGCAGCCGCCGAACCCCGTCGTTATGGGGCGAATGCAGGATTACTTCAGGTCTACGACGTATGTCCTGGGAGGGGCTTTGCATACTAGCGGGATGGGATGACAGGAGGTGTGTGGGACGCTTCAGCATTGAAAGATTCCGATCACTCTGAGGGTTCAGGTGCTCGTCGTTGATGGTGTGTCCGTGCAGGCCATGCCAGTCAAGTACAAGACGTGCGCTGGAGCTCATGGACTGTAGAACCGACGGGCTCACCGTGTACTGTCGTGTACAAAGGCAATGCCGCATCGGTCAATATCAGCTGGCATATCATACACCCAGATTCAGGCAGATACATCGGCAGCGGAATGATATTGCAGCGTGATGTCCAGAGAAACTCCCGCGAAGTTGCCGGTCATTCGCCGGCCGCTGTACAATATCCGTTATACTACCACTGTACACTGAACCTTCAAAGGTCTCCGTGATGGAAGGTATAAATGGATAAGCGCTCTGGCATAAGCATCACATATGGCCAATTGGATCAAATCTGATTATTCCAGGTTGCTTATTCCGAATATAGCACTGTTGACATGGCTGAGAGGGAAACAGACTGAAGACGAATTAATGTGTCCATACATGGGCTAAACCCATATCGCTAGCACGTTTCCATCCTGTGTGCTTCGCTTGTACTGAATACTGTGATCATACTGAATAGCGTGTCGACCGCTCGGCGAGGGTGTCAGTGTTCAACTCGTTGATTGATATGTTTGCCAGAGGAGCTCAAGTTGATTGGCAAACGCTGTGACGAAACCCCGCTCCTTTTTGTTTAGCATGCCAAATGCCTTCAGGCCAGGAAGCATCGTGTCTGAGGAGAGGTTCAGTATAATCCGCGGCAACAACTCGCCGCATGTACTCACACAAGTGATCGAAGAAGCCACCATCCAAATTGTCGACCGCTCCTGGTGCCCCTCGCAGGAGGTTCAGCAGCCGTGGCACCAAGGGCTCCAGAACCCAGGTCGTCCACAATCCAAGACCTAGCTTGCCGGCCTCAGGAGGCCCATCAACCCCAGCTGGCCTACTGGTATCCCGCGGATGCAAATAGGGGACCGACTGGCACCATTTATTCAGGCGGAAGAAGATATTGTTGCATATATCGATTCGGACTTCGAACTGGTTCCATTGGCTGCAGTAGAAATGCAGCAGGGCCTCCTGTGGGACTCGCGATGCCTCGGCCGCGATGTCTAATACTGCATTGGTGATGAAGACTTTGAGGTGGTCGTGGAGGGTCTGCGCGGAGGCGTGGCTACAGAGGCAGGCCCCTGCGACGAGCGAGGTGGCTCGCGTGTATTCGGGCGTGCTCAATTGTCTGACTGAGATGGTTTTGGTGAGGTAGCCCCTGAGCTCGATCCATCTCGTGGCCCTGTTGTGTCTGCTTAGCTTCTCGATCGCATTCCTCGGGGGGTGGGAGGGGAGGGGGTTAGAAGCTGAAAGGAGCGTACGCTGTCATCTTGGTTTGAGGGTTGTGATCGGACGTCGTGCTTTGTGGTGGGTTGGACCTGGGAAGGAGATGGCGAAAGAGACGGCGGTGGACGGTATTATGTTGAAGTGGTGGTAAACGTTGTTATGTTGATGTGGTAGTAAGAAATTGAGATGATGACTTGAATCAAGCATTGATTGTATAACTGCCGAATCGCTAATTCTTCGACTGCTCGTCCCGCTGCAAGTTCGGCATCAGACTGGAGGGAGTGCTTGCCTAGAAGATCCCACATGTGGTCACTGGTGAAGTCAGCGTACCTACCTCCTAGACATCAGAGCATGCGCTATGGCCGGTGTAGCCAACCGAATCCAGCATCCGTTGTTGATAGGTAGGTGCCGCCGAGTACATGTAGGTAGTCACATGAATACTGTGCTGTTGGCTTTTTGGGCAACATCTCATGTCCCGGTGTTGTTGATATGATTGCATATTAACCATGAGATATTTTCTAATACCTGAATAAGCATACAGGAATAAGCAGCTCGGGTTCGGTATGTCACTTCCAATGCTTATTCCAGTGTGCTTATTCCAAGTCGATGAATATACAGTTGTATGCTGGACGGGTGGTGTACGGAGACCTATGGGGGCCATGTGTACGGGGAATTGTTTTGACCGTGCTGAATTCCCTTCTCTTACCTAGCAGACCTCATTGTTTCCGTTTGTTCTGTAGCTACTCCCCATGCCATTATCGCCATGTTGTTGAAAGTTGAGGCTCTGCATGTTGTGGTCCGCTTGATCGATAGCTGGTTATGGAGCCGCCAACAATGCCATTTAGTCGGTCCAGTGCCACTGCGGTTTGAGGAACTGTCTTCTTTGAATTTTCGAATGGGAGAACCACCAAATAGGTTCTGTTCAATACGCATCTCGAGGATAGCAGGAAAACGATCTCGAAGATACATCAGGCACATCGGCTGGGAGTCAATGCGTGAACTTGGCGGTGAAGACGTAATGCCAGAACCATGTTCTTCTTCAGAACACCCATCTTCTCGCTCGCCTTGGCTGCCTCATTCCTATTCGTAGCTCCCTATTTCGCGCGAGGAGCTGGACAAAAGCATCAGAACAAAGAATGTCATTAATACCCAGCCGGCCCCTTACAGCCAGCCAGACCACAAAGATGTCGGCTCCCCTTCAGGGATTCTTGGTCGACGCCCCCGTGGTCCTGATCGTCAGAGCGGCATTCCCAGCCGTTGTGTGGCGCGGCGAGGGTCAGGAGTTGTTGCGGCGGGCTATAAACCAGTTGCCACACCCGGGAGTGGTATTGTCGCTTGCCGGAATCGCGGGGGTGGACGATTTATCATGGACCAATGTGCTTGGCGTCGATGTTCATGGGACGCCGCACATGGGCCTCTTCCCGGACGTGTCTGTCTGTGAGTTCTGTGCTCAGGGTCTGCGAAGTGTAGACTGACATAGGGATATTACCCAGAGGATCAATCATGCCTACAAGGGCATCTCTCCCGGCGAGGAGATCAGCATCAGCTGTAAGCCTCGATTCCCGCCCATCTTGTCTCCAGCAGGATCTACTAACACGCGTTGTAGACATCGGATGGGGCGAGGCATACCGGAGCCGACCGAGGCGCAGCCGGAGCCCATGTTCGTCACCCGCCGCGATGGACGCCTCCGACATCCAGTGGGATAGAACTGCTGCCACTCGAAGGGCCTTGGCAGAAGACGACTTGGTATCGAATCAAGTTGCCGTGCTGGCGCAGCAGCTCGTACGACTTCTGGAGACCGGAGACCTGGCTCTTAAGCCGGGGGGACAACTAGGAGCTATTGGCGTTTGTCTACAGGGAGTTGGACACATCACGAGCGCGGGGAGACACGCAAACCTGGCATTAGAAAACTGCATCGAGTACGCTGGAGTCGAACATGAAGGTCTTTGGGCCATACGCGCGTTTTTGGAAGAGCTGAAGATGCGAACCATGCAGACGGGATAAGAATACAAGCCCTCGATCGTGGCTAGATGCTCGAGGATATAGCAAGGCGCTCGGAAGCCCAACCAGTAATTACCTGAAGGAGAGCGGTTGTACATCAGCCTCTTAGGCTCGCATAATTACTACCTTGTGTTCCTTTCAGAGTATGTATACTACTCCATGGCCGTGACGCAATGAGTACCCACAATCGTATAATCAACATCAACACCACGTCCACGAACACGAATTGTACATTGATTAGATACGTCCCAAAACCCATGTCGTTACGCAGGGGCTAGAACATGTTCCGGAAGTGCTGATATACACTGCCACTAGTACCAAGCGGCAGGACCGGTCCATCACTGACCGATGTTGGGGGCACCGAGCCAGGATCGGGGTGCGCCAGGTTGTCGTTGACCTGAGTCGTCTTGCCGAGGTAGCCTTCGAATATCCGTGACATCTCACTCGACATCTGAAGACCCGCCTGTGCGCCATCCAGACCTGGAGATGATCCCGGTACTGGAGGTGGCACACCATAGCCGGGGTCAAGTTGGGGACTAGGTCTCATCTGACCGGTGGCCAGTCCAGCCATCGTGAGTGCCGCGGTCGAGTGAGGGTCTTCGGCTAAGCCGAGGCGAGGTGCTACCTCACGCAGCGATTTAATGGTGGTCCAAAGCCGTTTCGACACCCACGACTTGGACGACATGTCTTTGACCAGCTCCAAAGCCATGTAGAACTCATCGCGACAGGATGAGCTGAAGTTCACCGGCGCATGGCAAGACGCTAGGAAGAGGACTGTGATGGCCGACGAAAGAAACTGGTGGTAGAAGACCTGCAGTTTTCTGTATATGTTGGTAGCGTTGTTCAAGTGCGTAAGGTACCTGATGGTATTCTTGGCAAGCTTGACGGCGGAATCGGCGTGCCTCATGTTCTCCATGATGCTGCTATGGGTATGCAAAATCGGGGTGTAGAGCCAGGTTCGGATCTGATTGAGTCGCAGATACGTCCATATCTGCAGGCGCTGGACATCATATTCATTCTGCGACGAGTTGACTTGGGGTGTCAGGTATCTCGGCACAGCCTCCCAATCTGGGAGTTCAAGCCGAGCTTCGTCGGGCAACTCAGTGTACCACTGCTTGATTCGCTGATCCAAATCCTCGAGGTCTCTGGCTTGCAATTCTGTGACTGCATCGGGATCGAAATTTCGTACGAGCCGCCATACTCTCGCGCTGAGCTTGGAGTAGTTTATCATGGCGATAAGGAAGGGAAAAGCTTCCTGCAAGCCGTCAGCAAGGCGCATACTACTAACTCGACGTCTAGGCAAGGTAACATCGAACTGAGCATGTACAGTCTGCAGCGAATCTACTTACCGGATAAGGTAGTTGGGGGTCTATCTCCTCGTCGGGCACTACGTATGGCAGACCGGAACCGAAAGCCCATCGACGATCCAAAACGTAAGCCGACCAGAATGTGTGGATGGCATTCCTACGCTCCTCTTCATCCGCAATCTTCTCGATCGCGTCACGCCGATGGAGGCCTAGTTCGAAGCAGTGCCGCGCCACCTGGCCCATGGTTCGCCAAGAGAGAATCTCATCGTTGGAGAGAAAGTAATAGCCAGCCTACACAGTGTCAGCCTCCTCTACGTGAATAGGACACAAGATGGGATATGGAAAGACGAGGAGCGATTGCGACGGAGCACGTACCACCAAGGCCAGTATTGGCAGATTCTTAACATTCGCTGGGTCGCTCATGAGCATCCTGTCTGTTGTTGGCCTGATGTCATCGAATATCCTCTGAGCTTTTTCACTACTCCCGTGCTCCTCGACAAGCAAAGCGCTGCACAGGACCACCTTGAGCAGAAGAGTATTCAAGTCGCTGATGCCACCATCCTGGCTGAAAGGGGGCGCCAAGCCGTTCTTTTTCGCGGCTTCCATCCAGGTAGCCAAGGTCCTGGCGTGACGCACGACCGACTCGATCCGGATGATAGGGTACATGATGCCAACCTCATCTTCATATATGCGACAAAGACGAATCAGATCGTCCTTGTCGAAATCCCACAGCGGATCTGGTGGAGGTTTGTGAGGCGATATCGCTATATGAGGCGTATTTCGGGGCGACAATTCGGGGGTTTCTCGGACATTGCCATTGCCATCAGCCTCGATCCCATCACCCGGACCGCTGTAGCCCATCTTGTGAAGAGTGTTTTTGGCAACATCCAGACTGAAGCGAGTGCTCGTGGGACCGCGAAAGCCAGGCTGGCGCGGCGGTGGTTGGTCCGCCCGTTGGAAGGTGGGTATGGTCATGGAAGACGAGGAAGGGGTGCTCGCTGCGGACGGCATGTTCACGGTTCGGTCTTGGATGGGGGCCAGGCGCAGAGCTTCGGATCGTATGGCGCTCATGCTGCTGAACAGAGTCTCGACTTGCTCTTGCAACTGATTGACCTGGGCCACCATCTGCTTGAACTCGTCCGAGTCCTTGACGCTGGTGGAGCAGCAGTTGGGCGTGTACAAGCATTGCAAATCGAGGTTGCCGCAGCGTTGGCATGGTGTCTCGCCATTGCACTTGATCTTGCGTCTTTTGCATTCGTTGCTGTGTTTGGGGGGTTCCTCAGTCAGCTCAGCTCAGCTTCGGAACACTTCCGTCTGATGATTCCGTCTGATGACGCGTTGCGCAAACAGAAGATCAGACAGCTGGGCAGCGAGAGACAACATTGAAGTGAATGGATGGACAGTACCAGGCGATGGATATGTATCTGTTGCGCTTGCTTCGCTGTTGGGCGGTTCCGGTGCCGTTGCCGTTGCCTCTCGCGCTAGAAGAGTCGTCGGCACTGCTCTTCCTCTTTGCGCCAGCGCCCGCCGGCGCTGTGGCACGTTCCGCAACAGCAGCAGCAGCAGCAGTAGAGTGGTGGTGGGCGACTGACTCGGCTGGCGACACGGGCACTGGCACGGGTGTTGCGGCCAGCGTGGTCAAGTAGCGCACCTCACCGACCTGGTTCTCGAAGAACTCCATACCGTACCTAGACCGCGAGTCGCCTTCGTCTTGGTCAGCGCCGTGCACATGGCGAGCGTCCAGGTGTCGTGTTCGGGGAGCGAGCAGATGCAAGACGGCAAGACGGGTGCAGGTGGGCAACGTGGGATGGTCCGGGTCGATGCTACGACAGAGTTCAGAGTCCAGAATCCGGGGCTGTCACTGGCTGACTGGTCCACTGTGAGTCTGCGACCGAGAACGCGCAGCGATGGGACGCACAGTCATACACTGTGATACACACCCGGGACTCCCCAATGCGCCACCTGCATCCTGCAAACCCCAAAGGCGCCAGCGCTACCGTAGACAGTGGGAAAAAGCCGCCTAGACAGTGGAAGGTGATGACGGAACTGCATACCCGATGCCCGGCAGTCTGTCTGCCGTGTCTGAATCTATTGTGAGGTAGTACTACCTTACTCTGTATAGACAGCTCGGTCTTTCCACCGAGTAGATAAGAAGAATAATTGATGCCTTCCACACAAGTCCTGTTGATGTTCCTCCCTTGTGTCCGTACGGTGAACAGGGCAGCAGGAGCACAGGGGCTACAGTCAGAGAGGATCCATCTATCGGCCCAGGGTAACGTTAGCTTCAGGTTTCGAGAAGCATCAGATCATCAAGAGTCGAGGTGGATTAGCTGGAAACAAAGTTAAGCTTTACCAAAGGAGTCTCAATCCCTCAACCCGACTTCATGTGTAACAGTTACACAACTTTTGGGCACGCGAAAAGTGCTCTCGAGGGCACTCCTAAATCAAAGCCGAGAAAAGAAGGTCGTAAACACCCTCAGATCAAACGATGTTGGGGATGCCCGAAGGATTCTCAACCGAGGCTGTGCCGCTGTGTTGGTGGGGAGAGGCAGACCGGTCGGCCCGCCCGAAAACGAACCATGCTTGCCTTGAAGGATCCGACGCTCCGATAATAGGGGCGGCCATGTCTCGAGGAGCGACCTTGAAGACGACATGTCGTAATTGAAGCTTGAACATGTTGCATAGCTTAATGTGAAGCTTTGCAGAACCATCTCCTCGACGAGATGGGAAGACATTACCACATGAGCAGACCTACTTTATGGGCTGGCATAATCTATCTCATGGGGCTTTGAACGAACGACTTCGGTCAGTTCATACGACTATGCAGATGTAAGTCAGTTGACTTTTAAGTAAGCAACGACAACTACAGTTGCACGGCCCCCTGTACTCGTCCAGCGCACTCGCCAAAGCCCACTCTCTCCCCTAGCTTCCCACAGACACCACGCATCGTGATCCTATCGCCGTCCTTCAGGAAGCGCCGAACGTCCATGCCGTACAGCATGACGTCCTTCTTCCCACCCTCGCTCATCTCGAGCAAGCTGCCCCTTTCGCGCGGCCCCGTCCCGCTGATAGTCCCGGATCCCAGCAGGTCTCCAGTCCTCATGTGACAACCGCCGAGGGAGTGATGGGCAATCATCTGGGGAAAAGACCACAGGAGGTGTTTCGAGCTTGTTGTGCATATCGTTGTCGTGTCTCCCTCCGGTGCTACAATCGATGAGTTCGCTGCGTCTAGATGGGGCGGCTTCTTGCTGGTACTTACTCTCAATGTCCACCTCCAGGTCGATATCAAAGACGGCATATTCACTGCTCTCCTTCAGGTAGCCTTGCAGAGGCGTCTTGTTCTCGATGCCCTTCGTTCGAAACCGCTCCAGAGCATCTGCGAGCACAACCCATGGGCTGATGGTTGAAGCGAAATTCTTCCCGTTGAACGGGCCCAGTGGCACGTACTCCCACGTCTGGATGTCGCGCGCGCTCCAGTCGTTCAGCAATACGTAGCCGAATATGTGCTCCTCAGCCTCGGTCACCTTGATTGGAGACCCCATCTCGTTCGGCTTTGCTAGGAAACAGCCCAGCTCGAGCTCAATATCCAGATGCCTGCTAGGACCAGTGATGGGCTGCTTGGGTTCTGCAGCGGTATCGAGGAGTATTTGGCCGTTGGGGCGAGATATTGGCGTACCGGAGACCACAATGCTTGATGAACGTCCATGGTACCCGACTGGCAGGTGTGTATAGTTTGACTGTAAGGCATTTTGCGGCCCGCGGAACATGACGCCCACAGCGTGAGCGTGATGGTATCCCGCGTAGAAATCCGTGTAGTCCCCGATGTTCATTGGCAGATGCATCTTGACACTTCGTTGTGAAAGCAATGCCCTACCTCGGAGCTCTGCATTGTCCCTCAGGACCTCTGGGTGCGACGTGTCCGCCGACAGGAGGTTCTGTATGGTTTTGCGAACATCTCTATGCGTGGCTCGTCCCAGTGCGGCGAAAGCATTGAGCGTGGGCTCCGAGAATATGCTTTCATGCTTTTCCAGTGCCGGAAAGACGCCTGCAAAGGTCGGATACGAGGACAGCACCTTCAGGTCCAGGACCTGGGAGCCGATGGCGACGGCAGCGCGGGGCGCGGGGTCGTCCCGGGTGCTGATGATGCCGAATGGGATGTTTGCTAGTGAGAATGGGCTTTCCGGCGAGACATCAGGTACCCACGACGATGCCATATTTTCCCTTGATATTTCGACGTTGAGAATGAGAATCCAGGCGATGTAGGGAGAGGTGCGAGTTCGTGATGTTGTTGGTGGAAACCTTCAACCGGCTACCTCGGGCTACCTACTTCTTGGGTGGCCCCGACACAAGCCGCGTGGTGGGGCCTGGAATTCGGCTGTCGTGTCTCCTATTACTCGGCAGCCCCTATTATCCAGAAAAGGGTCAACAGGTCCCTATTATTTATATTTAAAGGCGAGGTTCAGTACCCCCGGAACACTTAGTGAATCTTGCCTAGGTGCCTAGGTCCTCCCAGCTAATTATTCATGTCACTTCTGTACGGTTTCAAAGGACATGTAATATGCCTCCAATGTCGATGGTAATGCTTTGCGTTCCGGTTTTGAAGCCGTCGAGCTAGGCAGAGATAAGCAACGTTATCGAGGAAGTCGGATGCATTAGTGCTGAGGTGCGCCTGGTTCTTGGATAAGCGCTCATGTACTTCGAAGGGGACCTTGAGGCTTCAGACATGCTGAATCAACGACTTGCACAGTCTTTCCTTCTCACCTCTGTCTTGTTTAGGGGAAGAGTGCGGCCAGGCACCTGGTCCGACAAGCGCCTTCGTGGTGCTCGAATGACCTTGTCGCTTGGCGTACGATTCGGCACAGATGAACGTCAGAGCCGTTTACGTGGAGCAAGCTGGTGTGACTTACTTGTAAATCGTGCGCAGTGCTCTGAAACCCGGGGTTCTTCGGCAAGGCCTGATTCTCGCAATTTTTGCTGCATATGACCTCAAGATTACTATAGAAAGGACATTTGGTTTACTCATGAGCTGTGAGCCTTGAAACCGTATGACATTGTTGTCTCCTAGGGATCAGTATGACAGACGGTGGGATTCAGTGTCGATGCATGTACGTATGTATGTATGTACCTTGATTCTGGTAGCCGATCAAGTGATGTAGAGATTACGATAATCATTATCAACGAAAGTAACAATCTCATTCTCCGTGGTTATACTCCTCTGATCCAAGGAAGTTCCAGGGCTAGATCTTAGACATTATCTGAATATAGTACAGTGAAGCAGAAGACCAGAAGCAGGGAAATTTCAAGCCCCTCCATCCCACGACGTTATAAAAAACCATTAAGCATGTAACATTAAGCATTAAGCAGCCAGTACTCCCTGACGGGGAATTACAGTCCGTACATCATCCAGCACAGTCATCATCATTATCAGAGTGCTTCATCTCTAGATCAGGCGTGGGAGGTGCCCGGCGGAATCTGCGACGACGCGCTTATCGCGGCAGCGGGATGACACGCGTGATCTCGGTGAGCTGGTTCATGTTGTCGACGCCCAACATGCTCATGCGGAAATAAGCCGAAGCGAAAGCCTAAATATAAGGGGTCAATTCGTACCAGCAGCAGTGTGAGGACTGAGGGAGACAATGACTTACAGGAGCCCACCTGATCTGGCCCCCGGCACCGGCGAAGCTGTTCCATTGGGCTCTGGTCTGGGAGAACGTGGCGAGATTCCTGTCACTGGGGAAGACGAGGATGGTCGTATTATCGCTGGTCAGCGTCTCGGAGTAGAACCGAGTGTCCCAAACGCCCGGGTCACTGTCCTGGGGCGTACCGGCACGCGAGGGGTCGACGAAGTTCTGCTTGGACGTTGAGTGTGCGCCGAGCAGCGCAATCAGGTCGGCGGCGGAGAAAGTCTTGGCTACGAACAGGTCGATTAGGGACTGGGCGTCTTGGAACGGCGAAGGCAGCATGTCGGTGGGGCCGGCACGGCTGTCGTCCCGGCGGCCTGCGAAGGCGCGGATGCGGGGACCGCCTGGACAGGAGACGACGGCGACCTTGGCGGCGGTTTGAATAATGTCCGCCATGCTGAGTCCGTATTGGTTGTACGTGTTATACCAGGCCTTGGTCTGGTCGCCGATGGCGCCGAGTCCGCGGTTCTCAGGTCGGGTGAGCTCGTCGGAGAGGAGAAGCGAGCCATCAGCACCTCCATAGGGCGAGTTCTTATCCCAGGTCGAGGCGTCATGGAAACCCTGACGGATGGCCCCGCGAGCAGCATCGGTGCAACCAACCGCCCCGACGAAGGCAGTGCTCATGTCCTTGACGATATAGGACCAGGCACAAAGGGCATCATTCTTGCAGGCATCCGATCCAAGAGAACCAGGAGCCGTGTAGGTAGCGCCATCGCCGACGGCACTGGACCCCTGCAAGATAGCCTTGATGATGTTTCCAACAGCAGTCAGAACACCACCGATCAGATCACCGAGAAGATCCGTGGAGCGAGCTTCGAGAAAGAAGTCGTCTCGAGCCTGAATCTCAGCCATGGCAGACTCCATTCCAGGCATGGCAAGAGCTTGCGTGGCGCAGAGGCCCATTAAGAGAGTAGAGGGTTTCATCTTGAGCAGTAGGCTAAATACAAGGATTTGGATGTAAGATGACGGGAAACTGCTGTGCTGATCGATCAGATAAAAGAGTGAAGGTCACGAAAAGACGGACGAATTAAGATGTTGACCTTGGATCCAGCAAAGAGCCTCAGACGGAAAGAGAAGGGATGCTGATGACCTGCCTAAAATCGGGAGACCACAGCCACAGAGTCCATACTTATACCCAGAAGCTGTATACCGATATAAGCTCCTTCAACGCCGCAGTTGATCTGAAGTCTTACGAATGCTATGCTCACTTGAGCTAGTCGACAGCAATTGCCGCTCATTGCAGGACGGCACAACCTGAGGGCGCTCTCGGGCCCGGAACGTTGGCTTGCGGCCGATAGTTCTGGGCCTAGAATTTCTTGTTCCCGTACCATAACCATGCGATGCTAAGTACAAGGTCAACCTCAGGTGGAAATCATGTGAGGTCCAGGGGACTAATATCAGTCCCGGCGACGGTCCCGGCCTGATGTATGGATAGGGGGATGCTCCGCAGGGATGAGTCCCGAAGTATGTCGTTGCACCGCGGACCAAGCCTCTACTTCTATTCGGTCAGGTGGTGTGGAGTAGAGCGGCGGTGAAGCCTCTGGCGCACAGCTTCTGCTGCGGTGCCATGGTCCATGGTTCATGGATGCTTTCGAGAAGGCCTCTCGCGGTCGGTCGTCTCGCCTCCCGACCCAACCGAACGGCTTCTACCCGTGCTGGCTCGTGTAGACACACGCATGAGGCGCGAGGCTAGCACCGAGGTGGTACTAGGGTCGGTCACCTCATCGAATCCGAGCAACGGTTCTATTAGTCCGTGGCGTCTGTGCAACGACTGCCAGCGTGGCGAGCGCGTCTACTCAATCTCCGCGGCTGAGAATCGAATGGCCAACCATCGTCCATGGCTGGTAAACTATTGATTGTTCTTCTCTCGCCCACGGGTAGCCACTTCAAGGCCAGCCGATGAATCTGGACGGCCATGATTGGCTCGAGAACATGAGTACTCGAAGCGCCTTCGGCACAAGCGGTGCCTCTGTCTCGGACATCCGACAGTGGTATGGTCTTGCTTCTTCCTAAGGCTCTGCCAGTATATATTGACTATTGAACGCGTGCAGATCCTCAAAGTTGAGGCCGACTCGGTGCATATTGTCGTATCTCGCGCTGCTGCGTGTAAGTGGGTAGAGCTCGGTAACACGACGGTCAAAGCGGTAGAGATGTCGGTGCCGACGAGTGTCGCACACGGGACTTTGGGCGTCCGTGAAAGCCGACATTGGCTGTTCGTCTGCGATATCGTGACGGCAGCGGTCTCTTGTGAGGCCCGACACGAACCAGACGAAGGTACGGCTCGGGATTTCTTGCCGTTGTTCAAGAGCGTGGTGTGCGATACGAGGTTTCCTGGTTCCGATGAGTGCACGACATGTCGATATGGGTTGGGCCAATGATAGACAGCCTCTATGCAAGGCCATCCCAAGCCAACAGGTCGGAGCATCTCTGGAAAGAGCTTTGCCAGTTTCGGTGGCACACTGAAGTTGTGGCTGAGAAGGATTTGCATTGCATGCATCATGCAGTATGTGTAGGTGTCATCACGAACGCCTCACATGATGCAGGCAGCATTTGAGCTTCCCTGCCTGATCGCAAGGCAAGCCAAGTGAGTTATATGCAATTTCTCATCCCGGTATGACAGAACCATACCGGACCGTACCGTCCCATCGAGAGGGGTACATTCCCCCATCAGTCTGTCGGAGCATTGTGAAATTGGATGACGGCAAGAGTAGGAAACGACCAGGAGGACTTGCAAGGTGAAGATTACACCATGTAGATGCTAGAAGGCCCGCGCTGAGGAGTAGACAATGCAGGTGGAGAAGGGTATCCTCGTCATCAAGGTCTGAAAACAGAAAGCACCAAATCCCGGCTAAACACAGAAACCTATACGAGCTTTGGCCTTGTCCATCCAGGGTCGCATTCCACAACTGCTCATAGTGCCTTGCAGGCCTGTAACCATCGTCGTTGGTCCTCCAATTCCTTCAACGCCTTTTCACTCCTCGAATCAGGCACTGTTCAGGCAGTGTTCGGGCATGTTCAGTATCGAACATTCGCGAAATGCTTCTCAAACCAGGCCAGAGCCTGGTCTTCAGCCTCAGCAGCGCCTCGAGGGTCGTCGTTCTTGGCATCAACTCGACAAGCGAAACCATGTCCGTACCCATGATACATGCGCATCTCGCCTTTCTGTGCTTCGGGCTTTGCCTCGATGATGTCACGAATCTTCTCGGCCTGCTCTGGAGACACCTGGCTGTCGAGATCGCCAATACCGAAGCTGGTAGGCGCGCGGATCTTCTTAATATCGTCGTATAGACTCAGGAAACTGGGATGGGCTGTGAATGCGGCATCCACCAGTGGCTTGCCATCGGCCTTAAAGTCACCGGCGATGACCAGAGTATGCTTGCCTCCCCAGCAGAAACCGGCAATGCCGACGGGGATATGGGCGCCCTCGTTCCGTCGTAGGTTCTCCATGAACTTCTGCACGATGGGGAAACTCTTGGCGAAGCGATTAGGGATGCCCCATTTCGCAAACGCAAGCAACACCCAGAAGATGTGGTATCTAGGCACACCAATTTAGCATGGTGTCTTCGCAGCAGGTCGAGAAGGCGAGGTCTATTACGGCTTCGCGAGCGTGTCAAACCACGTTCCCTTTGCTAAGACGAGCTTCATGCTGTCGAGCATGTAAAGCGGCGCGGAATTCCCTGGGCTTCGCGTCAGATGTAGTAGTGGCACAGGGGCGATTGCGCCTACCGTTCATGAAGTCGGGAGCGTACACGCGGTAGTCCTGCTTCTTTGCGTAGCCGTCGGCCATCAAGCGTATGTTCACAAATTCCCATCCGAAAGCATCGGGGATGACGACGATGATACCCTTGGGCGGACGACCGCTCGCGGGTTCGGCAACGTAGGTATCGAGACCATGTAGCCTGGTGGTGATGCCTGAAGGCGTACCTTCATGTACACCGCCCTTGAAACAATCTGGGCAGGACATGGCCGATGGCAATACGATGGTGACGCGGTGTAAATGCGGGTTTCAAAAAGAGGTATCGCGGACTACTTGGTGAACATTGGCGACTGTGTTTGAATACGGTAGTTGTAGTTGTCGTCGCGAAAGCAGAGATATATAACGTTATACTATGGCCGGGTTTATGTCCCGGAGTTAGGAAGCCCGCAAGTACCAACGGTTAGTCAGACCGTCACGGTTAGTGACTCTAGACTCAGGTTTCCTACCGTTTACTACGGGGCCGGGTGACGCATTCGCCGGAAGGATTATGCGACCGCCTCAGCCTTTATGTGAATTTAGCACTGATTGCAATTTACCAGAAGATACGTGGAGATAAACGATGATCAGTCAAAGTTGTACGGAATTGTCAATGAGACGTGATGAAGAAAGCTCATGTCACTCATCCACCGCCCACAGTTTCACGACAGTCATGGAAATTTTGCCGACTATTCTCGAGCTGGCGCAGATCAGTCACCCGGGCACGTCTTCCCGGCTCTTATATGCACAGTTCTTCCATCTTGTCGATCGAGTCCTGGAGCGGACAGACGATGTTGCCGTAGACGGCCTCCTCGAGCTCGCGCCTACCGAGATCGTCGCCCTGCCCAAAATCGCACCGCAGACACTTACGGACTATCTCGTCGTACTTGCCGCCCAGCATCGTCTTCCGCTTCGACAGCCGCCGTGCCGTGAGGATGTCGTTGAACTCGTCGTTGTTATCACCGCCAGTGCCGCCCCGCAGACGGTCGAACGTCTCCCAGTGCCCGATCTCCAGAAGTGCCGCTCCGAGGCTCCACAAGACCTTGTTGTACACGCCGTAGCGGTCCTCCGGCGTCACGTATTCCGCCACGCCGGCTACCATGACCGTGTCTTCTTCCTGCTGCGTAGCAGTGACGCTCTTGCCTGTGGTACTGTCGCTCCTGATGGCGGCGGGCGGGAGCAAGCGAGAGCGTAATAGAAAACTGCTGTGCCGTGGTGCTGACGGCGAAGGCGAGGAGAGCAAGAGATCAGACGTCTTCCATGAATCACTGAGCCACGGGGTCGAATGGAATTTCAATACCGCCAGGACGGCCTTGAGAGCAAACCTCATCTGGTGCGATCTCGTCAAGTCTTCGGCTTTCGATGTCATCAAAAGGTCTTGGAGCGTGGGGCCTTGGTAGTCGATGAAGTGGGGAAGCGTGTCTTGAGCTGATGAGTCAATACTAGGAGATATGTAGAAGATGTGCCGACAGCTCTGAGATGTCCGCAGGTAGCCCAAGTAATGGGGTAGCCCGGCTTGACCGGATGATCTCCGGTAGGCACTCTCGAGATACACACATGCGTTCTCTATAGACGATATGTTGATAGGGTCCGAAGCAAACCCATTCCCTTGCCCAGCAGAGGAATCGGATGCATCCGCGTTATCATCAGGCGCCAGAGACCGCATCTTTTTCCGCTGCTCCATTGCGCCATCTGAACTGGTAGGTCTTTTCCCCTTATCGTGGTACGGATTCTCATGAGAACGCAGACTTAGTCGGAGAGTCGTTTCTTGGCCAAGGCTTGCGCGGATGAGCGTTGTTTCTCCAGGTAATAGATCAGGCGGCGAACGTACCTCTCGTTATCAGCCAAGTATGAAAGAACCATTCCAAGGGCATTGTTGGGGCCCGCTTCGGTTTCTATGCTCAAGGCCGCTAAATGCTCTATATGGGCGGGTTCTTTGCAGGAGAAGGACCCCACCAAGAGCACACCGTATACTTCCTTGGATATTTCCCGGACTTCTTTGATGGCCTCCGGCAACGCCTTCCTGCTGGACATGGATATTGAATCGCGAACCGAGCCTTTCCGAAACTCGTAAATCTGCTGTTTCAGCGACTCGAGGTCCTCGTTGCCCCTCCTGAGGCGGTCGACCATCTGCTCGTATTTCGACTTTTCAAAGGCAACCTTCAAGGACTTACGCAGCCTCCTGAATGTAGCCCGGAGAGATTCGTTCTCTCCCCGGTCGGTATGTACCACGTCGAAAGCCCGAGGCTCTGTGCTGATCTCCTGTTGGGCCTCTCGCATCATTGTTACCACCGTGCTGCATGCTGAATAGCTTCGTTCCAGGCTTTCTTCCAGCATGACGTCCAGTGCATCTTCTGTCCATTTCTGATGGCCGGTGTCCTTCATGATATTGTGGGCCTCCTCACCGGTTACCACCAGACACAAGAGGAGCTCGCATTCGTTCAGGAATCTTGTCTCTTGGATCCTGATGGCGTCTTTAACTGATGGAGCTCTTTGGTGCTTTTCATGGCCACGGACAGCCCTTTTCGCACAGCCTGGAAACCTCGAATGACTTCAACCATTACCGGTAGGAGGCCCAGTGCTCCCGAGACGACACCTAGGATCTCAGCCATGGTGGCGGGAAGAAGAGCCGCTTTCAATGGCAATGAGGACTAAACAAGAACAGGGGAACAGACCGACCATAAAACCAACGAGACTGTGACGTGGTCTGGGCCCTCGAGGGATGGCTTGCCTTTCACTGGACATCACTGTTGAACAGAGTGCAGATCTCAAGCTCTTCCTTGGAAGCCCGCAAGTTCTCCGCAGGTCTCTCCAGTGAGGCTGAGGTGCATACGTGTACAAGGTCCAGAGTCCAGACCGCCCAGCCAGCCTCATCATGCATTCGCGTGCGGGGTCAGGCTTTCAGGCTTTCTTGGCTTCGGAATCCGCCCAGTTTGGAAGTGTGCAAAGGGTTGACCCTACACAATCTGCACTTGTGAGATGGTCCAAGGCTGACAGCCTCCTACCCGGCAGAATACTTTGGTAGTCCGGTCCTCTTCGTCCTTCCCCCGAACCCGCCCGAAATCCCCTATCTGGTGCTAACAGACCGTGCGCTGGCCTGTGACCTGCGCATTCGCAGAAGTTCAGGAGGGTTAGCTACCCTGATTATTGATGCTTGGCTGTCAAGACGACGGCCATTGAGAGCGGTTGGTCACCCACTGAGCGCCCGCGACTTTTTCAACATGGTTGACGATGAATATCTTGGGTTCAGTAAGCCCACGACTATGCTGGATGGTACGAATGTCGCGCAGCAGGATGGGAATGATGCCAACCAAGAAGGGGGCAAGGAAAGAGCTCGCCGCATTCGCTCGAGCAAACCAAAAGTCAAAACTGGTTGCTACAACTGCAAGTATGTAATATCCGAGTCCCTCCAAGAGGCTCATCTACTGTCTCGTGTGAAATGAGCTGAAGTATGACTCTAGAATGAGGCGGATCAAATGCGACGAGCGACGTCCCGAGTGTACGCAGTGTATACGCTCTAAAAAGATATGCACAGGCTATCCCCCTCCTCCGCAGCAATTGAGTACGTTTGATGCGAGCAAGTCAAATCAGGCATACAAGGTACCTCCGAGGCCACACACAGGGGTCGAGCCTACAACGATTGCAGAGGACCGGGGTCAGCCGACTCAGACAGACCAAAGCACCCTTGCTTCGGGGACTCCTTCACATGGCCAAGCAACTCAAGCGATAGACTGGCACATCCAGCAAAACGACACCCTTGTTTCCCAAGGACGCGCCAAGCATAAGGGCGGCTCGGCCTGTCTGCTTTTGCGGGCTGCAACGTGGTTGCTACAAGGCACAGTCAAAGCAACCAAGAACGATCAATGTAACAACGGTTCGAAGGTGACGATGGCGTTGACGAGAGCACTTGAAGGCCTTGCGCTGTGGGATGAAAGGCACTCCGTCTCGGAAGGACGTCTTGACACCATACTTGAGATGTCCACAAGAGTGCGCAACGCGACTCTCTCTTCGCTATGCAGGGTTGTCAGCACGATCTCTAACAGTGAGTACATCTCCTCATTGGCGACTGCCGAGTTTCTCATACTCGCGCAGGCATAATCCCAAAACTCTCCGGCGATGCTTCAAGGCTAGAACTAGAAGCCGTGATGGAGGGTTTTACCAACGGCTTCAACTTGGCCCGCATCATCGACGAAGACGACGAAGACGATAGTAACCTTGACGATGATATCGACGATGACAATACAGACTCCGAGCGGGAGACATTGGATGATCATCTGAAGGACTTGGATGAGTACATAAGGGGTCTCAACGATCTTGACTCCTCCCTTGCCAACCCAGCCATGGACGCAGTGACTGTGCCATCACGAACGTCGACGGAAAAGGCAGTCCCGCTGGCCAAGCAAGGCTCTTCACCTTTATCACGGCAACACTTCTACTCTCTCCGCATTCGTGACCTATTCCCGGAAGTGTCCGACTACCTGGCCGATCACCTCGGGCAGTCCAATTGGGAAAGATACTGCCTCATTCTCGGGACCAGAGAGCAGGGCGCGAAACAAGTAGACGAAGACGATCCACCGTTAGACATCGAGTACACGCTGCGCAATCCGAGCTGGTACGGTAGCTCACGACCGGGTGCCGCAACCTTGCCAGATTCAGGTGTTGGGACGTCACTTCAAACATATACCGCGCTCCGATCTCAGCTATCATCGGCGGTCTCTGGGATTGGTGATGGTTTCTATTCAGCTTTCCCATCTCTCAGCAAAGAGGCCAAGGCCGGCAAGCCATTTGAATGTGATGCCTGTGGACGACAAGTGGTGGTGACACGGTCACGCTTATGGAAGTCAGAGGACCCATCCCCATAGCCAGTCCTCTGGTCACTGACCCCTATCTCACAGGAAACATCTGCTGGATGACCTCCAGCCCTACATCTGCATTGTTCCTGGATGCGAAGTGGACAGAACGCCATTCCCGTCGCAGATAGCCTGGATCGAGCATATCAGGTCGAAACACTCGAGTACAGACTTTCTCCAACACCTTTGCTGTCCGTTCTGCAAGGTTTCAGCACCGCGCGAGGTCTTCGGGATGCTCACGCACATCGCCAAGCACCTCGAGGTCATCTCGGCGATACCCCTGCCCCGCTACGATCCTGACGACACTGCGGAAGAGAGTTCCCAGAGTATGTCTATGGCCACGAATGCTGCAAGTGACGAGAGCGATGAAGTCCTGCGCAATGTGGCAAATTTTGTTGAGAGCAACGCGACGGCTCCAGGTGTTCCCCTTCGGCATGTCGAGGGGGTGACTCGTCAACTCAGCGTTTAACTCGGGTAGTGAATAACTGCCTTCCCTTGCTCTTAGGTCTGTACATAAGGAACATCAGCCTCTCAAATATCGGCGTATGCACCATGCCCGTCTCAGCGAAGTAGACCTCCCAGTGATCTATCAGCCGACCCAAGATTATAGGCTCTTGTTGGGCCAGATGGTGCATCTCAGCTCACAAGGTCGTGGAGCTCCCAATCGTTTTGCCCTTTGGAGCGGGCATCACCCGCGGATCGCTCGTTAACCAAAACAGCTCCCAGCCATGGACATGACCTCGGTCGCCATGCACCGTCGAGTCTCTGCACCCGACGAAGTTTTCAGGTGCGATACCCTTATTTGCCGTGGTGTGGTGCTTAGGGTTAGGGGGCTGGCGCTGGTACGGTGGCGGCGTCGTAACTATCACCAACCTCTCCTCTTCACCATCACCACGGCAAGTACCTCGCGTACTATGCTGAAGTCGAAAAGTGGCCATCCTGGCTTTGAGGGCTGCCCCTGAGATATCTCGGTATCTAAACTTTTGAAATAACATCCCAAGCTGACCATGTACGTCAGTAACCAACAATCACATGGCCAACCCACAAGCAAGCGCCTCGATCTCTATCAAGTCCTGCCCAAATCCGCGGTCGCCATCCAGCAACTCCCGCACCGCCTCAAGCGCAGTCTGCATCTTCACTGACCCCCTATCCCCCAGCCTTCCATTCTCCTCTCCCCCATCTTCACCTCCTCCTCTCCAACCATCGTCGCCATCCCTACCCCCGCCCCTCATGTCCACCTGCAAACGCGGATCCGCCCCATGCGCCAACATCCCCTTAACAGCCTTGATCCACCGCCGGCGGTCCTGCTCACGCATATGGTCCAGCTCTCTAGTCGTTGCCAGACTCAGCCCGGCCTCGCCGCGGGCCGGGAAGAACACGGGTCCCAGCCTCACCGTGCGCGCCCACGTCTCCTCGCTTCCATCCTCTGTCGGCATTGCGGTGGCGCCATACGCAAACAGCAAGTCAGCCAACTGCGACGTCGGCATATGATGATGGAAGTCGCGGTAGTTGCCCGTGCGCGACATGCAGGCCGAGTGCGAGGGCCCGTGGCTATCCTCCGATGGACACACGGCGTACTCGAGCAAGTACTGGGCCGTAGCGCGGCGGGCGGCCGGATCGAGACGCGCGAGTTTGGTCGAGACGTAGTGGAAGAGGTTGGCCTGGATGGCGAGGGCGAGGAAGTCTTTCCGGCGAGGTGAGGGGCCGAGCTCCATGGGTTCAAAGCTGGACCAGTGGTGATGGGCGGTATCTGTTCCCTTGGCTGCTCCTTGTTGAGTCCACAGCTCATGGCAGGTGAGGTCCAGCTCGTCTAGCAGCTCGCAGTAGGCCACCGGGTCGAATGACTCGTCGCTGCCTTGTTCGGCATACCGCAGGATGCTGGAGATGCAGACCCAGGCTTCCGCTGTGAACTTTGGTTTGGGGCCCCTCGTCACGATAGGGCGCAGCAGCGGCAGACATCGCAGGTACCGCAGGGTCCCGCTCATCAGCGAGTAGTACACCTCGATCTTGTTGGGCGGCGTCACGTTGAGCTTGTCCCAGATATCGCCCTTGAAAATGAACTCCTTGGCCGTCAGGTGCATGAACACGACGCGATGGTCCTTCTCGCGCGCCTCGAGCAGGCCGGCGCAGCACGTCGCCAGGCGGCGCTCCATGCGGTCGGCAATGCTTCCCAGGTCCTGCAGCGTCATCGGCTGTAGCCTGTCGTGGGCGATGGCCAGCTCGCCTACGCTCGGATGCTTCTGTTGCTGTTTAGGCCCGGCTAGATATCCCTCCTCTGCGAAGGCCAGGGTGACAAGCGAGGGCGGCTCTTGGGCTTTGAGTATGATGTGAATGATCCTGCAGGCCGCGCGCTGTTGGTGGGGGGCAAGATCCTGTACCATGCGCATGTAGATGCCGTTGGCCCCAAACAGCTGCGTTGGCAGCGTCTCCAGCGTGCTCTTCAGCCTCTTCAGAGACCCTTCCATTAGTATGTCCATGGCCAGACGCGCCCAGAGGATGTCGCCGCGCGACTTGCGGGCCACTTCCTGGCACAAGGGAACCTGGCTATCGGATATCCCAGGCGCGACGTTGTCTAGTCGGTCTCTGCAGTACTGGACGATGAACTCTTGCGTCTGCAGGTGCACGCGTAGACCTGGGTAGTCCCTGAACGCTGCTTTGAAAGGGGCCAATTCCCGGCTTGAGACGCAGAGCTTGAAGTGCTCCTGTTCGGCCAGATCGGTAATGAGGCGGGCGATTTCCAAATGGGAGTCATTGATCCATTTGCTAGAGCCCAAGCTTACTTGGCCGTCCTCACCGATTGTCGTACAGCTTGCCGAAGAGCTCCCCTCCATGGCGTACCCTTCCTGGTCCGCCAGGCGATACTCGTCGAGGCCGTCGATGAACAGACAGATGCGGAGGCTGTCGGCCTTACGGGCGAACAATTGGTAGAAAGCTTGGGACAGGTTGACGGTTGTCTACATTTAATCAGTGATCAGACCAAAGTTGACAGGATGGTATGAACTTCAAGGTTGGCGCTTGCTTCGGGCCTGCACAGAGCTGTGGATGTACGCACTGCAGAGGGTCAGTGTTTCTTCATGGTTGAATACGTTCGCTTGCAAAATTAAAGGCGATTATTGGGGTTTCTCATCACCAGACTGACCATTAAAAGGGACTGGGGGCGGCCAAGGGGCCCTCATGAAGCTGGGGAAGCAGATGGGTATGAGATCCGGGCGTGCTGTCAGAACCTGGTGAAGGACACCGCGCAATATACCCTCCCGTGATTTCTGTGTGGATCTCCCGTGTCAGTGTGATATCTCCGGGTCTCCAGACCTTGCTGTCGGCGAGTAGTGAAGTGATGATGTGCGACAAGGAACCAGGCCTTTACGTCTCATTTTTCAAGCTTCACATCGCACAGGGCAAATCGGAACAGAACTTGTACGCACCTGGACATGACTGCCTCCTTCGTTCAGGAAAATGGCCGCCACGATGACTTCATGTTCACCTGCCCACTCTTGGAGCAGCTCTCGGGTCTGTGGATCATGGAGCGCGTATTTCATCACCGTTGACTTGCCTGAGGCCGGGGTACCGCTGAACCAGAATATGGACCCGGGCGCTTGCAGCCAAGCATGGAAACGAGATACGGATTCGTTGCTCCCCTTGGCTGAGAGCAGCCATGAGGATGTTTGTCTATACGCTTCGTCGCTGGGACCTTCTTCGATTCCCATGTCGAAGTCTAGAGCCTTCAGGATCTCTGTATTGAGTTAGTATGGCGATTGCGGTTTACAGGCACTAGTAGGCTTGGACACGTACCTTGATTGCGGATGATTTTGGCCTCAGTGTCTGTAACCAGTCAGCATTCGCGTTCCGTCTGTAGCAAGAATAATCAACGCGATTGAGCAATTGACATGACTTGCCTTGCAGCCTAGCTCGTCTCGAGAGTTTACTGATATGGCCGACAAGTTGATAGTAGCCCGGGTCTTGCCTCGTTGCAAAACGAGCCATCTTCAAGTGGTTTTCCATGATATCATCCACAGTGACATTCAATCCTTCGTATGCCAGTGAGGCTTTCGGTATCGTCTGGCCACCATCAGTGGTTCACCCAAGTTTAGTTGTGTGTTGAAAGACAACTCACCTCTCCGTTCGGCATGGGAAGCAGCCCTCGCACACACACGACCTGGATATCTCTAGACACCAACATGAACTCATCGCGCGATTGCTCAAAGGCATCGCTACATGAGGCTAGCCCCTCAAAGTACTCCTTGGAGGCACTGGTCTCGACCTGAGCTACGGTGGCCACAGCCTCGCCAAAGGACTGCCTGCCCACGCTTTTGTGTGGCGTTCCTAGAAACACGATGCCCACCGTTCTGGGATATACTGCGAACACTGAGATCAGTAAGCGCCCCTCACTGTTCAGATGTCTCAGGTGGTATACTTACACCTCCCCAGCTCGGAGTGTTTCCCAAACACCTGCGAGGTGGCTATCGTTCCCAACGCATCCTGGAGGAGCCAACCGCCTACACCGTGAGCAACAAATACTAGGTCGCGGTCCGTCTTGCCACAAACGCTAGTAACGTCTTTGAGGAGACGTTCGCCCATTCTCTGGCCGAACTCTGCAGGGGCATCGCCAGCACCGAAGTCTGCCATGCCTGGGGGCGCCCAACCCCACTGCAGATCATGTCAGTGACTAATTTCATAAGCAGCCTAGGTAGGACGGATAAGAGTGTTTAGGGCCGGGCATGGGGAAGCATACAGTGACAATTCTGGCATTTGGGATCTCTTGTGGGAGGAGGTCGCGCGGCCAGCAGATCCCGTTCCTCTGCCATGATCTAATGCGCCCGCCGTTGAGACTATGGATAAAGACGATATCGATACCGTTGTCACCGCCACCATTTACGGTGCCGTCGTAGAGAAGCAGCGGGCCAGACGCATCTTCGTCTCCCTCAAGCGAACGCCTGCCTGCTGTCCTGGCGGTATGCGCCGACGCTGCTACAGTTGTCGAGGAAGCTGTGGATACGGGTTTGGCGACCAGCTCTGACTCGGACTTTCCAGCTCGAGAGATTCTGGCGATTGCTTGTCGGATCCTCTTCATGGTGGCTTCGGCATGTCAGTCATTGGCAGGGCGGAGACACTTCTGACATTGCCCAGCTCGCAAGTAAGTACTCGAATGGTGATGGAAACTTGGGAAGCTTCCTGCATTTGATTGCTAGACGACGAGGCCACGGGCTGATGGGTAAGCGAAGCGGCGCAGACGTGCGTTCGTAGGATTGACTTCTAGGATGCCTGCGGCCAAGCTGCCTAGCTGTCGTTGGCTATCGAGGCAGGTAACGTCGCTTGAATCCTTGATGAGCTGGAGCCTGGCAGCCTGGAGGATATGCTGCTCGCAGGAACTTTTCTTGTCTTCAAACCGGGGCTCGCTGTCAGGGCCCAGGCCCCCGGGGAGACGATGTAACTCTGTATATCTCGTTATCCTTGGCGCTCATGTGATGTGACTGCGCTGCGCCGCTGGCGTGCTGGCAGCGCCAGGGGACGTTGCGTTTGGTGGCCTGATTTGCTGATGCGCCGTGGACGGTGGACGTACGTTCACTGTTCACTGCGCCGTCGCGGCCCGACAGGGGAGGCTCTCCGAATCAAGAAGGCGGATGTGTCTGACCACTAACTCCTGACCAGCATGATGGCGTTGTGCTACTGGCCATTGTGTCCCGACATTCTGGAACAGGTCCAAGACGGCAAACGCTTCGTCCCCTTACTAGTTAATACCATATTCAACTTGCAAGCGATGATCAAACCACTCATTGCTATCTGTCCGTGTCGACAGTCGACTCCCATGGTCCATCCGGCGGTGTAGGGTTGCACCTCGTACATGCAGACATGCTGGAGAAAGCGGAAAAGGCACGAATCACAGGCTGCGATCTGCGTTGGAGAAGCGATCCGGCGCCCCCCTCGCTTGAGATAAGGGGGTCGGTGTGTGGTTCTCGGCGCAGCATCCTATTGGTCGCTGAGAGGCGCGAGAGAGGCGCGAGCCGTGCCGTCGGGACAGGAAGACAGGATGACTGGATGACAGGCACAGACAGGAAGATCAGTGATCACGCCACGGCCACGGGCCACGGACCACTCGGTGTATCGAAGACCAGACACTATTCCCGGGCCGCTTCCCCCTGATGGATACGCCGGACATCAGGTCCACGGGTACTATCCCTGCGGGTGGAACTTTTCTATCCCTAGCCAACCAGAACCTGCCACCGTCGGACCGGCAGCGCCAGGCGCCAAGGATATCCGGCCTCCTTTCGCCCAGGCCTCCACTGCTTTCCCGTCCTCCCATAGAGGAGCCCTTAACCCTTAGCAGAGACTGGAGTCTCCGCTTCAACCAAAGTCACCAGCCCTGCCAGCACGGCGCAGTCATACCCCTGAAATAATGCTACGGCCTACAATTCCTAGAATCGTTACCACTGACCAGCAAATTCAGCTACTTGAAACTTTTAAGTTTTTGCTCAAAGACAGAGCGGATATCTCGAAAGATCAAGTATAAAGACTGTGATGCCGGTGCCTGGACACATCTGAACACCCATCACCTTTCGAGCACCATTCCAGGGGGAGGAGTTCGACACGAACGGCAAACCCGGGTCTCGTGTCCTTCCCTTGCCTGGCCCCCACTGTGCCCTGTCTTATTGGTGGCCTTCTGACGTTCATCTTTGGCAGATACAGATCATTCATGGGAAGTAATTTTACGTGCGTGTTGGCTCGCCACACTTGGCCAGCTGCATGGAGCTGCTCTATCGCTTACCCCATGCGTCGAGCCAATAACTCATGCGTCCTTTGAAGTTTGCAGATAACATGTTGCAGCTACCCTTTACGACCTTGCGTCAAGCAAGGCCGTGGATGCTCCTCTTCCACAGCGGTGATTTGCTTTTGCTGTCTGGACAACTGGTGTAGATAGGTCATGACTCGGCTCCCATATTGTATATGATCCCTGCGGATCTCATGCGGTGGCAATCTTTACTAGGAATAGCCGTGTGGGCGTGTTGAGTTGACTGAACAGGCGTCCACAGAGCAGCGGCACGGGATGTAGATAGCCGAATACAACGCAATGCACATATAGATAGCGCTTCGCTGTTCATATGTCGGTGCTGGGATGCAGATGTAAGGGCGTCTAGGAGCCGAGGTAGCATCTCGAGCAAGTGTTGGAGGAGGATATATACGTCCCTTCGGCCTCCACGTCTGTCTGCTACCGATCCCAAGACGAATACGTTTGGCACCGGATAATTTGTACCCTTGGATCTTGCTACTCCGACCATGTCGTCCCCAAAGGTTGAAAGAGCCACGGCCTGTGGCAAGGAGTCCACAGAATCCGGGTCCCTCATCGCGTATATCGCGGACCAGGCCACCCCACCAGACTCGCCCAATCCCGGAGACATGACGGTGTTTTTGCCTGACACCTTCGCCTCGATACTGTCCGTGGAAGCCGTTGTGAACCCCCACTACAGACAAGTCAAAGCCGAAGCAGACGCTTGGATAGCCGAGTAGGTGCCGTCAGCTTCTATCTCTTTTCCCCATACGGCCTCGTTCTCTGACATGCGCGTGCAAGGACCCTTGGATATGATGAGAAGGCAGCTCGTCGCAATGCAGGTGCTGATTTCACATACCTGGTATCATTCTGGGCGCCGCAGTGCGACGCCGAGGCTCTCAGGACGATGGTGGACTGGCAACACTGGGTTCGTACCACTTCGACATGTTGGGTCGCCTGTACTGATGCTAGAATTGCTCCAAGGCTTTCCCGTGGGATGATCGTGAGTGTCGGCTCAGCTCATATCCATGGCGGCACTGACGGGTTCTGGCAGAGTTCGACGAAGGCCATCTCAAGACAGATTTGCAGGGGGCGGCGGAAGAGATCATCCACATGACCTCTCTGTTGGACGACTCACACCCGCCTATATCGCCGGATGAGTACCCGATACGATACGCCTTCCAGGTCAACTGGTATAGCATCCGAAAGGTACGTAATCTTGTATTGTCAAGTTGTCCACGCACGAGGCTCACGCCCATGAGAACAGAGGGCTTCACCAGGTATGTGTCCAACTCCGACGCCCAGCCACAACGACAACCATTGTTATGCCCGTGCAATTGAATACTGACGGGCCTTTAGCTTTGCAACACAGGTACAAGAAATGCATCAAGCATTACATGCTCGGCTGTCTTGGCCAGGTTGGCGCTCGAAAGCTCAAGCCGGAAGAACTCAGCGTCGAGGCGTATCTGAAGTTCAGAAGAGGCACGATTGGTTGCTATCCCTGGTCTGTTTTTCTTTCAAAGCATCCAAGTCGAGCCACACGCTGACATACTAGCAGTAAGTCTCAACCCGTCCAACACCGCCTGGCAACACGTCGTACCACTTGCGTGTCGATAGGGCTGCTATGTCGACGCCATGACTGACAATAGATAGGTTTCTGCCTTGTAGAGTATGATGATAGATGTCTGTGCGCCCGGGTTCACCACTTGCTGACTTGGCTCAAGATACGCTGCCGGCCTCGATCTGCCACAGGAAGTCTTGGATCACCCGTCAATCCAAGCTTGCCAGGAGGTTGCAGTTGACCTTGTCCTGCTGTGAGTGCTATTCCATCATCCATATTATTTTCTTACGCTAACCGCTCGCAGGGACAACGACCTTCTGTCCTACAAGAAGGATTTGGTGAGTACCTACCCGCTCTCATGCTTTCACTCCAGCCATTGGCTGCCAAGGGCCCATGACATCCGCCGACTAATGAGCTGCACCCACGACGTTCCCAGCAAGGTCTAAGAGACCGTTCTTGATACATTGACCGACTAAAACCGTCACAGGTAGAAGGAGAAGACCTGAACATGATCAACATCATCCGCGCGCACCGGAACCTACCCTTACAAGAAGCCATCGACAATATTGGCGTCATGCTAGATGCCTGCTACCGCCGGTGGTACAAGTCGCTGGCTGAAATGCCTATCTGGGGCAAAGAGATCGACAATGAGGTCCTGCGGTATCTTGACGGAATCAGGAACGTTGCGCTGGGAAGCCTACATTGGAGGTATGTTGACTGCTTGAGTGAGAAGCGAGAAAGGAGCCCCGTATGGTTGTCGAGTGACCTTGGCAGGTTGGGTTGATGCTTGACAAGATGCTGATTTGTTATTGGCGTGCTAGCTTTCACACTGGTCGGTATTTCACGGGGAGTGAAGGGATGAGGCTGAGAGACACGAGGGAGATGAGGTTGCCGGTCATCTAAGAAAGGAGCAAGCGGGGAGGGGTGATCGTGTGATATCCTAGGACCAAGAGAGAAGTACGAGCAGCTTGATATTGAAGGTAAAGTGGTATGTAATGACGTATAATTATGAATCGATTAAACTGAAACAATTTTCGGCTTATTAATTACTACTTTCGGCCACCCGCCTAGTCATGAGGTCCAACAGGGACATGAACCTCGTGGAAGGCCTTGATCCAGCGTCTCGCCGCCGTGAGGTACGAAGAGAACTGGTTTGATAGCCACATCAGCTGAGAGAAGGCCGTTCCGACGTCCCTACCCACGGCCTTCGTGTTCAAGGTCAACAAGAATACCTCACCGATGTATCGCCGCAGCACAGGCGCCCAACACGTGCGAGGCAAGGCGAGGCAAGGAGACGCGAGACAGGATCGATATATCAAATTCAACGAGCAATTAACCATGTATGATAGGCTCACGAGGGGCTCTCCATGGGTCTCATCGCAATGTAATGAGATCGACATCGCTGTACGATTTATTGTCACGTGAAAGCGCTTCTTTCGAAGTTGAATTTTTTGGGGAACCGACCGGGGACAATGGACGACACAGTTATCTCTGGACGAAAGACCACAGACGATGACATGCGAGGAGTAGGAGCATGGGACCTACCTGTTACCTCAGCAAAACCTCTCCGTTCCATACGTCCTCCTCATCACTCCAGAAGGAACCCCAGCACAACCTGGGCTCGGACCACACTCACGAACACTGAGCAAGAGAAAATTGGACAACTCCCTCGGAACCTAGAATCGCAGATAAGTGTCAGGAACCATTGCTGATTAAAAAACCCCGATCTGGCTGGAGGAAGTGGCAGCCTGTAAAGGGGCCAGAACCAGCCCCTAAACCTTGACCCGATAACGACCCGAAGCAACTGGGAAGCCACACGTTTCGCACCAAGCAATCAGCTCTTATCATCAGCCCGTAGCTCGAGAAATGGTTTCTCTTCAACAAGCGGGATCCTCTCATTGGTCCAGATATCAAGACATGAGCGTCAATCACATCAATTTCCTGAACTCTATCACAAGAGTAAACCGACCCGATGTGACTTAACGCCGACGATGGCTTCCTTGACTGACTCACTTCTTCGGAATTGAGCTTTAGATATGGCACACGTGTTCTTGAGAATTCTGACATATTTAAGGCCCTGCTGCTCTCGCACTTCTGCCAATTCTTTCTCTTCTTTCCATCAACATTTGCCTTGAGAGACATGCCCAAGAACTCGATCGTTTGACATTGATACTCGTTCCACAAGCATTTTGCAAGCCCAAGTTACTACGTCTGCAATTTTGACATTCATCATCACGAGTTTCACCAGTCATTGATCAAAGTATCCGTCATCATGTCTTCCTCGCACGTTGGTCTCTTCTCCAACCCCTTCCTCTCCACCAACTCCGACGGCACGCGCCCTGCTGCAGCCAAGCCCGTCAACCCTCTTCGTGCCTCCCAAAACCAAAACCCGCCTGTTTTCCCACGCCCTCGAGCGTCTCCTCCGTCCCGACTCCGAGTTGCTCCCCAAGGTGCTCCCAAAGGTGCTCCCGAAGGTGCTCCTGCTCCCGGAAAACGCAACTCGGAATCTTCCTTCACCCCCCCTCCCCCCTACTCATTGGTTGCGCCCGCAGTCGCGGACGCTCCTCCGTCGTATTCGGCGAACCCTGCCGGCATAGTCTCGCAAAGAGTCATGTCCGGTTTTGATATTCCTCCTCCGTACTCCAACCCATCGGCACAATACACAGACATGATCCTCGCAGAGGATCTCGATCAAGTCATCAATGCCATGAGAAGTCTTAGTCTGGCCGAGGCAGCTCCGCGAGCCGTTGATAACACAGGGAACGCACTGTTGACCCGCTCCTTCGGCATGCCGCCCGCTTACAATCATTCAGTCACTTCCCGATTCCCACCGTCATCAATTTCCGTCGCTGAACCTGATCCCCTCCGCCTGTTCTCCTGATTTCCCTCTCCGCATATCAGTTATCGTGCCCGGCGGCGCGTGCAGCTGACAGCGATTCGTCCCAAGTCGAGCGTCTCATCATCCGCGGTTTCACCCACGACCAAACGTCCTCATCGCTTTGCGTTGCCCAGAACCCATTTTCCTATCGTCGTTTCCAGTCAAAGTTCTGTTTGTTGGCGAGCACCTAACGTTGTTCCTTGGTGGTTATGTATCTTCGGCCTAATCGGTGCTGTTGGGGTAGGTCCGAGACGGGTGCGGGTGAGGTCGGCCTTTGCCTGTGTCTTCATAGAAAAAAATGTTGGCACGGTGTCTTAACCTGCGTTACCGCCCTGGGAGGTCCCAGGGATGAGTAACGGGGGGGTTCGCAGATTACCTTCGCTTGCCGCTACTCAGACGGCGCCGACTCACTGCAGACTTCCCTCGTCATTGACTTGGCGGACAGAGCGGATACTCAGGGGCTGTTGGCATTGAATCATTGAGGGCTTCGGAGGGAACTTCAAACTATTCGGAATGGAGGTTGGGATGGTGATAAAGATATGGTGGAGGGACCTCATCTTCGCTTCACTTCGTGCCTGTTATCGTGCCCGGCGGCGCGTGCAGCAGGTGGATTTTCTCCTGTTTGGCTGTGGTGGCCTTGAGAATGAGTTCGGTCGGCTTTCTCCTCCTTCTTTTGAGGTTCGGCGTGGTGTCGTGCTGGTTATTCCCTTGACTGGGATGCAGCCAGTGGGCAATTGATGACACGGAAGACGGAACGCGTGATATTTTGATTCAACACGCGGCATGCTTACGGTACAGGTTTCTCTCAAACATGGTTCTCTAACGGTACAATTCTTCGACTCGGGAACCAAGCTTCTCGCCTCGGCAGACTATCAGTTCACTTCTGTGATGTTCTTGTCAAGCGGCTTGGATCATCCTACATGTCTGTACATTGGCGGTGGGATCCCGGGAAGGTAACGACCCGGTTTCCTCGGGCCACAAAGTCCTTCTCTGCGCCTCCAAGCGGCGTGGTCTGGTAACTTGATGGCAACAGTGTGGTCAGTCAAGGCTAAGCAGAGAGGCACAGTTTTTCTCCTTGATTTTCTTGCTTTCCCCCCTACTCTTACTCTCGCTTACGTACCTAGGTATATACCCCCATGACGACCTCCCGGCACCTCGACAACCTCGACAACCTCGACAACCTCGATAACGGTAAGCCACGGACTCTGCCGCCTTTGGCAGAGAACATACGGGGCCACCCGCAGGATCAGACGGATCGTCATGGGGACCGATCTAGCCACAAGTACTTTTTTTCACTCTGGCAGATCGTCCTCAGGACAGATTCAGTCGAAACGTCATTGAGCTCGTTAGCTATGCTAGCGACACGAAGAAGAATATCCGATAGCCAGGACCGCGGAAACCCACTCATGCTTCAGCTACCGCTCAGCCGATAGAATCCACCTTGGGGATACAGCAGCTCAGCTTCTGAAGCTGAGCCAGGTTCGCTTATGGTCTTCGAACGACTTCAAGATGGAAGCTACTTCTCGCTCACCTTTCTATAGGTTCAAGAGGACTTAACGGGGAACCATCCAACCCATCTCGAACTCCAAGTCCTATGTTTTCACGTATCGCGCCGACCATCTGAGGCGCCATCACCATGCCTTGGCGATGTACAGGCCCCCGCGACATCAAGGGTCGTACAATCCAGGACCAATAACCTAGCATCCATGGACGTCGATCCCGCCCTTTACCATATCTTACGAGCGGCGCAGTCCAAAACCTTCGGTTTCGAAGTTGGGGTTCGGGTTCATTCCGACACCAGAGAGTGTTTTCCCGGATTCATTCATGCGTGACAGCTTCAGAAACGTGGCGAAGACCCGTTGTCGGACGTTTGAGAAGTCGATTAGTCAGACAGCCTCGCAGGTGCCGGCAACCTCCCGAGGTGGGATGCTAGCGGGCTTCCCATCTCGGCATTCCGAATCGGTTCATAACAACCTCAACCCGCACCTTGGTCGGAGGGGCAGAGTTGGTCATTTCACGTCTGTACCAACCGTGACAGCTTCAGGTCACCGAAACTTATTCGACTTGTAGATTGTGACATTGCAAGCGGCTAGAATGCAAGATATGTACCAGGACGGATCAGCCACGGCGGTCAAGGTGAAGCCCAGGATCATCATTCATGGCGGCGCTGGCAACATCACACGGGAGAGTATGGGGCCGGAAAAGTACCAAAAGTACCGAACGGCATTGATTAATATCGTGAGCTGCTTTCTCCTGATGCGAGCATCGCTATCAGCGAGCTTGAATAACACAATGAAACAGGTCACCCAGACAGATGCGTACATGCGCACGCCCCAAAAACAATCGAGCAAAGGAGAGCACTGGATGCAAGATACCCAATATCCCTCCGCCCTCGAAGCCGCGACGTACGCGGTGACGAAGCTCGAGAACGACGCGCTTTTCAACTCGGGCCACGGCGCCGTCTTCACGCGCGATGGCATCAACGAGCTCGAGGCGTCCGTCATGGTGTCGCGGGGTTTCGCGAAGCGCGGCGTCGGCGTGACAGGGCTGAAAAGGGTCAAGAACCCCATCCTGCTGGCGAAGGCGATGCTCGAGCACGGCGACAAAGACCTGGTGGGGAACACAGACCTAGGGTGGTCACGCGAGTCAAGCGGGACGGACTTGGATGTGCCTTCGGCTCAGGGACACACGCTGGTGCACGGAGAGACGGCTGAGACGTTAGCCAGGAAATATGGTCGGGACCTGGTGGAGGCCGGTTACTTCTTCACCCAGAAGCGCTGGGACGAACACGTACGCGGCCTGGAGAAGGAGAAGGAGGGCAAGGGTACGGCGACGTGGAGTGCTGAGGCATATCTCCCTCAAGGCACCTGCGGCGCAGTCGCACTGGACGAGCACGGAGTCATCTGTGTTGCGACAAGCACCGGCGGCATGACAAACAAGCTAACTGGGCGCATCGGAGACACGCCGGTTGTTGGCGCTGGTTTCTGGGCCGAGGAGTGGACCGAAGATGGGGATCCGGGCATGTCGAGGGCTCGATCAGTCCCAGACCCGTGGCGAAACCTGCAAGAATACTTGAACATCCCGGGACCGGTCGTGGAGCTGTCGTCGAGCCTGCGCGCCTTTCTTGCCGATTGTCTGCCGTCACCCTTCACGTATACCCCTATCACACCCACCCAGCGGGGTTCTGCCCACTTGGACAATAGTATAAAAGACGAAGACGTGCGGGTGACGCGCTCGGTTGCCATGTCGGGCACTGGCAATGGGGACTCGTTCCTCCGGTTGGCCGCGACCAGGACCGTCGCTTCGATCGCGCGCTGGAGCCGCATGCCTGCGGTGAGCGCTCTGAACCGGATTGCTGGACGAGGCGGGGAGCTAGAGAAGAGCGCTGGCGATCGATGGGGGAAGACTGGAGAAGGTGAGGGCGGCATGATCGGGATAGAATGCGTGGTGGGACGAGACGAGTCGGGGGCGGTACTCTATACGAGGTCTGCTATCCTGCAAGATCATAACTGCGCTGGAATGTTTCGGGCGTGGGTCAACGATGACGGACGATCGGAGATGAGGATCTGGCACGTTGACGAGGATCGAACGCGTGGAACAGATGCGCGGTCGTTCGTGAGCGAGGAGAAAGGCGAGGTCGTCCTGGCGCATGGGTGCAACTAGATCCTGGAAGCTCGAACGGCACTGCAAGCTCGGTTAGCAACCTCAATGATGGAACAAGATAGCCAGTCAAATTCGTGATTTGAAATCAGTCATCATTAGAATATATCGGACGGCAAACGCAATTGCCAGCAAAGCCCAGGACGCCAGGGGGTGAATGGCACCATATCCCGATCCCACAGCCGTCTATGTTACACGTCTTCTCCAGCTATATGAAGACCGCCAATTTCCCGTGTGAATACATCCGACAGGGTCAGGTCGAAGGAGTAGAGTGTGGTACAGTGTTTCGTCAAGTCGGATTCGTCAAGTTTAGGCCAGGTTCAGCTCGGCGTTAGGAGGTGGTTGTGGTACCTGGGGCCAAATCAGTCAGTTACTGGCCGATCGTGAAGAAAGGCATATCGAATCTCACCTCCAACTTTGTCGAGCCTGCAAGCATCCTCTGGAAGCCAATTCCCACACCCTCAATAACTGCCAGGAGCACGGCGCAACCGATGGCTCCGTTTCTCGCCGCCTTATAACCTCCTCGAACGGCCAACGCGCCTCCCGTGAAGAAGCCGGCGATGATGGCGTTATACGGGTCCTCCTTCTTGCGCACACCCTTGACTGCGCAGTCGAACGTCGAGAACAGGCCTCCCCATACTGTTCACCTGTCAGTCAATCTTGCAGTGCAGGCCTTAGTGCTTGCTGCACTAACCACCGAAGTTGCCACCGAGTACGGGCGCCCGGGCCTTGATTGCTGTGATGGCGCCTATCCGTCTCTCGCCCATGGGGCTGTTTCTGAATCCCTTGATTCCGTGCCATATAGTACCCCCTATCGCCTAGACCCTGTACGTCAGCTCGAGTGTCGCGCGGGAAGAGATGCGCCAGCTGGGAGTAACCTACCCCCATGGCGAAAGCACCACCAAAGTCGTTGAGGATGACATATGGACAGGGGTCTCGTGTGTGATCCATCTTTAAGAAATCGTTGCGCCGAAGAAAATGGGTTCGGTTCGCGGTATGGGGAAGATGTTGTCGTAAAAGTCGAGGTTCAAGCAATGATCGGGTCGAGTACGAGATACGGAATGGAAGCTCTGGCTGACGACTGGGAAGAAAATTGACTGTTGGGCACGGGCCACGTCGGCGTTGAGATGTGCAGGCTCCGTTCGATCAAGGCTTAGGTAAGCTTATAAGGTATTAACATTGAAGGTACCTGTAGAGCTTCAATTCATCATGGGCAATTACCAGCTCTCTGCCAAAGGACCTATGGCATACGATAATCAGAAGGAGTATCATAATTCAGACGTCCGATATCGGCTTCACCTGAGTAAGATGCCCGACCTCTTTGACTTGGTAGGTGGATTTCTATCATCGCTTTTCGTCTACCTTGCGGTGAAGTTCAATATTGCAAGGCGAGATGGCGCAATCTGTCTGCCTGTTTCAGTGTTCACTCTAAGGTAAGCATACATAATGGGAAGTTTCCTTGCTGGTACAAGTCGTACGTCGGTCAAGACGGTACCTTACTGTATCACAGAACCAGACAATTACTTCCTAGTAGGTACACGTATGCAGCTTGCCGTTCGGCTGCCAACTTGAAGCTCGGTACCAATATCTCAACGTCTCATACATCACGCAATTGGTGTTGTCTTACACCGTCAGCACCCCCCTGCCAGCATAGTAATAATTGCCGGTCACCGCACACTCCTGACGAGGAGCGGTATATAAGTAACACTCCCATTCTGACTTCCAAATTGGCCGAGCATTTCAGCATACCTACCTACTTACATACCTATCGTCGAGCTACCACACAATGGCCGTTGGGCACAACAGAGATACCAGAGAAACAAGCGGCGGTTGTGCAGGATGCCAGAAGATGGAGGCCGAAGAAGAAACCACCGAGAAGGAAGACGATGGCCTGTTTACACCCGCCGAAACGGTGGTCAGTGACAATGCTGATGAGCTTCAAGGTGTGTTCCGACTCATGAGTCAATTGCATTCATCACCATCACCATGCCAGCTCCAGCCTTCAACCTTCAAAGCGGTTGAAACTATAATTTGCATAAACAGTTCGGCATAAGTATTACTATTAGCCCCTGCACTTTATTCCAGGCGCAATTGTGCCTTGTGGTAGCGGTATCCAGAATAAGGACCAGGGTCACGAATGGTGGCTATTGGTCTGTATTCTGGAAGTTGCTTGATTGAAAGAAGGGATGGGTGGTGTCCCCATCCCAGAAGTAGCTATCATCCCAGTTGGGTACGAATCTGGTACAAACGGGTACCAGTTGGGCTCCAAGGTACCTTGTACCCTGGCCCGTGACCCATCCGTCATTGTGGCTCGAAAATGGGTTGAGGAGCCACACAATGGCTTTCAACCTGTGCTAGTAGTACCTGCGCTAGTATCTACCTAACTGCAGCTTCCCCCTGCCCCACGTTGAGCGCTCCCTTCCCCCACCCCCCTCCCTGGAGCTCCCGTCCGTCAAGCCTCGAAGTCTCGAAGCCGGAAGGGTCCCAGAGTCCAGACATCATTCCTCAACCATCCGGCCATTATGTGAAAAAAGGTTTTTTTATTATTTTTTATTATTTTTTATTTATTTACTTGAATCTACCATTATATGATAATCACCAACTGACCGACGTACACCACAGGCACGATGCCGTCGACGCCCCCATCTCCCGTTCCCGTGCTCGAGGTCCCGCCGCATACCACCCCAAAGCTACACCATAGCCTTCAGCACGACAGTTCCGTCCTCGCCCTCGCCGTGAGCAATAGCAGCATCTACGCAGGCACTCATGATGGAGAGATCGTGGTATGGTCCCTGGAAACCTTCCAGCAGACCCATCGCGTACAGGCCCACAAGCGCAGTGTCATGTGCCTGTTCATGTCCGAAGATGGCTCCCTTCTATTCTCCAGCGCCAGCGACCCCATTGTCAATGTCTGGTGCCCGAAAACCATGACCCGCCTGTACGAGATATACAGCTTGAACGACTCCTTTGGCGACATCTTCTCTGTTGCCTATTCCTCCCAGTACGAGACCGTCTACTACGGCGCCCAAAATTGCTCCATACAGTGGGTAGGCCTGAAGGACCCGGATCGACGTGTATCCCACGACTCTGCGAACCATCCCGATCGACGCAACCACCGCTTCTTCGACTCTAGAGCTGTGGGCGGCGGTGCCAGTACCCCACGCCCAACCGACGAGCGGTACGAGTTGATTCCTCGATCGCATTCCACCCTCGAAACCAACAAGAGAGCGAACAAGGAGTTTGCCCATAATTCCTATGTCTACTGCATGCTCATGACCAAGGGCACAACCGCATATGCCGATCCAGACGATGATGTCTTGATATCTGGCGGTGGGGAGGGCATCATAAGGGCCTGGAAGCTCGGTGGGCGAGAGATTGGCCCGGATGGCTATGAGACTGGCCTCGAGGAAATCATTTGCCTCGGAGAGGCTGATTGCCAGTCAGTCATGTCGCTTGCTGTTGACGGATCCTTCTTGTACAGCGGCAGGCTTGAAGGTGTGGTCGAGCTCTGGGACCTAGATACCAAGCAGAAGCTACGAGTGATCAAGGCTCACAAGGGAGATGTCATGACTCTACAAATGGGCTGGGGATACCTATGGAGCGCCGCACGTTCGGGCACCGCAAGTGTAAGTCAATGCAGATGAATACCGTAGGTCGTTAGTCAGCTAACCATGGAGACAGAAACACAGCACAGTTCACTACGGGGACTTCCAGCCGGAGGCGTCCCAGAATGTCAGCCAGAAGTATCAATGCCTGACTCAATGGAAAGCCCATGACGGGAAGATCCTGTCGTCAGCGATGACGGCCCATGAGGGCCAGCAGCTGTACGTGACCGGCGCCAACGACAACAGTATCGCTGTGTGGTTATTGGAGAACCAAGCGGCAGCAGAACAGCCATCGCAGGAGCACCACGAGGATATGATGATCACCTCTCTGAGAGAGTTCGTCTCCTTCAAAACCATATCGTCACGACCTGAATATGCCGAGGACTGTCGTAGGGGCGCCACTTTCCTCCGTACTCTGTTCAAGAAACTAGGAGGGGATGTGGAGATGCTCTCTGCTGACGACCAGCTTCATCATCCTGTCGTGCTCGCCAAGTTCAGCGGCAAGCTCGAGCCTGCTAAACAGCGGAAAAGGATACTCTTCTACGGCCATTACGACGTTGTTCCAGCCGACATCAAGAGCGGCAAGTGGGAGAATGACCCTTTCCAGCTGACTGGGACCAATGGGTACCTATACGGTCGCGGAGTCAGCGACAACAAGGGGCCCATCATGGCTGCGCTCTATGCGGTCACTGATCTCATGCAATCCAAGTCATTGGACTCGGATGTCGTCTTTTTGATCGAAGGCCAGGAAGAGTCGGGATCTCGTGGCTTCAGGGAGACTGTGCGAAAGTACAAAGAGCGCATCGGCCACATAGATTATATTCTCTTGGCGAACAGCTACTGGCTGGACGACCACACGCCATGCCTGACCTATGGTCTAAGGGGCGTTATGCACGCCACAGTCTGTGTCGAGTCGACACATCCGGATCTTCACTCCGGCGTTGACGGCTCTTACATGGTCAACGAGCCACTATCTGACCTGATGATTTTGCTCACCAAGCTCAAAGGCCCTCGCAACCGAATTATGCTTCCTGGCTTCTACGATGGCATACTGCCTCTGACGGCGGAGGAGGAGGCTCGATACGACGACATTCTATCTGTCCTCATGGAGCAGAATGAAGGGAAGCAATCTCCTGAAACCCTCAAGAGGAATCTAATGGCGCGCTGGCGGGAGCCCAACCTGACACATCATAAGGTCAAGGTCTCAGGTCCAGATGGTAGTCTGATCAGCAGCCACGCAAACGCGAAGATCAGTGTTCGACTGGTTCCGGGTCAAGAGGTCGAAGAAGTTACTAGCTCCCTCACCACCTTTCTCGAAACCGAGTTCACCAATCTTGAGTCGGATAACAAACTCAGCATACAGATCGATAACCAGGCCGAGCCTTGGCTTGGCGATCCTAACAGCTACATCTTCCGCACCCTCGAAGAGGCTGTCGTGCAGGCATGGTCTCCGTTGTTTGCTTCTGACGCGAATGGAGCTCACACGAACGGACACTCACCCAAGATTCGCAAGCCTCTCTATATCAGAGAAGGTGGTTCCATCCCAGCAATAAGATTCCTGGAGAAGGAGTTCGACGCTCCAGCAGCACATCTTCCCTGCGGACAAGCGTCAGACTCGGCCCATCTCGATAACGAGAGGCTGCGTGTGGTCAATCTCCTCAAGAGCCGTGAGATATTCGGACACGTGTTCAAGAAGCTGTAAAGCGCTGAGCGGTGGACACTGATGGTCGTGTTTCATTGAGGCTTGGAGGCGTTCAGGGCGGCAAATAGACTTAGAGGCTGGTGTAGCGATACCCCTTCACTTCGCATCGGCATAGGTCAGGAGCATTAATGCAAATTTTCCATCCTCCCCGTTGTTAGCAGTACCCGTTGCTGATGCAATGCGACTAAGCTAAAAGGTCCTGTGTCTTGCGGTTTCTACCTAGTTACTACGCCATGGCCAGAACGAGCGCCTGCGCGATGATGACGACGACGACGACGATGAATTGTTCTCGCTTTGGAGAAAATGATGGTGATGGTGGTGGTGATGACCGCCGCTCCTCTCCCTACTTGAGGTCCTGTGCCCATTCTGACTCCCACTCTGACCACGTGGACGGCGTGTTCTCCGCGTCTCATGCTCTCCCTGATCACGGTTCGTCCACCTTTCTCGGTCCTCGGCCGTGGGTTGGTGTTCAGGGTAGCGACCACGATGTAGCTGCCCGCCATGATCCTGGTCTGCCGCCGCGTGCTGCCCAGCGCGGAAGCCCTCGTGGTAGTGGGCCCATCGTATGTTTGGGTCAGGGTACTCGTTTGACGGCTGGAGATTGGCGTTGAGAGGTGGTTGGCCATGGTGATGATAACCTTGCGGCTGCTGATACCGACCCCGGAGGTCGATATCGCCACCGCCATGTCTCGACAGCCGCTGGACCAGCCTCATTACACCGACCACTATTTCGCTTTCTTCGTTTTGGTAGATGGGCTGTCGCCTGCCACGACTTGCCGGAAACGGCGGGGACGGCGGCGGTGGGGGTTCGTCGTCCGAGCTGTAGCTGCTGATGCCCACGACCGCGTCCGTGCTGTCCGTTCGCCGTATCGTCCAGTCGTGGTCGTTTGGTCTTTCGGGTCGAGGACTGGGGCCTGGCCGCGTGCTTCCCCCTGATCCATGATTCGAGGAAACGGTGGAATTTCGACGGGGTGGCTGGATTGATATCCGTGGCCCGTCGGGATACTCGATGGTGATGGAGCTTCTTCTCTGCCGCGGGTGGGCGTCTTGGTCTATACCCGATGAACGACGGGTCGACGGAGGACGGGTCGATGAGGGACGACTGGGGACCGAGGCCATGCTGGACCAGGGATACAATGCGGAGATGAGTACCTGCCGGCGATGCTGCGTCTTGTAGGCCTCCAGTAAGTAGCTTGAGTTAATTTAGGAGTAACGGCCATGGCACAGTTGCCTGATCCAGGAGACTTCTTATAGACAAGACGCAATGGGTTCAGTCTGTCCTTCTCCACGTTTCACCCGTCAAAGGCGGTAAGCCGTTGGCACTATTCTGAACAAAGGGGTCAGCGACATACACTCGATCCAGGGCAAGACATAGATATGCAAAGGCGTGCAGATTTCTCTGCTTTCGTCATCTCCGTGTAGTATTCGGTGACCTTCTCGAGCCAGCTGGCGTGCTTCTGCTGTGGCGCTTGTCGAAGTACGTGGCTGATCATCTCTTCGGATACTCCGACGCCCCTATATCGTATGCTTGTTCCATGGGTCTTGTCAACAGCTATGAAGCTTGGATCATTCAGAGGCTGATCGGGACACGAAGAGAATCATGTACAGTGAAGCAAAGGGAGATAATCTTCGCAGCTGAAATATCACCAATACTCTTGATTCAAGCCTCCCTGACTACTGTGAGTACCAAAAGGGCTAGTCGCCATAAGGATACTCGTGTTGGAGATTTTATATAGATCATTTGACACGAACAAACTCACGTTATCCTGGATAAGTGACGGAAGGACTCAGCATAGGTCTATTTCGTCTGATTCTGCTCTTCGACGGTAGTGACTCTATCCCAGAGTAGAATGACAGTCGGCGACTATCTGCTTGACAGACGCGACGCAAGCAGCGCTGTAGACGACGCTCTCTTTATCAATCATGGTAGAGCCCAATGCACCGTAGCCACCAATGACCTGTTGCCCTCGTCACTCATGAGGTCTTGCTGGAGTCATCATGGTAAGAGCCTTGCGCGGGGATTTGGCATATCCCCACTGGTCTTCTTGCCGAAGGCGTCTGACAACGTCGAGGCTATGGCTATGTCTTGCTGCTCGATGATGTGCAGGCGTGACCTCCCGCGCCCATGCCAGTTCAGCCGGTGGTCTTGCGCAAACCTCGGGCATTGATACATAAAGCGGCGCAAAAGCCTATGACTGCAATCCCCGTCGCGGTGGCGAACGAGTATCTGAGCCCATCATAGTATACCATCCTGGCTTTGAGTTGGACATCAGGCGGTAGTTCCTTCAAGACTTCCACCGAGTGCCGGATTTCATCTATTACCTAAACAAACATCCTATATCAGTATCTCGACATATTAAACTCGTAAGATGAAACGTTTGGTAGAAAAGGGGCGTACTCTCCATTTATCTGGTACATCACTCAAAGCGTCCGGTAGCCGGGTGCTGAGCGTCGTCTGGACGATCGCCGAGGTGATGGAAACACCCCAGACCGTGCCTAGAGATCGAATAAGATAGACCGTAGAAGCACATACTGCATGATCTAGTCTTGGTAAGCACAGTGGTCGATCCGAGGTTGTTTGCAACTTACCTGCATGTTCGAACGTAGCCAGCGAGGTGAAGAGAATGCCAGGGTACACGATGCCCTGGCCGAGATTCGCTGGGAATATATACACGAAGTACTTCCAATTCGCGTCCACGAAACCAAGCGACGTCACCAGAGCATTTCCCACTGCCATCAGTATAGCACCTGTCCGCACAAGTGCCGTGAGCTTTCCCCATCGAGACATGACAATGCCGGAGATAAGACCTCCAATTGGGGTTGCTAGGGAGGGAATGGCGAGGCGAGCACCAGCTTTCGTTGCCGAGTCGAGAAGAACGACTTGAAAGAATAAGGGAAGCATGAACAAATACTGTACCACTGGTAAGCAACAGACGGGAGAGTGTGGATCAGGGGGATTACTGACAGCGTAAGCAGAAAGGCCGACACAGACATTTGCCAGTTGCGTTGAGATGGGCAGCCGCCCCTTCAACATGCGAAGTGGTATCACTGGTATGGCTGTCGTCTTTGACTCGACCACAAGAAAAGCACCTAGGAGTACAACACTCCCAAGCAATGATGAGATGACCCATGGGCTGTCCCACGGCAGCTCGTTGCCACCCAGACTCAAGCCCACAAGCTGGACCGAGATGGCGACGACCAAGAGGAGCGCGCCTGAAAAGTCAACCTTTCGCCAGGTCTCCTTGAAGCTTGCGCTGGCGAAGTGATCGTTCAGCGGGTTCTGGATCACCATCCAGCCAAGTACGAAGGCTATTGCTGAGATGGGTACTTGCTACGCCATGTCAGTCTGATGACTTCGACGACTAGAATGCGAGATGGGTGTACTTACCAGCAAGAAGCACCACCGCCACCCGATAGTATCAGCAATGGACCCTCCAAATGAGGCACCGCATATCGCACCAAAGCCAAACATCCCATTTTGAAAAGCCTGGTACATGCCACGCTTCTGGAATGGAATCATATCAGAGTTGACGATGGTTGCTAGGAAAGGTCAGTAAGATTAGAAATATCGGTGGTATTAGGTAGTACCAACCCATGGTCATGAGTCCGCCACCACCAAAGCCTGTCAAGGCCCGCATACAGTTGAGCAGGACAATATCATTGGCAAGGCCGCAGCCGAGACAGCCCAGAGCAAAAGTGATGGTGGAGATGAAGAAACAGATGCGACGACCGAATATGTCGGACACGCGACCGTACAGAGGCTGGAAGGCTGTGCTCGTTACGAGGTACGAAGTGGTCAACCAGGAAGCACTATTGGCAGCATCGAACTGGGAGCTGATGGTCGCGTATGTAGCGGCTGTGATGGTACCGTCGAAGCCGTAGAGAAAGACATTCGACATGATTGCCATCTCGATCCAGGCGAAATGTCGAGGGGCTACCCAGGCGACTTCGCTGGGCTGGGTGGCCACCTGAGTGGCCACCAATAGAGCCTCGCGCTCTGAGGAATCGTCTGTCGCGCAGGACGGAGACATATCGTACTCGGAGAAGGCCGGGCGTCGGCCGGAGGTCGGCCGCAGTATGTACGTGTCTGGGATGTTTACTTGAGTCTTGACTTGGTGAGTCCAGCGATGCAGCTTGTTCACGCCTGAGCAGACATTGTCGTGGCTGATATTGATAACTTGAAACAGTAATTGGTGAAGGGTAGAAGGCACCAATGTTTGCCGCGGTGGAGGAAATTATAATGCGGAGGTGGTGGTGGTGGAGCTATCGCGAATGGATCAGGGCGTCAAATCAAGGGCGTCAAATCAAGGGCGTCAAATCAAGGGCGTATTCGACAGATAGCCTGACAGCCCAGTTCGGATGAGAAAGTTCCCATCGCGTGAAGTTCTTATTACCACAGCAGATACACGTGGAACCGCTAACCATTACCATCCTGGACACCTGTACCTTTTCTAAAGCGATCAACAGTTATACAGCTCGTAACTTACCCCTAATCCCGCATATCGAGTTACATCCCGATGATCAACCCCACACAAGTCTCCGTACGGCGCCCTCTACACACCATTACCACCACATTCACTGCTCAACTGCGAATGCATCATAAGGCCGAAAATTATAACAAAATATGCATTCGATAGCGGTTTAGTAGTGGTTGTACCAGACGCGCGCCCGAATCACTGCCGCGATCCGATCGGGGAGAGATTTGATGAGCTTCTTCGGGAGGTCGGGATCTAACTCTGACTATGCAGCTTGGATTATCTCTCTAGCCCACGCCTAGTGAACGATATTGTCCTTTAAGTCTTGAAAACGAGGCTCTATTTCCCTTATCTTTTTCTTCAGAGCTACCCAAACGTGTTTGATGGGGTTCAAATTGGGGCTGTAAAGAGGTCAGTCAATAGTCCAGATCCCATGATCCTCTAATCATGCTAATGAGCCTCCTTTAATGTGCATAGGAGCATTATTTTGCTGAAAAGGGTCCCCTATTTTATAAAAAGGAAGCAGATCTTTCTTTAAGACCTGTTAATATCGCCTGGCAGACACTCTTCCGCATGGTGCATCCAGATCTTCTTCACAGAAGACCAATTTGCCTAGGCCACCTTTGTCATTACGTAACCACATTAAACCTCAGACTATTATCGAGATACAGGCTTTCCCATGGCTCTGTGGGTTTATAAGATCCTTACAGTACCGTTTTTTTGGAGAGGCGGATGACCCATTCGTCAGGTCTATTGGGATCATTTTGAATAGTATATTTGTCAAAGAAGAGGGCCATTATTAGCTCCTTTTGAGTGCGCTGCATACGGTATTCTCATGCCCAAGTAAGCCATTTTGTGGCGTCATCCTCTGTGAGAGAGATTCGCTTCACCGCGCGCCATTTCTTGAGGCCATGGCAGTGGAGAGCCCTCACGATGGTCTCTGTGTGGCAGGTGACATGTGCTTTGGCTTTGAGCGCCTCTCACAAGAGACGAGGAAACCTCTGAGCCAAATCAACTAGATGGCGTTCTTACCCATGCAAAAGAAACCTAGGAGTTCCCTTCTGTTGTGCAATGCGCGTGATCTTATTGGTATTGGCCTGTGAGCAAATCTCAGAAATGGTTTCGACGCGTTCCGTGCCGTAGGCGCGTGCGACATCCCTACGACCGCGGCCCTCTGTGCGCGCCGTGATAATGCCTGCACGCGCCTCTGAAGTGAATTCAACGTTCGGCTGGCGAGTGCCGCTCAAAACCGTATCGATTTCGTTGATATCCATGGTTAACTGATTTTTTTATGATTTATCGCAAGATGAGGGCGTCGCATTGTTGTTTTCGTCAGAAGATTGAATCGGGGCTAGCGTACGGAGACTTATGTGGGACAAGTGTACTTACGTCAAGGTCAGCTGGAACGTCGGTGCCGATACCAAGATGTCGAGTTTCTGTGCTTCAACGGATGCATTTTACCTGGCGCCATCCCTGGTCTTGCCGCGCCTCTTCTGGGGATTTGAGCTGATCGGAGGTTCACCAGTGTGCGTTGAATAACCTTGAAGTTGGGGATATTCCCAAGTTGATTCTCTTCTGGCCAATGATGCAGGTGTCTTGTGTCAGACCTGTCCTGATGTATGTCTCTTGCGAACCAATCTACGCCATCTGTCCCCAGCCATGGCCAGATGATTCCCAGTGGAACAAGCACCAATTTTTGAGTTATTCCAGTTGACTGCCCCTGATGAAATATCGCCGAGTCCAGGCGCTTATACCAAATTTCTATTCCAGTCGCTTCGCTTCGCTCAACTCAACTCAACCGTCTCTCAGCCCCGAAGCCCACAGGCGCACTACGCAAGGGATTTCTCGACCTTGATCAGAACGACACCACCACTAATTTCGCCCTGGCGGTTAAACAAATGCACGAAACGATAGCCGTTACGCAGACGGTCTAAGCGCACACACGCCCATGCTGCCAGATCATCGCTTACGAGCTCGTCGTCTTTCACGAGGAATCGGACGAACGCCAGCTCGGGCACGACGCCTCCCACTTTAGTAAACTCCAGTGTCTCGCCGTTGACTACAGCACAAGAAGTCAGCAATTGGCCTTCAAGTACGTGGGTACTGAAGCCCTGGGTCAGGGTTGGGAGGTGAGAACTTCAGTACGCCCCCTGAACATGGCGAAGGGGCAGGAAACAACTCGTTACTCACAGTCTGGGTTCACGCCGCGCTGCGTTTTGGTCTTGGCTTTGTACTCGCCGCCTTTCGCCTTTCCGTTCTCGCGAAGCTCATTCAGGTGCGCCATACCCAGTGCGTGCGGTGGCTCCGTGTCTATTTGATCAGGAGTTAGTGACCACAACTGTAGACCATTTCACGAGGAGCAACGTGTCTGGATGCACAGCTCGGGAGTAAAAAAGCCCATGAACGAGCCCGAATTGGGGATTAACTCCCAACACGGGACCGGAGGGGAATATTAAGGACTCCCAAATTCCACTTACGTAGCTCCACCTTCAGGTACGGCTTGAAGCCACTAGCTTTGTCATCCTTCTCTGGCATCGGCAGATTCTGCGCAGCCAGGACTGTAATCTGGAGGTCAAGCGTCTGGTGCTTGATAACCTTGCCAAGGGGCGCCGTGGCAGACGCCTTGCCGTCGTGCTCGTCGACCTGCTTCCCACCACGGTAACCCTCGGGCTTCAGCACGAAGCCTCCGGTGCCGGCAAACATGCCCTCATTGAGCATCATGCCCTCGTCCCACTTCTGCCAGTTGAGCGCGACGATCTGGATGCCCTTGCGCCAGAACACGGGCGGGTCGAGGTTCGACGACCCGATGCGCATGCCCGAGGGGTACGTGCGCATCATGTACTGCCGGTTGTGGTTGAACAGGCGATACGCCTCGCTCTCGTGCAGGTCGGCCACGCCATTCTCCGAAACTGAGAAGACGTGCGTCGGCATGCTGGCTTCGGGTTGCGACAGCGACTTGAAGGACACACCCCGTGTGTACACGCCGAACGCCGACAGAGCCTGTATGATCTTAGCTGCCTTCTTGGCCTTCTTCGCACCAGCGCCGGCGGCCTTGGACTTTGGGTCCGCATGTGCCTCAGGGGGCAGACGGTCATGGGATTCTTCGTCGTCGGCCGATGTCGACGCGTTAGGCGGCGTATACTTCACCTTGACGAGGATCTTGCGGCGTAGTTCGCCGGGCGGAGGGAGGACCTTAGCGTCGTCTTGTGGGTTGGGCAGCAGGAGATCAGGCCAGGTCTGCTTCATGATGGCCACCATAGATTCCTGCTGCTGGTGGCAGCAGTGGACCTCCAAGCTGACGATCAAAGGCAGGTCGGAGACCACAAAGGCATTGTCCCTGATGGCCTCGCAGACCTTGCGAAAGGACACTTCCTTGGTAAGCGTGTAGCCGTGCAGCACTCTCGGCTCGACTGCTACAGTATGCGGCGTGGGTGACGGCTCGAGTGATGCTGCTCCAGTTGGATGAACACCGTCTCCTTCCTCTGCCGTCGTAGACGCCGCAGGCTTGTCCCCTTTTACCGTCAACTTCCTGCCAAGTGAAGTCTTCTGCAGACGGCTCGTCAGTGAGCTGGGCAGCGAGGCAGCGAGCCGTTCCTTACGGCTCGCCTTGCGGTTTGCTTGCCTCAGGGCCTTCTTCTCCTTTAGGTCGGAGTCGTCGCTTTCGCTCGCGGACGACTCCAAGTCGGAGTCGTCGCCGTCCCAGACGTCGATCTCGACACAGCGGCAACCCCGCAGCAAGACGTTCTTGTACGCATCGGCGTCCGAGTCGCTGTTCAATTGGTTGCCCGTCAGATACGTGTTGTGGCTGGAGCTGATATAGTAGCTCGATAGTGGCCACGACAGGTCGTTTTCCAGCGGCGGCGCGAGCACGTCGGCGGCCGATGAGGTCATGTAGTGCAGAAAACCGGCGAAGTCGAGCTCCTCTGGGGCGTCTGTGACATTCTCGGCCTGGCCGTGATGCATGAAGCTTTTGACGATGTCCTTCTCCCATTTCTGGTCTTTACCGCGATGCTCGTTGAAGACGCGCTCCAAGTACGGCATGACAACGGCATTGACGTCCTGGATAATGCGGTCTTGGGCCCCAGACTGACCGCCACCCGCTTGGTGGAGCGACTCGTTTGGTGGGAGGGGTGCTGTCTCGGCCATGGTGAATACTACATGTAGTAGTTTGATATACTCAAAACGTAATATTGCGCACAGTGGTATTGCGCGGTGGCTTGGTGGTTATTCCGGTCGATTGTCACTTGATTAGTTGTTTAGCCAGGCGGCTCTGCGAAGTATTTCGTCAACCACTTGTCGCTTGCTCTGCTGATCGAGATGCCTGAAAGACAAAGGCTGTAGTGGACTTTGTAGGTTGAACAGGAGATTATGGTGTGTAGACGTTAGGTATCTAGGAAGGGTTGAAGTGCCGAACAATATAAAAATACCAGTGTGTCACAGCCTGTGTGTCGTGATGAAGCAGTTTCGGCAGTGAGTATGGAAATGCATAATGATAATAAATGCCCCTGTGACGTCTGACGCCCATGATCCATCTGCAGGAGCCAAGATAGCCAAGAAAATAGTTGATTCAAGCCCGCGTCCCCCGTTCTTGGCCGTTTTCTTAGCGGTCTGCCGTGGATTACCGCCGGGTTCTAGGCGGGTTTCAGGGTTTGGCCCACTGGTTCGACCACTGAGACTGAGAGCACGGGAACCCAGCTGAAACACGGCATTGCGCAGTCACAGACTCACAGCAGCAGGTTTTGGACTCTGATTCATCCAATTCATCCATTCATCTTCCAATTAGGTATAAAGAGATAGAACTGAGGAATGCGTCACGGCAACTGACACGTGCTCGCAGCCGATAAGAAGATGAATGGCTGGCTCCGGCTGTCGCAACAAAGGAGATTCAATCGTACCAATTAGAGCCTGAATGCCAAGCGACAGAGATCAACGCGTGAAGGGTCGCGATACCTGGCGATATATCATTGATGCCTGAACAGTCGAATCGAGGGCAGCATGTCCTAGGTAGCGCAAAGATCACGTCGGGTAGAATCGCGACATATCATTTGCCGCCGGCGCGGTTGTCTGAGCTCCATTTAGGACTTGGGATGTTCATCTGGCACCGCACTTCAAGAACCCCTATTCTTGGCACTACCTTGTGGTTGCTCATACTCCCGTCATCGCCTTCGTATCCAAAGTGTAGATGGGATAATAAGTTAGTCCAGAGAAGTGTATGAGCTGACAGTGATAGAGTACGGGTCTTGCCGTTCTTGAGGACATTACAGGTCAATATTACCCCTTACCTACATCTGGGGCCCCACGGTTTCTCGTCGGCTCACACGACACGCCAGAATGCTTTCCTGTGCCCGGTTTGGCCGACTCAGAGACGCACCGAACGACCCAGTGCCGTAGTCATGCGGTTTCCTACGCGAAGTCATCAGTCGCAGTTCTTGTTGTGTACTGATATCTCGACGCATCCAGTGTCGTCGCCGTGGGAGGATCTGCATTGCCACCGTCTCAGAAGACCCAGCCACTCGCTCTTCCCTGCTCTTGCTTCTTCGACCCGGTGCTCTTATTGCTATAGCTTACTAGCCATATGGAGCTATACAGCAGGTGCCCGATGAATAAGATGGCATTGCGTGGTAGTCGGATGGTAGGCGACATTGTGTCAATCTTCTTGAGTAACATCACTTGTCGCTATTGTTCCGGCACCAGCAGGAGTCTTCTCAAGAACTGGAGTCTTCAAGACGGCAGCCTCGTCTGTAGATACCTTCTGTGTCTGCGACAGCGACAGCTCGGGATTACATGAGGCATTAAGTTGTTTCTCGAGCGAGGATACGCAACAAACCACGCAGTTGAACTCCTCAGCCTCATTAGACGACAATGGCAGATACTGAGAATGTCTAATCCCTGCTGCACCATGGTCGACTAAGTCACAACGATGCTTCTTGGGGTAGGCAGGACTGCAGTGGCGTTTGATATTCATGAATGCGACATCTGTGGCAGAGGGCTCGGAAAAGGGGGTGGCTGCCAATACTATACTGAACACCTCCATGATGGAGTTCTTGGATAACCTAAGGACATTTTTGGCCTACATAATAATAACCCAGGGACAAGCATACAGTGTAGCTTATTAAGATATAAATGCTTGCTGCAAGATGCTTATTCCACTGTCTACTGTTGTCAGGAGGAGAACCCTTGTGGGATTTCAAAGTGTTCTAGTAAGGAGAGGAATTCCAGCTGCTCTGGAGCGGCCAGAGTGGCCCTATATATATCCAAGATACTAAAGGAAAGGATACGTGACCTTATATTGGCCACGTATGTGACAGAGTCACGAATGGGATGGTGATCCTGAAGGATGACTATGGATGGGCTAACATAGCCCATAATCCAACAACCCTCGAGGTGCGCGGATGGAGGCTTATCGGGGGTGACTGTACTTTACTCGTTGAGGTTTCGTTCTTAGTCTAGACCCCTGAGTGATTTCAATCATTCTGCCTAATGCCGGGTCCGCCCGTTCTGGTCCCAAGTCGCGAGGTCCATTGTCTATTCCCGTCAAGATTCACGAAACCGAGACAAAGCTCGTTTGTGTAGGGATATCCAGGTCAAAGAGTGCATTGTTATCATCGCCACAGACACATTGTACTACAGAAAGGTATTGTGGTCTTTCAGGCTGCTGAACAACAATGCTTTGTTTTGGCTAGGGACAATCAGGTCTCTATGTCGTACTTATAGAGAAGTGGAGAGTCTCACGGGACAGTTGTAGCTGTAGTAGCCAAGCTTCAAGAAACCTTCTCGCGTTGACGCGAGATCCTAATACGATACAAAACCCGCAACTTCCGTGGAAGCTTCATAAACGCATTCTTCATAAAGCCCGCTCTGCTTTCTCTGTCCAGCAGCCTCGACCAATCAGCAAAACACCCAAGACGACGTTGTTCTTAGAAGAGATTGGCAACATGAGGAAAAGACTCCAAAAAACCCGCATCCAGGAGCAGATCGAGTACCTGGCTCCAGTACAGAAGTTCATCCCCTACCATATAGACCTCCTCAAGAAAGGTAGCCCGGATGCGAGACGTCAATATCGACACATTCGAGCATGGTATACGCACCATATGAGCATATCTCTAGCAAAAGCCAGGAAATACGGCGAGTCATTGACTCCCGACAAGCTGAACGACAGCATTGGCGAGCTTATCAAAGACCCATCCAGACATGACGACGCAAAGAACGGTTGGTATGTCGAAGATGGATTCTTGGTTGAAGACCAAGACGACAAGGGCGAGAGCTCGGATTCCGTCATGCAATCAGAGTATGCCGATGAAACCGAGTCCGATGGGAACCCGAAGGATGCCATTTCGAGCTCCGGGCTAGCAGACCCCAGTGAAAAGTTGCCCGCAGAGCCGAGCTACTGGTGGGCCGAGGAGGTCGAAAGAGCGATTGAAGAGGGGTCGTCATCGATCAGAGATTCCGCGATTGAAGGGGAGTCATCATCGGATGGTAGTTCTACGCTCGAAGATAGCGATGATGAGGACGAGATAGACTGGGAGGTCTATCAATCATGGCGCGTGAGCATGTGGGAGATGGAAGAACAACAGTGGCCAACACTGTTAGCAGCAGAAGATGACAAGACGCTCGACGCATGGGACGAGAAAACTAACATGCGGTACTGGCAAAGAGAGGGTATCGTCCTCGCTAAACTGGCTGCGGAATTGTACGTTAAGTTTTTCCAAGAAGCTAGACAGGCATATCTCGCGGACCCTCGGGAGCAGCAGGGGCGGAAACACAGATCTAAGCCGAACTTGCCGGGATATTACAAGCGAGTACTTAGCAAGCTGAGAGAGTAGACTTACATCCCGCTGTGGCAGAGTATTCGATGGTGTGGTTGGCAGGCCATTCACCTCAGCTGATTGGGGGCCGGCCCCGTCAATGATCCCCTGGGATGGCTCCTATCATGAGGTCACCCCCTCTGCGTCCGCCATATGCTCATGGCTCGATATTTCTCTCATAAGTGTATATACGCAGCAAGCACAGAAAGATGAACATCAAGATGTGAACAGCAAGCGCAAAGTTCAACTCATGAAACTCGTTGATCTTTCGAGTGACCACACCTCGGATGTCCGAGCTATTTGTAGGCCTGGGGATGGGCAGTTGTCCGAGCTCCATGCCATCGAAGGCCTTTCTAGCCTCTTTCGGTAGCATGGCGAGAAACTCGTCGGTCACCAGCACGAGACGACTGCTTAACGTGACGCTGCAGTGCCTGCAGGACGCCTTGTCGATGTTATGGGTTGCGACGTCGAAGTCCGTGAGGTTTTCCGAGCCCTTGAGGGCAACCCCGAGACGCTGCAGATAATCCCAATCGGCGGTGAACTATATACTCGATATCTGGTCAGCTGAACGGAAGTTTTGATGAGCAGAGACAAGGCGATGCGTAAAGTTCCCTTAGAAACGCACCCTTGAGCAATAGCTGCAGCCGCCGCAGATGCCCTTGGAATATGCCATATCCAAGGGCCTCAACTTCAGAGCCACTCTGACCGAGCCGCAGCTGCAGCTGCTGGACAGCTTTCCTTCCTCGATTGCAGCTCTAGGGTTCATGCTGATGTCCTCAGGGTTTCCATGAACTGCCATGATGGAGTCGCTGTCGGAACACTCGTCGTCCGACCAGACGCAGTCGGAACAGTCGCTGTCCGGACAGTCGCTGTCGTAACAGTCGCCGCTGAAACTAGAAACACCCAACCACAAGGTCAGCTCACAGGCGCATGGAGATACATCTAGGCCCGCCTGGACTCACTTGTCGATCTCGGAGTCTCTCAACTGGAAGTCAGAATACTGTCCGTTTTGGAAAGACTGTGCCTGCGATCCCAGCGAGTCAGCTTCGCTCCCTCTGTAGTATCAGGCTCCGCGGAAGTGGCATCCTACATTGACGCCCGTCTGGTGCATGACAGCGATACCGCATCTGGGACAGAACTGCGGCACATTTGGTGTCAGTCACGGACGTACGCAAGCAAGCCAGTCTCTAACTGCGGGAATATTTGACAGTAGAATATGCCCAAACCTTGTGTCTGAACAGCTCCCGACCGGAATTGTCATCGGTCAGGTTCGCTGGGTCACCCTTGAGGAATCTCAGGTCCTGCGCCCTGAGAACTTGCCACATCTTGAATTTCATGTGACATGGGCTGCATTTGCACCAGGAGGTTTTGACTCGCGGCATTGCCAGCTCGTAGATGTAAGCACCGCATTCGCACTTGCCGCGATACGCCTTGAGCGTCGATTTTGCTTGTTCGGCCATTGTGGGAGGCGGAGGGACGGTGTATGATGTTGTGGAGGTAGGGGAGGTCCCAGGAGGACGACCTTAAATTGGTGTTGCACTTGAGCAAGCCGGCTGCTTTCTGCTGAGAGAAGGAGGAACGGCAGAAGAACCTTGATAGCCGAGGTCATATCAAGCGGCGTAGTTGAGGGAGTTAGAGCCGGTTTTTTGGACTTTGACTTCGAGTGGCTTGCTGTACTAACTGACACCTGTGACCTGTAAGTCCCCTGGGTGGCTTGGCTGAAAGGTATCATATGTCCGGATATGAGCAGTATTCTATCGCACCAAGTAGCCTATGGTTCGTCCTAAGGATCACTAGGCGTGTCGCTCTTTAGCGACGAGTCTCGCGCGCGCGCTCGCGACGACCCGACGTCGACAACCCCAAACCACGATACGAGAGCGTCCCAACGCCGAGCATACGTCAATATAAAGAGCTAACAATACTACCGTTTAAATCGACGCTGAACCGCTGCCGCGGCGGTAAGAGGAGCTCGCGATACGGTCGGTAAGACGGTGACCTATTTGGCGGATGGAAAGTTGGAAGCTTCGTGTCAGCTCCGTATGTATGGAGCCCCGAAACACCAGACACGGCGTTTCAAAATAGGTAAACGCGTAATCACAACATGGCACGCCCTGAGATTGAGGAGGCTTGAATTGGCTTCAGAGGCCACTTGTATGTAAGGTATGTATGGGTAGACTACTTACCACGTCCTATAGCCCATATAGCCACATTGCTAGACGTTAAAGACTGCTACCAACCAACCTATGATTCGTCCTAGGTACCGCCACTGGTCTATTTGGAGTGCTGGTGCTGGTTCACCAGCGTGCATTAGGAAATACGGGTTTTCGAAGACGCAGCGCCACGCCTAGGGTCTCTGTCCGGTAGGAACATGGCCTCCTTTCGGTCGAACTCAAACCTGTCACGGCGGGTGTTCAAGACTTCAGGTACCATATTCAGTCAGTCAATGCCTAACTTGAGGGCATTCTGAGTCTAACTCTCTCCTGCAGTGCGACATCCATACAATCCTCTTGGGCAACCAATATTACTGTAATCCCTCGGCAGTGATGTGCAGCTTCTGTTTGGAGATGACGATGCGTTGAAGGCCTGTTCCATATTCAGGGGGAACGCACCCTTAACCTTGCTAGGATGGTGGTCAGCCTTGAGGCACAGGGAGGTGAGGTAACTTAATTCATTACGATATATGAAAAGGCGGTAGCACAATTCGCATATTAGAGAGGAGAAGAGTATCATTGTCTTATGGCTTGTAACCGATCCTCGAGGTCTGCATTTGCCAAATTGATGTAGTATTGGCGACGACTCGACGATGTTTTGATTCGCGTTGTTTCTGGCGTCGAAAGATCCACCGCCCGAAAACCATCATGAACGCCATCACCTTCCACTCTTCGGTGACTGTGGCCAGGAACTTGAATCTCAGGGCCTGTTGCGTTGCGGGATCTCCCTTCGCGCACACTGCTACCACGTTCATTCCGTCGCTCGACTGTGGAATTTCCGAGAGCGGCCGCGGTTCAGGCGTCATATGAACCAGCTTGTATTCTCTACGAGACCATCCCAAACCCTGGACTTCCACGCTGGAGCTGCGTCTCAATCCGAAGGTCTGGTCTTCTCCCTTGATGTTCATCGTGAGCTCGAGCATGTTGTGTCTCCCATGCTTATGTCTAGACTTATGGCGGACTTCGATGAAGTTGAAGGGCGGTGGCATTTCGATGCATAGGTCCCGATGTCGCTTCATGCTCAAGGCAGCCCCGGGCAACGATTTCGCGTTTGGACCAGTGTGAAGTAAGCAACTGGGTACTGGCGAACCTTTCATCGATTCGATGTAGTACATTGGCCTGTACTGCCCTTGCCCGATCCAGCCGTGATTTACGCCATCGTGATAGACGTCGAACGCTGTCGGTAGGGTTTCATGGCCCCATGGCCCCAGACACTGGCCGGGAACGCGTGGAGAGGTCCATCTGGTTGAGCTTGGGCATCCCCACCTAGCCAAAGATCGATCATTGCGCAGCTGGCATGCGCGGATGGCCGAATGGAAACAGTCTCCCAAGACGAAGGTTGATGTTATGATAGTAATAAGGTATACTGTAGGTAGGAGATCGGCAGCTCACATAATATGCGTACCTGCAGAGGTAAGCAAGGTAGGCTGGAGGAAGAATGGTGGAGCAGGTAGACAGTTGAAGAAGTGAGTGTCACAAATCAATCTACCCGGTATAGTCTTCAATTCTGAGCCCGATCGCGTCCGGCGCAAACCCATCAAGGCATGTACGCATGGAAACTGCCACATACTTACTTCAGGGTTGCTTCCTGAGCGTGGTTGAGAGAAGGGAAGGATCCAATGAGGGCGACGACGAAGATTGCCTGCACGGTGGAGATAGGGGTAATCAAGTCTGCGAGAACTCATGGACGACGAAATTCGCTTAAGGTATGTAAAGTAAGTACATACCAGATGCGATTCAAGCCAGGGCATGGCCATGGCCAGCAGTTCCAGTATCTTCACAGTTTGCGATGATATTACTTCCCCCCGGATCCATCGACACAATGATGGGATGACATCAACGATATTGTAGGCGACATGACTAGCAAGCCAACAACCGTTTCGAGACGAAGCTTACCCTTGCAACGTTGATGGAACGTTTCCAAGCGTCCGTCGAGTCATTGAGGGTGACGGATTTGATGTGCATTTGTTGTGATACCATCTTTAACCCGACACAGCCGGAGTGGATTTGTCCTGCCTCGAAATGATACGGTACCCCATTCGCTGGGCGAGTCGCTCTCCTACTGACATATCGAAGTACATGAAGAGGCCGTGTCTTGAGGACCTGAGCCTGCCGAGCATCGCGAAGCCGCTCACGAAGGACTGCTCGACGGACTGCTCGACTTGTGTCAGCGTTGCGGGCATTGGCTACGGCTCGCAGCCGCTGGACGAGTTCATCTTTGACGTCGATGCTGATGGCAGGGTTACTGGAGTTGAGAATGCGGCTCTTCGGAATAGGTTGGACAAAGCGACGCTATACCGGGAGGTTCTGGGTCCGTACTGGCCAGAGCCCTATTCTTATTATTATACTTCAGCACTGTTAGGGTTGCCGTCAGGTAACAGTACTCTGCATTCTCCGAGGGGGCAGACAAACCAGTGGCAGGGTGCAGGGGTGCAGGGGTGCAGGTGAGCCTGTGGTCTAGACCTGTGCTGTGGGCCGTGAGCTAACGATCGGTGATCCGTGATCGGCAAGATCAACGCCCCTAAATGAGCCAATGAGATGCACGTGGTGAGTGGTGTTCCTTGCCCACACTTTGACGTTGTACACTGTGCTAGATACCTGCACTCCCTGATTACACAGTGTAGGTAGTGCTTACTTGACATGCTTAACAGTCTGAAGGTAAGGTACCGTATGTATCTCAACGTGCGCTTCGCTTGTCGCTGGCACTGACCCAGCAGTGGAATGTCAATGGAATGCAAGATGCAAGGGCGGGCAAATACAACAATTCGATACGCTAAAACGCGAAAGTAGGCTGGCGCTGCTCAATTCATGAAATCCCCATGCCGCATGCCGCATGCCGCCGCCGCCGCCGCCTCCAGCCCCTCCAGCTCTTCCCCTTCATCAGCCCTTCTGCCCTTGCACACATTCACATTTCGCCATGTATGCGCTGCGCTGGGTGGTGTAGAAGATAGCCACGTAGCTTACCTACCTAGGCACCTGGGCATTCTACACGTTGGGTTGTCATCGCGGGGCCGTCTATATCCAGCTTCAACACTTTAAAATCGCCCTCAGCCCTTACTTACAGGCCTAGCCAACCCGCCACCCGCAGCTCGCAGCTCGCAGCTCGCCACGTACAGCCTGAACCCTCGTTTGTCCGACGACAGTGCACCCGGCGATCTTAGACCGGCGGACAGGCTGTCATGGTCAAGGCCGTCTCCGAGTCTGCGCGGGAGCGGGAGACGCTCAGGTGTGTCCGTCCTGCCTACCTTACCTTTCACGCGCACTCATCCTCATCCTCACCCATCCTCATCCCCATCCACATTCCGTACACGATCGACGACTGGCATGTGAACAGTAGATCTGGATCTGACATGACTGCCAACCTGCAAGATACGAAGCTGCCAGCATCGCCGCCACCTCCCTCTTCGACCCGGCGCCGTCTCCGTTCCCATCTTCATCTCCGTCTTCGTCTTCACGCACCGCAGACTCGGCCTACACTCCCGATCCCATCCTAACCGCGGTCGCCCAACTCGCTGTCCTGAGGCTGAGTGCGTCACGCGCCTACGTATCCTTCTTCGACAAGAAGTATCAGTACATCCTAGCCGAAGCCACCCAGTCGTCGTCGATCCGCCACAACCAGCCCGACCATGGAGAGTGTCACCTCCGTGGGAAGGCTTTGCCCCGGTCCGACACCATCTGCGAAAATGTTCTCCTCCAGACCAATGACCAAGAGGACGAAGCTTCACCCCAAGGGTCCGACGCTGCCCTCCCTATCTCCATCTTCTCGGACCTGGCAGCCGAATCTCGCTTTTCTTGCGCCAACAACGTTCTCGCCCAGCCCGACTTGCGCTTCTACGCCGGTATCCCAATCAGGTCCCCTCGGGGCGTCAACATCGGCGTGTTCGCCGTACTGGACATGGAACCGAGAACTGAGCTTCAACCCGAAATCCTCCACTTTCTGCGGGACATGTCCTCCACCGTTACAAGTCACCTCGAGATGAAGCAGACACACGCCAGCTTGAAACGTAACGAGCGCATGGTTCGCGGTCTGGGAAGCTTTGTCGAAGGCGCCGGTAGCATGTCTTTTAAAGAGGATGTCTCCAACATGACCTCTTTTCAAGATTCTGGCGCTGAGGGCTCCCTCAATGTCCACCAACAGAACCTGCAGGATCAACAGCAGGGTCAGGGGCAAGAGCGTCCTCCGGCCTCCGGCCTTTCCGCGCTTCCACTCGGCGCCTCGGAGTCGCCTTCATCTTCGGAAGAGGGACCTCGATCACCGGGATCCCCCCGGCCACCCAGGAGCCGTGACGCAGGTCAAGCGCCCGGAGTATCGCTATCGGCCTCGAGCATGGTGACATTCACAGCCGAAAATTCAGAGGACGAACACTTGTCCTCCATCAAGTCTATGTTCTCGAGGGCCGCCAACATCATCAGGGAGTCCATCGAGGTGGAAGGCGTCGTGTTCCTTGATGCGAGTATTGCGTCTTTTGGGGGGCTTGTAACCAACGACACTAGCACTAGCAGCTCTAGCCACTCAAATCCCTCGTATTCGTCTAGCAGCGAAGAGAGCCTCATCGATCAACGCGACAGTGGTCAGGACAAGACGTGCAACATACTCGGATTTTCAACCTCCTCGGCGTCTAGTGTTGACTGCGATGCCGCTACCTCGTACCAAGGTAAAGTTCCCGAGAAGTTCCTCAAGACTTTGCTCCGACGTTATCCCCAGGGGAAGATATTCAATTTCGATGAGGAAGGTTGCATGAGCTCAGGGGAGTCCTCGGAAGAAGACGTGCTGAAGCCTTCGGCTCCAGCAGACAGCAAAGCTTCCGATGAATCCCCAGGCCATGAAGACTTAAAATCGCGGGTTCGCCTCGCGAGGCCGTGGTCCCGACGGAACGAGGGTATTTCTATTATCAAAATCCTCCCAGGCGCGAGGAGTGTCAGTATGCAGTCCCTGGTCTTCTTAACACACCACCCTTCTGCTTCAATTGGGGCCAAACCCGCATGCGCCGCACGCGAGGACCTTGGCATTGTCCGAGTCTTGTTGTGAGCATTCTGCATGGAGAATATATACTGATAATTTCGTAGTGGTAATTCCTCTGTGGGATTCTAACAAGGAGAGATGGTTCGCTGGCGGCCTCATCTGGACGTGCACCCCGTTCCGTGTGTTCACCAAGGAAGGGGAATTGAGTTATCTCCGAGCTTTCGGTACCACCATGGTATGTGTGATATTATTTGACTCTGAATCCCCAGATCTTTGTCTCTCGATCGAGCTTGCAATTTACTTCTCTCTGTACTGTGCTGTAACTGACATTTTGTTAGTAAGTAACACCTTGCTATCGACACAAGCTGGCGGTGCCCGCCCGCTCGGCGTCTGTCAAGGAGGAGCGCAAGGCACAAAGGACTAACATGCAATCTTACAAATCAGTATGGCAGAAATTATGCGTCTCGAGGCAATGACCTATGACAAAGCAAAGACCGATATCCTGGGCTCTCTCAGTCACGAGTTGAGGTCGCCGCTACATGGAGTCATAGCTGCAGCCGACTTGCTTCACGATACGACCCTAGATGCTTTTCAATGCGATGTTTTGCATTCAATGGAGTCTTGCGGCCGCACTCTTTTAGATGTCATGAACCATGTGAGTTCCGTCTCCTATCCTATGTGCCATCTCGTGATTTCTAACACGGGATGTACGAAGCTTCTCGATTACAGCAAGGTGAATACCTTCTTGCGTGATGAGAAAGGTAAGAGGCGAAGTGGGCGGATGACGCGGTCTGAAAAAGAAAATTCGTTCCGCTCCAACAGCCTGAAACTATCATCGCATGTACAGCTGGATGTTTTGACGGAAGAGAGTATCGACAGTGTGTTTGCAGGGCATATCTTCCAGAAGATGTCCATCGCCCAGCTCGGCAAACAGGACGATGGGCGCAATTACGATACCAAGGTCATTCGACGATCGGACACGCTCGACGCAATCGAGAGCTTTGGTCATCAGACAGGAACGGCTAGCAACGTTCAGCTACGTCTCGGGCATGTGTCTGTTTTCATTGACATCGTAAGTAGCATCTAAGGTACTCAAAACCCGCGTCTAATCGGAGTCGCCGCTGACTCCATATTCTCTAGGATCCGAGTATTCCTTGGGACTTTCGTACACAACCAGGCGCCATTCGACGTTTAGTGTTGAACATTTTCGGCAATTCGCTGAGATATACAGAGCGAGGCTTTATCATAGTTGCATTGAAGCAGGAGACAACGCCGGCGAAACATCGCCAGACGACTACAAACCTCAAAATCATCGTAGCTGATTCGGGAAGAGGTATCAGTCCGCACTTTCTGCAACATAATATCTTCACGCCTTTTGCCCAGGAGGATCGACTCTCTCCTGGGACTGGGCTGGGGTTGAGCCTGGTCAAGCAGATTCTCAAGACCTTCAAAGGAACGGTCACTATCGAAAGCCGAGTCGGCACGGGTACCTGCATACAGATCTCACTTCCTATGCCCAAACGCATAGGTGAAACTGAAGTCGACCCAAGCTTTGAGGGACACAAGACCGCCCTGAAAGGCCTCCGCATATGTCTCGTGGGGCTTGACGAAACGCTGCATTCCAACTCAACATCGCTGCCAAGTCTGAAGCCCATGTCGGAGTCTGACTTGATGAGCAGTGTGTGTTCTGAGTGGCTCAAAATGCAGGTCATCACACTTGATGACCGAGATATCCGACCAGATGTGGTTATCTGTGGTGAGGATGGATTGGACCAGCTTGTGGCCAATGTCAGACAGGAGCGTGGGTTTGCACCCATCGTTGTTATCTGCCGCGATGCCGTGACGGCTCACGAGTACTCGACCACATTCCGACCCCCTGGCCCAAGGCGAATCCTCGAGTATATATCGCAACCGTAAGTTACCCATCAGTATAGGCTCTCATCTTTCTCAGTTGTTAACCCCGACTCTAGTGTTGGGCCACGGAAGCTGGCCAAGGTGCTGGTTACTGCCCTAAACCGCTGGATAGAAGTTGCGAAATCAGAGTTGCCAGCCTCAGCTGTGCCTGACTCTCCAATAGACGAAGCTCGCGTCCTACCTTCGGTCCTATCGAAATTACAAACGTCGGATCTTCCGGACGAGCCCGGTGGCAAGTCTGAAGGCCCTTCAGCAGACACCCAGCAAAGGGACGAAAGCACTGCTGAGCAAGTTCCTCCATCAGCCGGTGAAGATAGTGCACCGCAGTCTGATACGATTTCTAGACTGTCATCACCATCCAACACCGACTCGGATATTGGCAAGACGGAATTTCTACTTGTAGACGATAACAGGATCAACCTTCAGGTTCGTCATGGGTTAGCCAGTTTACACACTCTGCTAACTTTGGTTCTTAGATCCTTGCTTCATTTATGAAGAAACTCGAAAAGCCACACAGGACTGCGATGAACGGTTTCGAGGCTTTCAAGATATTCACCGCCGAACCCTCTCGCTACAGTTGCATTCTCATGGGTAAGTGTTATCGGATCCATGCTTGATGCCCATCGTATGAATGTCGTAGTCACTAACTTGGGCGATGCCAGATGTGTCTATGCCGGTCATGGACGGCCTAGAGGCTACGCGGCGTATTCGTGAAATAGAACGCACACGCAAACTCGCGCCGACGACCATCATTGCGCTCACAGGGCTGGCCTCCTCTAGCACACAGCAAGAGGCGTTTGCCAGTGGGATGGACCTCTTCCTGACGAAACCAGTAAAACTCAAAGACCTCCATACGAGACTTACCGAGAGGAACCTTTAACCGGGCATGCGAGGGTTCGGGATACTCCCAGAGTCTGGAGTTGCTATGCATATACTGAGCGTGTGGTGGTTGGCAGCACTGGGATGGGTCATGAAGATGACATAGACGGATACCATTGATTAGCAAGGTTATAGCAGCTTGGGGTCTCCAAGGGCTGTCGACCGCAGCGATGAGCAACGAAGTTGGGCAGCCGCGTTGTACATATTGGAGCTCTTGATTCACACGATGGGGAAACGAGGAGTACTCGACTAGACTAAACGATACACGATGATGAGTACTGCGCTCGGTCTTATTCCTGACTAACTTACAGTGCATGGGTTTCAAAAGGTACTGGACGTCAGCGTAGGCGCGCTTTTCAGACGATGTCCCCTATATCTCAGTCCGGTCACCCGCCTTCTGTTCTAGTGGATGTGTGAGCACTGGCGATACTGCATCTGGGCCGATGCTGTCATCAGCGCAAGCTGGGTCACGGATGAGGTCTGAGGTTGCCGACGGCAGTGTCCGCAACCTCGCCGTGCGACCACTAGCTGGCGTCATGCCCTGTGGGCGCATGTGCTGCCGTATCTACTGCGCTTCGGTAGAGCGGCACTGATACCTAAATATGTATACATGTATGTATAGGTAGGTATCTGGGCGGCACATGTTGAAAGGCACGCAAGCCACCGTGGCGTCAGGGAGGTGGCAGTGCACTGCATGTGATTAGGGGCCATTGGGGCATTTTGAGGCCACCTAGCCATCAACAAGACTTCACAACAACAGAATCATCAAGATCAGCACTGAATACACGATGATCAACCATATGAACCATACATGCACTAGTTGACACCACAGGTACCTTGTGTCTGTGCCCGAGGATGATACCCATAATGCGGCCTCGCCGCAGCCTTCTTGGGCATGATTATAACAACACTACGTTAGTTCGGATCTCGAGTGGCTTGACCCAATGACACCTTGAGGGTAGGTAAATTGAATGTTGGAGAGCTTGAGTCTTTTGATTAGAGTTCCTACTAGAGGGACACTGTCTCTCGGAGGACCAAGAGCCTTTAGAATGGCTCAAAACGCGTCGCCGAATGTTGTCGCGTCACCTTCAACCTCTTCCAAACACAGACATGGAGACAACGGCTTTCTGCGCAACATGACTTTGGCTCTCCTCTCTCTCCCGGTAGAGGTGCTCGAGCTCAGCCTCGAGCATATCGTCCCGGAAATCATCAAGACGGGCTCGCTGCGAGCGATCGACATCCGGCACAGGCAGCAAAGCGAGGCTCTCCGCCGGGCATCTTTGGCCTGCCGCCAGCTGAATCGCATCGCGACCCCTCTGCTCTACCGCCACCTCGCCATCGCCACGCCCGAACAATGCGCTTCCCTGTTCCATACGCTGATCTGCACCCCGGCGCTGCGCCTGTACGGTCGCAGCTTTGCGTGCCTGGCTTTACTGAGAGCTGGATCACGTCAAGGCTACCGGGTGGTGACCAACCAGCTGTACCGTTATACGCAGCAATTTGTCAGCTATCATGATCAGTCCCTGGGCCTTTCCCTTGACAGCCTGGCGCAAGAGGTCTTGGACTGCATTGGTATTCGCTGTAACCAGCACGATCCAGCGACTCCTATGTGGGAGGCAGACCGCATGATCATTCCACGCGCCGTCATTGCCATAATGCTGGTTTTGCCCTGCATAGAGGATTGCCTCTTGGAGCTTCCCGAATATAACCTGCCTATCGACGCGAATCTCAGCCTCTCAGCACTTGGGATCCCCCACTGCTACCACCCCAGCTGGGGAGGTTTTGCGCTGAGCTCATTGCACACCCTCCGCCTCCAAGGCAACGCTTCTATTTCTATGGTTGGCGAGGTGGCGGATCCCGTCATATGGGCCACTTCCGGCCCAGCTCTCCCCCGGATTCCCAACTTGCGAAACCTGGACCTCCTTTACGACGATCGCGTTTATGACCACGGTTACTGTGGTCCACCTATCTTCAATGGTCGAGCGCATCCCGGGTGTGTCTTCTCGGCTCTAAACCAGCTCCAACAACTTCGCCTAACAAAGAGCAGGGCAGCCCCTGCCCAAGTTGCCTGGTCTTTGAGCCGATGCAAATCCTTAACCAGCCTCACTTGGACCTTCAGACAAGCACTCTGGTGTATATATGCCAACACGAGCCTGGACGGAATTCTGGAAAAAGTGCGCGAGACTCTTCGGCACTTGCGAATCGAAAGTTTGACAGTTGGCTTCACCATAGGAGAGAAAGGTGCGGATCCGCCCCAGATCTACGAGTACAGTCATTGCATTATGGTCGAGTCGCTCTCCGCGTTTCCGTGCCTTGAGAGCATCGTCATCGATCTGATGACACTGCTGGAGCCCTCGCACCTCTACCGCATCCAGCAGAGAACTAACTGCAGACTGTCGGATCTGCTTCCACCCAACATCGAACGACTCGAGCTCATCGAGAAGTCTCTAGATGACACGTACGGCACGCCCAAATACAACACCTACCACGCCTCCGACCCTGCCGCTCAAGCCTTGCTCGCGGAACCCCTGAAACATTCAAAGATCCACGACCGATGTCTTCATCTCGTCCTGTGGACCTTTGCCCGCACGTGCAACGTGGAGCAACCACGCCTCAGATCGTTCGTCTTCCAGGCCTTCAGGCCAGCGAGGAAGGTGAACCGAAGATGAAGACGAGCTTCGGAGCAGGGTGGCCATCAGCAATCTGACCCAACTGTTCGAAATGAGTGGAGTGGAACTCATCTGGCAGTGGGAGGCGGTCGAGGAGATTCCGGATAGGATATTCTGGCATTGAGAGACAATTGGGAGACGTTCCGGCTGCACAGATTGCAATGCCTAATAAATGCTTCCACGGCGCCGTGCGAACAGATCGATTGGGCATTCTTTTGGGTATCCCATTTGATTCTTGGTGTTATCGCGAGTGTCGTACAATCCTGGGCAGGCAAAAAGTGGCTACTAAAGGAAGATATTGTTACGGTATTACATAATACCTCCACATATTTATGTACATATATACCTCTAGCTTCCCCTTTCTCTTCTGACCTTGCCTCTTCTTCCTTAGATATCGTTGAATCTCGATATTTCATCCCATCAGCCCTGACCAGCGCAGCTGCAGGCCTGATTGTCACAGATATACCTAGAGGCATTCGCTCAGCGATGGCTTTTATCAGCTCACCTGGGCCACGCCGTCATTCCCAACAGTTATATGACCCCTCTGCGTAATTACTACCCGTCTCACCATACGGGTAACTATCAGCGTTCGAGCGCATGTCCATGCCCGTTCTCTATCCCAGCGCCTATTCCATCACACGCCGCCCTATTTCCACACACGCCTGGCGGAAACGCAAAGTGTTAGTTCTATGCTAGTCTTCCACATTCGAAGATGCAGGCCCCAAGATTGACAGCTAAAGTCTTCCATACATCCCTCGGCCAAAGTTGTACGCCTTCAAGGTTGCTATGATCCGGTGCCTGTATTAAACACACCGAAATGACCACGGAGAATGGCCTGAGAAGTATAACTGCTTATTTCAGGGTGCTTATTCTACAGCTACTGAGGTTTCTTGATATTTACCGACATAGGCAAACGAATACTTCCAATATGTATGGTAATTGCACTTACGACGGGCCGAACGACCCAACCTCAAACTGTCAAAAGTAGCACAGCCGTCAATGGAAGGTCCCTGCTGCTGGACCCAACATATATCGTGTATTCCCCTTCCTGCAGCAGCCAGTTCTGGGCCACCACATCCCATGTGCTCAGGTCCCGTCTCGTCAAGTCAAAGTCGACGGCAGCGGCTTGTCCGGGCTCGATGACAGGCTTTGCAAATCCACGCAGTTGTTTTACAAGCCCGTTCGGAATGCCGACGTATACCTGGGCGACCTCTGCTCCCACCACTGGCCCCGTGTTGGTTATGGTGGCAGAGACTTGCGCGACAATGTCCCAGAGATCTTCATGGCCCCCCTCGACGATTGGCTTCGAGGGATACGCGGAAGTATCAGCACCGCCAGCCAAAGAAACCTGGAGACCCGAGTACTCAAACGTGGTATAGCTCAGTCCGAAGCCAAACTCGTAGCGGGGAGTGATGTTCTTGGCATCGAAGGCACGGTAGTCGATGTAAACACCCTCAGTGAAGTCAGACTGGGGGAATAGCTCGTAGATGCCGTCCGGCAGAGTCGCGTTCTGCAGGGGCCCGTAGTCCGACTCGTTGTGTGGCACGGAGTATGGCAGCTTGCCCGAGGGACTGACATCGCCGTACAGGATGGATATCAGTGCCCGGCCAGAGTCTTGTCCGGGTAGGTGGGCGAAGACCAGCGCCGTCACGTTCGGGTTGTCAATGAACTGGTCAACCAGCCGCACACCTGCATTGTGGAACACGACGATCGTGTTATTGCATTGTGAGGCCACGTTGGTGATCAGCGCATCGGTGAAGTCATCATGGAGCCCTACGCGGTCCCATCCTTCGGAGGCGAATGCATTGCCGACCACGATGCAGGCGTCGGAAGATTGGTCAACGGCGGGGTTGCCACTGTGGAAGTCCCACCACAGACTGGTGTCGTCATCGTAGGCGCGAAGACTCAAGGCTTCGAAAGGTGAGCTCACGTATGCTGGTTGGTTGGCACCGGAGCCCCCGCCAGAAATCAGCGTGCCATTAGCCGCGATCTGTGAGTGCACAGTCTCATCACCGACAGCGATAGCATCCGAGGGAGCCAAAGACTCTGACCCGCCGTTCCAGCCGCTGGCTTCAGGAGTGTACCCGTCGAATGCCTTTGCAGAGTACCCAAACAAAGAGATAAGCTTGGGCGATTTCAGGGGGAGTGCGTTGTTGTCGTTCTTCAGCAGGACGTGACCTTCAACTGCCCCTTGTAGTAGGATTTCCTTACTACTGGCAGCCTTTCCGATCACTGTCTGATGAGGTGCGGCGAGATACTCGGGCATCCCCCCGCCCGTGGTAGGGAAACCTGTATCCTGGCCCATCTTGTACCATGAAGCGACGATCCTTCGCCAGTCAGTAAGTTACTAAGTCTGCTAAGGCATAGTCGAACTCACCTTTGAGCCATATCGTCTATCCTTGACTCCGGCACTGATCCGTTGTTCACAGCCTGAGTCAGGTTCTTGGCCCAAAAGTCCGAGCCACTGGGCATCACCATATCTAGACCAGCCAGCGCTGTGGCGACGCCTGCATGTTGGGCACCCCAATCCGAGACCACGAAACCCTTTCTGGTAAGTCAGAGTATTTGTTAACTGCGCTGGTATGACTTACTTGGAAGCCGAGTTCAGTCTTCAGTAGGCCGTTCAGTGTATAACTGTTGGAACAGCCGTACGAGTTGTTGATGCGATTGTACGAGCACATGATGTTGGCAGTCCCAGCTTTGACAGCATCTTGAAATGGCCTGGTGACAACGTCAGTCTGGCGGCAAGGCAGGATTTGCAGAATTGTACACACCAGAGATACAGTTCGTGCATCGTCTTGTCATCGAGGTTAGATGAAACAGCTGTAATGTTGTCTTCTGGGTTTCGGTTCGTCTCTTGTTCGTTGGTAATGAAGTGCTGTCAGGCCGTCAGCCCTCTGCTCAAGCACCACGACCCATATGACTTACCTTGACGCTGGTAGCGACTCCAACCGATTGAATTCCTGTCACTGTATCTGCTGCCAGGGCACCGCACAGATACGGATCGTTCGAAAAGCCTGTGAGTTGAACTTAGTATATGTATACACAAGGCATTGGAGAGGACCTTACCCTCCCAATTACGTCCACTCGAAACGATTCGTCCCAGGGGACCAACTACAGGTCCAAGAGCAACGTTGACCCCTTTCGTGCGAAATTCGCCAGCCATCCCAACTGCTCTCTTATAAGCCAGGTCGCGGTTCCAGCTATACCATGGTCAGACCGTTTTCACTGGAACGGTAGTTGTGAGCCATACCTCGCACCAACTGATATGCCCGAAGCCCAACTCGAAACGAAGTCGGTAGTCCGTAGCCCATTGCCAGCATCACTGAGGCAGAGCCCAGTGAAGTTGAGTCGTTCAATCGGAGGGATAATGCCCGAGCAGGAGCTGTCAGCACTAGTGCCTCCAGTCAGGCCAACCTAGTTCACGATAGCGTCAATATTGGCTTCATTGGGTGTATTAATGGATATAGAGAGGTCTGACCTTCTCCTCGAGGCTTAGTTGGGATACGAAAGCATCAGCCTTCGCGTATGAATCAGCCCAGTCTCCAGCTCCAGTTCCTTCGGCTATGAGCATGTTAGTGACTAGTGACCATGATCCACGAGTATCACCGAGTGAGTTTTCATTGCTACTGACGTGACGGGTACACCGGAGGCGATTGGCCGTAGAAAACCGCGTCGTCCGTGATCACGGACTGGGCCATCGTTCGGCCGGCATGATGTAGGGTGGCTAGACCGGCGAGGCCATATAGGGAGGTCGATAACATGTTTCGTATACTGGGCTGACGAGGGATATTCAGTTTGAGGCGCCGAGGATTATAAAAATATAGATTCTGCGTCTATAGGATTTATGAGTGACTGAGCTCTTCAAGATCCGGACCGCCTTCGAAACAGAACCAAGTGACCATTTTACACGTCCCCCATTCCTCACTCGTGAGGGGTCATACCAAGCCAAGCATGAGTCGGTCCTTCTCGACATCTCATGACATCCGGCAATGAAGGCAGGCACTACCACACCAGCAGTGATTGATGAACTGCGAGGTAGCCACAATGCAGCCACAGGGGTCGTCTGTGGTGATGACGGCGAGAGAGTTGGAGACTGCGGAGAAGACAAGGCCATACACGAACGAGAGCTGTCTGTAAGTGGCTAGTCGACCGTTAAGGGGGGACTAGGGAAGATGTCAGTGAGCATGCTTCGGTCGAGCGCTCTGCCGAACCCCAAGATGGCTGTGTGCTATTGGATGGACGACATGGTGACTCGACATGGACGTAGAGAAAACAGGTCTAGTATACAGCAGAGTGGCTTGCGTGGAGACGGGTCAATATTCGCTATATAGGAGACAGGGGTATAGTTTCCCTACCGACAGCTCGCTAATGCACCCCGCAATCGATATATCGGTTCGCGTTCCGGTGAACGGGTCGCGTGCCAATAGATCGGAAAGGCTCCGATGGGCACTTGTTCACTGCAACATATCCACACTGGATAAAGAGTGAAGCACCGGTTTGGCTTCGCTACTCGGCTTATCGAGCCTCGAGGCAGAAACATAGGCGAGAAGATAGCCGCAAAGACGTGATGACGTTTGTATTAGCTATGCTCTTGGCTTCTTTTACTCCAGGTCTCTTCCCCGGAGACGAACAACCCAGTTGACCTAGTCAAGCTATGCATATTCAAGAATGCTCCCTCATACCTCATGCATCTAACCTATAAGCGTCCAGATGGATCCAAGCCATACCAGGAGCTGGAGCCTGGTCCATCTTCTGAGCCGAAACCCCAAATCGGACGATGTCGAAGATGGCTGAGGACTCGATGTAGCAGGCGGACTCGAACTGGGCTGCTCAGTCATCGTCGGACTCGCTGGAGCCGCAGTCGTCGTCGGAGTCGATGGGGATGACGAAGACTCCTTATAAGGTACCGAAGTCATGGTCGACGTTGCGGGAGACGTACTCTGTGGAACATACAAGGTTGGTGAGATAGTCGGGCCGGGACCATCAGTCGAAGTCGGGGCTTGGACTCCCATCATAGACGCATAATGCGTCGCCACTTCTCTTGGGAACGCTCTCAAATCGCTCTGCTCCCACTGCACAGTCAACTGGTCGTGTTCGATCCACAGGTTGGTAGAAAGCGTGGTATAGATGTCGGCCGTGGAGATGTTGGGGATGAGGAGAAACGCCATCGGTGTGGTGACGGTCGAAGTGCATACCCACTCGGGGGCGACAGCTATGTTCGAGAAGCCACTGCGATGGTAAGTGACGTTGAATTTGTCCACTTCGGCATTGAACATTCACGTACCTCTGGCAGCATCCACCCGTCCATATGGTCTTGCTTCCTTCCACATTGAATGTCGAGGTCACGATGCTCATGTGCTCGGGACAGACACCAGGGCTGAAAGTAGGATACGCCGTTTGGTATTGCGAAGGGACACACTGCGTGAATAATGGATCAATCCATCCGCTGGTGGGTGGGTTCGTACTGCTTCCCGCCAGAGGCCCGCCGTGGTCGATGTACACGGCATATCTGTTGGAACACCACGGGGGTGGAGTGAAGATGGTACTGAGTTCCTGCATTAGGTAGCTGGTATTGGTAGGTATTGGTCTTTGCGCAACGTCAGGTGGTTGAAGTGGAATTGAGGCTCGATTGCACCGAGTCGCACCCAAGGAATAGTTGTGCGACTCTAGGACTCCAGTCACTGTTCCGGCAGTGTTGGTACGCGGTCCCTGCCACGAAGGAAGCGCTCTCCTTCCCCGGCGGAAAGGGATGACGACCCAGTGCCGCGAAGACAGCTGGACTGGATCATTGACCAATATTGACATGGAGGAAGTCGTCATCTGCCATCACCACGACGTGAAAGTGTATCCCACTATGTAGGTGACTGCGATCGTACACAGTGTTGGGCAGATGGCTGCAGTCACCACCCTCGTCCAGGCATGCCCCTACACTGCTCACCAGGTAAGCACGCAAGAAGGGGTAACCTAGAAGTGTTGATACCTACACAAACGACTTCATCTTGTAGAAGTTGAAAAGTGTGAGGAACCATTTCAGTTAAGATCAATGTTACTACCTTGATTACTTTGGTCATCCTCCACGATATTCAGAGATGGAGGAATACTCGTACACACCTCTCAAACAGGGCCACTTTCCACTTCTCCGTATCGACCCTAATCTGTGATGGCAATGCGGAGTTGATCGAGTGCCCGCTGTTCCATTATGACTTCGACTTTGAGAAACCCGAGTACACTGCACTGTCGTGCACCGGGGCGGCACCAATGACGGAAATAATATCCTCGTTGACGGCAAGCATATGTACGCAAGGCCCAGCTTAATCGCTTCTCTGTGCAGCTTAAGGCATCGCGCGTCCGACTATCCATACTGCTGGATTGACGCCATCTGCATCAATCATAGAGACCAGAACAAGATTGACAAGATCGGTCAATTGGCGCTGATGGGCCGCATCTACTCCGATGCCAGTATGGTTGCCATTTGTCTGATGTCTGAAGATAAGGCCGGCGCATAGGCTTTCTTCGACACTGTCGAACATGTGGATCGTCCAGGAGAACCTTCTCGCGACTGACGGCGTTATCATGAGAAAGGTTCCCTGCATGTGGTGCTTATCAGTGTTCAGTTTTCATGCATAAACCCGTTGAACCGCCAATAGACGGTATATATCCTAATAGACGAGTTTTTCTTCACCCCTCACTTCATCCCATAAGCGGTATGATGCAATCAATAATGTGAGCAATTCGACCACAGCGACAAAGAATTAAGTGACATCGCGCGACTTACGTCGGTACCCTTCCTAAAGTCCATTCACCCAGTTTCTACTTGACAAATCCTGAGATGGCACCGATTCATAAGGTCGCTTTGGTGCAGACGCATCCGAAGGTGTGTTTGATAACTCTCATGCTGGGCCCAACCCCAAACGCCAGTCGCTTGTAGCTCGAATGTATTCCTTCAAACGCATTGCGGGTGCGCATCGGGATGAATCAGTAGCTTATCCTCATCTAGCCTGTATCGCCGGCAGAGAACTTCGAGAAGGCAGCTTCATTCATCCGAGACGCGGCGGCGAAGGGATGCCACTTGGCAGTCTTGCCAGAATACCACCTTACTTCATGGGTCCCCGATGATCCGGCATTCAAGGATTCCTGCTCGGACTCGGCCACATACATCAAGAAATATCAAGACCTCGCTAAAGAGCTGAGTATCTGCATCGTCCCAGGGACAATCGTCGAGTCAGAGGCCGAGTCCCTGCAGAACATCGCCTACTTCATCTCCTTCGACGGCACCATCGCCGGGCGGTATCAGAAGAAGAACCTATGGCACCCCGAAAGACACCACTTGGTCTCGTCGGCCCATGAGCCGCACCAGGCCTTCGACACTCCACTGGGCCGTGTCGGGCTGCTGATCTGCTGGGACATCGCCTTTCCGGAGGCGTTCCGAGAGCTTGTCACGGACGGAGCAGAGATCATCTGCGTCCCTACCTTCTGGACGATGAAGGATGTTTCGGACGACTCGTACAACCTGAACCCAGACGGAGAGGCGCTGTTCCTCAACAGCACCGTCGTGACCCGTGCCTTTGAGAACACGTGCGCCGTCGTGTTTGTCAATGCGGGAGGCCCGCCGGAGAAGGGGAATGACACAAACTTTGCGGGGGTCAGTCAAGTCACTGTGCCGCACATCGGACCGATGGGGAGGTTGGGACGCGCGGAGGGCATGTCGATTGTCGATTTGGACATGGACGTGTTGAGGATTGCTGAGGGCAGTTACAAGGTGCGGGAGGACATGAAGAGGGAAGGGTGGCATTATGCATATACGCAGATGAGGGAGGATAACAGCAAGTTGTAGGTACACATCCGTAGTATATAGCTATTAGTGTTCAATTATCTGTTTCTTCTCCCATGTATTTGATCAAGGCTTTTGCTCGAGTAGGTAGGACAAGCCTCCGAGGCCCAAGGGTCACCTCACTGGTTTCCGCAATGTCCCAATCGGGAGGAGAGAGTGAAAAATTCGTCGGGCCCACAGAGCCGGCGATGCTGCACCCCTAATCAGCAACATCTTTGCACTTGCGGGCACTTGAACCACAAGATATATAGAGGCCAACAAATCACTAAGATTTCATTAATCACACAAGCATTAGTGGTTTAGTGGTAAAATCTGCCGTTGCCATGATATGGATACAACTTCGGCAGGCCCCGCGTTCGATTCGCGGCTAATGCATCGATATTTCTTTTTGCATCGTTGGCACCCTTACTTGGTACATGCTCGCCTGGGTAAACTTGTGTAGACGACGATTTATTTTTTATAATTCAGGTCAGACGATCATCATACCCATTGCTATGGTGGTGATGACGCTTATGAATCGGTTCAATGGCCGCTTGAGGATGCACCGCCTGCCTGGCAGGCTGGCACTTGGACATGGAGATATCTCGGATTTGATGTGTCGGTAAAAATGGTTCTAGATCTCCGACCCTGTCTAGTGAGACCCGCCTTTGCCCGACCTCCCACATTCCAGCCGATGATTCGCCAGCTCGCTCGACTCAGCACGCTAGGCTGAGATAGGCTAGGGTAATATGGCGTGATCGTCTTCTTCAAATGCGAATTGCAAAGCCTTTCTGTCTTTTCGATCACGACACTGCGCCAACCGTGAAGCCGGTCCCACCGACAACCGCCTTGCCGGCGCGAAAGGCGAAAAAAAGTATGCGCTCAAGAAAAGTTTGGAGCGTGTTCGGCGTCGAGGTAGGTGCCGTTCTCTAGTCAGCTCGTCATTTTTCTCAGGGGACCCTGTATCACTTCCCTTCGTCTACGTCTCGTCTGTTGAATACCTGGGTTCGTTCAGGTATTCTGTCCTGTTTCGCATTGTGCATACCTTACCGTGTCTGTCATTGCTACCGCTGTCTGATCGCGAGACCGAGGCGAAACCAGACAACCTTCCTTACAGCATCTCTCATCAAGTCTAGGACACAGGTGTTATCCTTGGTTCCGTCCGCCGTCTACACGTTACCTACGATCGATCCGAGTTGCGCCTGATCTAATCTACCTTCTTCGTGACCGCAGGGACTCTCGGATTCCCACGGGTTTCGCTTCCCCAGAGGCCCACGAGAAGTGCCGAAAATGCAGTTGAAGCAGCAGGAAAGTGGTGGTGCCCTCGACCAAATCACCATGCCCGAGGGCCAGACAACTCGCGCCGAGTTCACCAAGCAGTCCTCGACTCTCCCCTTCGGCCAGCTCGTGCCCCTTTCGTCGATAGCGGGTCCTACCTATGTCACCGGTCAATTGCTCGTCCAGCAGATCGCATACGTCTTGTCCGACAAGATCTTCTCCTATTCCACCGAAACCTTCGACCTGGACGTTGCTGCAAAGAACTGGGCCGAGGATGAAGACCAGAACATCCATGGATACCCCACCGCTGTATTGCCCCTCCAGACTCGCTCTGGGGCTGGCGCCTTCGCATTGGGCTATATCTTCTCCAAGGACTTCGACCTGAGCAAGCGACACATTCCCCAGACCCTGCTGGCACCGTCGCTCAGTATGCGCCACCTGCGCACCGCCTTGGACCAGCTGGCTCTTCTCTACGGTGTGGCCAGTCCCTTCGTCGCCCATGTCGCTGCCGCTGATTACACTTCCGAGGGCGGCTTCGTCTCTGACTATGGCACTGCTATGCAGCTGGCTGAAGAGCTTGGTCTGGGACTGGTCTCGAGTGCTTCCGCCTACGAGTCTCAACATATGTCGCTCTTTGCCACCTTGATGGCCAGGATTCTGCCCACTCTCCATATCTATGATGGTGTCCGGACGTCTCGCGAGACACTGAGGGTCATCGACGTTCTAAGCCAGACTGGCGTTGCCGATGTTTTCAACAAGGTGTCCAAGACTGCTGAGAACCTCAACAAGCGCCTTGATATCGCTGGCAAGGTCGCCGAGCTCCTCCAGACCTTCAACGGCGAGCTTGGTACCGACTACGAGCCCTTCGAGTACACCGGGCATGACGCACCCGAAACTGTCTTCGTTGTTTTCGGCAGCATCGAAATTCAGCTAGCCAATCAAGTCGTGTCCAAATTGGCTGCCGAGGGTGCCAAGATTGGTGCCGTCAGTGTGCGCCTGTACCGACCCTTCATTGAGGAGGCCTTCGTCAAGGCTCTGCCAAGCTCAGTCCAGAACATAACCGTCCTGGGTCAGGTTATCAACGAAGCTGCTGTGTCGGATGCCTCTGTCCAATCTGTCCTTTACTCGGATGTTTTGACTGCTGTTTCCTTCGCAGGCAACTCGGCCACGATCCCCGCTGTCACTGATCTGAAGTACCCCGCATCGCAAGTTTTCACCCCTTCGAGCTTCGCGGCGATTATTGCCAATACTACGAGCAAGTCACCCGCTGAAGCCATAACCCGGCTTCCGCAGCTTGAGTCTGTCGAGCAGTACGTCTTCTGGGATACCGACGACTCGGTCGCACTGTTTGCCCCGACGGTTATTGGCGCGCTGTTATCCCGAGACTCGACGAGTAATGTGTACTTGAACGAATCGCACGATAACCTCGTGCAAGGCGGTGTCATTCGGACAGATCTGCGAACATCCAAAAAGACCATTGATGCCCCCTACCCCATAGAGCAAGCCGACGTCGTTGTCGTGAACGACGAAAAGCTACTGAAAGATGTGGCCGTGTCTCAAAGCGTCAAGGATGGCGGCAAGCTTGTGTTGAGACTGCCAAACATCAAGGATGAGGAAGTTGAAAAGCGTATGTCGTCTACGATTCGGAAGGACGTTCAGGCGAGGAATATCGCGGTCTACGTTCTGGACAGTGCTTTATCGCCAGCTTTCGAGGCCGATACCACTGCTGCTAGACTGCTTGTCGAGCTTGCTTTCCTCAAGGTCGCAAAGCCGGATCTCAAGCATGAAATTATCGAGAAGCTGGCTGTTCTGGAGGGCAACGTTCAGATTCTCGAGGAATGCATCGATGCTCTTGGCAAGTGCTTGAAGCAGCTTGAAGTTCCCGAGTCATGGGCTGAGGATTCGGATGAGGCCGCCCAGAAGCTTCCACACATCCTGAAGAACAACAGCTTCGTGCCATTTGAGAAGGAAGAAATAGAGCAAGAACTGCCCCTTGCCAACTGGCAAGCGGCTGCGAAGGGTCTCGTGTTCAAGGAAGCCTACGCCACCAAGATCAACCTGCGGCCTGACCAAACAGTCAACACCTACACCATTCGCGTCAAGGAGAATCGGAGACTTACTCCCACGACTTACGACCGCAACATTTTCCACATAGAGTTTGACCTGGGCACTTCCGGTCTAATGTACAAGATTGGAGAGGCCCTCGGTATCCACTCCGAGAACGACCCAGAGCTGGTGCATGAGTTTATGGAGTCGTATGGCCTGAACGGCGACGATCTCGTCCAGGTTCCATCTAGAGATAACGCTGCTGTCGAAACCCGCACAGTCTATCAGTCGCTGATCCAAAACATTGACATCTTTGGAAAACCTCCGAAGCGGTTCTACGAGGCGCTGGCTGAGTTCGCGACTGATGAGCCGGAAAAGAAGAAGCTTGCGTCTCTTGGCGCTGCTGAAGGTGCTGGGGATTTCAAGCGCCGCTCCGAGGAGGACATGCTTACCTTTGCCGACATTCTGGACGAGTTCAAGTCTGCCCATCCTAGCTTCCCGGAGCTTGCCCGGCTGGTCGGACCCCTGAAGCGCCGTGAATATTCGATTGCCTCGGCCCAAGCCGTCACGCCCAACGCAGTCGCACTCATGATTGTTGTGGTTGACTGGGTTGATACCAAGGGACGCACTCGATATGGTCAAGCTACGCGCTACCTCAGCCGCCTGCCAATCGGGGCTACCGTGACCGCGTCCGTCAAGCCCTCTGTCATGAAGCTGCCGACACGCGATGACGCCCCCCTCATTATGGCCGGTCTGGGTACTGGTCTAGCTCCGTTCCGCGCGTTCTGCCAGTACCGCGCAATGCAAAAGGCACGAGGGAAAGACATCGGAGCCATTCTCCTCTACCTTGGCTCTCGCCACCAGCGGGAGGAGTACCTCTATGGTGAGGAATGGGAGGCGTACCTCGACGCTGGTGTTATCACGTTGCTCGGTGCCGCCTTTTCGCGAGACCAGCCCCAGAAGATATACATCCAGGACCGCATGCGGGAGACCATGAGCGACATCATCAAGACCTACATCAACCAGGAGGGTTCCTTCTACCTCTGCGGCCCTACCTGGCCCGTGCCCGATGTCACTGACGTGCTGATGGAGGCCATCGCGACCGAAGCTAAGATGAGTGGAAAGAAGGTCGATGCCAAGAAGGAGATTGACCGCCTCAAGGAGGATGGAAGATACGTGCTTGAGGTCTACTAGAGGGATTGTCATTTCTTCCATCTAGCGATATAGAGGTGCATTATGTGGGATAAACAGCCATCTAGACCGTCTGGTATTTACAAGATTAATTCTGATTCTGCTTCCCATCACACTCGATCTCTAGCCAATGCCTGGACTACGTGCAGGTCTTTCACACTGCATTCCGGCCTTGGATGCATAGAACAGTAACCCTAAGTCGACAGGGCTCATGTTCAGGGTGTTCATGACTTGCTTACCAATGCGAGTCGGCGTCTTAGTGAAAGATGCAGGTGATCTTCTGGGCTCTCTTGATGCAAGGTAAGGCGGAAATTGGATTTTCAGGGACAGATGCAATCCGGAAGTGGCTGCATCCGGCTGGCGATACTCAATTGGCTTGAGACTTGGCCGGGAAGACGCCAAATGCTGCGATCTTTGCTTGTTCTGCCGTGCTTTTGTCATACATGGTTGTCTGCATGCTCACCCCGCAAGGAAAGGTTTCGCTTCTCTCCCCCTTCTCGTAGCAGCGCCAAGCCATGACGTTATTTTTGATAATGATGGTGTCTTTGCACACCATGGCTGATCATAGGCGCGTCTGGTGGTACCACCGCGCCATTTGGAATATCCCATTGTCAACCCGGCTAGGGGTGTAGGCAAGGTACGATGCTGCTGGTTGTGGATGGCGCATCGCAGGGATGGGCCACACAGCTGCCGATCTCCTGGACCGGCGAGATCTATATAAGTCTTGAGGTGCTATGAGAAGTTGGAAAGGGAAACATGCAGCTCTTGCGTTCTCGACAAGGAAGGATATCAAGCTGTCAAAATGAGGCCCCTTAAACTTGCCTCGTTGTTGCTGATCGTATATGGCGCGAGTGCCTCTGTGGTCAAGCGTCAGAGCGGCGGAGGCTTTGAAGACGGCCAGCCCGTTGACGGAACTGGCAAAGGCGCCCCTTTCTCCGGTGAGCTTCCCGTCTCATCACTCTGAAACCCTCGCTTCCCAGGCTTACCGTCTTGTCACAGGCGGGACCAACCACCAGATCGACCTCCAGAACCCCGACAACCTTGGCCAGCAGAGCACTGACAACGGCGTCGTGCCGAACCTCAAGTGGGCCTTCTCAGACTCTAGAACGAGGCTCCTGAGAGGTGGCTGGGTGCGCGAGCAGGTGGTCACGGACCTGCCCAGCAGTCACGATATCGCGTCTGCGCAACAGCACTTGACGAAGGGCTCTATACGTGAGCTGCACTGGCACCGTGTTGTACGTGCACATGATGATCGCGTGTTTATGCGCCTACGCCCGTGCTGACCTTGCTGGCGTCGGCTCCAGGCTGAATGGGGCTATGTCTACGCTGGGTCGATCCTGGTCTCTGCTGTTGACGAGAACGGCCAGTTCGAGCTCGCCAAGCTCGAGGTCGGCGATATCTGGTACTTCCCCAAGGGCGCTGCGCATACGGTGCAGGGTCTCGAGGACGAGAATGAGTTTCTGCTCATCTTTGACGATGGCAACTTTGATGCTGTAGGGTAAGATGCGCCTCTCATGTGTGGGATTCTGTGATATCCGGGATCAGACACAAGTTCTGACTGCGACTAGGACCACGTTTAACGTCGACGACTGGATCACACATACCCCCAAATCCGTCCTGGCCAAGAACTTCGGTCTCCCAGAGTCCGTATTCGGCTCGGTTCCATCGCCGAACCCCTACATCACGAATGCCACCCTCGACACGCACGACGTCACAGGCGGCAACGGCCCGCTGAGAGGCAACGCGTCGTTCGTGTACTATGCGAAGGACCACCCACTGGAAAACGTGCCCGGAGGTGGAGGCACGCTGCGCATCGTCGATGCGACGACCTTCCCGGCGGCGACGACGATCGCTGCTAGTGTTGTGACGCTCTACCCGGGCGGCATGCGGGAACTGCACTGGCATCCGAATGTAAGCTCTCGCGGTCATGAACTGATGAAAAAGCATAGTGGCTGACCACTTGATAGGCCGAAGAGTGGCTATACTTCCACCAGGGCCAGGCCCGCGCCACCGTCTTCATCGGCAACTCCAACGCGCGCACCTTTGATTTCCGCGCCGGCGACACGGGCGTGTTCCCCGATAACAGCGGTGAGTGTCCTCTCATTCCCTTTCCTGCCGCTCAGTGGTGCTTATGAAGTACTGTTGCTGTGAAACAACTATCTCCTACTACTACTACAACTACTACTACTACTCACCTCTTCATTCCCATTGAGCCCTCCTATACTGACTGTACCGCCAGGCCATTACATCGAGAATACGTCCGAGACGGAGGACCTGATCTGGATCGAGATCTACAAGAGCGACCGCGTCGAGGACATCTCGCTGACGCAGTGGCTGGCGCTGACCCCGGCGGATATCGTGGCGAATGTACTGAAGATCCCGATTGCGGTTGCGGAGACGCTGAAGAAGGAGAAGCAGCGGTTGATTAAGAGCGTGTGACGGAGATGTTGGCAATTATCGCATCCCTCGACGGCAGGTCGAGAGGTTTTGAACAACCGGTATGTATGAATGGGGTAAATTGAGTGAGGCGACTTCTCCCAGTGTCAAACAGAGCATGCGGGCTTTTAGATGGGTGAAAACATATATTCTGGTGTAATCAGCCTTGTTGCTGTGTCTGTGTGAAAATCCTGCTGTGGGCTAAGTGGCCTAAAAATGCCCTATTGGCCTTGTTGGTGCACTGCCACCTCTCTTAACGCCACGGTGGCTTGCGCGCCATTCAACACCCAGGCGATTCGCAACAACAGCTCCAGTACACTGGAGAAACTTCACTTAAAAGGCCACACCCTCAAGTCCAATATAGCGATGGGGAACAAGTCCCAGGCTCCAGATGCAGCATTCATCGTTTAGCCTGCCAAAGCGTTAATGCCAAAGAAGAGTAAAGGAGTGGAGCGTGTAGAGCAAGCAATACAAAGAGCCAATTCAATCGCTGCCCCGAAAACAGCAACTCTATAGATTCTTTATCCTTCGTACAAGGAGATGAACAAGAGTTATTGCACAGCAATGCGCGGCTTCTTTCTGTTACGAACTGCGTCGGATTTTCGACTGGACAACATCAGTTCATCTTCTTTGCGACGCGAACATGCCGTACTCACACAATCAGTCAGATGCTGGTGTGTCGTCGAGCGCAGAGACGGGATCATCGGCTCCCGCAGCTACGACATCATGGTCCAATACAAGCACGGCAGGAGGCACGGAGACGCCGGCAAGCACTGCACCGCCTGAGCCCGCCTCACCAGAAGGGATGGAGCCTCGATCGGATAGCCCAGAGTGGGCCAAGAACACGCAACCTATGTACGATAACTTCCTGAAGTTATGTAAGAAGGAAGGTCTCCCCGCGGAAAATCTCACCGCCGAGGCCAAAAAACGGCTGTATCGCGCGGTATGGAAGCCCTTCCAGGAACTATTCGAGACCTATAAGAGCCAGCATATGGAGTACGACGAGAAGATCAAGCTCGATATGTACAACGAAACACAAGAATACAAAAGGGAAGCCGCCAAGGCCGTAGCAGAGATGGAGAGGATAAAGGAGGCCGCGACGAATGACATAGCCAAGGCGTCCCAAGAAGAGTGGAGTAGAAACAACAACTATCTCTTGGAAGTAGAAGAAAAGGCGGCGGAATTAGAAGAGGACAAAGGGAAGTTGGTAGAGGAAAAGGTAAAGTTGGTAGAGGAGAAGAGAAAGGTAGAGGAGGAAGTAAAGGCAGAGAAACAGGAGCGAGAAAGGGCCGAGGAGGCCTTCACCGAATTGCGGGCAGAGATCAAACCCCTCCAGAAAAAGATAGTGACGCTGGGAAAGGAGCTCAAAGAGACCCAAGGGTTTCTGAAACAATCAGACGAACTGGAGGGCCAGATGGCGACGCAGCGCGACATAGCGCTGGGAAAGGTCGAAAAGCAGGAAGCACTGGTGCAGCAGCAAGGCAAACAGATCCAGCAACTCGAGACCCTGGTCGAACAAAAGGAAAAGGAATTCAAGAGCCACGTCGAAGAACTGAAGAAGGACCTTCAGTTTAAGTGGGACGAAAAGAAGATGGACTTGGAGGCCAAGGTCGAGCAAGAGACGAAGGACTTGGAAGATCAGAAAATGTTCTTTGCGAGAGAGTTTAGAAAAGATAAGGCAGCCCACAAAGAAAAGTGGGCAGAGAAGTTTGAAGAAAAGAAAAGGGCACTCGAAGGGGAGTGGGAAGAAGAGAAGGAGTCACTTAAGGAAGGGTGGGAGGAAGAGAAGAAAGCCCTCCAGGAGAAATGGGAAGAAGAGAAAGAGTCAGAGAAAAAAACCCTCGAGGATAAATTAGGAGAAGAGAAGGAGTTACAGAAGAAGGTCCTCGAGAAAGGTTGGGAAGAAGAGAATGAATTACTCATGGAAGAGTGGGAAGAAGAGAAGGAGAAGGCCCTCAAGGAGAAATTGACGTCACAGAAGGAGTCAGATGAATGGGTCCACGGGGTGAAGTTGAAGGTCCTCGAGGGGAAGTTGGCGTCACAGAAGCAGAAGTTGGAGGAAGAGAAGGAGTCGGAGAAAAAGGCCCTCAAGGACAAGTGGAAAGATGAGAAGGAGTTACTCGAGGAAGGGTGGGAAGAAGAGAAAAAGGCCCTCGAGGAGAAGTTAAAGTCAGACAAGGAGAGAGACGAATGGGCTTCCGGGATTAAGCTGGAGACAGCGAAAAAGGACCTCGAGAAGAAGTTGGAAAAAGAGAAGGAGTCACTTAAAGGAAAGTGGGATGCAGAGAGAAAGGCCCTCGAGGAGCAGTGGGATGATGAAAGGTCAAGTCTACAAGCCAAGATCCCAGAGCTCGAAAGCCAGATCCGAAAAATCCAGGACCAGGGTCGTGAGAAACTGGAAGTCGAGCTGGAAAAGCTACGACAAGACCACAACGCTGAGAAGGAGTCACTTACCGGAAAGTGGGATGAAGAGAGGTCAAGTCTACAGGCCAAGATCCCAGAGCTCGAACGCCAGATGGAAGAGATCAAGCATGAAGGTCGCGAGACACTGGAAGCCGAGCTGGAAAGGCTACGACAAGACCACAACACTCAGAAGAACATCCTAGAGAGCGACGTGAAGCATAAAGCAAGGGCAAAGGAGGCTCTCCAAAAACTGGAAGCTGAGTCCAAAAAGGTCAGCCAGATGAGCAACACGGAAGATTTGGAGAAGTTACAGACGGAGCTGGACGACGCCAAAGGGGACCGAGACAGGAATTTTGAGCGAATTGCGGCCCTCGAGACTGAGCTGGGGAATGCGAAGAACGAGCTGGAGAATGCGAGCCTCCAGTCGAACAGAGAGAAGCAGGACCTGCAGCTGGAAATGGAGAAGGCCGAGGCGGAACGAAACGCGGCTCGCGCGCGGGACGCGGAGAAGCTGAGAGACCACGAAGCAGAAATCCAGCGTCTGAAGGATGGCTTTGACCAGGAGGCCAAGGAAGCGGAGGAGCGGTTCAGACGTCTTCGGGAGGACCACCTTGGAGAGCAACTCGAGGTGCAGAAGAAAGCGTCGACCAATCACGAAGCCGAGATTAAAAGCCTGAAGGACAGCTTGGACCAGAAGATTAAGGAAGCGGAGGAGCAGCGAGAAAGTGCTACAAAGACCCACGATAAAATGTTTCTATTAGAGCGTGCGCTGGAGAATGCCGATCGCGAGCTCCAGGACCAACGCAGACAAGAAATCCATCTCAAGGAAGAGATGGCCGAGGCGGCCGAGGTGAACATCAAGGCCCAAAACGACGCAGACGAACACAGGGCGGAGATGTGTGGCCAAATCCAGACGCAGATGGCAGTGGTGGCTAAGGCAGACAGCGACCAGAGGCGCCAGATTAAAGACCTTGGCGAACAGGTGGCGAAGCTCCAGAAACAGCTGGCCGATGAAGACAGCGACCAGAAGCGCCAGATCAAAGACCTTCGCGACCAGGTTGCAGATCTCCAGAAGCAGCTGGCCGAGGAAGACAACGACCAGAAGCGCCAGATCAAAGACCTTCACGCCCAGATCACGGATCTCCGAAAGAATATGATCAACGAAGATAGCCGCCGGAGCCGCGAGATCAAACACCTTCACGCCCAAATCGCAGACCTCCAAAAGAAGCTGGTCGAGGAAGATACCGCCCGGAACGAGGCAGATGGCGCCCGGAACCGCGAAATGGAACACCTTCGGGCCCAGATCGCAGATTTCCAAAAGAAGCAGGCTGAGGAAGATGGTGTCCGGAGGTACGAGATCAGTGACCTTCACGCTCAGATCGCAGATCTCCAGAAGCAGCTGGACGAGACATTGAAAGATGGCTCCGATAAAAGGGACCAGGAAACCGAGGCAGAGGTGGCAGCCCTTCGGGAGCGCATCCGTCTAATGGAACTCGAGCACAAGGATGTGAAGGCCATGCTCAAGGCCCAGGTCGAAGCAGACGAGCGCAAGGCGGAGCTACAGGCCAAACTCCAGAAGCAACTGGCCCTGGCGTCCAAGCAAGACATCGCCCGCAACCGCGAGTTCGACGACCTTTACGACCAGGTCCTGGAGCTCCAGGCAGAACTGGACGAGAAGAACATGGCGGACTGGCTGCAGCAGACGGGGCGCGACGTGCTGAAGCTGCTCGAGATGAGCACCAAGTCGTTCCAGGTGGGCCTCGCGGTCAACGCGACCGTCTGTTTCATGATGGCTGCGGTCATCATCGCCGAGGCGCGGATGTTCGGGCAGTGGCGGGCGGCGAACTCGCACACGCGAGCGATGTTCCAGGCGGCGAGCGATAGTCCTGCCTTGTGCTTCCATATGCCGATGTTCGAGTACACCTTGGCCACGGTCCTGCAGGCTTTCCACTTCGTCGTGAAGGCGTGAGGGAGTCGGGCGAGGACTACCCTATATCACACTCGTTTGCCGAATCACACCAAGACTTGAAGGGGCTGGAGGAGATAGGCTCGACGACATCTTGGTGAGAGGTTTGGGCGAAGGATTCCGTTTGTACTATGATTGGATTTGGATAACTCTGTACTTTGATCACTCACTTACATACCTAAGTAGTCTCGTTGGAATTCTCATGTGATCGAAACCGTTGCCTGGAATCCTCTGAAGCCATCTAAGTCATCGTTTTCGCTGCGTGTGGGGTGAATGCCGCGAAGACGCGGTCTTTGTTCCGGGCTGTTTGCGTCTATCGGGTCTGGCATGCGGGAATGAGGACCAGACTGGGGGGCTGGATGATAGAACTAAGAATTACAATGCCGTTGCCATTGCCATTCTGAAAACAATACGATTGAATCCCCTTGTGATTGATGCGAGAACCCGAGTAGAACTTGTGCTTATCCATCTCTCAAATCGAACGACAATCTTTTGGACATTAGAACCCACACATGCACTAGCCACACCACTAGCCACACCACTAGCCACACCACTAGCCACACCACTAGCCACACCACTAGCCACACCACTAGCTGCATCACTATCCACGTACTAAGCCACACACGGGCAGAATTCAATGTCGATTTTGGCACTGGGAAGATTGCCCAACGCTGGTTCAATGCTTGAGAGTAACCCCTCTATGTAGGTGGAGTAAATTATTAGGCAGCAGAATAGTTTTGGTGCCCTGGCAAGGTCCAATTTCAAATTTGATGAAACTAACGGGCTGCTCCACGAACTAACCAGAGGATCACGGATGTAGGGTTGACCATCCAAGTAGGCATAGTCTAACGTCCTGCAGTGGACCCAGAGGGCTGATGGCTGATGAGCTCGAAGTTATCGTGAGCGTCAGATTGCGGAGCGGACTTGGATGATCCCAGCCAGGGTCTTCAGCCGCATGCATCTACCCCTCCCCCGTCAGCACAGAGCCGTATCGACCGGGAGTGCCGTCACGGACAAGCGACGGGAGAGATTGGTGCCAACGCACCCTCGCAAGACTCATTACGAGTTTGGTGCTCTCATCGGTCTGCCGACTGCTGTGATACTGCATGTTGGTCGTCTAGCGTGTAGTCAGCCGTCAGCTCTGCATAATAACACAGCCGAGCTGAGTCGCTGACCGTCTTGACGTGGGGCGACCCAATGAGAAGTGTTGCTCTCTGTTGGCAGTTGGGTTGTTGCCTGTTGGTCGGCTGCCTGCATGGAGTATGGAATGCCGTGAGATCCAACAGCGGCGAGGCGCAGCTGGCCATCCCTTGCCATTCCTTACATCCGCCGCGCAGATCAGCCTTGGCCTTTAAGTTATAACCAGCCGGGAAGCTCGTTTCAGTTGGCACGTTGGAACGGTGCCCCATCCCTTCTAGAGTCCCGTGTCCAGTATTCCCTCAGTCCACCATGACTCCCACTGAGAAGAACACGGTTGCCGGGCCTCGCAAATCGACGCCGTCCGCCGTGTCGACGGCACTCAAGGTAGCCATTGCCCTGCTCATGGTCGACGCTGTCATCGAGTTGTCCTTCATCAGCAGCATGGTCGCCTGGCTGAACCGCACCGTCATCCCAAATGTCTTCCACTTCAACTACAACGGTGAGACGTACGCGATTTCTGGCGTCCCGAAGGACATCCTGACCGACCAGGGACACACCAGCAATGGCGCTGCCGGAACCGCCTTTGTGCTCATCGGGCTCGGTGGTATCGTGGCACTATGGCTCCGCAGCTGGTCGCAGCACCGCGCGGGCGACTTCGCGACCTTTGGACGGAATCTCTACTTCGTCTGGGTAGCCCTTAGTGAGTGGTTTTCAGCGGTCATTTATTTCCGCGTCTGGGCATGTCTTGGGAGTGAAACTCCTGTTCAGGCCTCTGTGAGGAAGTTCTCATTCGGGAGACATGCACCCGGGTCCCCTACTTCTCGACACATCATTAGCATAGAGTATGCACTAATTCCTGACCTCCAAAAGATATCCTGGCGCTTTTTCTCACAATCGGCGCACTGGGCTACGTGTTCGCCGTCACGAACGCGCGCAAGGGACAGACCATCGACGTCGCCGCAGCGGCGAACCTGAACGGCGCCCACCCCTACGACCTCCAGTCCTGGACGCCTCAGAGCTGGTTCGCGGCTGTGCACCGGCTCGACCTGGTTGGCTCGAGGTACGCGATTCAGAGTCACCTCACTGTGATGCGGGGCTGGCAGTACAACCTCATCCCCCTGTTCCTTATCCAGCTGGTCGAAACGGTCCTTGCCATGTGGGACTGTCACAACTGGAGGCGGAAGACTCAGGCGGTGGAGTACCAGGGCACTTCCAATGGGGGGTGGTAGAGGGGGCTTGCTTGTTGGGTGTTTCGGATTCGAAAAGGGCCGGTGGGAATGGCTTTGTGCTAGCTGATGGTGGCAGCTGTTCAAGCTCGCCCATGAAGCGTAAGCTTTTCGTTCTTTAATCTATAGATCATTGCGATATACCCCCTGTATGTTGAGATGTACAGATCTAGCAATCCTCATCCCAATTAATTCCCCCATCCACCCGCGACAGACCGCTGAGTCCCTCTTGATGAGCACTGTAACGCCATGTCCCGATTCTCTCGGCTGGAATCTCGAAGTAAACCTAGGGTATAAGAGAGGAAAGGGGCAAAGGTCTATCATGAGCGTAAGTCACTTTCGCGAGGTCTTCCGAGAATCTACTTGGTTGAAGAATTGGGATGTATGTCCAATGGAACTAATCTCATCGACATCTTCACACTGGATTGTCCTGGTCTACTAATGCCAGTTGAATTCGCCTGCCGGTACCTATGCGATGCGAAGAGGCGAGGTAGACTTATTGTTGCGATGTGGTTTTAATCAACGTCCTCCTCCTCCTCCTCCTCCTCCTACAAGTCACCGTGGTCGACTCCCTCCAGCTTGCGATTGTGTTTGCCGAACCGTTTTCGCAATACCTCTTCATCTACTCCATCCCAGGTCACTATACCAAGATTAGTATTGCGTTTACTATGGGCGAGTGGTTGAAGGGTGAGAGGTACCTAGTCGGGCATATCGACGAATCATATCTCGTTGACTTCCGAATGGCTGGCCGCATTTCTTGAGATGATCTGCCGCTCTGTTGTGATCCAAGGGGTCCTTGGAGAAGACCGGGTTATCGCAGTTGCCCGGGCATCTCATGACATATAACGCAGTGCGCAATTTCTTTGCGAACGAATTGCGGTACTCAAACACCTAGTAAGATCCGTCTTCGACTTCAGCAGCAGAAATGGATTTCTGGAGTGTGAAGGAATGTATCATCTCTATTTGTGACCTTGTATATAGGTGCATTCGGCTTTTTGAGCTTTGCGCTTGTTTTCGAGGGACAAGGCTTGGCTTGCGAACGAGGCTGCCTTTCTTTCGAAGAATAAGGGGCAGAGGTGTTGACTGTTCCGTTAACTGGGCTTAGGCTGCCTTTTTGAGGGCCTCGGCTGGAGGAGGTTCGGTCTATAGGTAGGTAGGTACCTAAGTCAGAAATAAGACCAGTGTAGACGAGCCCAGGTTCTTGCAGTGTCTTCTGTACGGCTCGGCATTTCTAGATCTGGCTGACGAGCTGGCGCCGGCGAGGAGGATGAGGTCTCGCTTCCTAAGTGCTTACATGAGACGTGAAGGTTGTTATGTTCAAACATGATTGTATCGGCGCAGCGAACTTGAAACTTTTTATCTTCTTCCAGCTAACGAGCAATGTCAGGGAAGTATGTCGAAATCCGGTTTAACACCTGGGCTCGCTGATCTGAAAGTTCTCGGTGGCCGTATGGCGCAATGGTCAAATGCGCCTGGTTGTGTTCTCGTTTGTGCGGTGGGCGACGAGAACAAGTGGGTTCGAATCCTGCTATGGCCCCCTTCTGACCCGGCTTGTGCGAGTCGATAACCAGCACACGACAGTGGAGAGGCCCCTTATCGCAGAGCCCGATAGCCAAGCAGCTTGTCTCCACAATACCCACTCCTGCGAGGTTTTTTCCCTTGTGGTTTCCCTCGCCAGCAGATAACAAACACCTATTTCACCCACTAATGCGACATATATCGAACGGCTACTGGAACGATGTGTACACCAGAGAACTGAGGTTCACTGGGTCGCTTAGTCACTGGACAGGAGGTTTTTCTGACGGAATCGTGTTTGGGTATTGACTAAAACCATCTGGACACTCCAGATTGGTACCGCTACAGCGAGGATAGGCTCGTGCGCGGATCTGAATGTATCTAGACTGACACCTCTATAACCTTGCGATGCAATGGCTCTGGGAGGCGTGGTTTGCCCTGTTGAGGGACTGCACCCACGATAAATACAAAACAAAAACAAAGTTCTCGGTTGCGAGCCTAGTGGATTTCTATAAGCTTGTCGAGATCTTATACAAGGTTCGTTTCGGCTGTTAGCTAGGACCGATGTATGGTTTTAAGCTTTGCTTTGCCTTTCGCGATGACAGAGTCGAATATATCATTGTCGTTGGCATTATCGGTAGGCTTTCCCTTGGCCATCGTGGATTGATAAAGGATGAGCAGAAGGAATCTTCGCAAAACTGTTGATTTTGGTGATAAAAGTGCAGGTAGCGATTAACCTGGCCACGTAAAGATGATGTCAGGTCGGGAGCGCGTCCTTGTTCTGTTGGAAGAAGTGTGTGGTTCCTGGAGAAGTTCATTGCGAGATTACCATGGGAAAATACGTCTTCATATGAGCCTTTCGTGGCTTATCGAAAACAAACAAACGAGGGCTTCGCTACAGTCATGATGGCGTTGGGGGTTAGGGCAGAGCCTAATTTGGTGGGAACATCGACGTCTTGTCTCAGCCACTAAGTCCGTCGTCCGGTATCAACGTGAAGCACTGTATCAAGCGAACACATCAGCTCAAATTGACCCACAGTGGCGTTGCCTACCAGTTTACTACGCATCTTGTTCGGCGTCTTTCCTCTGTTCTATCACGCCTCTCCCCCTTTATCGCATTCTTTTTTTGCTCGATATACGGACCTGCCAGACTGTTAGACAGCAGCGAGAACTGTCATACTCGATTGAGGTCCATTCTTACGCTCCTTGACGGGAAGAAAAAAGCTCAAGCTACATGCCTTAGATCACACCAAAAAGCAAAGCCACCATGATGATGTCCACGGTGTTCGGAAGGATTAGCGTGATTAAGAAATTGAGAGAGTTGAAGCTGTTTTTAGGAACTTGGTCTCGAGTGGCTTGCCCATTGACACTTTGTTAGATATCATAACAGGTTCAGACAGGGCGTTAAGAGGCTTTGGGGGCTGAATGCGTTACAGCGCTTAGCGTAAGGTATTTACAACCTCGTAATCCTGGCTTCTAGTTGGTCCATTCGGGACCTCTCTGTTGTGATTTCTGCATGTAGTCACTCTGAGGGCACACCTTATACATAATAAGGCCTTCTCCCCCGAAGATTTTCTTCCTTTCTACCAATATAGAACACATTGAAATCTTACACACTTGGAGGCTATTTTTAAGTTTCTTTTAACACCGGTTAATTTACCTCGAGGCCTTATTTAAAAGACCACGTCTTTTAAAAAGGCTTAACTTTTGGGAGGATAAGAAACCTTTACTTATCTCTACTCCGAGGCTACGCGTGTAGTATTTTGCCTATAAGACCAAGGCCTGCTTTAAACCTTGAAGTCTTATCGACTGTTAAGCCGCCATACTTACTATGTCATTTATAGCAAGAAGCGATTAGTTAGTTCGTTTGTTTACACTTATATAAGCTCTCTTATTTTGAACTTGTAAAAAGTACTTTATATCTTTTAATAAAAATCATTTACTAGTAACCTTAGAATCGATATTGGCAGTATAAGTACACGGGCTTTCCTAGTACGTATATTATTTTGTTTTAATCTCTTAACCTTAATCTTCTTGAAAAGTTCCTTCTAAAGCTTAACACTAATACCTTGCTTGGCTACTTTCTTACTTAGCATAATAATTTTTTTCTTTACGTCTTTACCCGTAGTTTAGTTTGTATTAACTTGTTTCACGCTGGTAAGATCTAGTTTCTAGCGCGAAATAACCCGTTAAACTTAAAGATCGTAGATACCGTACTGTTTAATTCGCTTTCAGCGACTTTTCTTTAACAAGTTACCCTTTTAATAACGACGGGCTTATATACGATGCAACACGCTAAACACTTCGCGCGAGCCCATCTCTTTAAAGTATACTCTTTACATGCTTGTAAATACTTTCGATATAATACTTTAACTGTTGGATCTATGCAATTCCAGCCTGCAAACCATCTATACCAAGACCCACATGTATGATTAGATAAGAGATTAGATACCGGATTGCGAGGTTACTTAGCCAGACCTTCAGGTCCAGCTAGACCTCCCAATCCAACCATCAGCAACATTATGACCTTGACCTCATACTCGAGTATTATGATTGATCGTTCAAGCCTGTTCCAACATTAACAGTACTTCCTTTTTAAGTCGCTGGTTAGTCGCGTAAAAAACTAAACTTTTGAAAGAAGGTTAAAACAAGGTTTTATTAAACTGTTTATAACGGTTTGTAAACACGTTAAGCAGGTTTGCCGCTAAAATAATTTCGTTATTTATTTAATCGGTTTATTTCTACTATCTTAATAAACACTTGAGGTCGAGTCCGTATGTAAGGATATTACTAGTAACGTTTTTTAATATCTTATTAGTAAGATAACTTGTATTCCTAAGGCTAGAGCACTTGCTAACTACGTATACCGAGACTACCTTGAAGCCTTAGTACTACGTTAAAACACGGTTTACTATAAAGCATCACTATTCTTCGACTTTAAAAGCTATAATATGGTACGTGGTCCCTATTAATCTTAATTACTACTTTTTAGCATAGCTTTTGAAAAACTCGTATATCTTTTACTTAGCGTATAGCATGGATAGAGTACTAGGTATTTACTTAGTTAAAGATGGTTTAAGTGTGCAAAACCGAAACAAGTTACTCCGAACTTTCTTTTATTGACCCGAGTCCAAAAGGTGCTGGTGGCGGTAGTGAACAGGTTAGCATTTAAAGCATCGCGCCTTCGAGACCCGTATTATGCTGATACAAGACTGCAGTGGAACTATAACATCGTAAAAAGGTGCATCTAATTAATCGAGAACGGTTAATAGCAGGGCAAGGCTCTCTTTTTAGAGCACAAAGAGGCTTTATTAGAGAAATTTAACCGAGAGAAGGGTAAGTTCGGCCCCGGGCAAAGCGGCAACTTCAGGTATGTGCCTTTGTGGTAGCGGAACCAGAACAGAGATCTATCACAAGTCTTGGTTGCGATGATCTGTATTCTGGTTGGTGCTTGGTTACGTTCGGATGGGAAGGGATCCCATCCGAGAAGTATCTAAATACCTAAATTACAGTGGGTTGGTACCTGTCACCTGGGGCAGCCATCCCAGGTAACCTTATCGTAGAACGCCCTGGATGACAGGAGATCCGATAGGGTACTGGTGGCTGGACCCAGTGGCTGGGATCCACAGGTATATAGATGAGGACATAAATGGAGACAGGGTATCAGCGGTCCTTTTCCCCACCCAATTGAATGCCTGTTTCGACGAAGCGCTGAAGCACCCGTCGGAGTTGGCTGCCAAGCAGATCAAAAAGGTTGCCGCCATCAGTTCTCGGCGCGCGCGAGTTATCGTCTCAGGTGAACAACAAACCTTATTCAGTCAACCTCCTTATGCCGAGAGAGGATGTCTACGAGTCTTACCAGGTCACTCCCAAAGACCTCGAGATCTCAGTGATCGAGTTGTTCTCCCCCATGAATAGGATGTACTAACGCGTGCATATCCACCAGGTAGCACAGCTCATTATAACGGGCTCAAGACCAAAATCAGAAAGAGTGAGTTCTGCCCCCATTTTGTTGTACCGTTACTCGCTCTTCGAGTAGCCTCACTTTCAATCCTCTAGTTCCGCAGAGATGTGGACTGCCCCAGAAAGTGGGCGGATATGCTTCCCATACCGTTACGAACCAACAAATACCACATGCCCGTTGGCAGGCCTGAAGGGAAAAGGATGACCTACGAGGGAACCCAATCAGAACGGGGGCACAACACGAAACAGCACAGGGCATCCAGGCACGTGATCCAGTGATCCAGGGAGCCAGGATCACGTGACTAGAGTTGCTCACGTCTGCTCACGCGAGCAACGGTGAGCACGCCTCATCAGTGAGGGAGAGATTGGATATATAAGGATAGACATTTCCTAGCTAGACAGATAGACAGTCTCTACCTTAGTGATCAATCTAAGCATCTTAGCCAACCCTAAGGTGAGAGAAATCTCCTGACGACTCGACTGTTCCGTGATCCCCTGGATCAGACCAAGCCCCAGCATCTGAGTGTCTTCTAGTTGACAGATGCCTCTATCGTCCTTTGTGTTGACTTACCTCAGAACATAAACCCTATAGAACCCTTTAGCCTCATAGGTTAGACGGCTCGTCACACATACCTAACCAGATGATGTGCTTAACACCTCTGAATTTCGCAGTGTGCCTTGACAACAGCTTTACGCCGCCGGTCTTTGCCAATGATTTCTAATACAGACATGAGTAAGGCCTTCGACAGATTCTTACGTCCGCATAGGACTTTACTAAAGTGTGCAGACCGGCCAAGATTGCGCAGGGGGTTGCGTATGCTATCGGCTCCCCTATGATCGTGGAACAGTTCCTCGACCGCGGGGCAGCATTCGGAGCCTAAATATGCCCGCGTGGGACGAATGGGAACGCCAACCATGGCGGGTTATGGTGTGACATTGTTGACTTCCTCGCAAGCAAGGTTAGAACGAGTCTGTCGATGGATGTCCTACTCACACAGCTATTAATACGTGCGTTTACCTAGAACCGAGAGGAACTAGTATGTAAGTTCTTTACTGGGCGTGATAAACTCAAGATCGTATGCGACCCCTTTTACGAAGTCTGAGAGGGCTTCATGCATTTCGACAGATGCTACGATATACTTTATCTGGGCGTTCTTACAAGGGGCTGGTGGATTATCTCCATTACGCTGAAAGGCAGTGGCGACGACATGTTGTTGATTATCAAACGGTCAAAGCACTCCTCGGACCCGTCGGGGTCGGATACCAGAGTGCTGTTTTCCGAGAGCCTGGTGTTCCCTATGTACTTCGGCGTAGGTGGCAACTGTGTCTTTCTCGACACCGCGGCCCAAGATAGTTTGAAGGTTCTTTCTACTGTCGAACAGCACAAGAAGCTCGCCGAGAGATATTGGACAGAGCACAATGATTCGCGGGCTCTACCTAGCGTTAGCCAACAGATCAGGAGGAAGCAAATTGTTCGCCCCGTTTCTTCGCCCCCAGACAGCGACGTCGATAACGTGGAACATAACTATCACGATAATAGCGACGATGAGGACTAAGCAAGGGAGTTCCAGTTCATCAGAACCCAAGTTGTACCGGACTTACTATCGACGTCGCCCAATACGGCCCCGATTACTGCCATGACAACCTGTAGCCGGGCGGCGAAGAAAAGTCAATGAGGGAGCATTTACTATCATAGATGCATGTCGGTGGGAGTATGGGTTATCGGCCACCACGCTTGGGAAGAGAAATAGCGACCTGTGACCATTGGGCCGGGTATCTTAAGATGAGAAAACTCGGCGATATGCCTTCCCGTTCTTTCCTACAGTACATCAACTCTATTGGCAGCTTAAAGTCTACATATATAGAGCTAATGATATATTATCCTTTACGCACAAGCCATGCTGCTTTCTTGTCCTAATCCGGTCAGTCGATATTAAGTTATATTCCCAATGAATATCTATGTGTGGATTTTAGAACCTAAACGGACCTGTCCTTACAATCCGATAAGTTGAAAGTTGCGAAGGTGATGTTGGCTGTGTTATAGTTACAAATATCCGCGTGCAACACATATGAAGACAAAGACACTAGGCAAGCTGTAGTCATGGCTGCCAGCATACCCGTGACGTTACATGATATGGCGTCCGCGTGTTCTACAGCTTAGCGGTCTCTTCGGAAACTATTCGGGGTATACCAGCACAGCATATGTTTCCCTCCTTCAATAATGTAGGCGCCGCAGTTAGCCCATGGTGTACAACATAAGCAACCTTGCTCCTAGATGCTTATCGGGCACAGTACCTCAAGTAGCACGACTCGTTATTGCACAACTTGATGCAGTACTAGGTCAAATCTCGCTAGGATGTTTTTGACTGCAAGGGCTTGGAACCTCACTGACATTACTCAAAAAGAAAGAACTTCCAAGAGCGATGTAAACCCTGAGCAACGCTGTCGCGCGATGCGGTGCTGCTGTTCTGGTTGAGACTGAACGAATCAATTGGACCGACGGCACTGTCCCCTTAACTTTCATTTGTTCCTCGGCGCAACGTCTCTTGAATCCAACGATCGATTACACTACCAGACTCCTCAGCTACTCTATATGAATTCCTTTCGGGACAGAAATGTCATCAATATCTTCCACGATGAACCAAAGCCGTGTCTCTTGATGGCTACTTGGTCTTATATTGAACGTCTCAGGGGCTCATCGCACCAGACCGTGTTTTCCTCAACTTCCAAATTGAATGGGGGTTAAGGGTTGCGGCATGCAGCCATGAGACATATGCCCGCACGCGAAGCACGATCGTTCCCGCAGACCCGGACAGCAAAGCTTGTTACTGGGCCGTCCCATGATCACGCCAGCCTCCAGCCTCACTCGGGTGACATTGCTTGCGCCCGGAGGAGGTGGCCAGTAATGGTTCGGGCAAGGGGACGCCTATCGTAGTCAATGCCATCATCCATGATCTTCATGTCCTCATGTCGCCGCCCCGCAATCGGGCGACGGGCGACCGACCCCTGGTCTGCTGAAAATGGACACCGTGATTGGTCCAAGACTCTATCGACTCGGACAATCAAGCCGATGAATCAAGCAATCTCTGGACCCCAGTGCTGTGCCTTCACTGCCTTCGTAATTAGAGCCAAGCAATCGCTAGAACCCAGTGCTGTGCCGTGGTTAAAGCTTATGTCCCTTGGCAAAGCTTGACCACTCTGCCCACTTCACTGCAACTCCTCACGGAGTCCTCAGCTAATCGGAAGCCACCGAGAGGCGGGCATGGTTGGCGATAGGGACTTGTGCATGGGTGCGTGAGGGGCTGCCGTGATAACCCTAGGCCGGATACAGGAGGTGCTCTACGCGAGCCTGCAGCATATATTATAGCTGACGGCTCCATATGCAATCACGATTCACATCAGAAGCGGCACTGCGGCGTGGGAAATGAACCGCCTGGTCCACACCCTTTGGACCTGGCTGCAGCCTGGGTCTGGGAACTGCAGTTCACCGCTCACGCGACCCCGGACTCTAGGACGCGCATGATGCCGGAAACGATAGGCGCGCTCCGTTCACAGATACGGACAGACGGGGTCCTCGTATATATGTAGACGGCCATCCGCTGGGACCTGTGGGTAGTTCCCTCTGCAGCTTCTCCCTTGGATCTGCAGAGATAGCCCTGACCATCATGCTAGCCCGTTCACTTCTCATTGCCCTCGCGGCTGGACTCGCTTTCGAGGGTCTTGCTGGTCCTGTTGCTCGCGATGCTTCTCTCTCGAAGCGCGTTGTTCCAGCTACGCATAACCTCCACGAGCGTCATGCCTCCCACTGGGGTCGAAAGGTGAGCAATATCCAGGCTCTTCTACCATGCTATGATATTCCCGCCCAACTCATATGCTGTTCAGTCACGGCAATCGCTGACTTGAGAGGTTACAGTGGACCAAAAGAGACCGCGTAGATGCCGAAGTGGTCCTTCCCATGCGTATTGGTTTGAAGCAATACAATATCGACGCGGGCCATGACAAGCTCATGGACATGTATGTATAGTGTATGAAGTATGTAGAGGGTACCGATCTGATCCGTTGCTACAGCTCCAACCCCAAGTCTGCCAACTACGGCAAGCACATGACGCCAGAGGAAGTCATCGACTTCTTCGCGCCCGACCCATCCAGCGTTGATACCGTGCTGGATTGGTTAGTGGCATCAGGGATCTCCAAAGACAGGATTGGCCTGTCGGTCAACAAGCAGGTAAAGACAACTCCCCATTCTGAGATCGCTAAGGATGACTTCATCCCTGACCAAGATAACTCACAGTGGATCCAATTCGATGCCATGACTGGAGAGGTGGAAGAGCTCCTGTTCGCAGACTACCACGTTTGGGAAGACGTTGATGGCAATATCGACATCTCCGCCGAGGCCTACCATCTCCCAGCCCTTGTCCAAGACCACGTGGACTACGTGACCCCAGGTACCAGACTTCGGTCGAGGAATGAGGCCAAGAGAACGAAGATGGTTAAGCGCGACTTTGGTTCATTGAACGACGTGAAGCCCTTCATCACCGAGCTTGCAGCATTCCCTAACCCCAACTCTACTACTTGCTCCACCTACGTCACCGCCGACTGCACGAGAGGTAATTTATGACCATGCATTGAAACTGGACATCTATGCTGATGGCTTTATAGTGCAATATAACCTGCCAAATGGAACCACCTCAACCCCTGGCAACGAGCTCGGTATATTCGAGAGTCTCGACGACCACTACAGCAAGCATGATCTGGACGTTTTCTTCAGCACACTGTACCCGTACGCATCAGTATACTACTTTGAATTCAATCTTGAGCTAACGCCGATTCAGCTACATGAACATTCCCAACGGCACGTACCCCGAGGAACGATTAATTGATGGCGCCATTGGTTCCGTCGAGGAGCCTTCTCCGGTCTACCCCCTCGAGACTGGTCTCGAGTCCATGCTAGATTTTGACTCGGCCTGGCCTTTGATCTACCCCCAGAAGACCGTCTTGTACCAGGTGGACGATGAGTACTACGAGTACACTGGGAACTTCAGCGGGTTCTGGAACAGTACGTTAATCCCTTTGAACCCACTCTACTCCTTATATTGACGTCAGCCTCACAGCGTTCCTTGACGCCCTCGATGGATCCTACTGCACATACTCAGCCTACGGTGAGACCGGCGACTGCGTTGAGGCCGAATGCGCCGACCCTGTGTACCCGGACCTCAACCCGGGCGGATACACAGGTGCGCTGCAATGCGGCGTCTACGAGCCGACCAACGTCATCTCAATCTCGTACGGTGCTGACGAGGCCTATTATCCCGACTTCTACATGAAGCGCCAGTGCAACGAATGGATGAAGCTGGTCCTCCAGGGAACCACCGTCGTTATGTCGTCAGGCGACAGCGGTGTGGGCGAATCGGGATACTGTCCAACCGATGAGCTGGGCGACGAAGTCTTCAGCCCCGACTTTGCTAGCTCATGCCCTTATATACTGTCCGTCGGCAGCACGGAATGGGACCGGTATAGCAACGCTACCACACCCCAGCCGTGGGAGAAGCTCAACGAGGTCGCCACCGCACGGTTCCCTAGTGGCGGCGGGTTCAGCAACGTGTTTGCGCAGCCGGAGTATCAAAAAGACGCCGTGAACAGCTACCTTGATACTGTCGGTTCGACGTTACCCTTCACAAGCTACGACCAGTTCGTCCCGAATGGTGAATTCTCCAACATAACTGATGGGAAGTACAACGGACTCGGACGGGCATACCCCGATGTCGGTGCAGTCGGGGATCGCCAGGTCGTGTACGCCAATGGCTCCTGGTACTTGGTTGGCGGCACCTCGCTGTCTTCGCCTGTCTGGGGTGCCGTGTTGACGCTCCTTAACGAGGAGCGACTCACGGCGGGGAAGAGTACAGTCGGATATATCCACCCGGTCCTGGTAAGTTGAGAGCGTCTTCGACTAGAAGGGGCAACCATGGAATTCGACGATGCTAACGAGAGGCCAGTACTCGCACCCGGAGGTGTTTAACGACGTTACCTCGGGCAGCAATCCTGGATGTAGTACTACTGGCTTTCCAGCTGCTGCGGGCTGGGACCCTGTTACAGGTCTCGGGTAAGTTGTCAGAAAACTAAGGTAATCTCTGGGCACTGGCTGACAATAAACAGGTCCCCCAACTTTCCAAAGCTTCTTGAGGTCTTGATGAGCATATAGGCATTCAGCCAAGTCACATCTCGGTGTGGCGGTGTGTCGAGTGCATGTTCCACGTCTCTTTACCAGAGGATCTGAAAACAGAGCGGAAGGCTGGTGTGGTTCGAGACGGGGCAAGCAGTAAAACTGATATAACAAGACAATACATACTTGACCACACGGACGTGCTACACACAGTATATTGGTATCATATACAGAATCATGTTCAGGCGCTATTCTGAAACAGCTGACGCTATCGAGAACACATCGGCTGAGTTGCTCCAAACGAAGCATCGAGGAAACCATGCACCTTTCGCGAACCTCCCCGCCAATGATCTCCATACACCCCATTAATTGTTCCAATTCTATGTTTGAATCGTCCCAGTCAGGACTTTTGGGTATCACTGCAACTCGGTACAAGGGCCCGTGCGATTGTTCCCGAGGCTTTCTCCGACATTTAGATATACGGACGGTCAGACCGGCTTGACCCGCGATACTCTTCGTAAGGGGCCTCGTAAAGGGCGACCTTTCGCCCGCTGCTCTCAGCGCTGACCTACTCAAATGCGGAAGGACTGCCTGGCCAAGCTCCGGGTACACCAGCAAAGAGCTCAGACGGAGCCGTGGAGCGGCGCTGGATACCGGGAGCGCAACCTTGAGGCCGGACACTGGATTATGCTGGAGAAAGAGGATGAGCTGAGCGAATTGAGCGAAATACCCATTGGAAGTTCGCTGGTTCTGAGTAAAAGTCAAGGCGATGTTCATGCTGGGGGGGGGTATCCTCCAAGCCGTAGCGCCCACCAGGAGCATTTCACACGCACGCGTTTCCCTTGGGAATGGGCGCGATGCCTGGCTGTTCAACACATGTAAAGGGGGCCAATTGACTCATGTTGCGAGAAGTGACATCAGCTACGCTTGAATGATGTGCCTACGCCACGTGGCGGGACAGATGGCGAGTATGGATATATACAGAACTTGTGATATATACAAGAAGAAGAACAGAACAATCCACTACGAAACCAATCAGATGACTTATACGACAGGCCAGCCGCTGGAGAAGTTGATGGTGTTCCAGCCAAACTGCTTATCACCATCCGCATAGCCGATGGTGATGTCGACGTAGTGGTAGTACAGAATCTAGAAAGAGATTTAGTGAGTGACGCAACATGGGGCAGTTCGTTGTATTTTAAACTCACCGGTCCGTAAGTGGGATCGTTGTAGACACCCTGGCCACCAGGCCCATAGACATTGTCGTGGGTCGCAAGCACAATCGTACCTCCCCCGTTAGTGCAAGCCGTGCCACTCGCATCGACGAAGCCGCCGGTCGCAGACGTAGACCGGCACACCATGATCTTGTACTCATCACCCGCAGCCGGCCGGGTCGTGTCGTAGCCGCAGCACGAGCCCTTGCTGTAGAACAGGTAGTAGTAGGAGCCGTAGGGAAAAATGAACGCGCCCTCGAGGGCCGTTGTGACAGGGTCGTAGGCGATCTGGTACGAGCTGCCGCCGGCGGTCTTGCTCGGCGCGGCTGCCATGGCCACCTGGTAGATGTCGGCCCAGAAGCTGCCGAAGCTGAGCATGTAGGCGCCGTTGACGTTGACTAGGTTCGGGTCGATCGCATTGTACGACTTGCCCGCGGCCGATGCTATGCCCGTGGCGCCGATGTCTGTCCACGTGCCTACGTCCATGCTGGACGAGGTTGCCACGCCAATGGCGGAGTTTTGCACCCCGAAGCTGCTGACGGAGTAGTAGAGGTAGTATGTGCTTCCGACAAGAGATACGTCGGGTGCCTATATATGAGGGGCATGGTCAGTATGAGCGCTTTGAATGTCGGCTGGCGACATTGCAGTAGGTGACATACCCATAGGTCTTGGTTGCCAGTGAGGTCGATCTTAGAACCCGACGGCAGCGCGGCTCCCTTGTAAGTCCAGGGCCCCGTGATGGCCGGAGCCATGTGAACGGCGATCTTGCCGCCGGTGGAGAAGCGGAAGTAAGTGCCATCAGACCGGCGGATGATAGACGGGTCGTGTGCGTTGGTGCAGGTACCGGTGCAAGTCTTGGGGTTGGCGTACCCCAGCACGGTGCCGGCCAAGGGCAGCAGGCCCGCCAGGATGGTAAAGAGCTTCACCATGATCGCGGCACATATAAAGATCAGCCTAAAATAATTGGATATGTGAAAACGAAGGACTTGGAGACGATCAGTTGCCGTGGCCGTGGATAAAGATCAACACAACCCATCCGTAGGGAGGCATATCGCGGTTAGTTATAGCAAGTCCCAAGGCAAGTCCCGAGGCAAGTCCCAAGGAATGCAAAGCCTCCCGAAACAATCTATGCCGGACAGCCTCCGTTGTTTCGAGCCCGATCGGGAAAGCAGTTCTTCCTCTGTCGCCCTCTCATTGGCGGAAAGAAGGGGATCGTGGTTTGGCCGCGCTGTGCCGCGGTGGGAGACAGTGAAATAGTGAGACACGTGTGAGGAAGGACTCTCTGTGGAGACTGGGCAGCTAGGGGTCGCGAAGTGGGCCGATGCACTACCCCACAGCGACCACGCGACACGAACTCCAACACGAACTTCTGGTCACAGTACCCTCGGATCTTGGTTCTGGATCGTGCTGCTTCCATCCTCGGGGTGCCGCCGAGGAGACATCGTGCTGTGATTAGTGCGCCTACTCACTGCCGGGGCAAGAACCGAACCGAGGACACGGAGCCATGGAGGGCAGGTCGACGGAACGGGGATTATAAAAAGATCCCAGGTGGATTCAAAAGAAAGGATATGCTCCACTCAGAGGGTCCTGCGACTTGGCCACCCATCGTGCATGGAACCATGTCGCAGACTGCTCGACGGAAGAGGAGCGGTCCTGCAATTCGCGAGCTCGTATGAGGACGCCGTCGGAATGACAGGTAAGGTGGAATGACAATTGGCAGAATCATCTGGCTTCAGTTTAGTAATTCAGGGGGAGTCATTCGTGCCATGGGACTTCTTCTCGGACCAGGGTCAGGAAAAGAATCCGTTGAGATTACCGTAGTGCCAGGAAGGACTTGGAATGACCAACGGTCTTGTGCTTCTTCTTCCGCCATCATGTTGATTGCCTGTCAGGCAACTCGCAGCACATCGCAGCACCGGGTGTTCGCTCACATCTTTCCCGACTTTTCTGCTGCTTCGAGACTAGACACAGCATCGGACTCTCTGTGTCCTGGCCCTGTGGTCAACAATGCACTACCAGCTGCTCGTCCTGGGTTTAGACAGATCAGTGTCACAGCGCCCCGTGATCATCATTAACACAAATATGGTCGGAAGAGAAGATGATTGAGAAAGCGAAAGAGCAATCAGAAGAGCCAAGCTGAGGCTGAGATGTATGGTACAAAGAAAGATGATGAAAGGTATCCGTGGCCCCGGTATCGGAACGAACGTTGATCTCCCTCTCGAAGCTCCTTCTACACACTTTCTGTCCCGGGATCGCCGCGCATCAGAGGCCTAGACTGATGTCAAGCCTCCAAGTCGCAGAGACGAAAAGTTCATTCGGTCGGGTTCATAGCTGTGCGCCAACATGACTCGCCTCACTTTAGAGGGAGTCAACACTCTTCCATAGATTTGCCTAGTTATCGCCGGTCTCAGCATATAGAACGGCAGCAAGAACGACAGGACGAAGGAGACGCCCAAGTGCCGGTACTTGTAGGTCAAACCAGCTCCAAAGACTTCATAGGGGAAATGGTCGCACTTACCATTGAGAAGAACCAGATGCGCAAAACGAACTTGTGTGTTTTGGGTATGCAGTCGGTACCTTCGGGATCCCAATGGGGGATGCGCTACTCCAGTCTTATTTCACTGGCACATCACCGCATCGGTGTCTCAAAGCGTGGTCCGTACGACGTAGTGCTCCTGATACATGATTGACCTGTCGTCCTTGCTGCTGAGGTACGCAGCAAACAGACCCAGTTTCAGGGTTCCGAGTCCGGACGGCCAAGTGAGTGGAAGGACGAACGAAGACAAATGACCCCAAGAAGTGAGGCTGGTCGGGAAAGTCAATAATCGCCACCCAAACGATCCGCCGTAGGGAAGCATTGTCATAGTCCCGTATATCGACATGGGATTTCCGGCATCTGGATGAATTGGTCAGTGAAGGCCTCGTAATAGTGTCGGCAGCAGACCTACATCAGACATGGTAGTGCAATGACAGACATCATAGCCTCGTGGTCTACGTCTGCAGGACCAATACACCAAGCTACTGCAACTCGAAGCTGTACTCGATGCCGCTACGAAGAAAGACATCTTCCATCTTGGCAATGGCTCTATCGCTTCTCAAGGGGCTGCCATAATTGGAGGCTCCCGTAGGGGAGGCCTTGTACGTGACGGAGCGAAGGTTGTCCAGCCCATCCGTCAGGCCATTCAGGGCTCTGGCAATCCAGTCATCGAGCAACATGAATTCTCCGAAGGTATCGCGAGATCTGTCAATCACATGCTGCGGCCACCTGTCGAACATGACGAGGGACATGACGAGGGATCTGTCAATCACATGCTGCGGCCACCTCTCGATGATGACGAGGCTGACGAGAGTGCTGGGAAGCGATCTTACCCACTTGTGCATGTATCTATAGGGAGGCTTGCCAAAGAGCGTACGCGAGTCAATAGTCAGGTTCTTGAGGTGGTCGAACCGTTGGAAGCAGTCGATCGTGTCTTGCAAGTTAAAGCCCCGGTCGCGGAGCCTGTCGATGTAGAGTGTCACCAGTCTGGGAGCACCCTCCATCAAGGCCTTTTCAATCGCCCCATCCTTGGGCTGCCTTTTGAAGTCGGACACGAGCTTGCCGGTTCTGTGTATGTTCTGCTTTGGGGCACGATGAGTCCAGTCGCGGGGGTCGTACGTCCAGTGAAACGTCTTCAGGTTTATAGCCAAGCGCAGCAGCCAGTACACGTCGTAGGGGTGAGTATGGCTCTCGAGAAGCCGCAGATCCTCGATGCGTTTCAGATCTTTGGCAAAGCCAGCCAGCCACCCTCCTCTGATCTCTTTGGGTTTGGTTTGGTAGATGGCCTTCGGTGGCTCCTCTACGTTCAGCTCCGTCGCCTTGCCCGGGATATGGTATGGTGAATCGAGGTGTCTCCAATCGCCGCAGTCCTTGAAAAGAATGAGTTGCTTGGTGTAAGGCAGTTGTGCTGTCGCAACATGGGTCGGGCGATATGGGAACCAGAAATCCGGCTTGGACACGTAGCCATTCGGGCCGTGACGAGGCTGAAGACGGATAGTGACGAGATACTTGAAGAAACCAGGCTGGGCGTCTTCACGAGACAGGTCCACGCACTCATGCAATGGGTCTTTACTGGGGTATCGCTCTTTCTTCTCCATCATCATCTTCTTCTCCTCCTCCTCCTCCTCCTTCTTTTTCTTCTCCTCCTGCTCCTCCTTCGTCTTCTTCTTCCCAGGTGGATCGTCCGGAAAAGGTTGAGTTTCTTCCCGGGGCACGACGATCCACCTCAACACTGAATCCACAATGGTGTATGGACTTTCTTCCTTCCAATCGGGCAGCGTGAGAAGCAAGTCTTGAACGTTGTCCGACAAAGCCAAGATGGCGCCAAAGAGCTGCTGAGGTAGACACTTCCGCGTGTCTTTAGGCTCTTCGTCCATAGCAACACTGCCAGAAGCGGCCTCTTCAGAATCCTGGCAGGCCTTTGGGTCCTCATGCTGCTTGATAAGTTCTCTGGGTTCCAGTCGGGGACTTCTGAGCTCAAGACCCAGGGTGTAGAAGATGTCACGCCTCGACGTTCCAAGGACGATGGCCATCTTGTAGTTATTGTCACTCCCCGTCGTTTCGTGGGGTTCGACCGGCTTGGGACACCCCTGCTTCCATGCGATGATGGTGTCGAGGATTACATCCAAGTCCGCCAAGTCCAGCAGGCAGGCAAGGTACTTGATCTTGCCACATAAATGGGGATTATTCCACAGCGTGACGAAGAGAGTGACGAGCTGCTCTGCGCGGACGAGGACAATGCTACGATATAGTAGCGGTTGGGCCACAACCTTCAGCTGTTTCGTGGTCCGACAAGCGGCATGGAGCGTTCTGCGACGGCACAGGAAGTCCTTCACAGCATCGCTCTTCTCCTGGATCCTCAGAGACAGTTCATTGGGTTTGGTTCCGATCAAGATCGGACCTGGCTCTAGGTACTCGAAGATCTGGTTCAAGACTTTCGGTGGAAAGGCCAGATGAGACGGCGATCCTTGTGGAAAGTATTCGGACAGCTTTCCGTGAAAAGCCAGCCAGTCCTGAGGGGTATTCGGGAATGAGGCCATTGAAACAGACCTACGCGGTGCGTAGCTGAGTTCGCTGCGCAACTGGTGATGTATTTTGCGGGAAGGGTAGAAACGTATCGCGACACGGTCAAGACCTCTGCCGCGATTAATATCGAGACCAGGGTGTGGAATGGAGACCTGCGGTCCTGTAAAAGGTCAGCGATGTGCTAACGATAAGGTAGGGTACAAGAGTGTCTGCAGGACCAAGAACCTTGTGTCAATTAGTCGGCTTTGGTCGAAATCAGAAGTGAGGGAGCCGATGAGTGATACCCGACACGTAGGCAGAAGGTGCAGATGGGCAAACCCTCAGTAGAAAGCTGCCGCTTTGCGCATGGCCACTGAGTAACGCTGTCGCCTGGGCGACTTGCCTGCTAGGTATCCAGGCCTCCCTGAGGTGAAAACACGACGTGGATACCGGGTCAATTCACACCCCCTTTCACGTCGACTTTATGTGGAAGAAGATAAGCATCGTTTCCTGGTTTCAGAGTGGTTATGTAGCCTCTCCAATCCGGGGTGGCGTGATACAAGAGTTACAGAACAACATACTGCAGACATCCTCATAGCCTTGCAACTGACTTACGATGATGTCTTTCCACATTAGCCGCATCATGGCTTCAGTCATCCCCTATAAATCTCCGTCCGCGCACGTTGACAATTCTGTATTCTGTATTGAAGATAATAGAATAAGCAGCTATGTTCTGATCAGTCGTGCTGACTGCTCATTTCAGCATTCATATTCCACAGATGTACAATGACAATGAATACCTATCCACGACCTTGGGTATGTCGTGTATTGAGACTTCTGAGAGGTGGGTGTAGCATATGCGATATACCGAGACGCTGCCTGTACAAGTCTTTGACAGCAAGGGATCATACATATTCGAACTCTCAGAAGTACAAAGAAACCAGCTTCTAGTGTGCACTGGATACCTTACTGTCATGGTTCGAGTCGCAGCTGCTCTACACCGGAAAGGGGGCGTCCCTTGGTGCATGTGTTGGATGCCTGGGACTTCGCATTGAACGAGGTATGGATATAGAAGCACCACCAACTAATATTCTGCTCGAGAGAGACTGGGTGTCCGGCCGAGAATGAAAGCGTCAGTTCCAAGTATATGGTGTCCATCATGGAGATTGGGTGCAGCATTGGAATTTGGAGGCAGTGAGGAAGTCGCCGTCTTGAGCCTGCCACATGTGACATGCAGGTACCAACCTAATAAGGGTGGCGCCAACGTCGTCTGATGATCTGGCCCAGTCGAATGGTAATACAGATGCCCTGATTGGTTACCACTGCATCGTGCAGCGGGTTCGGCTGTGTGTGCTGCAAGCGGTTTGAACCAATGAGAAGCGGGGTGACTACCACCCCAGTGATGTCAGCCCTCGAGCTTTGAGCTCCCGAGCTTCCAAGAGGTAGCAAATCGAACCACCTGTGCAAGTGAGCAGACCTGCAAACACAACACACTGCGCTGCATATAGAGAGCTCCTCTCCTGACCAAACAGACAAACCGATACCGCCTTTTTTGACATCACACACTACCGAAAACCCGACGCAATATTCTCGACCATCTGCTTGCATCCTCCATACATACCCATCCTCTCTCATCCCCTCTACAATCATCCATCATGACTGAAGTCCCCAAGGCCACGCCCACTTGCTGCGGCAAGAACTCGGGCAGCGAGTGTGTTTGCGGTATGTTTGGCGCTCCTGTACCCGTCTGTCTTGCGTTTCGAAGGACATGTAACTGACCATTGCAAATTCTACAGCCAAGCAAGCCACCTGCTCCTGCGGCAAGCAGTCTGCCCTCAACTGCACCTGCGAGAAAGCCTCCGATGAGAATGCCGTCAGCGGTGCCCGATGCTCGTGCCGCGCCCGTCCCGCCGGCCAGTGCAACTGCGACAATGCGTCCAAGGAGAACGCAAAGGTCGCCGGCAGCACCTGCCAGTGCGGCTCCCGACCCGCCGACTCGTGCACATGCGAGCGTGCCGGTGCCAGCGGCGGCTCGAATGCCAATGAGATCGATTTCACCACCAAGAAGTAATCGGAAAAGTGAGCTATGGTTAGAAGGGATGGAGTTGGTGGACTGGACTGGATTGGACTGCAGTCATAGACAACAGCATTCCTTCAGGAGTGTGCGCGCATGGAGGACAAAACGGCGGTTTTCTACAGAGCAAAGGCGTTGTGATGCATGGGGCTGGTTGATACGGCGTTAGAGCAATACGCACACACAATTTCGGTCAGGCATCAGATGGAACATCTTGCAGCGATAAGCAGTCACTGGGCGGTTATTTCAGCAGATTCCAGCGCTGGGATGGTATGAGTCGCTGATTCTGCTCAGGTACTATGTGCATGTTGTAAATCATCCACGGGTGCATGGCGGACGTTGGTGAAATGAGAGATTCCTGGATACACCTTAGCACTTCTTCAGGATCTGCGCAACAGGCCAGGCAGCCCAGATGAGTGTTCGTTGTGATGTTGATTGCATGTGTTCAGTGTGTCTCCCTCGGACTGGTGACCTGACCGCCTTCACCGCCTTCACCGACTGCACTCGAGAATTATATTCTGCCGGACAAACTCGCCAGACGCAGACAGGGGAGCTTGTGCAGGGCTGCCTAATCGGGTAATCAATCGGGCGGTGGGGGCCCCTGGCTGGCAATCCAGCGCCCATTCAGGCTAGTCTGAACAGCTCTGGTGGGGATTACTGGGGATTACTGGGCCACGATTCGCCGCATGCAGGCAATCCCAGCGGGTTCTCGATCCGGCGGGGCACCATTGTTATGGCGTGCCTGAGGCGCATTTTCTCATTGCACCTCAGTTTTGGTATTTACCTACTCTCCAGGCGCGTCTTCCCTTCCTTCCTTCATGAACACTGCCTCTCCGGTTCTCCCTTTATCACCATCTTCTCGCAGCCAGCCGTAAACGTCTACAATACTTCTGCCTCGGTCATTGTATCAATTATCCCTGCTTGTTGTCAGACGGACAAAGGAATCTAGTCGAATACAACCATCAAGCCAACACTTGTGTCCAGCGTTCGCTTTGTGTCGCATCTCTTCCAGAGTTGTCTGACCAGGGCAATCTCTTCTTCTCTATCATTCTAACCTCACCGCATATCCCACAACCTGCTATCGCCGTCCGAAGACTCTTTCGGAGGCAGTCGATTGTCCCTTGACGACGCTCGAGTCTCCCACAAAGTACCTACCCAACCACATCCATTCTGCGAGCATCCTCTCCACGGCTACACGACAGCAACGCTCTCACAATGGCCCCGAAAAGAAAACCTGCCGTTGCCGCAGACGCTGCTGCTCCCAGTACCACGAAAAAGACGGCCACAAAGACCGCGAAGCCAGCTACAAAAGCGGCCCCGAAGAAGGCTGCCGCTCCTAAGACGGCTCCTAAGAAGGCTCCTAAGAAAGCCGCGGCTCCAAAGAATCCTGTTGCCGCCGATAAGGAAGCTCCGAAGAAGGCTCCCGCGAAGAAGAGCGCCCCGGCGAAGACTGTCACCACCAAGGCAGGTCCAAAGGCGACCAGAGGCTTGAAACGCAAGGCTCCCGACGATGAGGACGATGACTCTAGCCCCAGTTCCAGCTCCGACGAAGACGCCGCAAGCTCATCTGGGGGTCCGCCTCAAAGCAAGAGGCCCAGAGCGTCGGCGGACGAAAGCAAGATGCCCAGAGCGTCGGCGGACGGCTTGGCCGAGTCAGGCACGGCTCGACGCCCAAGAACAGCTGGCCGGGCCGTGCAGAAACCAGCGCCCCCGAAGGCCCCGGCCAAGCCATTTCGGAAGAGAAGATTCGTGCAGAAAGTCCAAAACGAGAGGCCAACCAAGGTCCTAGATGTATTCGTCTTTGGCGAGGGGTCAGCGGGCGAACTCGGCCTCGGTAGTACACCCTATGAGGGTAAGAAGCCCAAGGACGTGAAAAGACCTCGATTCAACCACAATCTCGACGCCGACAAGGGGGTTGAGATTGTCCAGATTGCCTGTGGTGGCATGCACGTCGCTGCCCTGACAAGTATTGGAAACGTGCTTACCTGGGGTGTCAACGACGATAAGGCACTTGGCCGTGACACCACTTGGGAGAGCGTTCAACATGACATTGATGACTCTGATTCTGACTCGGGTGGAGATGACGAATCGGGCCTGAATCCTCTTGAGAGTACCCCCAGTGATGTCAGTTTTGTTGGTGTCGATCCTCCGGATGATGACAATGCCTTGGAGGAAGCGGTTAGGTACCTCCTAGATGTTGGCATGGGCATTGTTCAGGTCGCTGCAACCGACTCGGCGACCTTCGCACTTACCCCAGGTGGCCAGGTCTACGGATGGGGAACCTTTAGAGGCGCTGACGGTATCATCGGATTTTCCAAGGGGATCAAGAGTCAACCGACCCCTATGTTGATCGAGGGACTGCAATGGATCACCAAGATTGTCTGTGGCTCCAACCACGTGGTGGCGCTGGATGTTGACGGCAGAGTTTTCACATGGGGTAGTGGCGGCCAGTACCAGCTAGGTCGGAAGCCTTTGAGCCGGCATAGTAAAGACAAAACCGAGCTCAAACCGCAAGCGTGTGGCAAATTCTTCAAGAATCATTACGCCATTGATATTGCGGCGGGTTCGTACCACAGCTTCTACATCGACAACAAGCGCAGGGTTTGGTCATGGGGCCTCAACAATTATTCGCAGACGGGCCTTTACGACGACACGGGCAAGGACGATGCCATGGTCCTCGAACCCAAGATTGTCACCTCGTTGGAGAAGTATAAGGTCAAGATGATCGCGGGTGGCGAGCACCACTCGGTGGCTTGCACTGATGATGGGACGCTTCTCACTTGGGGCCGCATCGATGGTCATCAGGTCGGCCACCCCTTGACAGCGTACAACGAGGACAACGCTATCTTTGATGACAGCAACAAGCCTCGTATCCTGATAGAGCCTACTCCGATCAAAGGTTAGTAACTCCTGGCTGATGCAGCTCATTCGCGGCGCAGCATGTCTTACTGACGACTCCCACAGGCATATATACCACATTTGTTGCGGCCGGTACGGATACCAGCTTTGCCATTGACAATAATGGCCATGTCCACTCGTGGGGTTTCTCGGCCAACTACCAGACTGGCCAAGGCACGACAGATGACGTCGAGGTGCCCGAAGTTATTGACAACACGGCTATTCGCGACAGAGTCATTTCCTTTGCAGGTGCTGGTGGTCAGTACTCGCTCGTTGCGTCGGAGCGGCCAGGCCAGGTGGACTTGGAGGAAGGAGGGGGAGATGATTCGTCTGTCGGCAGTGTTGATGGTGAAAACGGCATCTGACCCAACACAATCTAGGGGCTATCGCACCAAGGGAGATTTGACGATGAAGCGAGACATGCAGTATATAACGGTTGCATTTCACAACCAAGTCCCAGGAGTTAGCGATGAAGATATCCCTGGTTGGCGTCGATATTAGTCCTACGTTTTCTGGCAGACAGCCCAAATAGTTAGTTATGAGGGAGGCAATGAGCAGGTTTTGCAGCTATTGTCATTTTTGTGTGTATCGACTTGACGCGTACTGCCGAGTATAGTCGTGGCATCAAAGGCTACCTTATTTCTTACTTAGATTTTGTAGATGATTCTTCATCGTCAATTTAGGCAGTAGACAAGTGTCCACATTATCATGACTACAAGTTCCTACGACCTTGTTTGCGGCCTGATCCTTGGTCTTTGTCTTATGTAAGGTAAGTAGGTGTACCCAACTCTTCATCAAGACAGGAGCCTTCCTGGGCGCTAAGGTGTCGGGTACGACTAAAAGGGGTACCACGGGGCAGTAACACCTTGATCGGCTGTGACGTCAGACTGTACCGACAAGTGCGCCTGCCCCGTCTCAAGAGTCAAGGTTCTACAAATACGGAGCTGGACGACGCCTCAAACATCCTTAACCATGCATTAGTTACCAGACAATCCCAATCTTCAGACGGTTTACCAATTTGAGTTGTCCATAAGCGGGAGACTTCGCGATGCTGGGTCGAATCCTGCTCACCATCGACGCCTTCGGCCTGACGGTCGGCACGCTGAAGGCCGACTACTTCAGCGAGACGCACATGTTCAACCCGCGCTGGCGCCCACACGCGAAGTGAGTCAAATCCCAGTCCTCCCCTGACCTACGTAGTCATCTTTCATATCACCATTGCCGCGAAGAAGGTTCGTACATACAGTAGTGCCAAAAACTGACAAACACACTCCCCCCCGGGCTAGATTCCACAACGCCCAGACCGTCTCGCTCTCGCTGATCCTGGCGGCCATGACGCTCTACTACACGTGGCGGCGGGCGCCGTCGCCGCAGCTGCGCCGCGAGTTCCTGTTCGTCGCCGCGCTGGCCGGGTCCATCTACTGGTTCGCGGGCCTGCTGGCCATCCTGCCGCCCGGCACCATGGGCGTCGACCCCGAGTTTGGCGGGCCGGCGTTCCCGCAGGGCTGGCTGTTTGGGGGGTTTATGGCTTGTGCGCTGGTCGGGGCTTGGTTGGAGTATTGAGGGAGGTTTAAGGGTTGGGAAGGAAGAGAGAGGGGAAGATGGTAAGGGAGGATTGTCGTGGGCTGGGGATGGGATGGGGTGGTTAGGACGACACGGTTCAAGGCCAGGATTGTCGCGATGCAGGAAGCCATTGAATTATCCGCACTACCCCTGGCGGGGCGGGCTACGTCCTGTGGTCGACACCACGATCAACTGTCACTTTCTCGGATAGCTCGAAAGGGTCGTGTTATGCTCAAACCACATCGGTCTCCAAGGCCCGATAGCTCTATCGCCATCGAAGGGGAAGAATCGATTGCTTACCCCTTCTCCGTACCCTTTGCTTCTGCCTTTCATTCTCTTATCGCCTCCCCAGAGACTGTAGCGCCTTTAAGTCCATGGTGGTCACTCGTTCTTGATCATCATAACGCCCTAGCACCTGCCTAAGTTGACATCAATATGACGATTGCAAAGGTTGTACAAGTTATAGCCCACTCGCTGGGATCCGAATACAACCCGTTCGCATCCGTTCGGGCATGTTTCCAGGAGTTTCCTAGTTCCTCCAACTTACACATGAGCTCCGTCGCTGGATTTGGTCTACGTTCGTAGTCTGGCAAAGTGTCGCTCTCAACACGCGCGGACCGGGTCCGCATGCAACGCCAAATATCCGCCGGAATCGATAGACAAGTTCTACAGGACAGTCGATCGCACCCATTCACATGAGTATGAGGGGAGCTGGAACACTGATTCGAACTCGTCGCTTGCGCTATTCCTGACCGTATCTACTTTCCCACCCTGTGGCAGCTTCATTGGTTATGACCCCGTACGTTCCTCCCTTCCACGCTAGTCACCGGCCCGTCGTAGCGGTGTTTGGCCCTGAAATAGTATAGTGCCGACACAATGAGTGCTAGGACGTACAGCGGACCAGCCCAGTTGAACCCGGACGCCGTTGACAGGCTGAGCTTGCGGCCAAAAGCACCAGAAGAAGCTCCATACCGAGTAGAGCATGGCCGCCACGTTCACTGGCATTCCCCATCTGCCCAGCGAGAAGCGTGCCGGAGGTAGCGTTTCTGGCCTTGTGAGGCGACGCCAAAGCACGCAGCCGATGGCGAAGACGTAGCATTGCAGACTAAAAGCGATGGGTGTACGTGTTAGCGGTTGTCTCAAGTGGTGCTCACGAAGCTCTCTGATGTCTCAGACGCCCGTTCAGGGGCCATGCGAAGAGTATGCTTACAGGGAGACCGTATTGAGTGAGGTAACGGCGTAGAAGGCGACTGGGCTGCCGATGTAGATAAGCGCTAGGATGGCGGAGAGAGCGCACGAGAAGATGTTGGCGCTTACGGGTATACTCCGTTGGGCATCCACTTTGCTGAACCAGGCAGAGAAAGGAAGAACCTACCAGGGTGAGGTATTAGCTTCTATAAGTCAGCGAGATTTTACGTTTGTGGGTACGCACTTAGTCTCTCGCGAAAGAGAAGAGGTCTCGGGAGACACCTGCGAGGTAGGTGATGTTGGAGGCCATCACCAAGAGCGTAATGATAGCCATGATGACAGCAATCCGTTTATCTTACATGGCTTGTCGCATGATCCAGGTGGCAGGGTAATCCGTGGGATCATCCAGTGCGGCTTGCACGTCGGGTAGGTGGTAGCAGACGGTGACGAGAAGGGGGAACATAAGCGCAACGTCGACCAAGAAGATAGTGATCATGGCGCGAGGGACGACAATGGCAGCGTCTCTGACCTCTTCGGCCATATGTGCCGCCTGTCGACGTTCGTCAGCACCATAAACTGCGGGAAAATGATGGCTGATGGCTGATGGCTTACCGTGTCGACTCCGGTCTGCATACTGATACCTGACAGCTGACCAACCAATACCGCAAGAGTCATGTCCGGCCATCCACCGGTGTTCGAAACCCCAGTCCAGACGGCCTTATGTGAAGCTTTTGGCGCATTGACCCATACAGGAACGATGAACGCAAAGTATGCTATCGTCCCAATCGCAAACATGGGCACTTGCCAGTATGACAGAGCCCGCTCACCGTAGACACCCATGAGGTACGAGATCAGAATAGCAGCAAAAGTCAATACCGTCCCCTGCCAATTCGCGAACGAGTAGATCTCGTCCATGACCTGGATAATGGTTTGCATCAGAGTGCCAGCGAGCAGCACACCCTGAGCAAAGCCCGCTTGCCAGGCGATTGTCGAGGTCCATCTTGCACATCAATCAGTCTGATGTAGCACATTCGGAAGCGAGAGATGAAGTCTTGAACGTACCCTGTGATGTAGCTCGAGCCCTTCTGCACCTTCTCCGGCGCAAACTCAGACACCAAATGGTAAATCGAGCCACCGATGGGAGCCATGCTAGCCATCTCTGCGAGGCTCAAGTAAATAGCACCAAAACCGAAGAAGCTCCACAGCACATTGTACAGCAAGCCAACCATCCCTCCATCGATCAATCCAGGTGACATCAGGAACAGTGCATATTCCCAAGCCGATGTTGTGGTCCCAATGAATGCAGCAATGGTGATCTGGCGGAATCGCCGGACAAGAAGCTGTTGCTTGCCCATACGGCGCATATCGCTGGCATCCTTGAGACTGGACTTGCTTGGGCCATCGATCTCGTCTTCTGCGCCGATCCTATCTTGCGATGTCTCCTCCGCGATGAGACTGGTAGGCTTTGGTGGGTAGTCCTCGAGCCCTACTGCCGCCCCTCGAAACATGGGAGCACCATGATCTCTGCCACCCGTGCCGGCCGCCATACTGTCGCGGCTTCGTGCTCGAGGCCCTGGGGTATGCTATAGAAAGACAGTGGGTGGGCTGCTCGAACGAACGCCAAGAAAAAGGAGACTGCCCAGGGAGCTTCCAAGGGAAACTCGTCCATTGAAGAAGACGTCTCCTATGAGGAACAAGCTACCTTACCTAGGTAGTACTCTACATCGGCTCATGGTTCGAATAGGGGAGGTCGGACTTGCATGCAAGATGCCGCTGTTGCTTTTGATTCTTGAACCAATCTGAATCCATGTCTTAGCGATCTAATGAATCATGATTGTGAGCTCCTCGCTTATCGATCTCTGGCCCTGTCCACGTCCACGCCATCGCCAACGAGATGCGGAGATATGGTAGAAGCCCACGCCCCTGTTCCAGTCTTGGTTCAGGACAGTGCACCCGGGTAATGGGTAATGGGCACATGATTCCGTGGAAGGCTACTTCGCGGTTGTCGATGTGTACATCTCGAGGACGAGGAATGTAGCACGAGACTCAGAACATACGTGCGTTCGTATGGTAGGTCAGGCAAGAGAATGTTGTGCGAAAAGCAAAGAAAGTGAGTCTAGACCGCCGGCTCCACATGCGATACCGGTAGTTCTAGTGCTGGGGGCTCGTGCATTAAATAGTCCCTTGATTCGCGCATGGCTCGACGCGTGAATCCGCGTTCCTATCCATATCCAATTTTTATCATCTATGCGACTCCAGCTCCTCAACCCCTGACAGATTATCGTCACCTATATACCTGATCACGCTGTTAATAAGCAAGATGCCACCAATCCGCAAAACAAAGGAGAAGCCGGCGGGCAACGCAACGCTGCTCGCCCTCGGCTTCACACGCGTCGACAGAGACGTGGCGCTAGCAAGCGCCGCCAAAGTGCAGCCAGGTCTGCCGCCTGAACCCATCGAGGTCGTCGCGCCCGTTGCGACCCAAGACGCGAATACTGCGGCCGCGCCGAGTCAATCTGGCCTTCCGAAGATGATCCCGATGTGCAAAGGAGAGAAAGTGGCCTCATTCTACAACAACAGCGAGTGGGACGAAAGCCACCGGATACGTTTCGGGACGAACACCACCCAGCTCTCGTTCGGTTCCGGCTTTGAGTTGAAGGAGTATGTCTTGGCTCCTCCCACCCTTGAATAAGAGAAGGGTGACACTGACGGCGCCAAACCCAGCGAGCACATCGCGACCCTCCTTCGCATGGGCCCCGGCGCCGCCACCAGGAAGCTAACGCACTTCCTCTTCGAGTTCAGCGACGCATCGTACAGCGCTCACAACTCAGCCCATGGTCTGACCGATGCGACCATAACGCGTCTCGCCCAGGCCTGTCCAGCCCTAAAAGTCGTCCAGCTTCAGAACGCGATACACCTAACTGACGCGTCCCTGATCGCCTTTCTGTCTCACTGTCCCGCCCTCACCCAGCTCGAGCTAACGGGCGGCAAAGTCTCCGGGACCGCCTTCACCGCCCTGCTGGAATACCCGGAATGGTGTCCCAAGCTCAAGAAGCTGGAAGTCAACAGCAGCGCGGCGATGAAACCCATGCGCGAGCTGAGCAAGCAGCGCGACAAGATGGTGGTGCGGATGAGTTCCAGAGGCCAGGAGAAGAAGTGGGGGGATTGGGAGATGACGTATAACTACGAGGACTATAAGAAGGGGCGGAAGATGGACAAGTACAAGAACTTTGGTCCGGGGCATGAGCTTTGGGATGAGGATGAGTTCAGGAGTCTGACTAGGACGGTCAGGAATATGAGCGGTCGGGGCCGGAGAGGCAGAGGCGGTGGCGGTGGCTGGAATGCGTCGAGGCGGTGGTGAGAGACGTTTGCCTCTTACTATGTGCCGAACGCACGATACCTTCGCATGCTGTGGCCGGAAGGCCGTGGGCAGAGATGGCTACTACGTCTGCAGGGGCTAGGTGGTGAAGCCAGACTCCCAGAAACGAGCCCCTATCGGCTTGACGCCACCGCCTTTGCTAAACAATAATCAATAATCTTACTAATCATGTTGAGTGCAAATCTTGTTCGCTTTCTCGTTGCTGCTTGATTCTCGATATCTCCCAGAGCTTTATGATTCAAACTTGATGGTGAGGTATTGTGTAACACTGGCTGGCATTCGTCGATGAATTGGTCATGTTGCCAACAACCTGCGTACCACCACCACATGGATATGAAACATAAGACGACTTCGCACTGGAGGTAACCACGAGGAAAGCATTGCTTAAGGTAATCTCATGCTCATCAACTCATCTATACCCTTGACCTACACTCACGAGTAGCCCAACTTGAACCAGTCCTCAATATCGAACTCCTGTGAGAGATACATGGCTCGGGGACTCCCTTCTGTCTTGTCATGACAGCACCGGGGGTCTGAGTAGCACTGTCTCAAGCCGGACGAGCTACCACCATGGTACGTTCTTCTTCTCAATTACGAAACAAGAAGCTCCATGTTCTCATTTGAGCTCTCGTATGCGCTTGACTGATCGCAGAAATGTTAAGGGGTGCCACCAACGCGTCCAACATTCACCACGTCTTGATGATGAGAGGAGATACGTGTTCAACTAGTGGCACCTCTCGAGTCCACCCAATTTCCGACGCGTCATTGCTTCTGAATAGTTGCTCGACCGCCAAAAGATATATATATAAATACGTTGCTATCTACAGCTTCTATTACTCGGACCAGACTTCTCCAAGCACACCCCAATACAAACGGCAAGACTCCAATACTGAACGCAAAACCAGACCTTCCACACCGGCATTCATACCGACAAGACTCAAAGCCAGGACGCATTGCCAAACCGTCCACACCGAGGCAACGATACAGACAACGACCCTCACAGCAAGATGTGTCACGTGATACTCCACTGCTGCCGAATGTGCCGCCTGGTTGCCTGGAGGGAGCGGGCTTACACATGTCGTCCAAGACCTTGCCGAGCGAGCGCGGTGTGGGTTGAAGTCGTATATGAAGGCGTGTGTGACGATTGCCGGAACATGCCAAATTAACGGGCACACGCGGTTCGGGGGTGAGTCGTTGGGTGTGCGAACCCTAAGGATGGATGGCGTTGTGGTTTCGATACGAATTGTTGCTCAGACATGGAAGATTGAGTTGATGGACTGGAAAACCCCTGAGGTGGACAGTTTGCAAGGAAAGTTGTGGAGGAGGAGTGGAGGATGGGCAGGCCACACTCTGTAGGGCAGCAGACGTTAAGTAAAAACAAGATCCTTGGCATCTATGTTATAGGAGCACTTCTTAACGGCCGTTAGTGAAGTTTTCAGATGTAGAAGCACTAACAGTCTCCCACTTGTTACGGTCTGACTCTACGCGGGTCTTATGAGTCCATGATCATAGCTTGATGTCTTGGTGAGGTTTGTAGGTTGACACTCGCGGTTTGCAACATGCGAAGGGCAGTGCACACGCCAGCGACGACCTAAATTATAGGCGTGACAGTGTCTGAACGATGAACAGTTTGCTGTTGATTATCACTACTGTCTGGATGTGTACGATAGACTTCGAAGCTCGATTTGCTTTCCTTTCCATTTCAACAACACACCAGGATGATACCCAGAATTCATGAGTGTCTTGATATGATGGCTGGGGAGAGGATGTGTCTGATCACAACAATACCGCATAATCCATACTATGGACAACTGTAAATATTCGGAGCGAGATAGCACATCACAGCTAAGCGGTAGCCCTCGCCTGTTTGGTCCGAGTTTTATGTCAGGCAACTCAAGACCTTGACCTGGCCTTTTTGCCCACTATATAGGCCGGGTTTTCGGATCTGTGTTGTGGTGTACTATGGGTGTTTTGACGGTCGCCCAGGAAACCTCCTGAGCTATTTCCTAGCAACCCATGTGCGATTTGTTATGCCCAACGCAGCAACCACCTAGAAACCATGCTTCCCCGATGATTCTCTGCATCTTTCATCACTTCTGCATTCGCGAATTCTCCCTATGGCGCGAATAATCCATCTCGCGAGACTGCGTATAGCAACTCAATACCGTCGCCCGCACCGTTACAGAAACAAGAACAAGAAGCGAGCTGCGCGTCGAAACCTTCAGATCGCAAGAGAGCTCACGAGAAACACACGATCAAGCAGCCTACGCGTTCAGGTCAAGCCCGTGTACTCCCGTCCGCCTCGAATGACGACATCGAAGAGCGACGACTTCCCAAGTACCCAAGAACGCGAAGAGTTCGACTGGGCGAGTGTCACTCCTCCGCCTTCGGCACAATATGCATTCGCAGATGCCGTTACATCTGCTTTGCTCAAGGCCATGCCGTTGATTGCGAGCAACGCAGTCCTTGACTCCTTTGGCGCAACGTCTCTGTGGGCAGACCAAGAAACCGTTGGCCCCGTCATTGAGGGAACACTTCGCTACGACATCTTGCACAGTTTGAGCGACATCGTGGCCTCAGCTCTTCTAGAAGCCGCTCCGGCCTTTCGACGCGCACGCACACCATGTCAGCCGTTGCACCAGACCGCTACCGCCGCATCCTCTGCTATGCTATCTCCGGTAGAACTACCAGAGAGAAGACTCCCGGAAGACCAGGCCGGTCTACTGCCACGTCCTGCGACCGCGCCATCGACTGAACGTGCCCCCCAAGAATCAACCACCAGCAAGGACCATAGAGACAAACGAGACCGCTGCTGCCCGGAATGCCCACAGCTGATGACTCGAGGGGTATGGTACGATCATATCCGAACAAAACACATCGGCAACACATGCATTTGGCCCGGTTGCCATGGGGTGACGATGGCCAACGAGGGTGACCTCCGTCTTCACGTCCGCGGGCATCATAAGGACGCTCTGACTGCAGCCGCTGCTGCACCTGACGACGGCGGCGACGGCGGCGACGGTCTGTACCTCTGCACGTGGCCGGGATGTGCGAAATTCATTGCCAGCAATGGGCGAGTCCAGAAGCATTTGTACGAGCACCAAGTACGAGCTCGCCGCGCAAAAGATCGGGTTTTGGACGACATGTATGTTGCGAACTGGGAGGCACGAGGGCTGGGAGAGGCAGACCAGGATAATGCCGAGGGCGTGAATTAAACTGGCGCTGGATGCTCTGCGGTCTCTTCTGGTTTCCTCGTATCTTGTCGATGGTTGAGGGGGGGAAATGGTCCCTCTGTTAGGTGTGAGGGGAGTTGGTGTAATCAAGCTGCCAGCCAGACCACAAATCGCCGGGGATTCTTAGGATCAGTCGTGGATATGTTAAACTGACGTTTCGTAATTTGTAATGGCAAGGGCGCGCACCGTAAGAGCAGAGTCGTGAGCATCCCGATTTGACAGGGGCATTCCTAATCGACATGCTGCCAGCGGCTCCTGAATAAGGCCGGCTAAGCTTACAGGCCCGACGCAGGAAGATTGAGCGCCGAAGATCCAGTCAGGATTATTACAATGCCTCACATCCGTCTTCAAACCCATCGGTAAGCATCCGTATCAGTCATGCCGTCTGTCATTGCTACCTGCCTGCTATCAGCGGCGACCATCCATCCCCCAACGGAAGAAAGTTGCGGCCAACACCATGAGCCCATCCCTCTCCATGGGTGGTAGACTCATGGCGCCTGCGGACTGAACCATTACGTACTAGGCAATGTGCATGTTTTCGTGAGGCTCACTCATGTAGTAGGGATGGGGCGACCCCTTAATCAAGGGGTCGACCCACCCCCTGAGCCGTGTAAATTTCCCGAGAGCATGCCGATGCAGAGACAGAATGTCTACATCCACGGCGGCTCTTTCGTGCTCGAGTTGTTGGCTTACAGCTTCCAAAGTTTCCGGTGTGAACGGGGCGGGAAAGCCTTGCGACCCGCTGAACACCGACTCCCAAGCATCGGAGGCCGAAGCCAGCTTTTCTGCTTTCTTCATTGTATCTGCTCCCCTAGACGTTGCTATCGGTGGATTGGCCCGTCGGCCTCTGGCCCAGAGCAATGGCGATGCACCTGTGGCGATGCAAAAGTGGCGCAAACGCCGTTGCTCTGGGGCTTCTCTTGGACCAGTTGGTGCGCCCGAGGCATGCGGTTCTGCATACCCAGCCACCGTGTCGCACGCTGTTTAGCAGCATTGCAACTGTACAGTACAGCGGTAGCCCAGTGAGGAACACTGAGGTGTTCAAGTCGCCGGAAACATTAGCAGAGTGATTTGCTGCCAATCTAAGGTTCCCACGATAGTTGTTCCCCGGTTGCTTCAATGTGATGGACATTGGAGCAGGTGCCGATGCGGGTGTTGATACCGGGGTTGGGGCCGGTTCTGGCGCCGGTTCTGGCGCCGATGCAAGCTGTGCGAGGTCGCTTCGCATGAACGAGCGTTTCGCGACGTTCTTCAAGGCCCGGGTTCTTCGTGCCCACCACCGAAGAGCGCCGTCGCTGGCTGGACAGCCAGCAGTTGTTCCATCTCCGGCCAAAAGCACTGGAGAATGAACGTTTCTTTGCATACACGATACACTTGTGCAGCTCGTAGAACAATGCCCCAGGAGTTGGCGTACTTGATGGAGGTGTCATGGCATGATGGTAGTGGCTTTCTGCGGAGAACAGAAGAAGTCCGCAGAGAAAAGGTTGGGACTGATAACATCTCACCCCCCCCTGCGGACCACCCCCCCACGGACCACTCCACACCACACCACTCTCATTCAGATGAAGCCATCTACAACCACCACAGTTGCTAAATACACTAAGGTCGTGGTGTTCTAACCATAATACAGCTCCCAGAATCCGATTCCGACCCTAAATCTTCACCAGGGACCTCTTATGGGACCTCTTCGCCTGCAGCGGAGTCCCTATAGACCCTCCTGTTCCTCAGCTCCATTTTGGCCTCCCTTATGTTAGCCATTGTGATGAATCGTTCCCCTGGTGTTGGTTTGACTGCTTTTCGAGTGGTATTAGCCTTTTTAGCCACTTGAGCCTCAAGCAGCTCATATTTGGCCCGTAGATTTGTAATGGTAGCAGCCTGAACATCCATAGCCTTGCTAGCCTTCCGCACCAACAAGCGCTCAAAGGGCCCCCCAAAGGAAGGGTCCTTTCTTTCGAGCTTTTGAGCACTCTCCCGCAAAGCCCGGCTTCCAGAGGGTGTTGTGACAATGGTTTTAGCTACCATCTCGAGAAAATCTGGTGTTGTGGCTCGCTCGGAAGCCTTAGGGTCCCTCTGGCGTGCCCTGGCCACCCCTTTGTCCTCCAGAATCACATATTTCGACTTCAATGCCTCCGCTCTGTTGCGAGGAATAATCCCAGTCTTTTTCCAGGCAATTCTGATGTTGAGGAGCGTCATTGTGTCCTTCCGGGCCTGCTCGTAGCACTCCAAAACCTCCTCCTTAGATGGCCTGAGTCCCAGACGGCCGCTGGGCGTCTCCTAGAGTAAGGTCTTCAACCTCTTCTTCACCAAATTGAAGACTCCCACATCTAACACCTGGACTACATGGGAGCAGTGAGGTTCATAAAAGATCAACCATACTTTGTTTCTCAAGCAGGTGGCTAGGAACTCGTCATTCGTGTAGAAGTCGTGGCCATCACACACCAAAACCACCCATGTGTTGCCGTGGACCTCCCGAATGTGAGGAATAAAGATACATTGAAGCCATTCTAACGCAATGGGATTCGAGGTCCATCCATTGGGCGACGTAATAAACCTCCAGTCGGTGAATTTGCCCTCGTTTTGGTTGCTAAACTACTGGACTTGTACGTTAACCCCCTTGAGAATCACCAGCGGCGGCAAGGTCTCACCAGATCCGCTCACACACTCTAGGGCAGTTATCCATTCACCCTTCTCGACCCCTTTCTTCATAGCCACGTTGCCGGAGGCCTCGGAGACCACCTAATGGGAGTCCCCAACCCCCTGGGCGATTCCCATTTCGTCGACATTGTACCAGCGTGCTGGCATGAGGTTAACCACGTCAGGGGCGTCACACCGATCGAAAAAAATGTTGATATTTGCCGCTGTAGCACCATTCACTCGGCTGTAGTCGATAACACGAGACTTCATTATCTTGACTTCCGGGTTTCGAGACAGGAACTTGGATGCCCAATTTTTCCCTAATTCTCGAGCATCCCCGGTGGCATGGAGCATCCGCTAGGCCATGAGACAGAACTTAGAGACCGCCAGAGAATACCCTAGCCGTGCTTGCCCCAGGGCCCAGCTTGCCAGCTTATGTTCGAGATACGGTGAGAGAGCCTGTTGGAGAGCGCTGGTCTCATTCCGCATTGGGGTGCCAGAGATTCGTCGGTTGACGTACGAGTAACTGATTTGCCATTCGAGGGCTGACGAGCGGACTGGAGCTCCGCGTTGGATGGCCAAAATGGCGGCTTCAGCTTTTATTTGACGGTCGTAAAATGACATCATGAGATTCAGCAGTAGATAAGGATTCAAATAGTGTGCTTTGTGAAAAAAAAGATGCAAAAGTGATGGTGTAGATGGTGGATCACCATAATCCTGGTGGTTGGTGAATTACGCGTTTGTGGGTCAGAACGCGCTGGTCTGCGGGGGGGTGGTCCGCAGGGGGGTGGGAGATGTTAACGAGTGAACTCTGGTAGCTTCCAGCGATGCTTTTGCACAGTCGGAAGACTAGGTCTCGTAATACTGTCTCGTTTATTTGTTGAGCCAGGGCGGTGAAGGCCTCATCAGCACTGTCAGGCCTGAACTCACAATATTGCCACAGCCGGATTGTGTTCTTGTCCTCCGGTATGTTCTCGCTCTGGTATTGAGGGTTCTCTGGGTTTCTCGAATAGTTGGTGCAGGATTCCTCAGGCTGGGGCGTGTGAACTGTCAAACAGCGTGTATTCTGGTGATTCTGATTTTAGTGTTGTGTCTCTGTGAAAATCCTTCTGTGGGCTAGGTGGCCTAAGTATGCCCTATTGGCCTTGTTGGTGCACTTCCACCTCCCTGAACGCCCCAGTAGCTTGTGCGCCATCCAACATAAACACCAACAGCTCCGGTACTGCGAGGCTCGTTTCATGTGAGACTCGACAGGGTCAAAGCGCATCTTCGCCGTTGGATTGAGTTCGAGGGAAGGACGTATAACAACGGGTACGGCCAAGTTGATATATAATAGTACAAGGACTTCGAAAAAGTTGAGTTACTATAAGTCGATAAGATGTGTATTGAGTAGTATGAAACGGCATTGAGTTACCTAGAGTGATTCAAAGTTATAAAAAGTTATATTATATCGACCAAGTCACTCAACAAATCAAAAGTGGCAACTTTGGACGTTGGTCGCTGGTATTTCGGTGGTACCAAGGCCAACGTTGATCCATCAACTAGCTTTATGCCACCTTTAAAGGCGAAGTACTTACATGTTATACAGCACGGAAGAATGCTTGCTTCCACTGACTGAGCCAGTTGGGAACCCACTCAGCCATGCTTCATGACAAACAATTCTAGTGCTGCATTAGAATGAGTCTTGATGTACACTACCCTTTCGTCAATAGGCCTCCAAAAATGTGATCAAACGATGTGACAGTAAAATTCGGAGCGGCAGACAAAAGTAGGGGCAACCTCCCACGTTACGACCAAATATGGTATGCGAATCTAAGAGTCGCTTCATTGAAAGGTAGGCGTTATCCCCCTTTGCCGATTTTCTACGTAGTGGTGAAGACGCGTGTTGCCCCTTTAACGTTACCCCTATTTTGCCTCTCCTTCCTGCCAACTACGGCCGGCCTTCCTTCCCTACCCAGCCACGGCTAGAGTCCTTGTTTTCTTAAAAGAAACACACCCATATGCAAATTCACGGACATATTACAGATGTGCGTGGTTGAGTTCGAATCGAAGCGGGGGGTTTTTTTTTCTCCATATTCAATTTAGGAAGTGGTTCGCGGCGGGCAGTTGAGTACCTAGGAGACGGGTAGCGGGCCGTCGCCCAGTTAGCGGACCGATGGCACCTGGTCAATGCACGAGCAAAGTGACCCCACTGAAAGATCTCAATTGATTCAGGGATGGAATGCCGCCACCTCAACACTCACTCATTATTCGACATTTGCATACCAGTTCTCACATCGCTCCTCTGCCCAATTAGTGCATCTTACGGAGCATAAGTAGGTTGCCTGAGAGGTAGGCAACGACTCTGTTCAATGCCCATCAAACCGTCCCCGGCAGTCTGTACTTTATCGGCGCAACAGTTCGACGTTGCTTCTGCGATGGCGTTTGATCCCATCGTCACAGGATCCCCTGCTTGCCACGCAACCTCATCGCTAGAGTCAGCCCTATCTTCACCTGCGCAAGATGTCGACCTTCAATGGCTACGTTCATGAATTCCCAGACATCAGAGGTTATTCTTCTCTTGCTACGATATGTAGCCAGACATCTGCTGACTCATTTCATCAGTCGATTACTTCCGTGATATAGACAGGCCGCCCCCACTCGCCTATTTCTTGAGCCATGTACACAGCGATCACCTTGCTGGACTCGAGACTTTCAAGAGTCCCTTGTAGGTTTCCCATGTGCTGCCGAGACAGCAATTACTGAAACGTCACAGCATATACTGCTCACCGGCGACCAGAGCCATCTTGCTCCGCCTGAAGAAGACCGCCTGCCGGCTCAATTATGCCAAGGGCATTCTAGAGAATCCTCGGATGCAGACCTACCGACACCTTGACAAGGTGCTCAAGGCGATTCCTCTGGATACCCCGACAACACTCGAACTTGGGCCTGGGAGTACAGTTCAAGTCACGCTGTTGGATGCGAATCACTGCACAGGAGCTGTGATGTTCTGTATGTCACCAAGTCAGCGCTGTTCATGTTGACCGCTGACTCCCGAGGCTAGTATTCGAGGGCGACGGTAAAGCTGCGCTATATACCGGGGATATCAGGAGCGAGCCCCGAATGGTCACTGCAACCGCCCAGAATCCGACCATGATCGAGTACTCATCAGGTTGGAAGACCCTCGACCGCATATACCTGGACACGTCAATTCTCGATGACTACCCCCTCCCAACCAAGGCAGAAGGGCTCCGCGAGCTCATCGAGAAAGTGTCAAAATACCCTAAAGAAACCATCTTCCATTTCCAGGCGTGGACATACGGGCAAGTCGGCGAGATCTATCTACTAACTCTATCTAACCTGCTTGCAGGTACGAAGAAGTTTGGATCGCCTTGTCCAAGTCACTGGGCTCCAAGGTATTCCAGTCTCGCCAATATGGACTTCAAAGACTGACAGATATAGATCCACGTTGATGAATACAAGATGAACGTATATCGATCGCTCGTCACTAGATCCAATGACAATCGTTGGGCTACCCAAACCCACCTATCCAAGGAAGCTCCATTCCTGGTCGGGTTCACTTGCGGTAACCATCAACATGACGGCTGCCTCACGCTCGATGAGAATGCCCGGCTTCATAGCTGCGAAAAAGGCATGGGTTGTTCGGTAATGGAGAATAAGCCAGTGGTCTGGATTCAACCGATCGTAGCACACCTTAAGAATGGGCAAGACATCGTTGAAGTCGGCATTGGTGGGGGTGGTGACGACCTAAACCGCACGACCACATTCACACCAGAGGACCTAGTAGCCCTACTTCAGATGTAAGCCTTGACGTCAGGGGTTTCCAGTAGTGACTGACATCTATAGGGCGACGACCAACAGAACCCTACCCCAGGAAGTGCAGAATGATCTCGAAGTCGTGAAGAGAGCGTTGGTCGGTGGTAGAGATGTTGTGGCAGACATCGACGAGTCAGACTCCACGGATGATCAAACCATCACAGCCATCATCAAGTCGATCGCTCAAAAGATCAAAGTGATGTGGAACCCGGTTAAAAAGGTCGAGGAGAGTGACGATCCCGAGTCTTTGCCGAAGGTTATCCGATTTCCATATGCAAGACATTCCTCGCTGCCGGAGCTGCGACACCTGGTGCGGACCTTCAAGCCAAGGGACATCTGGCCCTGTACCGTGGACGAGTCTTGGATCTCACGAGGCATCACCATGCGTGATAGCTTTGCCGATTGCTGCTCTGGCGACGTATTCGAGCATGACAAGCTGATGGAGCCCACGTTCGAGCAAAGGATTGTCACGCAACCACAGGTCGAGGAGGACCAGGACAGCCAAGAGACTGCGCATTCTCCTCACGTTCCTTCGAGCGTCATCATCCCGTCCACTGAGGATATTGGGATAGTTGACCGTACAAGCGTTGCAACCATTTCCTCGCCAAAGGCAGTTGGACAGCAGTCTGTCCAGACATCACAATCCATTAACTTTTCCCAGGGACATGAAAGGTTGGAGACCGCTTCACGGCAACACAAACGTGACTTTGAGTCATTCAATGACAACGGAAGCATATCTGGCGGCTCGGACGACGAGCCGAGCCTCCAGGGCGACTCGCAGGCATCAGCCATTTCCGACCGGGCGTACGCAATACGATGGGAAGCATTCCAGGCCATGCGGTCTAACATCGGTGGCGATGACTGGGAAACATTTGGCCTGATCTCCACGACGGATCATCATACTTCAGTAGACCATGACTTGGGTGGACTATGAGTTAAATTAGTGGTGTTATGGCCGCTTGCTGAATATCATATGGGTGGGATCACCCTGAGATATACCATATGCGACAATTTCTACGGCGCCAGCGGTGTCCAAGGTGCCTTGGAGGCTCCTGCTGCTACTGGTGGTTTGGAGGTTGTCATTGAGTTGGATGTCGGTGGTGCTTCTTCTTCCGACTACGTCACCGTCACCAACGCCTGTCTGGCCGTCTCCAGCTGTGTTGGTGTTGCCGTCTGGGGTGTCGGCGATGCTGCAAGTACTCACCCAACCCACAGTACTCCCTCCATCGATTATTGGACTTGCTGACGTGCGTGATTGTAGGACTCATGGCGTGCGGGGGAGGCCCCTCTGCTCTTCGCTAAGTACGCCTACATGGCATTCACTGGTAATTGGGTGACATAATGATTTCCAGTACGACAAGCGGCGAGTAGGTGGGTTTTCCAGCCCTTTCCCCATGAAACAACCGACTATGGCCGGTGATTATACAACTTCTTGATGCAACTGCCTGACCGGGCAGGCGGGTAGCTAAATGATGTGTCCCTTTCTATGGGTACCAGCGCGACTCCCGGCCCAGTTGCCGCCAGGAAATATTGTCGATTATGGTGCTTTGCAGATCGAGAAGGTGAATAATCTGACCGTGGGACGTATAACGATGGTCCAACAGAACTTCCTTGGTTCGCGACTCGTTCCACCCGCGGTCCTGTGCCACATGTTGCCATGCGACGGCTGTAGCCTTTTGTAAGGAGCAGCCCCAGGTGCTTGACAAACGCAGGTCTGGGCGGTCGTCTTTCTGGAAGGAGTAGCGAAAGATACAAGCGTAGCCTGGCCCGCAGGTCCAGATTTCCATGACGGACAGCTTGGGCATCCTCCTTGCTGCTTTTGCGGCGGCCACGGCCAGGTTGTCGATCTCGAGAGGGTTCAGCGCATGAGACGTGAGTGCCAGGTATTCGAGGTTCGTCCACTCGGGTTGGTTTGCCTCCTGCAGGTCTTCGTTCCCGGGCCAGGAGTCTCGGAAGAAGTCCTTGGCGTCGACGAGAAATGACAGGCACATCCGCTGAAGGCCGTAGCTTGCCCTCAAAGCAAGCTGTGCGAGGACTGGATGCCCGAATCGCATGCCACCAGAGTGCATGTGACTCGTAAAATCTTCGAAGATGCTCAACGCGGCCAAGGAAGACGAGTGCTTCGCCGCTCGAGAAAGCAGCATACCGTGATCTCTGTCGCGCATCTGCTGGTGCTCCCCATCATCCAGACCGCGCCAGGGCTCATACTGGAAGAGCTCGAGTCGAGGCAGATGGTCGGCAATGACCAACAGCGCCTTCGCCGAGAATGCCCGATGGAATTGCCTACGGATGATCAGATGGCTCACGAACGGGACCTTGGCAAGGTCTGTGCCCTTTTTCACGCACGCTGCCCGCATGTCAAACCGCAATCCCAGCTTTGACCCAAACACTCTGTGCCTGGCGGCCATCTCGGGCTGGCGGTTCCACCGGTGTCGCCTCCAATGGTGTCTTCGGTCGTTCGGATGCTTTACTCGGCCTCTCATATTCAAGTGGGCAGCGTCGTCGGCTCGGTCGCTCAGCTCCTTGAAGTAGTGCGCCCCATCACCGGGTGAGTGAGCACTCAGCTCCAATATGAACATGTTCTTGGGTGCCGTTGCATCCTGTTTCCAGGAGCGCAGTATTCTGAATAGCGCCCAGATGGCCCTGGTGAATTCGAGGTCATGATTCCTATCTTGAGTTTGCGTTTCACGCTTGCGGCAATCCACGCAGCTGTAAGGGGGGATCTGGAACCTCAACCACACCCACCGCACGTGCTGCTGGCGGTGCCCTTGGACACTTCGTTCGAGCTCGGGGAGATCGGACTGGTGCAGCGTCAAGCGTCGGAAGTTCGGCTTTTCGAAGAATGCCTGCCATTCTCTGCAGACCGCTGCGTAGGTTGATAGGTGCTGGCGGGGGGGCTGGTCGCTGGGGGATTTTCTAAAAACAAGCCACCGCTCAGCCACTAACAGATCCAGGATGATGAGCTGGATATCTCGTGGGAGCCGGTCCCAACGAAAGCGAGGCATGTCGTAAAGCCTCGAGGAAGATGGCCGCAGCCGAAAAAGCGACAATGTTGCGGTTATTGTGGTAGGCTTCCGGTGGAATGAACGCCTATGCCAGGTGATTTAAAAAGAACAATTCTCGGTGGACTCTGACGTGTCTTGAATGCGATTGTGGGCGATCCCAAAAAGCTGGCCCATGACAGAGTTGCCCTGGCTTGTGATCGATGCGTACCTAGGTAGGCACTCTGGGTACTTTGGGTTTAAAGTTCACGTCGTCGAGCAAGTTTTCACCTGTCCTAAAGCATGGCGCGGGTTTCGTGGCCGGTGAGGTCCTCCTCCTATCTGCCGCGGCTCTCCCGCCTGCGCGCGCCTCATGCTTCTTTGCAGACCTGGGCTTCTTTACCGATACCGCCTCGATGCGGATAAGCAATGTGCCCCTCGGGGTCTTCCTTGGGAGTCGCGGGAGTAACGGCCGATGCCATGGCAGATCTCCGATGGTCTTATCACAGTGTGATGTGTCGACGAAGTTTTACCAGGTAGTCGCGGACCTACAAGTAGTTGTTTGTCGCCCTGAACCCTAGGAAGTTCGAAGCAGGGGTTGCACGTGCGGGGTTCATGTTGTTGTTGTTGTTGTTGTTCCTCAAGGCTTAAGCCAGCCACACGGCCCACACCAGCCCTTCCCCTCCCAATGCCCAAACATGCACCTGGCCTTGGGATACCACCAGCTACCAGAACTCCATACCTCCTACTGTACCACCTTAAACCAATCACATGCATACCGCCCAATTATATACGCGCTATCTACTTGACTCCAAGGTAAACGTGCCCGTCGAATGTAAGTGCGTCTAGTTCAGAATGGCTGATCATTAACCAGTTCCCCTCATAAGTACACCCTGGGTCTTCACCATCGACCATAACACGCGCCATGTTCGTCCCTACTGCCTCCAGGCTCAGCCAGGCTCCCCAGTCGCTAGTCATTTACCATGCGCTCTTCAAATGTGGAAATATCGTCCCTGGTGCTGCTGCAACGAAAAACGGGTCGGGACAGTCCTTGATCTATCCCCAGGTCAAGCGTGCCGCGCGCAAGAGCGGCATCGCCTTCCTCCTGACTAAGACGATGGCCAGACCGGGCTTCATCTACGCCGAGAGCTCAGATGAAGCTGCTCTCACGGAATGGGTCAACTATGTCAAAATGCTGCAACAAACAGGGCGTGTACCACCTTGTGGTGAAGCCTGCGCCCGCGCCCGTGTCCCCGGACCGGCCGCTGAAGTTGAGTGGCGAGACTATCGTTGAAGTGCGGTCCATGAACGAGTTCGCTCTAGAGTTGACTAAACGCGGTCTTAGGGGCTGGTGGGACGTTAATGATGGCTTCAAGGCGCACCGGTTTAATTAAGGGTTGGGGTGGGCAGATGCGGGCAGGACGGCATGGTAACATCTGAGGTGGTGTAGAAGTTGATCACAACAGAGATAAATGTTCTTCATTTGGGAGTTTTCCTTTATCACGCGGAAACAGATAGATATCCAGACCAGGCGTGTTTACCGAACGTGTATTACTAGCTCAGAACAAACAGCTTCACCCGCTACGCGTTACCGGACGCAACTACAAGCAGCACTAAGACGATCAAATAGGTTTGCAACTGGCCCTCGTAAGCTTAAAATCCGCGGTGCCTTCGAAGCGGTCCCGAGACCGTCTTGCCTCGTTTGCGGCGAACTTGCATTTAACTAGGCCGACTAGCTTGCTAATTCCCGCAACAGTCTATTTACACATCCCAAAATGTCGTCCAGGTCAACGTCCCCGCCGAGTCTGGAGGTATGGGTGTCCTCGCCAACCACGGTTGTTGCCCTCCCGGATCGCGGCCACAACGCGCAATCACGCTCTGTATCGACTACTGCTAGAAATTCTGCCCGGAGAACACGATATAAGCGCTTGAACACTTCCGCGTTGCCCCAACAGAACCACAGGGGAGTATGACTTGGCAAGCTGTTGCCACAAGTCCAAATACGCCATGGCTAGGTTGGTATAGGGGTAGATCCTTTTCCGGCCACTCTCCAGGTCTAGACTGCGGTCTATACAGCTATATAAAGTTCAATGACAACTATTTTACTGTGTATCCTTTCACAAACCTCTTAAAGTTTTTTTTACTAAGCCTTAGTCTAATGTTGCAACACGTTTGCAATGTCAGCCTTGACGCAATGTCATCTATACACTATTTTTCATGATTGCTTTGCCTAGGTGTAACTTACATGTCAAGACAAGAGCCGGTAAAGGTTTTCTGCTACTATCTGATGCAGGCTATTTCTTTGTATTACTTCAGGCAGACGAGGAGAAGAAAATAGTCAGTCCATGGTAACGCTATGCTAAAGGCGGAGAACCGGCTGCAGTGACCCGATCACACTCTCCATGTCTATAATTTTAAGAAGAGTTGCGTTCAATTCGTTTTTAAGTATATACGATACTGATCCCCGACTTTGAAAACGCGAGCATCGGATTTTGCATTAACTATTGCTACGGTGGCTGCAAGTGAAATTTTCACCTGATCTCACCCCCGTTTCACAAATCACGGAGCTAATCCTTTCAGGGTGTCTGGCGGTGCGAGAGTATATAGGCAATCGACTAGAATTGCTAGAGGACCGCCTTTATGAACTGACCGCACTCTACGAGACGGCCGACTACCTTATGATGCCACGCCTATTGAACGACTTGACGTTTTAAATCCGACAGTGCTTGTGAAATATTAAGTGTTCTATATTAAAAGAAAGAAGAAGAAGTTTTTTAAGCTAGGGGTAAAGCCCCGTTTAAGTAGCTAGGTAATCTCTTAAAGTAACCAGATAACTATAATAAACACTTGTTATTGAATCTAATTGAAAACTAATATTTATAATGTTGTAAGTATGTTATAAATGCTTTAAAACTAACGCTTTAATATATTTAGCCTTTAAAGCTCTTTAAAACCGTGTTTATACCTGTTATAATCTTATTATTATTGCAATATTTTAATACCTTTTATAAATTAAAGACATCATTATTAATTAATAATTCAAATATAACACGCTTAAGATTTTTAAATGATTTTGAACGACTTATTGTTACGAACCAACGAACAGTGCGGCCTGATAGCAGGCCTAGAAGGGACGATTGGAAACAGATTGACCAGAGAGTGGGGTGCTGATCAGTTGAGAGATCGGAGCAACGGAGCAACGGTACACAGATCACGCGACCAGCAGAGCCTGGGTCACGTGGCTAAGAATTTGGATCACCTTGGATCACCGGTGATCCAGGGTGAGCCACCTAATTCGTGAGGGAGAGATTAGATATATAAGGACAGACATTTCCCAACCAGATAGATAGACAAAGCATTTTAGCCAACCCTAAGGTGGGAGAAATCTCCTGACGACTTGACTACGCAGTGAACCCAGTTCAGACCAAGCCCCAGCATCTGAGTGTCTTCTAATTGACAGAAGCCTCTATCGTCCTTTGTGTTGACTTACCTCAGAACATAAACCCTATAACACCCTTTAGCCTTATAGGTTAGACGGCTCGTCACAAGCGCTTTTTAAAAAAAATTTTTATTTACGATAAGTTAAGTAAAGGTTACATAAGTTTAGTTATTTGGTTTTTTCCTTATAATTAATAAGGTTTAAAGCTTAAAGTTTTACGGGTATTTCATATATACTTTATTTTTATAACTTGATTATATTATATGTTTTTTATATTTATATTTATTTTATCTTTAAGTAGTTATTTTACCTTTTATTAAAGAATTTAATTCTAACTTAATATCGGACATATTTTATAACGTGCGGGAATTCAGGAACATTTTTTTTTAAAATGTTTAAAACTTATTATTGATTATTTACGAGAAAGATTATAATATTAAGATCTATTTATCCTATGTATACGACAACCATATAGTAAATTTTTGTTTACTTTATAACAGTAATAAATTAGCTTTATAAACCGCATGGAATATATTTATAACTGATTAATATTTATTAATATAATTTTTTTTAAATAGTATAAAAAACAGCGGGGAAACATCGTTTGTAGTTTTAAATTTTCCGGTAATAAAGGTAGTTAAACGTTATAAATACCAATATATTCAAATAGGTCGTTATTAATAAAGTTTATATTAATAAAGGTACTAAAACGTTTATCGAGGTTAAAAGTAAAACAGGTAACGTAGGTCACAAGCGAGCGGCAATTACAAGCGAACGGCAACTTTTCACCAATCTTCTAACCAACATGTCAAATAACTCGACCACAACGCATTTAATTCAATCTAATCAATCGGATTCTTCTTCTTCAGACGTTTCTATCTCTATTGTACAAGTTTGCGCATTATGGCCAGTGTTGCCGCAAACGCCACAACGTCGCTCACGCGCTGCCGCCCTCCTTGGACGACGACTACCTTCACCCATTTCCTGTCTTGCCAGCTCACCACCATCCTTTACAGCCTGGAGACCTACTGCATCTTCAACGGAAAGTACTCCTCCTTTCACTAGACGTTTGTTTTTTGTCCTCCGGCGTTTACTTAGTAGGTGATTGGCCTCCTCTAGCTCGCGGACCCGGGAATCAACCAAAGCGACCTTGTGCATAAGACCGTATGTAGCCTTTGAAAACGAGCTCAATGCATCAATTATTGATGTAGGTGAGCTTCCCTGGTGGTTTCTGACTCGATTTCGGATATGAACCGATTGATTGACCGCTTCGTTGATGGTGGTAGGCGTCTTCGAAGTCCAAGTAGTGGGTGGCAGATTGGGGTCTGGCGACGGTGTTCGTACGACAGCGACAGCATCCAGTTTCGAAATGACACTTTCTGGGTCAAAAGGAACAAGCCCAGTGGCACTGAAACCTGCTCGAATGTTCCCTGGCGTCATAGCAGCGTTGTGTGCTTCACAAAATGCTGCAAGGAAGTCCTCTTTCGAAACATAGGTTATATGACGCCGCATGAGATCCTCAATCATGCGACCGTACGCTCGTTTGAGCGGGCTAAAACAACTGACATCTAAAGGCTGGAGCCTG